TCTTCTCTCTCTCTCTCTCTCTCTCTCTCTCTCTCTCTCTCTCCCCTTAGCAATTGTATTTGACGCCTGCCTCTCCTAATCTACGTCTCTCCCTCTCTCGTTTCAAGCATCCTCCGTTTTGTTCAAATGCTTGCTCAACAAGGCAAAAGCTCGCGATCTTTGCGATATTTGGTTCTTGCCCGTCTTCTCCATCTCCGCATACGTCTTTCCTGAACCTTCTTCGGGCTCAAAAATGCAATCCCACCCAAAGTCCCGCGACCCACGAGGATCCACGATTTTACCACGGGTCTTGCCCTGGAAAACGTGAATGTGGCCGTCAAAGTCTGCAAAAGCAACGGTGGTTACAGCTTCGGCCTTCTTGTTCTCGAACCCAGCAAGCATGCGGACCAATCCTTCAGGTCCCACACTTTTCAAGAACCATTTAACATATGCACCAGGAAGCCCATTGTAGCTATCGAAACACAACGCCGTGTCTTCCACAAAAACCGCCGTTCCCTTTGGCAGTTCTGCCTGCGCTTGTGACACCTTATGGCGAGCGATATTTTCCAACGAGCTGTCCTGTAGCTCGTCCAAATCGATATCAGTGTTTGTCAGTTCAAAAACTGGCTCTTGTCCTCTCGAAGGTGCGAGCAGCATCTTCACTTCTTTCAACTTATTGGCATTGCCGGTAACAAAGACTATTGTGGGAGCCATTGTAATCGCTAGGTGAAGCTTTGTAGTAATTCTTGGTAGCTTTCAAGTACAAGTTTTCTATCTCACATCAGATTTTGAAATTTTAGGTTAATTTATATGGGCATCGCGCTCATCGCATCCCATCGCTGTCCATGTTCAACAACTATCAGACAGTCTAAATAAGCCGAACCTCTCATTATTGTACACTAAACAAGTTTATAAACCTTTATATCATTTCTGCGAGCACAGCTTTGTCGTAGCATACATAAATTCACTTCAAGAAGGAGCGTACTCCAGCTCGTTGCTGTTCTCGTACTCGTACATGTCGAGAGCTACAATTGCCGATTCTCTGACGACATCATCTTTGTCGTCCAGATGACCCTTTAAGATAGGAAGCACATCATCGGTGGCAATTGACCCTAGCGCTTCTGCGGCTTCGTGTCTAACCATTGGTGCTTCGTTTTCTCTGTTTAGCACCTCGATCAATTTGGGCACCACCACAGCGTTACCGACCTGGCCGAAAACGTACGCAATCTCGTGCTTGAAAAGCGCGGATGGATCGTCGAACCCGGAGGCTAGGGCCAAACAAGCCTCGTCGTTGCCAATGTCTCTGAGTCTAAACATAGCTCTGTATCTCTCGAACAACGGCTTTTCTTGGTCGTTCAAAATCTGTTTTAGCTCATCCACTTTGATGTTGATGTCCAGGGTGAGCGGAGGAGCGGGATCGATGCTCGAGTAAAGCGAGTCCTGGAGCGTTTCGGTCTTTCCAGATTCGCTGGTTTGCCATTTGATACGACCGATGGCCAATTCACAAGTTTGCCTTATTTCCAGCAATGGGTCTTCTTTGAAGTAGGTTTCAAGGATGGGCAATGAGTCCACGTCTCCTAGCGCTCCAAGGGCCTCCGCAGCCTCGTGCCGCACCATGCACTGCTGGTTTTGGTCTTCCAAAACTATTCTCAACAATGGGGCACCCACCATATTTTTGGTTTGGCCCAAAACGTATGCAACTTCGTGTTTCAGCAGTTCACTCGTGTCTGCAAAACACTCGTTGATGTATTCAGTGGCCTTGCGAGCATCTTCGGGATTCGATTCAAACTCCTCGGCAACACCTTTCAGGTTGAAAAGAGCTCTGAAACGGTTTGCCAGCTTAGTGGTCCCGGACTTGTTGATCAAAATGTCTCTCAACTGTTCCAGCGAACAGTTGTCGACGTTTTCTTCAAAGTGTTTTTCAAAGTTGGTAGACATCGTGAACTTTTAAAGAATAAGGTGGTTTTCGAAGCAGAATTGAAGAAACACCACAACTCAAGACGCAGAGAAAGATGATATGGTTCTTGGCTCGAGATTCCAAGTCTTGTTGTTAGCTATTTTGTATTCGAAGATGCAGCGCTTAAGCCTGGAGTGAAGCTCATCGCATCGCGCATATTATACCAGCGCCAGCCTTAGTAGTGAACGATAAAAAAAAAAATTTTTTTGTCACGACACACACCTCGTTCGTTTTTTTCAAAATGGAAAGCCTGGAACGATCGTGGTGTCTTTGAACCAAGTACAATACATTTTTAATAAGCAATATGGGGCCACTGAACAGTATATACCGCTTGGAAATGTGTATGTGGTATTCTTGTTTTATCGTAATCGAATGGTAAAGCGTTTAAATGGAATTCAAAATAAATTTTGAAACGGGTTGAACTTTTTTACATAGCTCGGTTGTTAGGAGGATTTTGAAAGATTACGTACGGGCCGATAGTGCTAAAATCGCATTGTTTTCGATGACACATCTCGCATTGGGGCCTTCCGTCTCCCGGTTTGTAGATGGTATAAAATGTTTTGTCTCTGACATTGGCAAGGTTTGTCACTTTTTCCCACCGCGTCCTGATAAATTGGTGTCAGTATTGGAAGTCCGACACTTTCAATTTGGAAATATTTTCCAGTCTCAAAACATGCGATGTTGATAGTAGCAGCTCGCACTCGATTGCTCACTCGATCGCTTGTTATTCTAGCTGTAGAGAATCGTGATAAAATCGCTTTTCTTTTCAATGAAAAGCTCAAAAGACTTGTTTTCTTCAGTGACAAAGAATAAAAACTCTTAACCGGTGAAAATGAAAAATACCAGCGTCTGGACTCCTCCACCAAACATAACTGCGTAAAGGAACTCACGATGAGGCTAAGCGATCAATACATTTTGGGCACCAGACCCTTTTAATCGAGAACAATTCATGATGTTGTTTCGTATCGAGTGATGTGCCAACTATGAATTTTGAAGAAACGATTTCCTTTGTTGAGCTAGGTTAGGAAGCCAGTCTTATTAGGTTGTCTCACGCTTAAAACCATTTCTTTTTCCTCCGAACTTCAATATCACACATACCGCCCGTGATTTTAATTACAACTTTTCATGATCAATTAAACTTCGTAATCGAGAGAGAAATATCGAAAATCTCACCAAATCCTCATCTAGACGACTCCATTTCACAAAGAGTTATACAAGTCTCGAGAATTTGGTGTCATCGCTAAAACCTGGTCCTCTTAACTAAATTCATCATTATGCACGTACCTCATCAATCTTGATGATCACGTGCTGAGATACTTTAAACATATATTATGTATCTTTAACGCATCACTAACCAAAGATCCACTATTCATCTTACTGTTCCCACCTAGCCTTGAGCAGTTTCCTTCGACGCTTACAACGCTGATCTCATACCAATTCTCGTAACTGCGTCTGTTCGCAAAATCTCTTTCCCCTTTAGGAGCGCCACCTCGAAACACAATCTACATTGATGAGTACTCTTCTTCTACCGCTCGTTTCCACTGGTAATGTCCCGCAGCTATCAACGGATCTGATTTTGCATTCTTTGAGTGCAGAGTTCGAATTTATACGAGAACTAGATAGCTTGTATCTTTTCCCGTTTGCGGGGCCTCTCGATTTTGTCAGGGGATCTCACACCAACCTTTATGAGCATACTGAAGGCAAATCATTCACCACACCGTTAGAACTATTCTACAGCTCTAAACTGAACCTCTACGTGGTTCAGCAAAGATCACCAGTCATCCAGAATTATGAAAACAATTTCTGTCAAGAGGTCCTTCTTCCGCTTATCCAAGAACTAAAAATCAGCCAGCTCGTCATTTTTGATGCCACTGATGAAATAGACGAGAACGTGGCTGTTTCACAACTCCGCAAGTCTCCTTTTTCTCTCGGGATTTGTGATTTAACTCAAATTCACGACGTTGTGGCGGAATTTGAGGAGAAACTCCAGTTGAACGATGAGGCTCCTCAGCAGACCACTAATGCTCTTTTCAACTTTTCTGATACTAGTTTTCAGTCAAGTATAAGCACTCAACAAATCACATTCAAGATATGCTACCATCTATTGAAGTCACAGAGTATCTCAAAGCATCTAAAGGGAATACAGTATTTTAACACTTACGTCCAAGAGGGAGACAATTCTGAGGACGCTGTCGCTGCCTGTAATCAGCTCCCGCTTTTCATCAAAAGCTTTCCAAAACTTGAGCAGTTCCAAACGCCTGAGCAGTTCCAAACGCCAGTATCCTGGGAAGGTGTTTATGGTGTACGTAATGCCCCTACTTCGTTCGATGAGGGCCTTTATATATAAGGTGAACGCTAATTCTACTCTATGGGGGAAACTTCATTGCCTGATGTAACGCGCTATGTTTTCAGCGGTCTCGCTGCTCGCCGTTTTAGCGACTTGCTCGAGGGCTTCTTCATACCGTTTTTGCAGATCAGGAGCGGTATTCCCATTTACTTCCCCGCTGGTTCTGTTATCACCAGCAAAAGTGTACTCTCTTTCAATACCCTCATCTTCGTCTCTCAAGACGATCCCGTCATTTTCGCCTGCGTCTTCTAGGTCGCTGATCACGTCCGCCTCGTCATCTTGATCCTTCTGTTTTGACGAATTTTGTTTTTCCTTGAGGCCTAAGTCCTTCATCAAGTGCGTTAACGAGGCCTGCTTCTTTGCAGCTTCTTCTTCCTCTTTGCGCTTAAGTATTGCTTCCCTTTCAGCTTTATAGTAGGTCTCATATTCGTCCACTTTTTTGTCAACAGACGTCAAAAATTCATCAAAACCATCACCTGTGAAACTAGAGACGCCGACTATGTCTAGTTGCGAGTAGAATTCCTCTAGCATTAAAGACATGGAGTTCACCAACGAGCCCATATAGCCTGACCCCAATCCTGACTCGCCATTAAGGTCCTGGTCGGACCTAAGAGCTTCTTGGAAAGCTTCGAAATCTGTCATCCACTCGCGGGCGAAATCTGCCTTGCAAACATCTGTCTTGTTGAAAACGACAATCATGGGCAGCTTGGTCTTGTAGAGGATAGAGCATGCATACAACATATTGCTCATGAAAGTTGTGGGCGAGGAATTTCTCGGCGTATCGACGATATATGCTATTACCGTAGGAAAACTAGATGCAAACGATTCGGTGATAATCGACCCCGACGCACTCCATACAAAGCATTCAATCTGACCGGGTGTGTCCACTATACAGTAATCGTGGGCCTCTCTTTTATTTTCCACAAGTTTTATGACCTGATCAATTTTCGTACTGAAGAGGTTCAAACTCGTTACGATAGCACCATTAGGACCTAATTTATAGTTTTCCATAACCTTCTTGTACTTCACAGAGTCCCTGATATCAATATTGACACCATAAGGCACGTTCAAAACCGCAGGATCCAATTGCACAACATATGGTGCTGATTTGTTAGCATGCAAATGGGAGTTCAAACGCTGCATGAAAGTGGTCTTTCCGGACCCAGCCATCCCGATGCATATAACAGTTTTGATAGCCATGTTTGTTGTGAAGCTTCGATGGTACTCTAGGGTCTGAACGGTCTACTAGCTTGGTTTAGTTTGGTGTAATCGGTGGAAGCGATGACTTAGAAGTTCATTGAAAAATGGCGAAAAGATCCTAGTATCTTGGGCACGTGACAGTTCTGGGCATCCAAGACTTTTGATGAATACAAGCCCGAGTCCACCAGAGTTTCAAAAACATCGAAGGCAGTGTCGACATTGCAATGGCGATCCCGTTGTCAAAAGAGTTCTGGTAAATTGCGCATATTTTGAATCATTTGGCGTAAAGCTTCAGGACTCTTTCTTCTATAGAATCAAAGCAAGATTCGTGTTGCGCGATGGTGAGATCATTAGCAAGACCCTTCATCATAACATCGGGAGCAGGGCCACCAGGGACGGCTTGAATTTGCTGCTGCTGCTGCGATATCATTTGAAGTTCGGGTTCGTCGTTGCCCCATCCGCTAAAAAACAAATTGTTGACGGGAGCAAGTCCCAAAGTGGAGATGAAATACCATGAAATACTGCTCACCCAGCGGGGGTCTAAATCGGGCGTCATAATACCATTCTGTAGCATCTCTTTGAACTTGATCGTCAAGGGAAAAGGCAATTTCATCAAAAGAAAGCCAGCAAAAAAATGATTTACCCACCACATGATAAGCGTCTGTGGGATGTAATTGGCCAAATTCGAAGTTGCCATGCTCATCATTGCATCGGAAGCATTCGGATCTGTGAGCGGGTTAGGAGGAGTTTCGGGCTTCTCCTTTTGCGCTATGAATTTGCCTTCTCCCAAAACATTTGCCAAATATTCTTTCCGCATTTGAAAAGACTCTTCGCACAAATTACTGCCATTTCCAAGCAGCGCCTGAGCCTTGCTGATATACTGCACCTCTGTAAGTCTTTTCCTAGTCACAGTTGTGGTTTTCAAGCTCAAAAGCACCATTATATACTGGCGACAAACACCTACCAAGATCATGACGATCGAGATAGGGAAAAGGACCCAATACTTGAGCTTTGGGTCCAATGTCAAGTCCACTGCGGCTCCCACGGCACCGGTACTGGCCCTGGTAAGTATTTCAGTGACAAACATGACCAATTGACTTCACTGGTGGTTTATCTGGTCTGCGTAAACTGGTGATGACTTGTTTAACCGAGATTCGCTGTGGTAATTCAATTCAAGCCTTGAAAACCCAATTTCTTATGTCAAGTGATACGGAAACTGACATGACAGTCCTAACAAGAAGATTGCATAGTATAGTATAGTATAGTATGTTGTATGATAGTTTAAATATACTTAGCCTGCTACTTCTAGCTGTGATCCTGTAACGGTCTGCTGGCGCTCTTGCGTCCAGTGTTTCAAAATAAAAAAAATCTTGAAAACCTAAACGTACAAGTTCAACTTCCTCAGATTGTAGCCCAGTCATCGGGCGATGGCGTTGCCGGGTTTCGCGAGACTCTCAGCTTATTTCCTGACTCTCGCCCAGCGTAGCCAGGAAGCTCTGTAGTTTAAACTTTTCGCTCAAAAACTGTTTCCCAAATATGAGGTGTGGCCTTGTCTCTGCCAGATGCAAAATGGTTTTTGCAAATTCCGAATTGGCCCAAGCAAACCAAGGCCTTGTGAAAGTGTTCCCATCAGGCTTGAAAGCTTGTATAGACTCATGTATTAGTCCGAGACCGCCTGTACTATGCAAAATTGCCGAAAGAGTGTCACTAATTTCCTGGTCGTCATCTGACGTACGAATAGCCACAATCAGTCCAAGCGGCCATGCATTGTGAATCCCTATGTGGGGACCACCAATACCCTGCAAGTGGTCCCCTGCAATGTAGTAGGGGTTGCCCTCTTTGGTGGTGACCATGCGTCTGGTGTTCTGGTACACGACATTATCGACACTGACGAACCCAAGTTCGGGCAAAGATAGCAGCGATGGAATGTTGGCATCATCCATAAGCACAGAACTTCCATATCCGTCTACCTCGTAAGCAAAAACTTTGCCGAAAGTTGGATGGTTCACAACGCCGTGTTCCATAATACCCGTTTTGATTCGTTGAGAAAGGCTCGCTGAAGTTTCCTTCAATTCCTCAATCTCGGGAGTGTACTGCTCGGGCATCTTTTCGTTCTTGATACAATCCGCTAAAATGCGAGATAACGCCTCCAATTCCACCGATATGTACGCATTTCCAGGAATAAAGAATTGAAAGATTGTGGAGTCATCACTGGGTCTAAAAGCCGATCTGACCAGGCCTGTGCCACTGTTGACTGGGTTTCCAGTACCGGCAAGCGGCAGAGTTTCAGATGCCACGTTGGTGTCTCGCTGAAAAGTGTAGGGGAACTCGTTGGGGGCACCCTCTTCTGAGAAGGTGGACGAGGACTCTCGCAAAAGTACCTCAAGAATTCTTTTCACCGCTAAAAGCCAATCGAGATTTACAAAGGAAAAGCGGTCTTCTGGGTTTGCATTCTCGTAGAATTGCCGGGACAATGTGAGGAACGACGCCAAAGAATCAATCTCGTATTTGCATTCAAAAACGCGACGCCAGTCTGGGTAAGGGCGTACTTTATCAACTGTGCTGTCGGCTCTTTCGACGTTTGTATAGGGTGGCGGGTTGAATGCGTTGCAGAATGGGTTTTCCATCACCAATTGAGCCTGTGTGTTGATTGCACCATGCAACAGCTCTTTGATCCTGGGATCGCGCTTTATGAATGGCTGATAGACAGACAACTGCCATGCCGAGTCCCTTAGCCACTCGGCATGAATATCGCCGGTAACGATAAAAGTTTCGGGAACATCGTTTCTGTACAACAGGGGTTTCCGCTTGTGATTGAGCAGCTTCTGATTTTCGCGGGCTGTTACGTGCCACAGCACTGTAGTATCCAGGGTATTGGGGAAAGTGTTTTCGAACAATTTCGCTAAATCCCTATCTTTGAGCAATTTAGTGAACTTTTCCAAAAACAGATCCACTACCGAAGACCTGAAGGTTCTGCAATTTTCTGGTGGTCTTTGAAAGGGAAGATTGAGTGGTGTTGCCTCATCTGTGTCCCTAATATGTGCGACCGATGCGTAGTCCACATAGCTGGAGCATTTCTTGGCGATTGCTTGGTATTTCTGGCTAGCTACCGCTTTACGCTGAACAGCTGGTCTTGATCGTAAAATGGAGCTGTCAGATTTGCCTTTCTTTCTTTCAAAATTCTGATCACCACTACTGGACAGCAGGCTGTAAAATAGGAAGATGAACAAGAGGGAAATCAAAAGGGGGTAGAAATAGTTGAATTTCCGACGCATTATTTGATCAAACTTTCGGTTTCGTGCTCTAACCTGTATCTTCCTGTATCAAGTTCTGACCCCCCTTCGAATACAAGGCCTTCAAAGATCTTAGCCCTGTCTTAATGAATACTGGGGCCCTCATCTCAAGCCAGATCACATGCATCGCCTAATCGTCAGCAGCGAAGGACTCGACTGTCAGCAGAAGCCACCGGGCTCGTTTTGTCATACGCGGGACCAAGATCCTGTTTTCTGCTAATGCCTCTAGTAAGCTTTTGACCTCTTTTCGCATAGGATCGGAGCTCTTGGTCTGAGATTGCTTGGCAATTTTTAGTAGCTTGTCGTAGTCAAGATCTCTGTACATCTGGGATGAGTCTTCAAGTAGCGGTTGTATGCAGGAGATTGCTGTGGAATTGTGATCACCCATGTTGATGGCTACCACAACAGGCTCGAATCTTGTAGCTGGGTCCGTTGAGGATTTTGTGTGTTCGAGATATTGGCGGAAAGCGGCAGTTGAATGCAGCGAATCCAGGTTCTGAAAGAAACAAAACCAGCTTCTTCCATCACAGTTCAGTTCAGAGTCCAGTAGTTTATCCAGTAGCGAGAGTTTGGGTGGTTTTTCAAAAAATACAGGTGAGGGCGCAATTGTAAAATCCAAGTCTGATTGTGTCTTGGACGAGTCTCTGTAGAAAGATTTCACTTCTCCGCAGAATGATCGCCACAGAAGATTTTGGTTCTTCAAGTGGACCTCGTTTTTGCGTGGCCGCAGCAAAACAAAACAGTTGTAGTTATTTAAGTACGTTGAATACCGATCCAGCGTCATGGCATTTACCAATTCTTTGGAAGTGCTGCTGGTCTTGGACAAATAGCCATTGGAGCCATAACGCGAAACAAACTTTCCGCTATCCAAAAGATTACCATATCGTGTGAGCGTGCGAGACATCCAAGCTATCCTCTTGCTTCCCGCAACAGCCGTGTATTCAGCGAAGCATCGATGGGTAGAGACAGATGCTCTTGGATTAAAGGCTTCTACATAACCCGGAAAAAATGCGCGTATCCATTGACATACTTATACGAATTCGAATTTATGCCTTCCAATAAGAAACATTAGCCTCTTTGGCCAAGTGGTAAGGCATCGCACTCGTAATGCGGGGATCGTGGGTTCAATTCCCACAGGAGGCATTTCTTCATTATTTTTTTGGTTTTTAATTTGAGATCGGGACTGTGATGCCAGGTCGGGTCAGGTCAGTTTGTTTTGCGACATCGGACAGCTTGAGCTTAAAACGCAGGGTTCAAAGGTGAGTTGTGAGAACTATCGAATGGTATGAAACGGTACTGAAAGGCAAGAAAGATGGAAGTAAATATATGTACTCGTATTTGGCTATGTTTGATGAGACGCTACTGTATCGAGAGTGGTATGGACTGGTGCTGGCAGTGACCTACGCAATGTGGAATGTAGTTGAATGCGGTGGAATATAATCTGGGTTTTAACTCCATCAGATCTTTAACGTTTTCTCGAGAGAGTTGAAATTAGATCTTTTGAAAGTTATTACATCAACAACAAACATGAAAAAAGAACCCGTTACCAGAATCTCGCGCCGACAAGGGCTCAGTAAACAATGCAAGTGGTGGATACATAAAAAATAAATGATAACAACAGATCTCTAAAAACAAATTTACGAATGACAATTTTATGCTCTTCCGCATCTTACAGGATTTAAGTTTCGGAAATGTCAGGTTTACTACGAAAAATTGAAAGTACAGAGACGTCAGTGGTAAAACTCATCCGGAAGATTTTAATGGTCCCAGTATCTTGGATAAGATCACTAAGAGAAACCGATCACTAAGAGAAACCGATCAATGCTGTGATCTTTACTGACAACTTACACTCTCAAAAGTATCTTACCTGGTGTGACACTAAATAATCATAATTGACACAAATTAAATCGCGTTGTACGATAAGCCTGAGTCCATCAATGGGCTGGACATCACAAGGAAACCTTTAAAGTACCAATCATGGCAGTAACTGTCTGTTGTGATCAAAGCTCCTTTATCTTGGTCTCTACTATTCACATCCCGGCCCACCCTTAGTCTCAGACAATTTGGTTTTTCCGAACTAAAAATGTGTCATCTAATTGTTTAAAGCCGAATGGCCTCAGCAATAGCGGTTCTCGAGCTTGGCCTGGCTCAAATCACATCGAAAGAGAACTTACAGCTGCACATACACAAACTTTATTCCAAATATTTTGGGACAAATTTCTCGAGTCTAATACTCGAATCTCTAAATCAAAGCCTTGCCAATTCGCGAGAGCACTGCTGGCTTGAAGATCTGGTTCCACGACTATGATGAACTTCAGGTTTCAGAGAAACGAACATTGGACACTCCACAAGTTTCTCGAAGATCGATGTACTCTTCTACTTTTCGCGAGTACTTTCTCGAATTTGTCAAAAATTTTCCAGAAATTAGAAACTCATCTCATCATCGCCTATCTCAGCTCATCGGCTATCAATCTTTATACAAGACAGTTTGACAAGAATTGCTAGTTTAGGTTGAGTCCAAGCTGAAACCTAATAATTCACAGCAATGGCAGAAAATTCCGAATCAAACCGTCAAGATCTTTTTCAGCCTGTGGGCGAATCCGTGCAGGAAATCGACCAGCAAGGACAACCAGATGTTGTTGTCCCAACAAATACTGGCGCTGCCGATGCAGAAGGCCACCCAGTTCAGGAGATTGAGTCTCTGTGCATGAACTGTCATGAAGATGGTACCACTAGATTGCTACTGACATCCATACCGTATTTCAAAGAAGTCGTTCTAATGTCGTTCGAATGCCCACATTGTGGATTCAAGAACAGCGAAATTCAACCTGCATCTCAAATAATGGAAAAAGGTGGCAGATACACTCTCAAGATCGAAGAAAAGGCTGACTTTAACCGTCAGGTCATCAAATCCGAGACTGCCACTTGCAAGTTTAAAGAGCTGGACATCGAGATTCCCGCTCGCAGAGGTCAGCTAACCACTGTGGAGGGACTTCTCAGCGAGATGCTCGAAGATTTGACATCGGACCAACCGGCCAGAAAAGCCATCGACGAGGGCCTGTACAATCAAATTGATGAATTTATCAATAAGGTTAAATCTTACCTAAATTGCGAACCAGAAACATTGCCTCTCACATTCATTCTGGACGATCCAGCAGGAAACTCATGGATCGAGTATAAGCCAGGGGAAGCAGCCCACAAATGGTCCCAAGCCCAATATCTCAGATCCGGGGAACAAAACGTCCAAGTCGGTCTTCTCTCACCAGACCAGCTCGAACAGCAACGCAGAGACGAACAGGCAAAACTAGCTGACAGAGAAAGAAACCCCTCAGAGGCTCAAAAATCAACTTTCATCTCAGATGAAACTGATATCGAAAACTTTAACAACGAGGTGCAAACTTTCAGATCCACATGCTCTTCATGCGGCCAACCTTCTGACACCCATATGAAACCTGTTAATATTCCTCATTTCAAGGAAGTCATTATCATGTCCACAGTGTGCGACCATTGTGGTTACAAATCGAATGAGGTGAAGACCGGTGGCGCTATTCCTAGTCAGGGAAGAAGGATCTCGCTTGTGTGCGATGAGCCCGAGGATCTATCCCGTGATATTTTGAAGAGCGAGACCTGTTCGATGACCATTCCTGAACTCAGCTTGGACATTCAGCAGGGAACATTAGGTGGAAGATTCACCACTTTAGAGGGACTCTTGAAACAGGTTTATGACGAGCTACGGACCAGAGTGTTCACACAGACCTCAGACTCCATGGAAGAGGAAACGAAGGCGAGATGGGAGAAGTTTTTCACCACTTTGGAAAACGGCCTGAATGGCAAAATGAAATTTACAGTGATAATGGAGGATCCACTTGCTGGATCTTACATTCAAAACGTCTACGCCCCCGATGCAGACCCAAACATGACGATAGAGGACTACGACAGAACTCCAGAGCAAAATGAAGACCTGGGTCTCAATGACATGATTGCTGATTAAATAAGCCATCAACATCTAAGCATACGGTACTTTGCGCGGCCTAGTGTCAAGATCTGTTCACAAGCAGTGACTTGCGGGTCTAGTCTTTGAAATTCAATCCTAAGCAAATGCTGCGGAATTCACCAGTACTAACTACCAGGCCGTACGAACATCAAAATATTCATTACACAATTGACTACTAAGACAGTAACTACCACTAGGTGTTTTTCTTGGTCGAAGCTGGGTTTAGCTTGCTAGTCATTACCACAAATTGACTCAAATCCATAGAAGTATAGAGATTGTCCACGAAGTTAGTTCATCCAATTTTTTTCTTTTGAACGATCATTCTAGTTAAGCGTCTTGATGTCTGGCAACTGAAAAGTCCTTGACAGCTACACATGAAAATACGAGGCTTCGATGAATGTCAAGCTTGATACAGTAGTGCCAGTAAAACTCGGTGAGACGCATCTTTTCGTTCGCATAAAAATTCAACTTTCTTGGCAATGTTCAGTTCAATACGTCACACAATTGTCTGATTCTGTGCCGATGCAGGATTATGTCAAGACAATCGAAACTAACGAGTAAAGTGAAATACTCAAATAAAACCCAAAAAGAAGTCCAAGCTACACATAAAGTCCAGAAACAGGCTCAAAAAGACCCAGCTGGTCGAGGAAGTTACCTTCCTGAGGTAGCCCATGAGTGATTTACTGTCACTACACTACTATCACCAAGCACGTGACCTCGAGGAATTGATTTATAAATCAGCTCCCAAGGCTCTTCGATGTCAAAGCCCATGTTATACCTACATCGGCAATGGACTCACTTTCAGGAATCGAGGAGTTCTTCTACCACCGGAGTAAACTCGCGTATCACTCTTGCTTCTACGTCGCAGTTAAATTCAATCAGAAGCCTGAGGATTCTTGTTTGAAATCAGCACTGGAAGTAACAATTTCGAAGTTCCCTCATCTTTACTCTAATGCATTTACAAATGCGGGAAATGTGGTTTTGAGACCCTTGAGAAAATCTTTCATGCTTTCAGAGGTAGTAGAACGTGTTGATTTCGAGTATTTGGATGAGTCGTTCAACAGTCACGTATTCAAAACTGTCACTTTTGATTATGGAGTTGAGAGACCCCTGTGGAAACTTTTAGTACTCAAAGACCAACGTACTTTCGTGCTCTGTACTGATCATTTAATTATGGACGGGTTATCAACCGTGGCATTTTGGAAATCTGTAATTACGGGTTTGAATAATTGTGACACTACGGGAGCACCGGAAAATGGCCCTGTTTTCATCCCAAGTGCAAATTTGAGCAAAGTACAGCAGCACCCTTACGAAAAAATTCCTTATACGGTTCTGGGTTTGCTCCTATGGGCATTTGTTCGTCTCATGGTCCTATTGGAATTTGTGAAACTGGACATTATCGGAAAAGTGTTTGTTCCTCACTTGAGCAGCAAGGATTTTAAGTTCAGGAACTACCGATTCCCTGAGGGACTACTGAATAGCACAGGAGGCATTCGCAACGACAACTGTCAGCTCAATCTTCATATTCCAAGCTCAAAAATGCGGCTGCTTCTCAAGAACTGCAAATCTCATAAAGTTTCCTTCACCTCGCTACTGGCAGCGGTCGTTGCACATTCTCTTCAGAGCGTCAGCCCTTCACAGGTTGAAGGATCTCGCATCAAAATAAGTGTGCCTATAAACGCAAGAGAGGCTGTTCGAAAAGTTATTACAGAGGCTCCAGGTTCGGCGGACTTTGGTAATTTTATTAAAACCGGGGAATTTACTCGAGATCTGACAGAGCTGGTTCAATTATGGGATACTGCCAAATCTTTAGATGATGAGATGGCATATCAAAGAAAGTCCGAAGTGCCGATTCAAATGGCCAAGCTACTGAACTTAATCGATGTCGAAAAATTCGTCCAGGGAAAAGTCGATGCTCCCTACCCAGGATCTACGTTCGAGATAACTAATCTCGGATACCAAACCTTCGATTGCGGCGTGGACGACAAATATGTTGTTGAGGACGCATTCTTCAACGAGCCTCAGGGTATAAGTGACGTCTTTACATTCTCGGTTGTCAGCACTCCGGCGAATGGGCTCAATTGTTGGATTAGTTATCCAAGAGAGCTTCAAACTGACTTACAACCCGCGATTGCGAACATACAGAGAAAACTGGACGATCTGAGCATTGAAAGTTCGGAAAACTAGACGGATCTAACGGTTTTTTAACCCGAGTACTGAAGTACTCGAATATCGAAAATTGACTTGTAGGGATGAACTTCAATCCTTGGATACCAACATCTTCATTGGAAGAAGTAAGAACTTCAGAGGACTTTGTATCAGCTCTTTACACTATTGGAGGAGCTGGATGTGATGAGAAAAACCAAACTATGGAGAAGTGCTTTTTTAGGTTCTTTTACTATAATTTTGTCAATATATATCCTTGCGTTAGCGGCCAGAGACTCCAGTCTTGGCACTCGACAAGAAAGCTTCATCACCGCTGTTAAGAAAGTTACAGGATCAAATGTCATTAGGCTAGCGAACAGCATCCAGCTACGAGACTTTTTTCGGGCTTGGCAACTTGATGAATGTGATGCACTTCGTGCGGGCCCTCTCAACGACGATTTGACTTGGAAAGAAGTGTCCGCGACACGAGCGATTGTTCGCGGTCCCAGCAGAAATTCCAAGAATTTCGATTTGTACAAATTTGATCCCAGGTTCACTATTGCTACCTATTATAGGTACCTGCGAGATTCACCAGACGTACAGAAAGTTCCTTTCAACTGGTACGATTGGAAAGATCTCGGCTCAAAGCTGAATAAACTGACGTATCCAAATGGCCCTCTATGTGACGACATCTACACGGAAATTGGTCTTGAACAACCTGACGGAAATCGCAAAGGACTACCTGAGATCTCAATAGAAAAGGGCTCCAAATCAAATTTCTGCACACCAAATCTAAACTCCCCAGTGCAGTTTCGAGTCAGAAGACTACAAGATAGATGCGAGGCGGAAGCGCTGGCGCTACAAGCAGCATCATTTTTGTTCCATGATGGATTGAGACCTGCAAATCTGATATTCTTGAATGGTAACGGTCGATCAAAAATAGTGGGCACCACATTCACAGATAATAATCAATCTCTGATTAATAGTACATTGGTGGAGTCGTTTTTGAAAGACGGTTCTGTTGCAGGGCGAGACCCAGATGAACCCTTCACGGAGAAGAGCCCTAGCGTGATTTTTGATCCCACTGCTGAATACAGTAAACTCTTCCGTTCAAATGAAACGGCCATCAAAAAACCCTTAAGCTACCTGTCCGCAGTTGGACCCGATAGATTCGAGTTTCGTCTACAGGAAGAATTGAACGCACTTCGAGTTAAGAGCATTTTGACCATAAGTGAACAGAATTTTGTGAACAATTTGATGTACGTGCAGGAACATTTGAAAGTAGGCGCGCCTGAATTTAAATATTTTCATGAAGCTTCCGATATCACAAGCGATGGCAATAAGTATCAGACTTTCATGGATAGTCGTTTTTTCTCGGGTCTTATAGGCGACCACTGGCAACGTCAGCGAATTTTCAACGCCCTCACGCGAGCCTGGCTTCATTTCGTAGAGTCGGAAAACCTCGCTTCCTGGCTTGCTCATGAGTCCTTGCACGGATACCTCTTCACTGGCTCGCGTTTTCCTTGGAGTCCCTCGACCAGTTTTCAAATGCCCTTGCATGATCTCGGTCTTTTGGCTAAGAATTTTAATCAAAGCCTTGTAATTGCACCTGCTAATGAGGGAAATGGCAGATACTTTGTTGACGTCCAGCCGTTCATTGCGTCCCGAAATAGTGCTGACGGTGTTAACAATGTTGACGCCAGGTTTATTGACATTGATAGCGGTTTCTACATCGATATTTTTGGGCTTGGATACTCATCGCATCCTTTAGACGCTCTGAGATTTCAAAACAAATACGGAACTGATCATGGTGACCGTCCAAATACGGAAGATTTTAAGCGGGAACACGGTATTTTATCTGAAAGGAACGGAAGAGGGCTTTTATTGGCCGAAATTTCTCCGCTACGTCTCTCTAGGTATCATGGCTTGCCAGTAAGAGTACCATTGTCCACCTTAACAGTCCTCAAAGACGAATACCACGTTTCCTCTTCTTTTTATGGAGCTAAGGTTCAGATAAATAAGCACCGGCTGGTCCCGAGTCTCGGTGTCTGGGTCGCAAACTCGAAGTTAGACTCCTGGCTCGGACCGCGGCGGGCTTCCAAAGCCCATGAGCTGACAATAAAGGATGTGCAATCAATGCTTATCGTGGTAACAAGCCAGGAAAGCCATCAAGATCTAGTCCAGTGGATCAGATCTCAGGAACAGTTCACGTTTCGCCTTGAAGAACTTTCACTTGAATCCTCCAAGCTCAAGCGCGATGAGAAGATGGCTGCTCTTGAATCCTTGCAATCTGCCCAGTTCGAGCTTGCATCTTCATTTTCGGATCCCTTCGTCGGTGAGATGCGGGTAAAAAGGTTTACTGAGCTAGTGAGTCTCATGGACCATGCTGTTGGAACCAGTATGTTTTCGAAAAGGGTCTTAAGTGACATTATGTGCGAGCTTTCTGACACTTTCATTTCCCGGAAAAGAAAGCAGCGGGAGCAACATGTCGAAATAGGCCGGGCAGCCCCGGATGATACTGCTAACACTCAATCTACGCGCTTATTTTATATGAGAGAGGATGCCAGAGAGCGTCCCGCAAGAGAGCCTTTGATTTTCAAGGTGGATTTCACGGTATGAGGAAAAGATTAACTCAGTGTCTACATTCATCTGGATATCATAATAATTCAAAATATAGAAGTAATGAACAATCACAACGTAAAACTTTCCTCATGAAAATGTAGTCCGCCGTCGTTAGCCCATCTCTTTGTATTTTCCACCAGCTGAGATGGTCCTGCTGCGATAACCCAAACGCGGCACAGATCGTCAACATGCGCTTTTGGAACATCAGGTTGACAGCAGTCATTTCTATCAGAGGGGCCAATGCATTCTTTTTCTAGACACCATTGATAATCGTGATTGGTAAGGTTTGGGCGCCCGAAAAACACTTTCACACCAGCCGGTATCCTTAAAGTCTTCGTAGATCCTTCATTTCTCTCTTGAAAGGCATCACTCTGATCGGGGGGTGGAACAAGTATCGAAGGCTTACGGAAAGCGTTCTCCTTTTGGAACATTGTGGGCGAGAAAGTCGTTTTCCCTGAGTTCTTACTTTTAGTGCTGCGAGCGCTGAACAATTGTGTAAAATCAATCTCGTCTTCCTGATTGCTTCTTCCTTGATTCAACATGCCTGCCGATTCGGAGGCATCTACAGATTTGAATGTTCCATAGTCACCGGACGGGAAAGAATCTTGGTTGGGTTGATACGAAGCGCTTTCAGCGCCACTGTGGAAATCTTGGTCATCGGAAGCGGGATCGTCGAAGTCAACGTAGTCTATACGCAAGTCTTGCTCGTCCGTTTCCCCACCCGTAATGTAGATTTCAAGACCTTCGAAATTGTTTTTGAAATACTTCAGTAACTCCAAATCTCGATAGTCTCTAGTTACCCACTTAAGACGAACGGTAACACCGTTGAAATTTAGAACTCTAAGCAACGGCAAGCCAAACGATATTGCACTTCCTCCAGTGATAATAAGAGCTCTTCTAATATCGGTATTGTAGTGAAGAGGCGAAGCCAAAAGTGCTGGACTTTGATTTTGGAAGGAAAAATTGCGCTCTCCAAGTTTCATGCTTTTGCTTTTCGATAAAAAATCTAGCTTTGGCTCAAAAGGTCCAGTGACTAGATAAGGTGAGTTATTGCGCAGCTGGAACTTTCCAGGGCGCACTATTAGTTTGACATTATTGTCATTAGGAAGGCTGGCAATGGTATAGGGGTGCTGGAGAGGGACAAACTGCTGTAATATTCTTCGTAGCGGAGACTTTTTATGATATGAAGTCATTCTAATATGGGCCGAGGGCATGAGAGGTCTGTTCGAAAGCTCCGGGGCAGGAAAATCAATAAGCATTAGGTTTGGCGATACTTCATTGACGCAAATTACTGCTCGCCTTGTGTGAAATGCTCTGTATGCTATCTGCCCAATTAAAAGCGAACAGTTCATAACTGTATAGTAAGGGATCGATGGCCTTGCATGATAGTGAATCAGAACAACTGTCAGCCATGTGGCTAAGTAGTGAGCGCAGTAGAAAACTTGGAAATTGTACCTGCGTATTTGGGACACAGAGGTAGCAGCAATGAGCACAAACAACAGCATGGCCAAAACCCCCCACATATTTGCTGGTTTGCTCACTTTAGCCAGGAATGCATGATGTTTCCAAAAATATGACGCGTATAGTACAGTATGCAAAAAGGATAGTAAGACCACAATTCTTGAGATCCATTTATGAATTGGAAGGAGCGAGAGGTATAATGTATGCGGCAACGGCGAGGGCCGAAGCGTAAGAAATAGCAATGGGGGCATTAAGGCAACTGCTACCCTTCCAAGTCTTTTCGTAATTTGAATGAGATCACCCTTCGTGCCGGCCAAAGAGCACACACACGAGATGGTAAGCCAGAATACACATATTCGGAACGTCTGGTTGTGTAAGATTCGAGAATTATGCAGCCAGCGAATTTTTCGGAGCACATCGTGTCTCATGTGGTGTCTCAATTTGAAAGCCCAGTTTTTCAATGCCAAATAGTTCCAAAGTGGCAGCAACACGCAAAGTGCCAAGATTGAAATACAAATTGCATAAATTCCGGCTTTCTGCACCAATACACGGCGCATCATTCTGTCACTCGTTTTCGAAAAGCTCGGTAGCGCATGCTTGATCTGTATACCATAATTGTACAGATAATCACCGATACTTTGCATCATTTGCAATGTGCAATGCAAGTCGATGTTTTCAACGCCGTAGATCTGTGATAACTTGGCAAATGATACAGGAACAAAACGAAAATCCTAACAAAAAGACTTTGATAGCAGACAATACATTTGATAGCCGTTGTAAATAACGTTGTTTTAAATGTTGTTCAAAGAGTGGCAGGGAGCGAAGAAGTTGGTAATTGTGTATGTGTATCGCTGATGAGACGAAGTACTCTGAGAGTTTTCTAATAATTGGGTGTAATTGATTTCCAACGAAACGTATAAAGTGATGATCTGTTGGCTTTGTTGGTATTTCAACGGTAGTAAACAATAACAGCCACCGTGGCACGGCCACGATATAGTACGAGGGTGCTCTCACCTAGCCGGGATTTGCTCGTGGAGATAAGAATGGAGATAGAAAGCTGGTGGAAATATCTCAACATGCCCGAGAAAAAAGATGAGAAGGATCGTTCTGTAAAAAACAAAGCGAAACCCGGTGTTGGTCAGAAACGTGTTTTCAAACGCATTAGCATCTTGAGCTTGGGAGATTATTTTGCTTGCTCATTAGTATGTATTTCCCGTCATGTAATTGCCGTGTATTCGAAGCCATTGTTCAATATTTTAATTAAATCTGGGGAAAACAGACTAATTAAAAGCTTGGCATATCACTATGTACTGTACTGTCACGAGCTAACAATCAGATTCAAAAAAGATACGAAAGTAATGTCGACGACGGGTCTATCCAATAACGAATATCTGTCTTTTCACCCTAAAATGTCTTTCTCTACACATGATCTTCCCATTTGAATTGCTACAATTATCTTCCTACAACGAGGCAAACTTACCCTTCAATTGTGTTACATCATTCTAGACAAGCAAATAGCACGCGAATAACTCACAGAATCTAATAACATGCTGCTATTAGTCTCCTCAGCAGTCTACATCTAAGTTCTAAGACGCTACGCTTGCTTCCTGAATTGATATGATCAATGGGCTTTTTGTCATGTTTAGATCAAACATCTTGTGACTGCTTTTCTAACACCCATCCACCATTTGAAAACACCTCTTATAACTTCCATGTTTTCCATTCCTCGTGAATTTTTTCACAAAAAACAATTTGCGAAGAGACAGCTTTCCAGACCACATGACATTACAAGGAGCTTCCGCCTGAATCTCCAAAAGGAGCCCCCGCCTACGGCCCCCCACCCCAGCCCAGCGGTCCCCAGTAGGCCTTCCACGCAGAAGGTTGCGCGCAAACGGACCAAACACACTCAACTTTAACCGCGCAGCCGGGCGTAAACGCAATGTGCACACGTGATGGTCCGCGCGATGGCTGCATGTGTTTCTACATGATGACCAGCAGCCTCAGATGCTGCCTGGGCCTAGGCAGAGGCTCACAAGATCTGGGCTCAGAGACCCGTTTGAGCCAGGCAGCTCACGGCAGCCTACGGTGTGTTCCTCCAGCCTAGCGTCTTTCCATTTCCAGCCTAGCCAGAGCCTAGCCTGAGCCTAGCCTGAGTCTAGCTTGCACCATCCATGAAAAATTATCAACATCACCACTAGGACAAAAATTTTGAAAGATTAACAATTTGACTAACCCTAGTTAGAATAGCGTATTACTTGTTCAATCACAGTTGTATTTGTTACGAAGCCCCGACAGATAGCAAGAGCAAGATAAACAATGTCTTTACCAGCTACTTTTGACTTGACCCCAGAAGACGCCCAATTGTTGTTGGCTGCCAACGTTCACTTGGGTTCCAAGAACGTGCAAGTATGTTGAAACACCGATGTGGAATATAACGGACCATTAAGATGAGAGTGAGCGATTCGATATCGACGACGGAACGACTGTCATAGGGGACCCCAAGCAAGTGATTACGAGGGCTTTCATTTGCAAAAAACAAACAACCACAGAGCTGTTAAACGATGTTTTTGATCTGTGTTGAAACCAAATAAGCCATCATCCAATCACATCCTGCTGCCGTGAGCAATAAAGCTCCCTGCATCGTCCGTTGTAGAGCGCTCATCGACAAGAAAGTCCGCTATTATAACCTTGCCATTTTCGATTTTTTTACTAACCAGCTTTTTTTTCGTAACAGGTTCACCAAGAGGCATACGTCTTCAAGACCAGACCAGACGGTGTCAACGTCATCAACGTCGGTAAGACTTGGGAAAAGATCGTTTTGGCCGCCAGAATCATCGCTGCCATCCCTAACCCAGAGGATGTTGTTGCCATCTCTTCCAGAACTTACGGCCAAAGAGCTGTCCTAAAGTACTCTGCTCACACCGGTGCCACCGCCATCGCTGGTAGATTCACCCCAGGTTCTTTCACCAACTACATCACCCGTTCTTTCAAGGAGCCAAGATTGGTGATTGTCACTGACCCAAGATCCGATGCTCAAGCCATCAAGGAATCTTCCTACGTCAACATCCCAGTCATCGCTTTGACTGACTTGGACTCTCCTTCCGAATACGTCGATGTTGCCATCCCATGTAACAACAAGGGTAAGCACTCCATCGGTTTGATCTGGTACTTGTTGGCCAGAGAGGTTTTGAGACTAAGAGGTTCTTTGGTCGACAGATCTCAACAATGGTCCATCATGCCAGATTTGTACTTCTACAGAGACCCTGAGGAGGTTGAACAGCAAGTTGCTGAGGAAGCCGACCCAGCTGAGGACGAGGAGGCCAAGGAAGAAGTTGCCGCTGAAGAGCAAACCGAAGCCGCCGACTGGGCTGAAGGTAACACCGAGGAAGTTGCTTCCTGGTAAGCACTTCCCTCATAGGGGATACGGGATTTTTCCGCGCAAATAACAACATCAATAAAAACCAATGTTTCCAGTAAAATGAAACCACTTTTAGTAAAGTTTACACAAGGCCCTCAACCACCGCCGATCCGCCTTTGTTCATTAGTAATTTTATCCTTTGTCAAATTATAAATAATAAATTGATGAATCTTGTTTAACATGGTGTGCTGCGTCCAAGCTTGGAGGTCTCTATTCTTAAGTACTACCTGCAAGAAATGAGTTGATGTGTGCGGCGGCGGCGGCGGCGGCATAAAATCCTAGCCTATCGTCTCAGAAAGTGCAATGTTGTTGAACGCTTCTATTCACCGCTTTGTCTATGAGATAGATCCTATTCTCACCATGCTCATCTTAGTCTAAAAGGTTATTAATGTATATGTTTGGGTTTCTGTCATTATTTAGTGTCGTTTTACCAAGAATAAAGAAAAAGCGTTAAAAGATTCAAAAAGACGTATCGATTTTTGCAGAATTATACCACAACAAACGATCCTTATTGAGCGGCAAATAAGTGTAATGTAAGCTTGTTTCTGACTCTACGTTGATGAAAACAAAAAACAGCTGCATGCATCAATTGCATTTTGTCTTGACGTTGACTCACATCAATTAAATAGTTTCTTCGCACTAAATTGAACTGTAAAGGGGAATGTAAACCGAGAGGAATCTACATTAAGCTCTCAAGAACTGCATAGCTTTTAGTTCTGTTATTCCAATGGTGTTTCCAGCGCTAACCTCGACTAAAATGACCAAATCGACATCATCACTTAATTATAGGTCACTGCTAACGAAAATTGGTTTTAAAGTATTTCAATATATCGAAGAGTTCAGATCTAGTCAAGCTATTCTCCTCTTTCAGATCTCAAATAGGTCCAACAGTTTCGAGCTCAAACATGTCCGTACCGAAACAAAGACTTCTACAGGTAGCGAGCTTGTCTGCACGGATCTTCAACGAAAATTTCAATCCCACAGCCGCCCGTAACGGTGGTAAAATTCTGTCCAAAAGACTGAAAGGTGCATCGATCGCAGGCTACTATGGAAATCCAGATTTTCTAAAATTCAAGCATCTAAAGACTTTATACCCGGAATTCAAATTCACAGATGAGCAAGAAGAATATAGACTGTCCATGAATGAAGCCAGGAAGCGTAGAGGAAAGGGCGCCCCCACGAAGAAAAAAGAAGCCAGCAAAGACAAGGGCAAGACGAAAAAGAGGAAGTAAGCACCGCTTATAGCATGCTCACAATTCAAGAAACAATTTTTGAATCCCTGGGTGGGATTCGGCATTAAATCAGTTATCAGGTTGATTATCCCCTCATGTATATAAGATAGAAATCAATAAGTTAAGTTTTGGTAGATTTCGATGCATTCCCCCGCTTGTTGGCAAAGGACATCAATGACACCCATACCTGGCTAGTCTTGGTGGGCACTTCCGGGAGTGTCGAATATAATATGCGGTACATCCTGTGTCTTTTTATGGTCATTGGATAGCCCACCAGTATTTCACGAAATGTCGATACGGAAAAATAGGTTTCGGCCATGGTAGAGAGAAGAACCGCATATGGCCTGAAAATTCTCCTCAAGCTCAGTGGATTGTTTTCTAGCTTGAACTCGGGACCTCCATTGACAGGCTGTAATAAAATGCCACCTGGAATACGCATTGGGTCTTTTATCCTCAGTAGCAATACAAACAGGGGAAAATGGTTCAACAAGGCCATAATAAACTCGAGAACTAGCTCTGGAAGCAAAACTGTCAAACGTAAAATGGTAAACAGAACATAAAAGATCAGAAAAGTGGGCAGCAAAAAGATCAAAATCGTGAAAAAAAGGGTTCCCATCAACAGTTGGTCTAGTTCGAACAAGTTCGAATCAACTCTGTTCCTCAAAACGTTACGCTTCTTGCCGTAAAACAAGTATAAAAGCGTTTGCATAATATGCAGTTGCCAGTGGTACATCTTAGCACTGATGAAGTAAAAAAGGGAAATATGCATGGTGACAAAAGATATCAAATCGACCGCAATTGCAAGTGCAAAAGTAACACCAAAGCAGCAAGAAGCTGTGGAAATGACATTAATGAACATACCGATATTCTTTGCGCTTGTAATTCGCTTGATGTACAGGGAATAGGAAAAGTCAATTGTCCACAAAAAAAGATCGCTCAGAAACTTTGCAAGCTCTCCATTCAACTTGATGCCCAGTGGATTTTGACTTAGAGCTTCTGTTACAAAATGAACTTTTTCGAACAGGTATCTGGTAAAAATGTTATTCAAGAAAACAGCTATCGTGCGTTGATTTTCTGCCAACAATGTACCCACGGACAACCCAAAGGACACGTCGTTAGCTATAAGCCATACTGTGTTGTAAAATCTAATGTAGTCTGGGTAGCTATTGCAAGGGAAGACCTGTACATGCGCGGTATTATGAGGTCTCAGTTTTGTCGTGTGTGAGCTGCCTAGGGATTCGTTGTTGTAAATTCGAAGGAATTGCTCCGGAAAGTAGCATAGCTGGCGGGAGCGCAAGTCAATTTGCTGCGCTGTGGATGAGAAGCTCACCAGTTTCAATGGCGTCATGTTGAGAAAAGCGACCAAGGTGGCGGCTAAGAAATGCGCACAAGCGATCAGGTATATTGCACAATGACGCAGTCTAATGACTGAATTTTGGAAAAGCGCTTTTCGGCTGAAAAGCGACGATTGTGATGTTTCCCGTTCGATGCCACTCTCATTTGCAAGACTTAGGCTGTGCAAATGCTTGCGGTACAAGTTGATGAGATTAATAGATTTTCGAAGTCCACAATTCGACGAATCCGTGCTTTTGCTTTGACCACGCAATGGCCTATGTTTGTTGGATGTGGAATCGATGAGATAGTCCTTTTCGGGTAAAACAAGCGCAATGGGCTCCAAGCTATAAAATTGCATCAAGTTAAGTCTGGGAGGCTTGAATTTTACCAAAAAAACCAGAGCTTTCGGATTGATCTCAAAGTTCAGACCTGAATTAGGTTCCCATGTCCCTATTCTAGAAAACCCGTATTTTTCGCAATTGCCAGAATTCAACAGTGTAGTATATTCCTGTTTCTCAAGAAGTGCTAACACCATCCAACCAGTATCGGACTCTCGCAGAGCTAAGACTATCTTTGACCCATATTTACCTTTTTCCAGTGATTGTGGCCAGAACACGTATTCCATGCAAGCCGGACCCTGGTCTGGATTAGGCTCTCCTGCGATGCATCGCATGCCTACCTCTGTTAAAAGAACTCTAGGTTGAAGGCCAGGACCGTATATAACAATATTTTAATCAATTTAGACAGTCACGTGATAAAGAATATGAGAGTTGTATATGCTGACATTGTTTACAGATAATAATGATAGGCTTAACCTAGTTAGAGGCAGTAATAGTGGCTTTTTATGGAGCTTATTAACCTCTTTTTGATATTTTTTTTTCAAGTATTGGTGTTAATATTTGACATTAAAGCCTTTGTGCCATTTTTCCATCTGCCTCAGATCTGTGGTGTCTTGAACAAGAATCTCACTGGGCTCTCATTTCGATTGAATCGGGGGCCTATAAGGTCGCAAATGTCTACTTAAAAACCTCTTGACACTGTATTATTTTTGAGCAGTACTCTAGCGTCAGTAAAACATCGAATCACGGGATACCGATATTTTATTAGGTTTCTGATGACAGGTACGGGAAAAGTGACATGTTCATGATTCTCCAAAAGGAGCAATGAGAAACGAAGGAGAAACGAAGGAGAAAGCCTCTGAAAGATGTCTGAAAGTCCTGTTTCAGGTGAATTGAGCTAGGAGAGAATCTATCACGAACAATTTAAAGTGGAGTCATTCCCTTTCCACTCGTCTAGACAAAATAAAGCCGAAAAACATCAGATATAAAAGCGATAAAAATAGAAACTTACCCACCCGCCTCAGATCATGAAGACAGCCATATAAATGGGCCAAAAACACCAGGGCTGAATTAAAAAGGCCTTTTCTTGCGTCTTGAAGAATAAATAATCTATCTTGTCTATTTTATCAGGTATCACGTGATGCCAAAGTACTATATATAGAGGATAATCGCTTAATCTATACATCATCAGAAAGCTAACGGTATTGTAAAAACCTACCAGTCACTGCTGACCCAAGTAACATTGCAAGACTCTCCCACTTCTGAGTAGAGGATATCCTAAGGACTGGGCGTTTTAATGCACATAGGGTCTAGACAATGTCGAGACGACACCTGACCCAGAGTAGTTCGTCCAAGGAAGTCTCGGAAACCCAAGATGAGGCTGGGGCCCAACATCCTAAAGTGCCCGTTTTAGTCACAATTGACAGAGCGGAGACAGATCCTGATCTAGAGACACAAGTGGCAAACTCCACGATGCGGAGAAGCTCGGAGACGGATTCTAAAGATTTCGAATTACACCCTGGCGAAATAAGCGATAGCACTTTTGCCAAAAGACCGAACCTCACAGTGGTGACACAACCTGGTGGTAGTTCCTCGTCAAACAGTCGAAGGGCAGCCTCTGGCCAGCTTTCTGCAACCAGCATAAAGTCTCATTTTAAAAATTTGATCTCACCGTCAAAATCACGGGAAAATTCAGATGCATCTATAGACGAACAGCGGAGCACACGCACCGATCAGCGTTCAAACTCCGAAGAACGGAGACAATCTTACGACTCCAGGGCCAACAGTTATGGAATTAGCGACGAAAATCCTTTGACGGGTACTATCATCTCCACAATTGAAGAGGGGGATGTAGATGACTTCAAAGACCTTCAGGATGACTTTACTAATGCCATGGGCAAGGGGAGCTCTACATGGCTCCCGCAAACGAAAAGAGAGTCCTCAAAGTCCGATATTTCAACAATCGACAATGAGTCTCAGCACTCACGAATTGATGAGCAACAAGAGAACACGCCAATAGCGGATGACCTCGAACCGTCTCACCCCGGAGAGAGTAGTTCGCAAGATCTACTGAACACGCCAGGTAAAAAGAGCGCAATCAATTTTTTCAGCCTCAGCCCTCAAAAATCCAAGAAAGTCGCTTTTGAAGAAACAGAGGAGTTTGAGGAACGCGAATCTTCGGAAAGCACTGAAACGGACTCAGGAGCGGAAACTGAGAGTGATAAACCATCAAAAAATCGTCCCTTGGTTCTATGTGGGAATTCCCTAGGTCTTTTCCCGCCTGATCATCGCTTGCGCGTCAAACTTGCCTCGATTGTGACGAACAAGTGGACCTATCGTGCCAACGTTCTCTTGCTGGTGTTCCTTGTCGTGGTCCTTACCGCAGCTTTTCTAGATCGCGCAGACCAGATAACTTATTACTCTAGCACCGTAGGTGGATTGCTATTTGCGTTCAACATATTATACACAATCGACATTCTAGCGCGGATAATTGTTTATGGGTTTTGGGATGATTCGGCGGTGTTTCATGCTCGAGGGGAGGAATACAAGACAATCCTCCAAATTTTTGGAATCGAGTCTTTTGTTCACGATCTGGAGTCCAAATACGGGAAAGAGTTCATTAGAGGCATCATTCCATTCAAAACCAGCTACGATCAACTTGCAGGCAAGTCTGATCGTAAGCAGATCAGGAGCTCTGTGACCTTCGTTGGCTCTATTTCTGACGAAAAAAAAACGGAGGTTCCTCTATATCGTGCGTATGCTAGGAGTAGCTGGAATAGAGTGGAACTGGTCTCAACTATTTCCTTTTGGATATCCTTATTTTTATCGATTGGGAATTATGACGAGAAACACGGCATACGCATATTCAAGGCTCTTGCGGCGCTAAGAATTCTGAAGCTTGCCAAGGAAGAAGGAAGTCAAACAAGAATTTTAAACAGTCTGAAATTTGGGCTACCACAGTTGATCAATGTGTGCTTTATGCTCTTATATTTCTGGACACTTTTTGGAATCCTGGGGGTACAAAGTTTCCAGGGGTCGCTGAGAAGAACCTGTGTTTGGACCAACCCCGATGACCCTTCAGAGAGTTATACTAATAGCATGCAGTTCTGTGGCGGGTATTTGGAGGCTGTCACAAAAAGAAAAATGCCTTATGTTTTTTCCGATCTCCGAGGCGGCCCTGTTTCAAAAGGATATCTATGCCCCCAACACTCGAAGTGTGTTTCTGCCGAAAATCCTTATAATGGCCGAGTCAGCTTTGATAATATTTTGAGCTCTATGGAACTAGTTTTTGTTACCATCAGTGCAAACACATTCACCGATATCATGTATGACACCATGGATTCTGACAGTATGGCCTCCTCTCTTTTTTTCATTTCCTGTATCTTCTTTTTGAACATTTGGATGATAAATCTGATGATTGCAGTTCTGGTCTCTTCGTTTGAAAAAGCGAATGAGTTAGCCAGAAGAAGTGGATCGAAAGATACATCATCTCGTCTAAAACGCAGGGGGAAGGCAATCTGGACTTACATTGGGAAAAAAGCTAGCTCGAGAAAGCTACCAGCTTGGAGCTCGAACTGCATAAAATGGTACAAGAAGTTCGAGTTCATTTTTGTCATAGCCATAAGTGCCGATCTTATAGCACAAGCAACTCTGAGCTCAGATAGCAGTGATCAGCAATTGGAGACCATATTTAAATTTGATCGGGCCGTGAACTATGTGTTGTTGACCGAGTCACTGATCAGAGTGATTTGTTATCTCCCCAATCTTTGGAAACTTCTAAGGAAGCTTTCCTATATGTTTGATATTTCAACCTGCATCGTATCGGTAGCTATAACTGTCCCCGCTAATAGGATCGCTCTGGGACAGGCCTATTACTGGTTGAACATTTTCCAGATACTGCGCTTTTACCGTGTCATAAGAATTATTGAGGTGACTAGAAATCTTTGGAAGCAAGTGTTAGGAAATGCGTTACTGATACGAAAGCTGTCCGGATTTTACTTTTTTTTCCTCTTCTTGGTTTCGGTCATTATGTCAGTCTACTTTACAGGGATGGTACCCGACTCCGAAATGGGCGAGATGCCATTCGCTTTCTACAACATGACGAACTCATTTTTAACACTATTCATCATAGGCTCGACAGAAAATTGGACAGATTCCTTATATGCTGTCCAACAGTATGCACCAAATTACTCCTCGCAATTCTTCGGCTCCGTTCTCCTGATAGTGTGGTTTTTCCTGTCGAACTTTGTTATGCTGAATATCTTCGTTGCGATTATAGCAGAAAGTTTAGATGTCCCTGAAGATAAGAAAAGGTCGTTACAGATCAGGCATTACTTACAGCATGTCTATCCCGAAAAGATCAAGGAGTACACGAGCGCTACCCTCGCCCGACGAATCAAACTGAAGCTTGTCAAGCACTCGGGGAATGAAGATTCCAGAGATTTCAGACAATTTCTTTTCAGAGGAACAGCAATAGTGGGTATTGCGCAGCAATACGACATTATGGATCTAAAGGGTGAAACGAAGAAAGAAAAGTATGGGGCGTTTTTCCGTCTGCCACTTCAACTGTTAGACAAAATGAAAAAACTGCCTTTTGTCAAGCCCTTCATCGATAATCCTTTTCGAAAGAAACCAGAAGTTGTGTATCTAGAATCTACCGATTCGGAGGGCTTGAATAAAAAATACACACTGAAGCTGAATGAATTTGAAGAGGAAAAGCTGCATTATATGAAAGAGCATCCATTTTACAACAATGCTTATTTTATTTTCCCTCCAAACCATATTTTTCGTCAATTTTGTCAGAGTCTTACTCCTCCGTCGGTAGGCAAGAGGACAGATGGTTTTCGTTTCTACGAGGACAACACCAATGCTTACGAAAGGCACTACAGCCTCAGACATTTCAAGCGGGACGTTTTCGTTGGTTTCATCTCGATTACAACAGTCTTGATGGTTATCTATTCATGCTTCATTACTCCTCTCTATCGCATGAAACACTCTACAGTCAGAGTATGGTCAAGATACTTCGATGCTACTTTTGTCGTTATTTTCTCTTTAGAGTTCGTCATCAAAACTGTCGCAGATGGCCTGTCACACACTCCCAATGCATATTTGCGCAATCCTTGGAACTGCATTGATGTTACAGTCTTGATTTCAATCTGGATAAACTTTGTTGCAAACTTGAAAGACGATGATGATTTGTCCCGCGTATTCAAAGGTCTCACAGCTCTGAGAGCTTTGAGATGTCTCACAATTAGTAGGACAGCTAGATTGACATTCAATCAGGTTCTTTTTGATGGTATCGGAAAAATTATTGGTGCCGCAACTGTTTCTCTTACGGTTCTTTTCCCCTTCTCAGTTTGGGGTCTAGGAATTTTCAGAGGGCGTCTCGGCACTTGCAATGATGGTGTCGACCTACCAAAGTGCTATAATGAATTTTCTAACGAGATATTCGATTGGAATGTTCTTATGCCCAGAGTTTACTCAGAACCTTACCTTTACATGAACTCGATTTCCAGCGCGTTTCGAACGCTGTATGAGATTGTTTCCCTGGAAGGCTGGGTTGATATTTTGACAAACAGTATGGCGAGCACAGGGCTAGGTACTGTTCCGCAAAACTTTTCGACGGCCGTAAATGGGCTTTTCTTTGTACTTTTCAATTTTTTGAGCATGGTTTTTATCCTGACACTCTTTGTGTCCTTCATCATTCGTAACCATGCTCGAACAACTGGAAGCGCCTTCTTGACCGTTGAAGAAAAATCTTGGCTTGAAGTGAAACGTTTACTCTCACAAGCCAGACCCGAACCCAGTCCCGAAGTCATGACCATGAGTCCCATTAGGTTGTTGATATATCGTCTAGCGGTTGAAAAGGCATTTTTTTGGTATGCCCTTTTTCTCCAGTTAGTGCTGTATGTTCATATCCTGACCTTACTTCTGTTCACATATGAGGAGAATTACTCTCTGCAAAAATATCAAAATGCAGTTTTCATGGTGTCCACTTCAATATTTTTGATTCATGAGGTTTTCTATGTCATTGGCAAAGGAACAAGATTATGGTTTGCAAGAAAATGGGATGTTTTCAAGTTTTTCGTGGTGATTTCATCCTTCGGTCTTAATATCGCTAGACTCTCAACGGATGGGGGCATTCTGGGGTTTGACAACGTCCGGAATCTCTTTCAGCTTGTGATCTTTTTGTTTGTAATCCCGCAAAACGACGTTTTGAGCGAACTGATCAGCACCGCTATGGCCAGTATGCCTTCGATTTTGTCTCTGACCTACACCTGGGGAATTTTGTTCCTGGTGTACGCTATTGCACTGAATCAAATTTTTGGGCTGACGAAATTGGGTCCTAACACCACAGGGAATCTGAATTTCAGAACTGTGGTCAAAACGCTAATTGTTCTATTTCGCTGCAGTTTCGGCGAAGGATGGAATTATATCATGGACGACATAACCGTGACGTCACCCTTCTGTTACGTCGACGATACTACAGGCCATTCCGACTGCGGTTCGAAGCCTTACGCATACGTTTTACTGATGTCTTGGAACGTGCTGTCCATGTACATTTTCCTTAACATGTTCGTATCACTTGTTTTGGAGAATTTCAGCTACCTGTACCACTCTGGTTCGGGAAGCAAAGCTGTAGCCAGCAGAGATGAAATCCGGAGATTCAAAAACGCGTGGAAGAAATTTGATCCTGACGGAATTGGAGAAATCGAGCACAGCCAGTTGCCACGACTAATGCATTCCTTTGAAGGACGGCTCTCGTTCAAAATATGGGAAGGTAGGCTGTCGGTTAAGAGCTTGGTAGCAAATTACATGACAGTCAATCCTATGGACCCCTACGACGTACAGGTCGATTTAAAAGGTTTGAATGAGGAACTGCAGAGTATTGACCATCTAAAGATAATGGAGAGGAAACAGCAATATCGCAGGTTTGTGCAAGAGGCATATTACACCAGCGCTTTCAGTAACGGCATCACTTTCAGCAAAATCATACAGCAGATTCCGCTGTATACTGCGTATTCACCGCAAGAATGCCTTGGCATCGATGAGTACGTGAAGAGACTGTATGTGATGGGCAAAGTCGACAAGTTTTTGGACAACGAAAGAAACGTAGAGGTATTGAAAATGGTGGTGACAAGATGGAAGTTTCTAACAGAGCGTCCTGATTTTCAAGCCGCGGTCTCGCATAGACGCAAACCGAATCCTTTGCGCAACCTGTCGGCGATGGACTTGGATGCTCCTGCTACGCCAAATTTGGACGTGAGTTTTAACAATTTTAGCTGGTCGCCCAGACAGGCGAGTCGAAACCGTTCTGGCAGTTTTGACCAGCGCTGGGGACACTTTGACTAGAGGAGGGCATAACCAAGAATACAAAAGAACATTCAGAAAATGTGAAAGATAGAGAATAAGAGAACGAAAAATGAAATTTCAAGATACCAGATGAGCGACCAGAAACTGATAAACGCCAAATCTCTGTTATCGTGATTATCATTGAGGCTAAAACCATGCCAACGTAACGTTTACGTTGACGTTTACGTTGACGTTGACGTTGACGCTGACGCTGACACCACTCCAGATTCTTCGTTAGTAGCAATGGGGCTCGTCGTACAGAGTGATAGAAACGCATGTCTAAGAACACATCGATTAAAAGAATATCAACACAGGGACCGGTAACGAAACCAACAGTTAGTAATTTTTTTGTTTAATCTTGACTAATTAAAGGTGTCATCCCAAGCTGCCGTTTTCATCTGTGTTATTTTTAATGTTGGTTCTAGAAATAGTAAGCTCAACGGATTTTCACTTATTAGCGCTGTTTTAGTAATTAATGTCACCTGGCCCACAATTATGACTTACACGTGACCAGTGATTAGGGTTCAATTCCTTGCGTGTTCAAAATTTTTTATAAAATCTCCTGAACATACTTTATTCTACAAACCAGCTAACTTCTCAGGCCTTAACGGATTTCAGTCTACAAAATCGTCAATTGGCGCTTTCGACAACTCCAAGTCACTATCACAGCGATTTCACACTTTGTTTTAAAGCATTGCTGTTTTCTTAGATTTCGTTCATAGGTTTCACCATTACTGTCTTGTCTCTGACTTTAAATAAGCTAAACCTTACCTTCCGCCTTGTCATTACAACAAGCAGCTGGAGAGAACAAGACGTGGCAAGAATCACCAAATAAGTTATCATAAAAAGCTATCTTGGGTTGAGAAAATGGAGTCGATATTGGACTTTTCAAGAGATCTGGATATCAATGCCTTGGACCAGGTCGTGGACACCTTGTACAAGGGCTCCGGGGCGCAACAGAAACAAGCGCAAGAAGTTTTGACGAAACTGAAAGACCATCCGGACTCTTGGCAGAGAGCAGACCAGATATTGCAGTTTTCGCAGAATCCACAAACCAAGTTCATCGGACTGTCAATTCTGGATAAACTGATCACCACGAAATGGAAAATGCTTCCACCGGAGCATCGGATCGGAATCCGTAACTTCATAGTCGGGATGATCATCTCGCTGTGTCAGGACGATGCAGTGTTCCAGACGCAAAAAAATTTGATCAACAAGTCGGATCTCACGCTGGTGCAGATCTTGAAACAAGAGTGGCCACAAAACTGGCCGGATTTCATCCCAGAGCTAGTTCAAAGCGCTCAATCCTCGGTAAACGTGTGCGAAAACAACATGGTTATTCTCAAACTGCTGTCAGAAGAGGTTTTTGATTTTTCAGCAGAGCAAATGACCCAGGCCAAAGCCCTGCATCTCAAGACGTCCATGTCAAAAGAGTTTGAACAAATTTTCAAGCTATGCTACCAAGTAATGGACGCTGGGTCCACCACCTCGCTCGTGGTTGCTGCATTGGAGTCATTGCTAAGATACTTGCATTGGATCCCTTACCATTACATTTACAATTCCAACCTTTTGGAGTTGCTTAGCACCAAATTTTTGATGTCATCGGACACAAGAGCAGTTACTATCAAATGTTTGACCGAAGTCTCCAATTTGGAAATACCACAAAACGATACCAAAATAGCGGAGCAAACCGTACTTTTCTTTCAAAACACATTGCAGCAAGTTGCGGAAAACGTCATGCCTGTCACTGCAGATCTAAAAGCGACATACGCCACCGCGAATAGCAGAGATCAATCTTTCCTACAAGATTTTGCGATGCTTCTCACAACTTTCTTGGCACGCCATCGCTCGCTTTTGGACAGCGACGAACGGTTGAGGGAGCTTCTCTTAACTGCTCACCAGTATTTGATACAGCTGTCTAAAATTGATGAAAGAGAGCTTTTTAAAACTACCCTTGACTATTGGCATCATTTGGTGGCGAGTCTGTTCCAAGAAGTTCAAAGACTCCCTGTTGCCGAGCTTAATCCACTGCTGCAACTATCTGTCGGATCTCAGGCTATCAGCTCGTCGGGAGGCGCGCCAAATCCGGAATTTTTAAAGCGATTCCCGCTCAAAAAACACATCTACGATGGTATCTGCTCTCAGCTTAGATGGGTTGTTATAGAATCTATGGTAAGACCAGAGGAAGTTCTTGTAGTGGAAAATGATGAGGGTGAGATTGTCAGAGAATTTGTGAAAGAATCTGACACCATTCAACTATACAAATCAGAAAGAGAGGTTCTGGTTTATCTAACGCATTTGGATGTTGTCGACACTGAAGATATCATGATCAACAAGTTGGCAAGACAAATCGATGGCTCGGAATGGTCGTGGCACAACATTAATACTCTGTGCTGGGCTATTGGTTCAATTTCAGGTACAATGGGTGAGGAAACGGAGAAAAGATTCGTTGTCACTGTCATCAAAGACTTATTGGCCTTAACGGAAAAGAAGCGGGGCAAGGACAACAAGGCAGTGGTGGCTTCTAATATCATGTACGTTGTTGGTCAATATCCACGCTTTTTGAAAGCACATTGGAAATTTTTGAAAACAGTCATCATCAAGCTATTCGAGTTCATGCACGAAACTCACGAGGGTGTTCAGGACATGGCTTGTGATACATTCATTAAGATTGTCCGAAAGTGTAAGCACCATTTCGTCGTTCAACAACCAAATGAACCCGAACCTTTCATTCAAACCATTATTAGGCAGATCCAAAGCACTACCGCAGACCTGCAGCCTCAACAGGTTCACACCTTTTATAAAGCATGTGGTGTGATTATTTCGGACGAAAGAAATGCAGGTGAAAGAGAACGCTTACTTGGCGATCTCATGCAGTTGCCCAATATGGCGTGGGATGCTATAGTAGAACAGTCGTCTGCCAACCCAGATTTATTGCTTGATAGTGAAACTGTCAAAATCATTGCCAATATCCTCAAAACTAATGTGGCGGTCTGTTCGACAATGGGCGCAGAGTTTCATCCACAGCTGGGTCATATCTATTACAACATGCTTCAGCTTTATAGAGCCGTTTCTTCCATGATATCGGCACAGGTTTCTGCTGAAGGACTTATTGCGACGAAGACTCCAAAAGTTCGTGGCTTAAGAACGATCAAAAAGGAAGTGCTCAAGCTTGTTGAATTCTACATCTCTCATGCTAAAAACCTCGACGAGGTCGTGAAAGTACTTGTTGAGCCGTTGTTAAATGCAGTTCTGGAAGATTACATGAACAATGTTCCGGACGCCCGAGACGCAGAAGTCTTGAACTGTATGACAACAGTCGTTCATAAAGTCGGGCATATGATGCCAAGTGGTGTCATTTTGATTCTACAAAGTGTGTTTGAATGCACTTTGGATATGATCAATAAAGACTTTACGGAGTATCCCGAGCATCGGGTCGAATTCTACAGACTTTTGAAAGAGATCAACAGTAAATCATTCAATGCTCTACTGGAACTACCATCAGCTGCATTCAAGTTGTTTGTCGATGCAATCTGCTGGGCATTTAAGCATAACAATCGGGAAGTGGAAGTAAACGGTTTGCAGCTTGCACTCGATTTAATCAAGAATATCGAAGGCCTGGGTTCCACACCATTCGCAAACGCTTTTTACGAGAACTTTTACTGTACATTCATCAGCGAAACCTTTTACGTTCTTACAGATTCCGACCATAAGTCTGGATTTTCAAAGCAATCCCTACTTCTCATGAGACTAATATCTCTTGTCGAAGAATCAAAGATCGGAGTTCCGTTATATCAACCTGGCGAAGTTCCCGAAGGTGCAAACAATCAATTGTATCTTGCCAATTACATGGCAAACATGCTGAGCAGCGCTTTCCCTCATCTCAGCCAAGAGCAGGTGACCGGGTTCATAAGCGCATTGATTAAGCAGTATCAGGATCCATCGAAATTTGCAGCAACTCTCAGAGACTTCTTGGTACAGATTAAGGAATTTGGTGGTGACGCAACTGACTATTTGTTCGCTGAGGATAAAGAGCTGGCCTTAGAAGAGAAAATTAGAGTAGAAAAGCAAAGAGCAGCGGCAGTCGGCGGTTTGTTGAAGCCATCTGAGCTCGAAGATTAATAAACAGAAGGAATGGGTCCTTAGAGGATAAGTTGTTAATGAATAGGTATTACAGTTTAACTTTTTAAGACTCTGGGGATATTGTGATAAGCGGTTACACCACCGCTCCATGATAAGCGGTTACACCGCCGCTCCATGATAAGCGTTGTAGACATACGAAGGCGAGTTTAAAGCTCACATAGGAACAAATAAAAAAACAATGCTATACTTATTTACATGACTACTGAAATCATTAGACGTCGAATTTTGGTGCTTTTTTAATAGCGTCCTGAATTCTAACGAATGATCCAGTGGGTCCCGCTACTGAACCCTTTACTATGACAACACAATTCTCATCGTCCACCTTCAAAATTTGTGAATTTTGTATTGTCACTTGCTGAACACCCATATGACCAGGCATTTTCTTTCCAGGAAGGACACGACCAGGCGTTTGATTTTGACCATAAGAACCACCTTTTCTATGCGATATGGAAACACCATGAGAAGCTTTGAGACCTTTGAAATTGTGACGCTTCATGACACCGGCAAAACCTTTACCTTTGCTAATAGATCTGAGATCCACATATTGTCCAGTCTGAAAAAACGACGGCTTTATCATGGTTCCAGGCGGTAGAAGGCCAGATTCATTTTTCACTTGGAATTCTGTCAATGTTTCCTTAGGATTTACGATTTTGGATGCAAAATGTCCCAGCATTTGTCTCGATACCTTTTCGGGGTGTTTGTTTCCGAATCCCACTTGGCAAGCAAAATATCCATTTTTCTCAACCGTTCTATTCATGACGACTTCAACGTTATTGAGTTCCAATACAGTGGCCGCAACTCTTTTCCCGCTGGTTTCGTCAAAAATCGGGATCATTCCTCTTTTAACACCAAGTGCACCACATCTATTAGGAAGCCTCCGTCTCAACTGCGCTTGTTCCGGACAATGGTTGATGATTGGTGCTTTACTTGAAATTGTAGACACCACCGATGGTGCTGTTAAAGAGGCTCTCGAAGAGGCAGATCTGGCTTGAAACTTCCAGAGATTGGCTATCAGGCGACTCATGGTAGAAGCACGACAAACGCAGGAGTTTCGTTATGAGAATGCCGGAAACTCAGATGTTTGTTCCAGTTTTTTAGAGATGACTTTGGATCCTTGGTGATTATCGATATGAAATAAAACCCAAAATTTTCTTTAATTGAAGAAGTCGTCCAAAATGACTGTTAAATCCAATTTAAATTGGATCTATCTCTAAGACTAGTCACATGATGTAATTACATAAACAAGTCTCGTGACCGGCGAAAATCACGTAGATATACTGGTCACATGCCAAGAATAGCGAACTTGGGATATCAAAGCCGAAGAACAAAAGATAGCCAAAACGGTTTGAATCTAGTGACCCAATCTTCGATGGTTTGAGCTTTCGTGGATTTGAGGTATGAGTTTCTCGCTCGGATGAGACATGTAGAATTCAAGTAACCTTCGTTTCCCTATCTCTCTATATACAGTTATAATTCATGCGAAATAAGACTACTTGATCTTCTTGTCCTTCAAGACGATCTTCTCGTCGTTAACGTAGATGCCCTTACCCTTGTAAGGCTCAGGAGGATGGAACTTTCTCAGATTTGCCGCGAAAAGATAAACCTGTTGCTTATTACAGCCTTCTATGATTAGCGAGGTAGGCGTTGGTGACGTGACGCTGATACCCTCGGGCACCGGAAGGCCTTGCATAATGGAAGCCCCGACCTTTACACTGACAAATTTGCCCTCCTGTTGCAATTGCGCACGGTAACCTGTCCCCACGAATTTTAGCACTGCCATATGGCCCTCGTTCACGCCCACCACATGGTTATTCAAATGGCTTCTCACGGTGCCCCACAGTGCTTTTTGCATCTTGTCCGTTTCGTTTTGCACTGAAACCGAGATTTTGCCGTTCTCAACGTCTTCTTTAATCTTGACGAATTCGGGCACCTGCATCGAGAGCTTCCCTTTGGGGCCTGTTACTGACAGAATCTGCGAAAGCGTCAACGACTTATTACCCTTTCTGATGACATTGGGTGGTCTAAGTTCGGACAACTCGAATTTTGTATCTCGTGTGGTGAATACAGGAAGAGATCCGATGTGTGAATGTGTGATTTTAGAAACGCTGAATTGTCGCTTAAAATTCAGCGAAACAAGCTGAAACCTGATACTAGCTTGCATACTTCGTTTCCAAAACCAAATTGATGGAAAAGAGTGATACGAAAGGTCTCAAGTTGGTAATTGTTGATGGCTTTCGATGTTCTCTCTCCGCTAGTTTTCACATCATCTTGAATCTTCAACCTATGGAAATTTTTGAATTGCAATATCACTATGTACGTCGGCGTCATCAGTAAAGAAATTAGACAAAACAGTGTGGAAGTCACAAAACATTGCAGTCTGCTTAGTGCCGATAGCCTTCAGTTATGCGTCATATGTGCTCTACGTTCTATTGAATCGAAGATGAGGTTTTTTTCGCTCAATTTTTCCTTTGATGAGTGTGGCGTTGAAGGTGGTGATGTTAAATTCACACCTCAGGAATAACTCACCAAGTCTCTAGAGCCAGAAATTAGTGATGAAGATGAGGAAACCGACCTAACAATGAGTATGAAACCGCTTTCTTAACAAATGTATAGCTGAAGTCACAGATCACTAAATACGAAATAATTAAACATTTGGTCAACTGGAGAACCTTACAACGACAAAAAGCATATCAAAACAATCCTCACCAGTCTCTCTTATGAGCTTTATGCTACATCAAATTCCAGCCGGAATGAAGCGGAATCAAAATTTCTTTAATCTTCCCTCCCGTTAATTTCACGTGATTTGTTACTTCAAGTATGGAAGCGAGACTTTCATAAACCGCATTCAGGCCTAGCTTCTAACGTGGTTTTTTATCATGTTGTATTGAACCTTTGCAACTGGCAAATGTTCTTTACCATCTCTGTTTCTGGCAGCGTCATCTATCCATTTATCTACTCGGTTTTGACAGACGACTCGATAATGCCAATTAATTTACCAGACAGAATGAGAATTTTTATTAACTACAACACTAACTAAACTCATCTCATCTCATCTCATCTCATCTCATCTCATCGCCAAAGACAACCGACAAGCTCAGAACAAGGTTTCGTCACCAGGACACATACGAGGACGATTCGCAACATAACTACAAGATGGTCCGTAAACTAAAACATCATGAGCAAAAGCTTTTAAAGAAGGTGGATTTTCTGGACTGGAAACAGGACCAGGGTCATAGAGATACTCAGGTTATGCGAACATACCACATCCAGAATAGGGAAGACTACCATAAATATAACAGATTATGTGGTGATGTGCGTCATATTTCACACAAGCTTTCTCTTCTTCCGCCTACAGACCCCTATAGAACCAAGCACGAACAGCTGCTGCTTGAAAAACTATACGCTATGGGAATTCTAACGACAAAATCCAAAATTTCAGATCTAGAAAACAAAGTCACCGTTAGTGCTATTTGCAGGAGGCGGCTGCCCGTTATCATGCACAGACTTAAAATGGCAGAAACCATCTCAGACGCCGTTAAATTTGTTGAACAAGGCCATGTCAGAGTTGGCCCAAATCTCATCACAGATCCTGCGTTCTTAGTCACAAGGAACCTGGAAGACTACGTTACTTGGGTGGACAGTTCAAAAATTAAGAAAACAATTCTCAGGTATAGAAACCAAATTGATGATTTCGATTTTGCATAGAAAACGACAAGGCTATCGTCCTGTTCCTGTTACCAACAATATTAATATATCTGAGTACCGATTTAATTCCATGCTTTAATGCTGCTATATATACACTATATGAAGAAGGTTCGCCGATTGTACAAACTTTTAAAGCCTACTTTCTATAAGAAGAAACTCCTATCTTCCCGATTCCAGGATTATCCGTGTGTTTTGTCCTCTCAATGGTCACCCTAATTCACGTTATAGTTATCAGAATAGCCCAACTGTTTTCTTAGCTCATCATTTGATCCGTTATGAGGAAGAATTCCACCTATACGAGGACGTGGAAGCGCATCATGATCATCCAGGATGCCACTTACTCTTTGATGAGCCAATTGCGAATGGTACTCCTGTAAGGTATGCTGCGACGTCATGCTGTTGTTTCGAGAGTTTGCACTGCTTATATTTCTGAAAGATCCCGCAGGCTTGTGTAGTTTTGGAAACGACAATTCGTCGGGATTTGTCATGACCACGCTCTGCCTCAAGTGATGAGGCAAAACTTGGCTTCTGGCGTTCTCTTGTTGACCGGGCGACGACGGCGCATGGTTGACTCCCGAGGTCTGATTGTAAAAGAGCTCTGGGTGGTCAATTGGGTTCAGAGTCGTGCCGTTATAACTAGAGGGCTGTAATTGCAGATTCGATTTTCCGGTCTTCCTGTAAGATGTGAGAGATGCTGTGGACGAGGAGAACGGAAGATTCGAAGGGTTGGGTAGCTCTTGAATATTTTCTAGAACTTGAGGATGATAGTATTGCTGTAGCCCGGGTCCCATTTGTGGATAGGATTGGGGTGGACCCGAAGCACCATGGTAAGACTGGTAATCGTGATTTTGATACTCATTTTGATCAAAGTACTGGTTCTGTGGGTAGTGCTGCTGTTCATTATAGTATTGTGATTGAGCAGACTGCGGCGGAACCGTAGGTAATTCCGAATATATGGATGAGACAGCCCTTCTGCCAGCCGCCCCTTCGTCATCTACCTGTGGCAGTTGCAAAGCAACTTGCTCATTCTTGAGGCTTCTGCCAGCTTCTGGATGTTGAAATTCTGAGCTGCTTTGCAAACCTGTGGCTTGGTTAATAGTATCCTTAGCCTCGTTCGGAAGCGATTCAGATGCAACGAAACCATTACCATAATGCTCTGTGTCACCTGAATCATCCACTGTGACAGGCTGAACTGTCCTCAAAGTTCCATTGCGATCCAAATAAACTTCGTATATGCTTTTCATTCTTTTGATGTTCTCCTCTTCTTTGCTAGTTAAAAACACCTCTTCATTTTCGTCGTTCTCAAAATTGTTGATGTTTTCTCGATTGCGACTGTCAGGGTCGGCATTGCCAGAATTCTCCGACGTCTCGCTTTCTCTCCCGCTTTTCTCCGGATCCAGTCCAATTGGATTAGCCACGTAACCGAGTTTGACATCAACTGGTGCTCTCTTTATCGGGCTATCTTCTAGATCTGAAGTAGAATCCTCGATCTCACTTGTCTGCGTTATTTGATCCGCCTTCTTCGGGGCATAATTGGAAGCAGACTCCACAGACAACATATTACTGCTGGTGAATGACTGACTGCGACCGTTTTGAACTAAAATTTGGGGTCTCTGGAAAGCGCCATCAGATTGAACTAACGATGCTTCACTAACATTGCGCGACGCGAGTCTATAGGCATCCATCTCATGGTTGTTAACGGAACGAGCAAACGATCTGAGTTCATCTGCGTCATCGCCATGCGGCAACTGGAAGGGATTTAGCGGGAAGGCAGCATTAGTTGGAGTGTACGGATTCGACGGGGCTGCCCGGTTCTGGCTTTTAAGTTCTAGTTCGTCGAAATTGCTATCCGAAAACGTTCCTGGCTCACTGCGCTCCCCGAATTTTGCTAGGTGGTCACCAGGCGGGAGATAATCACCATCGCCATCAAAATCTGGATCATTATCTTCAATTGCCTCTTTCTTTCCGCGTTTCCAAACCTTGTAGAAAACGAATGCTAGAATCAAGCACACAACAAACACGGGCACGACAACAGCGATAGCCACCGCATACGATTGAGAATCATCAGAAGGTTTATGGCAATCAGAGCCATGGCATTTTGATGAAGAGGAGCTCGACGACGAGCTCGACGATGAGCTCTTGGAGTCGGAAGTGGAATCCGCTCTAGGAAGCAAACGCGAGGCGCTAACACTATTCACTAGCGCACTCATCACGGTCTTCTGGTCTTGTTGGTATTATGGCTAAAGCCAAGTTTTTTTGTCGCTATTCTGTTTTTATTCAACACTTCCTCCGCTCAGGATCAGGCACGAAATAAGAACGGTGGGACGCCAGAAAACCATTAGCTTCAAACCTTTTATTTTTGATATTTTTTTTCCCGTTACATTAGCTACAAACGGCAATATCGCACGAACGGTAGCTCGCGAACTTGGTTAACTCGGATGCACTTCGCAGGCTTTTTAGCGGAAAGAAGACAAAACGCGAAAATTGGTTTCCTACTGGAGTAAATATGAACGTGACTTGTAAACAAACAGTTCACCGTGGACCATTGTCGATGGTCAATGCGTTATTTGGGACGGTAATGATCGATGCGGTTTTTGGGCAAAGTTGCAAAGTACTTCCTGCGGTAAATGCTGCTAAAACGAGCGGACTTTACTCGAGGTTGTGTTGCGCTTTTGCCAAAAGGCCATCAGATCGAAAGGCATATCACCATCACGACCTGTGAAATTTCAAAAACGACAGCTGGAAAAACCAAATCGGTTCTTTTGCTTCACACTGTAGTCTGCTGGCGCTTATATGGGGAAGTTTAAACAGTGAATGAGAATAAAAAAGAGTTGAAATAAGGGTTTGTTTCGACTAAAATGTCGGGTCTACATGCGAAAATACTCCAAAAAAGTGTTTCTTGCCGATGGGCTCATCGCGCTAAGTCTTGGAGATGAAGATGGGAGCTTTGCTCTTTCAACAAGAAAAAAAAATGTTTCCAAAAAATGATCAGTACTGGACCCCGCACCTGGCGAAGACAACACCCGGATGGTTCTGGTAAAAGGCAAGAACCATGTTCGATATAGGTTAGCGACCGTACCAGAGGTACAAAGTCACCAGTCTGATGTTGATCTTGCCGTTTTAAAAGTGCGAGACAGACCTTGGTTTTTTTAAGAAGGAATACGTACGAGGTACAAAAGTACGTTCCGGGAAAATTTCTGCTCTTTTTATATAAAAATATTTTGGAGTCCGGGTAACGAAAGGTCTTAATAAATTAGAGATCAATAACTTATTTCATTAATAGACCGAACTCACCGAAGAAGAGCTTGCTTGAAGAGGTGGAAGAGAGGCCTGAGGATATCTTAGAGTCTTGACAATGGGCGTGGGAAAATCTGTGAGAAATGTTTTGGGACAGTTGAAAAACAGCGGGAATTTGATTGGCTCATTTCCCTCGGAGTCGAACGGGCTCAGGAACGCCGCGCGACCTGCTGCCGCGGAATATATGGTGACAGAAAACTATCACAGACCGCATCTTTTAGAGTTCCGGTCGTACAATCCAACTTTGACCAGGTCAGACTTTATAGGGCTTCTTCCGCAGAGCAAATTCCGGGTCGCTGGCAAAACAGATGAAAGTGATGTCAATTTTGACGTTCTGAAAGTACGAGACCCCAAGTATTTTCAATTCAAAGACAAATACCAGCTCATTTTCCCAGATCAGAAAAACATGAAGAAGTTTGCGCGGAGTGTAGCGTACAGTCGGATAGAGGGAGCCAGAGCAGAATTCACACCCAGTACTCTACGGCATCCTGAGCTGCGATGCGCTAAATATGTTCGCAACCTGGAAGCTGCTTTTGAGTCTGGCAGCCGGTATTTCGAACTTTTGAAGACAGCAAAGGACCCCGTGCATAAATTGGAATCATCCTTAGAGACCCTGCGACAAACAGCGGCTCCATTGGAGGCCAAATCGCTGCTGGTGTGGAATTTCCCAGCGGACATGCCGCCTTACAAGGTCATGGATCGGTTTTGGCTTTACGATATCAAGCACTGCTTCAAACTATATTGGGACGTAGCAACAGGAAGGACTCTGACCTTCATGGCTTTCAATTCCGAGGAAGACTGCGTCAGCTTCAGTCGTAACTTCCATGGCGTTTTTTTTCGTGACACTGACGACTGTAGGCTTTTAGTCGAAGCGCTCACCTGATTAAGAGCATACTTTATGATTCTCGAAAGGACGCTAATACAAAAAAATCATCAACAAAACGACTATATGCATATGTGCACCGTGCGTTACAATTTTCTCCAGCTCTCTCTGACAATTTCCCACTCTTTCTTATGCGGCGTAGCTGGCGAAGTTTGCAAGGTATCGTTTACGGTGAAAGACCTTGGCTCCTTCTCCAGGAGCACGTACTTTTCCCAAATACCACTGTCCTTCCATACCAGCACCAAAGAGTCCTCGTCACCGTCATGACACCAACCTACTTTACATCGATCATTGTAGAAATCCTGATCATTCATTGTACCCTTTCCCTTCAGTGCGGAGTGCAAGTGTAAGGAGCACATTGCCCAAACAGACACAAGATATTTTGGTTTCCAAAGAAGCGGCAAGTCTTTGAGAACGTGAGTTTTATTTTTCGTTTCACTATCATCATCCGTTATTTGGAAAACGTGCAGCGTCTGTTTATCGCTGATAACTGCGAGTCGTGAGCCTCGAGAGCTCCATGCCATTTCGTAAAGATCTGCGCGGTTGAGACCTCTTCTGAACTCCCTTATCAGTGAGCCGTTCTGAGTGCTGAAGATTCTGATCAGCGTACCTTGCATCGAACATGTGGCAACCATGGTGCCATTGGGACTTATTTTGATGAGCCTTATGGGACTATTATGAGCCTTAATTATGGAAGTCGGAAGCTGAGCTGCATTGTTCTCCTGGGCCTCACTCGATTGCACATGTGACAAGTCCGCAACTTGTACTTGGCCTGGGTTTCTAGCGGAGGGAAACGCAAGAACGCCACGCGTTATTGTTTGAGGAACTGCAGGTTCCGATGTCGAACCTCTGCGTGTCACACGCTGACACACCACGAAGTCTGCTGCAGCTCCTGCACAGGTATCAAGGGGTTCTATGAGCCGCTTGGGCGTTCCACCAAATTCATATATTTCGAGGGAACTCTCTAGAACTACCACAATGTGTATGCGCGATAGAAAGACTCCTCTCACCGCTGACATAAAGCTCAGTGTAAGAGATTCTCGTTGCTGTAGGTCATCCCAGATCACCAATTTGTTAGGAGGCATTCTTGGTTTTCTACCTCCGCCAACGAGCGCCACGTAATTCGTGCGATACAGCATGCGAGACATGGATATCCCGCAAGCATTGGGATTACTGAATTGTTTTGAAAGTTTGCATTCAAGAGGATCTACATTGAATACCATGAACCCGTTTTGCATTGAACAGCTGAAGCATGTGTAGTCCTGATTGAAGTCCACACTCAAAAACTTACTGGTGCGGTTGTGGTTCCCGTCTACAATGGCATTGCGGGTATTCATGGCAAAGACTTCGTGCGGTCTCTTGGAGAATACAATCCTTTCGACATTGATGTTTTGTTCAACAATGCAGTTAGTTATTTATCTATTTTGGTCCCAGGCCAAGAAACAGAGAGGAAGAACACGGTCACGTGGGAAACGATAAAATGGGCTTTCAACGGTACATTTCGGTTCGAGACATTGGTTAACAATTTTTGGATGAAAATATTGGATCTTGAACCATCGTCAACGGTTTTCGAAGGGTTTGTTTTATTTATTTTTTTTCAGGTGCAAGCTTGGTGCAGTTTTCGAGACCTGGGTGTTGGTTTTGGGATCGGTGCATTTTTGAATAGCAGCCCTGCAGACGAAGAGAAAATGGAAACGTTCAGAAACAATGAAACTCGAGACTAAAAACATGAAACTCGAGACTAAAAACATCTTGAAGCTGAGTTCTCCGGTGGTGACACATTCTGGACTATTGCAACGTATTGAAGTGCCATATCATTATGTACGCTTGTGTCATTCTTATGCACTACAAGTTCTCATCGTTTTAGGCAGTCGTTCACGATGTTGCGTTCTACTAATTTGGTCGACTGATTTGGTCGAATGACTACATTGCTTCAACAGAACAGAATAGAGAGGCGCTGTTTTTTAGTACTTCCGATTCTCGTCAAAAATGATCTTGGAGAGTATGAACCCCCCCTCTCATAAAGCGTCATACCATTTCAATCGGAGCTCTTCACGATATTATTTGCATTGACAAGAAAGAGCCTGTAACTTCACCGCACCACTCAACCTCCCCCATGATAAATAAATCAGTTCAACTTTATCTAGTATTTAATCATGTTTGACGATCAAAGTCAATTTATGAATTCTCTAAATGCTGAAAGAGACGACAGCGCTTTGACCAAGTACAACACACTTTTTGAAATCAAAGAAAAACGCCCCACTATACCCACCAGTAACACACTACCTGCTGTGATGGAACAGGATGAAAGGGTTTGAATCTCAAATTGTCTCGTTGTGGGATTTAAACAGCCAGGACGAGCAAATCGAGCCACGTCACAAAAATTTGTGTCACAAAAATGATTCAGAAATTAAAAGCACACATAAAAGAGGGTGTTACTGAAATCATAGTAAGAGCAGTCTGAAGAATAAGAATAAGCCCGATCTCGTCAAAATTCCTCACGGAACCTTTTGATAAATTTTTGGAAAGTCAGTTATAGCGAAGCACGAAGATCACGCGAAACTCACATGACCAGATTGAGATCTATATATATAAGACGAGGTCTACTCTCACTCTCGAAGGAATCCAATACATTCGACTGACCAGAAGGTTCAAAGAAAACACCGAAGATTTCGGTTTAAACCAAACAAGAAACGGGTACCAATTAATTGTTGCTATGCAAAACTTTAAGAAGAAATGGAAGGAGCTGGTGTACTCTTTCAGCACCGAGGACCGGTACGCTGACTACAACGGAAAAAATGACGATACTTCTGTTGTCTCGAGTAGACCTGAACGGTCAGCTGCGAATGCTGCGGCCTCTTCGTCGCAGATTCAGCTGACAGACTTCACGGACGGCCCGGCAGGTGGAACGAACGATGGCGTCAGCGAAGCTATGCTTGCCTGGAGACACATAGATGCATGGGCTTCGGAACATCACTCTGATCTATATGCTACACTGAGCGAACCGTGCACACGGACCGACATATCCAGAGCAGAAGAAGACCTAAAAATCGTGTTTCCCGCCTCTTTGAGAGCCTCTTTCCGGCTCCACGATGGACAAGAGGGCTTGGACTCTTTGACAGGCACCTCAGGTTTGCTTTTTGGGTTACAACTAATGCCTCTTGATCAAGTGGTACATATGACCCAAACCTGGAGAAACGTTGCCGCAAACATGGCAAGACACAATCGGTCGTTGTCTCCTACAACAACGAGCTCAACAGCATCGGGATCGAACGTGGAGGCTCCAAACAAGGCCGTCACACCCCAGACTTTGAAAACCAAAGGTTACGGAAAATTGGATACTCAGGATTTCCAAAGCATGAATCCAACATTGCAGCGCGACATCTCCAATAACACCAACAAACAATTCAAATTGAATTCCATTCCACAGCAAGATTCCGTTCCACCGGGAGCCACTCAACCTTTATACGCCAGCCCTGGTTGGATTCCTCTAGTCACAGACAACGCAGGAAACCACATTGCAGTGGATTTGGCACCCGGTCCCAAGGGTCATTACGGTCAGATCATCCTATTTGGAAGAGAATTCGATATCAAGTATGTGGTGGCCAAAAACTGGGGGGATTTCCTGCTCTCTTTCGCCAACGATTTAGAAAAAGGAAATTGGTACATCATGGATGGTGATGACGACTACCTCAGTGGCGCTGGTGACCTAGTGTTTAGAGACAAGGACGCTGGAAATACTATCAGAGACTACTTCGATGTGCTCAAGTCAAGAAGTCGCAAGACTTGGCAGAGTTCAGCAGCCGAGGCAAAACCTGCAACGGAAACTGCTGGTGGCAGTTTTTCTGCTGGTCACGGCAAGGATCTGACTTCTCAGACCCTTCTTTCATCTCCGTCGTTGGTGGAGCAAGAAACTACAGCCGTCACCGAAACTGCTCATACAGAAGAACCAAAGGATACCGAGAAAAAAGCCAAAAATTCCGATGTCCGCGAGACTTCAGTGGATTCTACGCAAACATCTGGGTCTAGCGAGGACGCTGCGAAAACAAATCAGCCTGCCAAGCAGGCATCTGCAGAACCCAAAGCTGAAACTTCTGGTGATAACGTGGAATCAAAAACAACGGCCTCCGAAGAAAATAAAGCTGAAAATGATGACAAGACGGATGCTACCGAAGAAGCTGCTTTGCAGAAAGATAACAAAGAAGCAGAAGAGAAGCAATCAGAGAACCTTCAGAAAAGCAACAAAGAAGAAGAAGAAGAAGTGTCCAAATTGAAAGAAGAATTTGAGAATGTTGCCCTTTAGGCACTTGAATGAGTATCGCGTCAAATAAATAAGACACAACAATTACTATATAACATTTCGGTACCGGTTTATTGTATTCATAATGTCAAGAAAATAACGCTAATGTTCAAAGTAAGCCTTCTACCAGATTATTCTTTGAGGGAAAATCTCACTATCCCATCTGAAGGAATGGAAAATGAATATTGTTAATGTGACAGCATCGATTAATAGAAACCAAACGAGTTCCAGAGAAAGTCGCTTACAGAACTTCAATTCTCCAAAATCGGATTGCTGATCCGCGAGGATGCTTTCACCCACTGGTGTCATGAATATTCTCCAGAACATGAAAGGTAGGATGTAATACCGTGGCTCAAACAAAGGTGACGGAACGACCGTCATGAAGGTGCAGATAATAAGAGCGGTCCATGAAATATGCGTAAGCTGTACCGGAAGTTCAGTCGGGTTCTTTATCTCTATTGGAAGAACGGGATGGAAATGCATTATTTTACTCCTCATTGCTTCCAGGTAGTTGAATGCAGAGAAATGGTAAACCCATGGCATCAAGGCATACTTGAAGATGAAGTTGCGGGCCAAAATTCGCTTGAAGATGTAAAATGTGTAGTGTCGATTGTCAGCCAGCAGGAATGGGTGGACGACTGTGAAGTATCTTATTATCAACATAATGACGAACAATTCCAAGCCCGTGCGTAACTTTTTGATCTTGATTCGACTTTGATACTCGCGTAAACCAAGTTTGGAAATCCATATGGGCATGCTAAAAATTGTAATGAAGGCGACGCAGTAAAACATTTGAACTAAATGTAAACCCGCAGTGTGATTGTCTTTGTCGCCGAGTGTCAAAGATCGATTGTAGACCACGAAGCCTAAGAAAAGCACAAAATTCACGCAATATGGAGCAATCAGCTGGGTCCAATTTTCCAGAGCATGTATCACAAACTTCAGGTAATTATTGAGATGAACCGTGTTGAAGTCCTTTTGGATCAATGCTCTTCTTTCCACCACTACAATCATCACAAACAGATTCCAGACAATGTTCGTCTGTCTGAAGAAACAGCTCACAAGTGCAGATAACGCACTCAACCAAATGCTCTTGGTTTCGCCGAACGGTAAAGTAATCGCTAATGTAAGCGATTCCAAAATGAAGATTGTGGACCACACGTCTGTGTAGTACAGGAAGTAAAAGGAAAAAAGAAGCGGGAAGCACATCAGCGATACCGGCCAGAAGCCTATTGCATTGAACAGAAAGAGCGGTCTTAGGACTACCACGGGCAAAATGACAGTCCCGCCGATCAAATTTGTGAGTCTCAGAATAGTCAGCGTTGACCACGATGTCAATGCTCGCATGACATGATAGTTGAGCCATCCTAGCACATACAAGCCGGGTGGTGTGGTTATCTTCGGATCCCACGAACTCCATGCCCCATTGATGTATTGTATCGTCTGGGAGACATGGAACACCTCATCAATGTAGAGGTAAGGAACTGTTCGAGTAGTCACTACACGGAAGCATAGTGCAAATACAATCACCAGGATAGGCCAACTCACCAAGTTAGCTAGAAATCCAACCTCGACTTCTCGCAGCACTTCCTGCTCCAATTGATCGTCAGGATTTATCTCAGTCCGCTCCTTAACATCCATAATATAGGTAAAGTAGTCCTCAAAAATCGATTGAGACTGGTTTCAAGGCTTCAAACCTTCTATAATCTTGAATTATGGGCTCTTTTTATACCTTTTTCATCTATTTGATGATGTCGAAATAGCATTCATTTCTGGTAAATTGATGTTTAAACTATTATATATATATGTAAAATAGTCAAATATCTTAAAACTAGTCTCCCAAACACGGGAAACCAGTAACTGATCATCGCTAGTTGTTACTCTGTCTGAAGCTCTTGAAACTTTTGAACGCTGCCACAAGTTTTATGCACATCGCTTTTTATGAGCTGGTGCTAGGCCTTTTCGTGAAGGTAGCGTTATGTCGAGAATACTGGCCATCTCTGTCAGCTGGGGCTCAGTTGGCGCTACGATCGCAGCGAGACCTTGGTGTGAATGTTAGTATTGACCAGCTTTACAGTGTGGGTGTTAATGTGGATAAAGTCATAGGTGGGGACAAGTCAGTCAATGAAACTCAGTCACTGATGACTTTGAATAACCTGCTAAAGGTGGGCGTGCAGTCTTATGTGGTTGATTTAAACGTGAGTGATCCACAGAACTTTATGCTTCCATCCTCTAATATCAGCTTTTCTACTTTCCTTACAGCGATACGACAATATGTGTCATCCAGTAACAACTATTTGAATGCCAATATACTAATATTGTTGCTGCGACCGAATTTCGACACTGCATCAGGATCGGCGAATTCGTCTTTCTCTTCATCGCCATCTCAGTCGTCTCCACTGCTTTCAAACATGACAGCTCAGCTCGAAACGAGCTTGGGACTCTCAGCTATCTACACGCCATCTCAACTCCTTTCAGATCGTGCGCAGGGCATAACTGTGGGTTTCACAGGAGACTACAGCAAAGTCGGCTGGCCGCCTTTGGAGTATTTTCTGTATAAGATCCAGAAGAGGGTGTTGGTAGCCTACGTTGATTCCAACGTCTTAGATGTACTGCCGAGTGACTACGTCTTTGACGGAAAATCGCTGAATTTCCAAACATCAAATATCACCAATTCGTGCCCTTCGTCTAATACTTCAGAGCTTGCGAAAGTGGTGGAAAATGGCTGGAGGTTTTTAGAAAGCCAATTTCTGCCAAGTGACATCCGGGAGTATGTGATGTGCGGTTATTCTCCGATTATAAGCAACCACTATACCCCACAAAACATTTCAGACATAGCAGATCTTTTGGAAACTTCTTTGCCGTGGTCATGGGCTCACAAAGAACCCAACAGCTATGATACGTCTCGCAGTAATTCTACGTCATTGGTTGCCCGAAGATGTGCCGTTGTCCATTATGTTGCGGCGAATTCTACCAGTTACTGGGCTGTCGCCAACTGCTATGACAAAAGACGCACAGTATGCCGGCATGAGAAGAATAACCTGGACTGGAGGATCTCCAAGTCAAACCTCAACTATTTCTCGACGCACGACCAGGACGACAACGATGTTTGTCCTGAAAATTATACAGTGGGCCTCCCCAAAAGTCCACTCGAAGAGACTGCTTTGAATTCTTACTTAAGTGAGGTCGGTTCCGAGGGCCTCGATGCATGGATAGACATGAATTCAATTTCCGTGCCGGACTGCTGGGTCGCAGGGGGTTCGTATGCTTCGTGTCCATACCAGAAGGAGGTCAGTTCTCGGAGTTTTGTGGGGTTTATCACACCTGTAAGCATCTTTACAGCGATCACGCTTGCTCTCCTGTTCTTTCTCACCTGGCGTAAAGTACCAATCCAAGACAACAGGAAACACTGGAAGAAAATCGTAAGCACGCACTCAACTTTACAAAAGGAAGGAGTTCCTTCATAGCATAGCGCATTCATAATTAACATTACCTAGCATAATAAATATACGCATTGTAAGTTCCTAGTTTTTCAATTTGCAGCGATACCTCACGATTATGATTTGCACAATAGCATTCATTTGTATGACGGTTTTCTTGCTGGGTTAGCATACCTGAGGACTTTACGAGTCAGCCTACGACGTTTGAACGAACTATCGACCAAATATTCACCCTCAATATTGAGCGTCAGTCCGCGGTCCTGAGACCATCCTTCGACGTTGTAATCAATTTCCCAATTGGAATTGTTGTCAAAGGCCCAAGTAACTGGCGGTTTAATCTCATCAAGATTGTCTACCCCGGGAGGCGGCGTTTGAGCTTTTCTGAGGCCATCTTGTGCGTCAAACACAGTACCAGAAAATTTCAGGAACGACCAATCTTCAGGGATGGCACCTCGCTTATGAATTTCGAAAATCTCAATGAATCTTGAATCCGGAGGCTCATCAAGAATGATATCGTAACGTTCGGTTTTTTCTAGTACCTTTTTACCCCGGTTAATTTGATCCTCTTTGATTATTCGAGCAAGTTTGCATCTGACCTTTGGATGAATCGCTATCATGATTGTCCAGATACTTAAAGTAGATGTGACACTCCAGTTGATGAGCGGAGAAATAAGCCACAGGATCAGCAACGTGCAAAGTCCCGCTAAAAAAAGGGCTGTCGACCTGTGTTCGTCTTTGAAGCCAGCAGTTCCAAACACAAATTTCTCCATGCTTTTTGACAATGCGACCATTGTTGACATACTATTTTGCAAATCTCGCAAGTTTACGACAAATTCCATGCTCTGCTTTATATGATGAGCTCTTTGGTATTCATCTGGATTTGCATCCACATTGTATTCATATTCCTGGACGTCGTCGCTGGGATGCCAGCTCATTTTCTTTCCACCGCTCGCTAGAGACACCACGAGCGATTTCCCGTATGTGCGTCTAGAGAGAAATGCTGTTCTGTGAGGTGGATGACGGTGCATGTAACCTGGCAGCATAATTCCACACAGAACGTATAGCAGCGGAATGATTGCCAGAAAAATGGGGTTAAAGCATATCATGCTTATGAATATGAGCATCGTTACCGTTCCAGACGGATTTCGCCATGCGACAAGACGGATAATGGAGTCTTGTAGTTCAAAGACGGCTCCCAATTTTGTGGTCAAAACCTTCAGATTGTTGGCGAAGATAGTAGCCGACAGTTTCTGTCTTTTCTTGCGCAACGGATCGTTGACTCTTTGGGTGAATTGTTCACGTTCTGGGAAAGTGTCAGGCAAGATGGTTGAGATCATTTTGTCCAGCAAAATGTCTACAAAGTGCTCTTGAGTCCTACTTTTTAACTTTTCATCCTTTTCCTTGATCTTATGCGCACCGGCCAGCGGTTCTTCTTCCATTTCGTTGTTGACGTTTGGAATGTCGTATTCTTGCGTGAAGTTCTCATCCTTCCAGAAGCTCTCTGAGCTTTCAGAAACACTGGTTTGTGCATAATTTTCGTAATCGTCATCGATTGAGATCTTGTCAGTGAGTTTACTTGACTGTAGTCTTTGATAAGCCGCTTCAAAGAATGAACTGGCAACTCCGTGGATCAACTCTCGATTACTGACCTTATTTGGCCCAGGATAGGGCTCTGAAGGTCGCGGCTTGTTCTCATATTTGCGTGCCATCAGCCCACCGATCAACGAGTTACGTCGCCCGCCACTAGAAGATCGTTCTGGCATCGATTTCAATGCAAAGTGGCGAGATCTTTATATTCTTTACGATGATGTGAACTAGGGATCATCGCAGGTAGATCATCTTATTTAACATATTGAATTTTAAACCTACCTATAAAACCTTTAAATATACAACTATACTCCTACACAGAGTTGGAAGCCCTGAACAGGCCATTCAGCACCAATAACACTGGTGTAAACTTATCTTAACAGTTTATGGTTGTGTTGAATACCTTCGGCGTATTCAATAAGATCACTTCCGTAGATGCCTTTATCTTGAGATTCGAAAATAGTGCAATCTTTGACATTCCATAGCTCGTAGAACCTAACTGTCTCGTCATTTGTGGCAACACATATGGATCCAAATTCTGGAGATGGAACAGCACTCAGGACGCGAAGCGCGGTCGTTGAGTGAACTTGCAAGGTGGATTCCATAGACGGGTAGGAATATACTGACACCAGTGTTGGCTTTTCTGCGTCACCGAATCCAAAAGTAGCAACGATTTGTTTTTGCCTCAATGACCATATCAACGAAGTGATTTGACCGGGTGCCTTAGTTTCACTGAGCAAAGTTCCGGACTTGGTATGCCAAAATCTGATTTTCCGGTCTTTACTGCCTGCACCGGTAGCCAGAAGCGATTGAGACCAGGGACAAAAAGCTACCGCTTTCACAGCTGCCTTGTGTGGAAGTAGAAACTGGAACTTAGCAGATGAAAATTCGGAAATATCCCAAATGGTGCATGAATTGTCATTTCCACCTACCGCCAGTTGTGTGGCATTCTTATTCGTGGAGAGACCTTGTATGTGGAAGTTAGTAAAACAGGAGCAGTTTATGGGGATCAGTTTATGATGTAGAAAAGGGTTTGTGGGGCTTTTAGATACCGCAAACTTGCTGGTTTTGAGCTTTAAATTTCGTCACGGTCCTGAGCGCGGGATTCTTGCCGTGTGCTATCCCAGACCGTTTTTTAGCGTCAATTGAGTCCGGATCGTGAACAGTACCCTCGACTATGCTGGAGAAAGCATCGAAATCTTGGTGCAATTCCGACTGATCGGCGTTGTCATCGGTTTGTGCCATTGTAGAATGGGAGGCACATTCCATGTGAAGCTCAACGACGTGCACAGCGCCGTTTTCTTGACCCAACAACAAAAGAGTGCTCCCGTCTTTGTGCATCCATTCAACACAGCATATCCCACAAATTGAGCTGTCGGACCCTATCCATTTAGGCTTTTCGCTTTCCAAAGCGGACCCGTCATCATCAAATTGGTCAAAGATCATTATCCGACCTTGTTTTGTGGCCACGGCAAGGTGCTGATCAAACGGCGAAAAGGATACACAAGTCACATAGTCCTCTCTCGACTGCAAATAGGAGTAATGTAGTACATTTGCAGCTCCTCTCGCGTTCGACCACAAATACACCGCACACCCTAAACCCACGGCAATATTGTCTGTTTTCCTCGACCACGAAACCAAGTTACAGTAAAAGTCATTGCGAAGAGACGGGGCATCGAGCACACGGTATGGGACGTGAGATTTCGGTATTTTTTTAGGCCTCGAAGCTGTTGGCACAAGACTTCTGGTGTGAAGACTTTTTGAAAAGCTTTGAGACACTAGGTAAGAGAGAACTTGGTTGGGAGCCAGTGCCGTGAGAAAGGGATCTACTTTCAAGTCATTCGGAACACGGAAAGCTTTGGTGCTCTCTTTCGCAGATCTCGGAGTGTTAACACTTTGCGCCTCGGCGGCTAAAAACTGGTATACTCGATGCTCGGAATACAGTCCCAGTGAATCGGCTACGTGTTGCCGATACTGTTTTTCACAGCAAGAAACCCTCTGGGTCTCGAGCTTTTCGCCCTGAGGGCCAGGAGTAGCAGTCGATGAGTTGGAAGTAATCGAGTTGTAATGAATTGTGGATCTAAGATCGCGGAAAAAGGCAGACATATCCATTTGTGAGGGCGACTCCATTGTCCAACTGCTTTCGGGAGAGCTAGCGATCGAAATGTCCAAAGATTTCAGTCTTTGTGCAGATTTGAAGGCCATTCCAGAAGTGATTTTGGGAATATACCTATCGCTGATTTCATTGGGTCTGCCGGTCGCATTTTTCGCTTGCTTGCGTCCTTTTGGAGTGCTAGTCACTATTCTGTCTTTTCCGACTTTGGATAGTTTCTGGTGACCAGCAGGTGAATGCTGTTGTTGCTGCTGCTGCTGTTGTTGTTGTTGTTGTGGTTGTTGTTGCTGTCTAGCTGACATATATCAGAGACTCTTGAAACTATGGGGATGGGTTGGTTTGAGCTTGTTCAGAGGCATGCAAGTTTTCTAAAAAAACTCGCAAATGAGGCTGGTGGGCAAGCCGGAACGATAGCAATGGAATAAAATGTCTTGTTATAAGCCTTGGTGTAGTTTGATGGGATTCTTGTTCTTTTGTGGGATCTCTAGCGAGCCTAGTGACACTAAAAATGCAACAGGGAAGCGGCTGAGAAGTATCTTGTAGATACTGTTTACCACGATCTGAGGGCACTTGAACGGTCTTGGGAGGTTCGGGATTGCAGCAAATGATGAAGTTTTTGAGCTTTGTGATGTGCTTTGATCTTGAAGAAGTTTGTTGTGTAACTTTTGTATTTATATACTTTATCAGCGACGCTGTCGCAGGCAGCATGGAAGAATTACAGAGAAAAGACTAGGATGTGGGAAGTGGATGAATTTTTGGGAGGTTTAACAAGTGCTTGTCGCTATGCTACTGTCAAGCTTTTACTGGCTAGAATTGCAACGGCCATTGGAATATAGAAGATTTGATTGAAGGTTCTCAATTATCTTAAAGATAATAACAATGACGGAGAAAGCACTTTGTAAATAGCGAAAATTATGGCGTTGAAGAGGTTCTGGCTAATACCTAAGAGTAGAGGTTAGAAAACAGACGTACAGTGATTACAATCTAAAGACCACCAACAAAACAATGGGCGATGTTTGATTTGAGATGAGAAAAAATCGCAACTAAGTTGCTTTTCCGGACTTGTTTCACTCATAATCGACAAGAAACATAACTCAAACAGTGAAAACTGCTGGTCCCTGAATTTCAAGCAAAACAAACAGCTACAAAACCAAGAAGTCTCAATGGATTGATTGTCATGAAAAACCGGTCATCTATATTATCATATCTGTTTTCTGTCATCTGTCATCTGTCATCTGTCACGTGATATCCCATCAAAACTACAAAGTACACTCCTATACAAGCATCCAGATCTCAAACCAACACCAAAGACCCGCTGAAACTGTCATAAATATCTTGAATAAACTTCCCACAACCCTCAGACTCGAATTCCTTCAAAAAAAAAAAGTCCGCATTCTCACTCCAATCTCTCAATTTTTTGATCACACTGTCTCCGTTCTTTTCTTGTACGTGAAATTACGCCTCTAATAGCAAGACACCTCTCTTCAAAACGCTTGTGCTTCGTTTCCCGTCTAATAATCTTTTACATAACCGCAAAGACCAGCCATTTCACTTTCATCATCTCATACATTTTTCATCATAAGCTCTGACAACTAATAAGTATCCCCGATCGGGCAAAGAGTAAATATCCATTCCATCATGATCTCGATATTCTGATCGATATAAAACTGAGGATCTTAAAGATGATCTTCACTACTACAAAGACGCGTCAGTCTTTTTGTTATTTCCAGTTCGTTGTAGCATTGGTGTTCATAATTCGATACTGCCCATTAAGTTTTTGAAGCGTTAAAAGCCATCAATACAAATTATATATATATTCTCTTCCCAAACACACCATGTCTGCACCAACTATTCAACCTTTACACCAATCCCAAACATCTGCAGTGCCAAATTTACACAGATCCATGTTCAAAAGACAAAACCAAATTTCCATGCCGGCTAGAAACAAATTTGCATCGCCAACCGATGACATGCTATCACCATGCTCTCAAAAACTCAACGATCATAAATCCAAGCTTTTCACATCCAAGGCCAATCCTACAAAATTGAATTTCGCTACAAGAAAAAGCGGTGAGGACTCTGAAGACGAGTAAAGAAAAAGCGAGCATATTAAAGAAGACAAAATTATGTTTTTCACTGCTTCTTTTAAAAACCAGTGTGGTGAGGGAAACGTAGGAAACGTTGGACCCACGCTCTCGCTTTTTCGAACGAGATAAAGGTTTTGGTTGGTTGGTTTTTTGTTATTTTTTTTTTTTTTGTTTTTGGGTCCTTCACCATCCACAAACCTCTCGTTACAAGCAATTGAAATTGAAATTCTGCTCCAAAACGACCTTGGTGTCGTGTCATCGAAATATCAAAGTCAAGTGCTCTTTTCCCGTTTCAAAGTCAAGTGCCCTTCTCTCGTTTCAAAGTCTAGTGCCCTTTTCTCGTTTCGTGACACTCATTTTATCGGGTGCAACGTTTTGCAAAAGCTCTGTCGATATCAACAGATCATCAGGTCCCGTGGAAAGCAAAAGGTTCTTTCACACCAAGGTCTGTCCAATACCCCCCCTCCCCCGCATCACAAATCGACATACTTCGAGTATTACGGGCTATACACAAGATCATGCTAATATTTAGAGTTAACATAAAGAAAAAAAATAATACTGGGCGGAATTTGGAAACAAAATTTGAGGCACTATCGAGTCCTTTCTTGTAGACTTACTACTTCTTGGCTCTGCTATCGGCCGTCGTGTTAAGTAGTAGGGACTCGTTGTCGAGAATGACTCTGTTTGGCGATTCGCTCAAGATCGTGGCGATTTCACGGGCTGTGTCAAGTCTCTTCAATTCCACGTAGTCCTTGGATTTCTTAATGGCCTCACCAATCAGTTCTGCAGATTTGGCTTCACCTTGAGCCTTGACTACCATACCTTGTTTCTCTTGTCTAGCCTTGTCAACCACGAAAGCAGCTCTTTGAGCATCTTGCTGAGCAATTTGCTTCGCTTCAACAGCATTTGTGAATTCTGGAGAGAAAGTCATATATGTGATCGAAACATCGTCTAATAGCACGTTGAATCTGGATGCACGGCGCACCAAATTTTCGCGAATTAGCCTGGAAACTTTTTCTCTCTGAGTGATCAATTGTGAAGCGTTGAATTGCGCTACAACAGCTTTCAACACCTCATTCACAATACTGGGAAGCACTCTTTCGTCGTAGTCTTGGCCCAACGTGCGGAAGACGGTTGGCAATTGCGAAACGTCCGGTCTCGAAAGAACTCTGCAAGTGATATTCACCATTTGCAAGTCCTTCGTACCAGTGAGTGACGCTACGTTTCTGGGTCTGGCCCGCACATCGTAGATGATGGGTGTTTCCAGCCATGGAATAGCGAAATGTGTGCCTTCAGCGAAAATCCGTGACTGAACCCCGCTCAATCTCGAGTACATGATAGCCCTGTGACCACCGTCAACGTTGAAAAGAGACGCGTTTAGTAGCATTGCACTACCACCGAGTAGAACCAAACCGCCCAGGCCTGCAAATGCACCTCTTGGCACCTGTCCGCCGGTATTATTACCGCCGGTTCTGCCCGCCTGTTGCGCTCTTGATAGCTGTTGCTGGAACGCCTTGGCGAACCGCTGGAATTCACCTGGAGATCTGTTCATCTTGAGTTTTACACCTCTGCCAACTCAACAAAGTAAGACCAGAAATACCTGACCACCTGCTGAACTGTTTTAAGTTCGAAAGTTTCGCGATGTTGGTTTGGGTTGAGTTGGGTTTAAAGGTTATCCTTTAGGATTATTCAATTTAATCGTCGCCACTTGATAAGCCGTATGAAGTTATGTTTGTGTACTCATGAGTACTATGGTTTCCCAAGAAGCTAACAATGAGAAACAGTGATCGATGCTCCAAATTTCACATTTCTTCATGGTCGTGTTGAAATTTGCAGAAACAGTTGCAATAAGTTGGACTTTGTCTCAAAGAGATTTGGACCAAAAAAAAAAAACGCTGTCATTCCGGGTATTCTAAGACTTGTGACGGACGGAAAAAGGAAATGGTTTAGTTCATCGCAACTGTAATCTTGTTAGTACAAGACGTGTTAGTAGAAGATATTCTGACCGAAAACAAGGTTTTGGAATATCGTGTCGTCTTTTCATCACTTTTGACGAGATGGGTTAAGTCCATCTCATCTCATCTCATCTCATCTCATCGCCAAACATGTTACAAGCTACAGAAACAATCCACTCAGCTGCGCACAAGTTTCGACCATTTGCTTAGCCCCCCCTTTTAATCGAAGAATGCTAGCACCATAATGGCCACTGAAACTGATTTTTCATTACACGAAGCATGTCGCGAAGGCGACCTTTCCAAAGTCAGAGAGCTTGTGGCTGAAGACCCCAAAGCTGTTCTTGCCAAAGATTTGGACTCTAGGTACCCTATCCATTGGGCAGTTTCATATGAACATGAGGATATTGTAGACTTCCTTCTGTCTCATATGCAAAAAACAGACCTGGACGATCTAGTCGATGATTCCGGCTGGTCTGTATTGCATATTGCAAGCTCTGTGGGTAATTTGAACATCCTCTCTAAATTGATCAACCACACCATCAAACCCGATGTCAATCTAGCCACACCTCAGGGATCAACCCCGCTACAATTGGCTTGCTCTAAAAGACACGTTCGGATTGTGGAAGCCCTTCTTAAAGAAGGTGCTTCCGTGAGAGATAAGGACTCCAGAATTCAATTGGCATTGCATAGAGCTGCTAGCGTCGGATCCATGCCCATAGTCGAGCTACTCTGCGAAAACAAATCCCCAGTCAATACCAAAGATACCCATGGGTGGACGCCTCTATTCCATGCTTTGTCAGAAGGCCATGGGGATGTTGCAGTGCTCCTAGCTCAGAAATACGGCGCAGAATATAAGAATCTGGAAGACAATAACGGCAGATCGGCTCTGCAGGTAGTAGCTGATGATAAGGTGAGATCGTTTTTCCTTCAAAATGTCAAGTGATTGTAACATCTCAATTCTTAAGCGTATCTATAATTCAAAGTGCAAAACATTAACTGTGTACATAATAATCCTCAGGAGAGGAAACATCAGCTCTACATGTCAATGTTTCCTCTGAAATCTAGATAATCTCGTACTCTCAGCCCATTGATATCGTCATCGCAAAAGTTCACAACACGGTTATCCGGGTCCCCTTCCAACGTAGAGCCGATGAGCAAAAGTCCGCGTGCTCTGATTTCACTTACTAGCTGTTGGCTGGCGCGTAGTAGGTCTAACGGAATGATGACACCTAGAAGATTGTTATAAGTGGCAAAGTTTACAGCTTCACGAACACTTCGAGAGCACGGGTCTGCAAAATCCACAGTATACGAGTTGATTGCTAACTTCGACAGATGGTGAGGCGTGTCTTTGACCAGAATATTGTTTTCGTTTCTCAATCCATTCATGTAAAATAGGACTGGAAAGTTAGGTTGTTTCCAATTCAATATTGAGCAGACATCGGCATTGCGCGAGGTGAAAACAATTGACGATAAGTGCCCACCAAAGGGTCTGTCGCGGACGTGTGCGAACAATGACGTCAAAATTCCATCAATAAAAGTGTTAATGTTGATATGAGGTGATAGTTTCAAAGGAATGCTCCTGAACTCGCACTCCGTGGGAAAACAAACTTCTATGTCCAGATGCGCGTCCAATGGTAGTTTGTTCAACAGTGCATCTAAAGTAATAAAGCGTTGAGCAAGCAACTCTTCTAAGCTCAAACCCTCAGCATCTCCCGAAGAGCCGCTCAAAGTATAGCCAACAAGGCTCTCCAGTTGAGCCGAATCCAAGTCGAGCAATTTTAAATCCATAGGACCAACGACTATGGTTTTGTTTGGAGCAACGACTATGGTACCATCATTCAAAATGGTGACGAAAAAGTTGATGTAGCGACCTGACAAAGAAGATGATGTGATGAGCTGATTTCCACTTTTTCCAGTCTCATTACTCATAGTAGACTTCCAGTAAGTTTCATACTTCGTGACATCCAGCGGTGTTCCACTGTATGGAAAAACCATTCTATAATTGAGATTCAGTTGACCTACGTTTTTCAAGCGACCATCAAATAACGGGAGAACAAAATCGCCCTTGTTTGAGGGACTTGATTGAAACGTCTGAAATTGAGACGAAAGGGCAGTAGTCTTTGCAATCATCCTGGTACCAAATGACGGGAAGATCTCAAAATCGATAGAAAACTTGTCCAGAGAATCAACTTGGAAAATAACAAAACTCTCTTCATCATCTTTAATGGGCAAAAGAATATTTCTTGGAATGATATCAGAGATGTTCGATGTGAGCGTGACGCGACCAGGTGATGACAGCACCATTTCGTCTTCCTTATTCAGCACGATCGAGGAAGTCCCAGGGGAAAAACCAATCTCAACAAATATCTTTCTTTCCAAGAAGTTGTGACCATATTTGCGCAATGGTATGATGGGAGGTGGTAAGGTAAAGTCCGGAATACCGTTCAAAGAATCTTCTGGGCTGAGCAAATCGACTGGATCGAGTATTGATTTTAAGGGACTAACGATTGGCTCTAGATTGGAGGCAACAGCTTTGAGATGGTCTTTCAAAAGGTTGATGACGCTCAAGTGACCTTCCCAAAGAGCATAAAAAAAGGGTGAGAGATTGTCCTCATCCTTTATATCTAAGCGAGCACCACAATTCAGCAGGCCAGCTACAGTTTCACGATGGCCTTCCTGAATGGCGTAAAATACAGGGGTCCACCCATTGAATCCGTCAACGCCGTTCGGGTTTGCACCGTGGGAGACTAGGAGCTCTATTAATTTGGAGTCCCCACCATTTTTTGCAGCTATGTGTAAAGGGCATCTTCCCTGCGTATCACGTACGGATGTAGGATCAGTATTACTCAACTTAAGTATTACCTCCGCAGCCTCGTAATTCAGATAGGCACAGGCCACGTTGAGAGGGTTGAAATGAGGTCTTTTAGATTCAGGGGCCTCTGTTGAAATGTCTATCTGAGATTTTAGTAATAGTTCCGTTATCTCAATGCAATTTTTACTCACAGCGAGAACCAGGGGGGTTTTGGAGTCATTGTCCACCACATCTACCGAATCCAGCAGTAGAGATTTCATCAGTAGCTCAACAAACTCCTTTTTCCCCAGATCGCATGCGTAATGTAGTGGAATGCGTCCGTTCGCATCTTGAGCATTCAAAAGTTTCTTAAGAACCTGTTGTGGTAAAGTGAAGTTGCGACACTGCTCGATTGCTTCTTGTAGCACAAAATTTCTAGCGTGTGATTCGCAGCTCGCGGCCTCATGAAATATGTTACGTTTTGAAAACACGGCCTCGTCTTCTTCGGCATAAGAAAAATCGATGTTTGGTGCGGCTGCTTTTAAAAAAACGCTGAGTGAAGTATCATCGATAGAACTACTGACCAGTAGCAGAAATACTTTTGTGAGCGCATCTCTCATGATCACGTCTTTGTCGATTCGCCTTTTCGGTACCGTCTTTTCGATGAAATTTGGTATTTTTTCAGCTGCGAACTGACGCAAAAGTCGTATACGCGGTTCCTCGTCTTTCAGTTTGGCAATATTCTGGGCTTCCAGGTACCAAGTTTCGATCTCCATGCTAATATCAAAATTACCGGTACTGAATTCCGGCTGAATAGAGTCAACGCCCGGTGCTGGGAGCAAATTCGTGGAGGCCATTCGGGAAGGCGCACTAATATTGGAGAGATCCGTGAGTTGTGGGTACGAAGAACGCGACGCGAACGATGATGAATACGGATAAAAGTCTTCCTGTGTGCTGATGGTATTGAGTTCCAGCAAAATGGCGGAAACTTCGTCGTTGAGCCTGGAAGCTTCATTGCGCGTGAAGACAGGCTGTACGGACACTACGGTGGCCAGATAGAAGTCTTTTGTTTGTGAATGTGACCTTTTGTCCCATTTTTTCAGCACTTTGGAAAACCCCGTGCGATTGAGCTCCACAAACTGCTCCAGATGCGATAGATCCCGCTCGTATTTTTTGGCACCTTCACGCAACTGTTTGTATGCAACTGTGGACTTGGAAGACAGCTTTCCACGCTTGACGCAGTCTTGGTACCGAGACATCAGGATATCAAATTTCACGCGCATGTCTGCCTCTTTCTCCAGATAGTACTCGTTGACCTTTTCCAGCTCTCTTTCGACTTTGAAAAAAAATGATGCCCTGTGTTCCTGCAGCACTTGGTAAACGTGTGTCTGGTCAATTTCGGGCGCCTCCACCGTGGGCGGCAGTGGGGGGCCCGAGAGATGTTTGATGAGCTTTTTCAGGCCCTTGTAATCGATGAAATGGCCATTATACTCGGGCAACGTCAATTGTCGCGATTCCAGGTCTTTACCAAATTTCATCGTGAAAACGCCGTAAAAACGTCGTTCGAAAGCTATGAAAGCGCTGAATCGATTCCCGCTGCTTGTTTATGCAGTATAATTAGCGTAGAAGCCGTAAATCACAGCCAAGATCTAGTTTTCCGCTCGTCCCAGGTTCTTTAATGGTTTGTTGAAGGAGTTTAGCGTGAGTTCTCTGTATTCTCAGTTATATACTGATATTCCACCTGTGCCGTGTTTCTGACCCACACTCTAAATAATTAACGGGTTTTAGAGACCGCACGTGCGCTTGGAGATGTCAAATTGTCACATGTGACAATTTACTCTAAATTCTATAAAAAGGGCTATGGAAGCGATGAGATGAGATGAGATGAGATGAGATGAGATGAGACGAGACGGGAGAAGAGCAGAGGAAGTTAAGAGGTGACGAGATGGTTTAGTAGTGATGGTGTTTGTATGGAGCTGATAGTGTATGTGTAACGCGATGTGTGATGACTTTCAGGACTCGAAAAGACGAAGTTTTCATCTTTTGATTGAGATTGATAAAAAGGTGGTGAAGTTTAGCACCAGTAACTAGGTTGGGGATACGAGTAGGGCGGACAGTGCTATGGTCTGTACAAGAAACTATGACGGCTTGATTTAAAGAATTGGAAGACGTTGATTTTGGAGCAACCCCATTTCAACGGTAATTAAATGGGACAAAAATTCCAAGGTGGTTGAATGCGGAAACATTGCGTCTGACCAGCGTCTATTCCTGAGGGTCTCAACATGTTATGTGGGTTGATCGACAGAACAACAATTGTGCTACACAGTTTAGAGGTTTCCAAATAAAGTTGGTTTTCGTGAACTGCTGTTTTCGATTCGGGACGCATTTTATGCATTGCAAAATTCATTGAGACACTCGATTCTTGAAGAAAAGACAAATCCCGTCATTAAAATGGTTTCTTTCCTCATCTTCTTCTTCTACAGCCAAAAATCACATCTCGCAAGACAACGTCGTCTTTCACAACAGTAGTAGCTGTAACAAACAAGTAGAAAGTGATCAGATCAAAAAACCTAAAAAACGAGCAAAATCGCAAGACATTCATCTATTCTCGAGCTTGAAATCCATTCTATTCGCAGACCCGGTATCTCGCAAAGGCTATCTCCTCTCTTAAATCTGATCTCAACAAAAAGGGAACAAAATCAATCATCAAACACGCAACTCGAAAGAGCCTCACAGGGATTTGAGAATAACCAATCGCGACACCTCGTCTAAAAAATACAGCTGAAATTCACCTTGAATCAGCCACCCAGCATCTTACAATCCCGACCAAACCCAAATATCATTTGTCCCAAATCTGACACACTAGGTCACATGACCCGCTATTATTTCATTTGGTGTCTAATTACCATAGTCAAAGGACATCTTTAAATAATAAAGTATAACCTGCGTCTTAACCACTCGCATCAACCACTTTCTCTAAATCAGATCAAGGTCCAGTGAGTAACTCAAGAGCTCAAAATGAGTGGCGACGATGACAAACGGATAACGGTGGAAACCGAGACGGTTCAAACGCCGGCTCAGAACCTACTGCCGGTTCAACCGGAAGATAAAGTTGACGACGCAGAAAGCAGTGGCAGAACGCAGGGAGAAACACCCGCCAAGCTTATAGACCACAATCCAATGTCATTGCATAACAGCAGCGGGGCGATACGGAATAAAAAATCGAATCTGTTCATGGACTCGTTTTTGGGCAAAGAATCGTCGCCCTCAATATCATCGGGCATCACACACAAACCGCTCGCAACGGGCAGCATTGCACCTGCTAAACCGTTTCGGGAGTCTACCGAAGACTCTGGGCTCCCACTGCCGTCCCGGGCATTGGTGGCTGAAGAACAGAGGATAGACGAAAAACTGGGAGGTTCAGCAACGCTTCCACCTGCACCAGGCGAGCATGCTGTAGAAGAACCCGTACGCAAGCATAGAGAACCGGCCAAGAAATCGGACTTTTTCGCAGCCAGACTTGCATCTGCAGTTGGCGAAAATGAGATCAGTGACTCAGAAGAAACTTTCGTTTACGAATCAACAGCCAACTCAAATAAAAACGTGGTACCCGTTGAAACGCGCTCTCACGGTGTGCCTACAAGGACCAGTGCACCTTTACTAAATCACACTTCACCAAATGCCAATAACTCGAAACTTTTGAATAGGGCCAAGGCTACGCGCCACACCAGCATAGCTGCAATCCCACCGCCGGTATCGGAACAGTCCGACGACCTGCACAGTCTCAAGTACGTGAACCGCAATAACCCGCAAGAGATCCGCTCTGTGCGCTCTTATACCACAATGCCTCAATCCCCGGGAAAAAGGCTTTCTCTGATATCACTCGCACAGAATGGCGGAAGCTCTGCACCACGTCGCACGTCTCGCAAAATCTCCAACAGTGCAAACGCGAACAACGTGAGACGGAAGGCGTCACATCGAAGGCAGCTCCGTACCACCGCGTCTAAGATATTTGATGCGCATGGAGCATCTCTGCGACGGTACTCGGGTGTTCCTGATGATGTCAACTTGGAAGACTATATCGAACAAACCGGTGGAGAACTGACGCCCAACAGGTTTGCGTACCACAGCGATTCAGACTTTGAAGATGAGCCTGTGAGTTACACTCGCCATGGTGGTGATGATGAAGAAGACACGCATTCGATGTTTTACTACTCGCACCCAAAGGCAGATCTAGAGGCTCGTCAGGGCTTATCGGATTACGAAGAAGAAGATGGAGAGGAAAATGATCGTGCTGCACAGCTAGGATACCCTGCAGGCATGGAGTACTACGCAGATAATTATTTCTATCAGCCCACTGAAGCCACGCCGTTGAAGAAGAAAACCTCTCACCACACTCGGTACTCGCCCCATAACTTTTACACAACCAAGACCACTTGGACTAAACTCAGGAATTTCGTTTATTTTGCATTTGTGGTCTCTTTTTTACTTACACTGGGCTTCATTTCTGGATTTTTGTTGGCAACCAACAAGGAGCTTCACGATTTAGAGATCGCAAAGGTCACATCTGTTTTGGTCAGTGCAGATGAGTTGGTGTTTGATGTTCTTGCAACCGCCTTCAATCCTGGCTTCTTTACTGTGGAAATCAAAAAGGTCGAACTGGATATTTTCGCCAAAACCTCACACCTGGGGGTTGAGGGTGACCCATATGGCACCCCATACCAAACAATTCTGCTGGGCACAGTAGACAGCATGGAGACCTCTTTACAGTTTCAAGGTGGATTTTTCCACCGCAACTACGACATATCAAGGTCAAGTGTCAAACTGTTGAAACCTGGACTTGTAGATGAGAACGGCAGGAAAGACGACGAAGAGCCAATTGGACGAGTGAAAAATGCGGCTGCTGGAAAGCCTGACAGTGAGCCAGATGCGCGGGTGGAGATTGAAAATGGTCTTGATAAATGGCGACAATTGTTACGTTACGATTTCGAACTGATTGTTCGCGGAAACATGTACTACAGAATGCCCTTTTTCAACAGCGAAAAAAGCGTGGGAGTGCAGAGCTCGACGACAGTTGATCCAGGCGACGATGGGAATGATAATTTTCTACTTGCTAGGTCGTAAAATCAAAATATGTATACTTGAGGTATAAAGAAAACGGAAAACACGGGTTATAATCGAGCGATGAGAGAAAATGGGAGAGACACTGATTTTCAGTGTATCCTCCCCCTCCTTTAGAGTCATACGCGACAACCAGCTAATAGTTATATGATTTTGACATATAAGACGTCATTTAGTAATGTGTCAAAATGTCTAAATTCGCCATTGGTGTAATTTGACACCTACATCAATCAGTTGAAAAACAAGCAGCAACAGAACCTCAGGCCCAGGGGAAACAAAAACAAACAATAGCACATCTATCTCGAGGCGCTTGTAAGCACGAAGAGAGACTCTCACAGTGGTAAAATCGGGATCTTTCAAGTCACGTGGCACTTCCTGCAAACCATCGTGTATTTGAACTACTTTGACTGCACCTAAACAAACAGCATTTTTACCACGCATTTTGCGTGCTACACTAGTTACTGGAAATCGTACTGCCCTTGACTGAAAACCCATCTTTTATGATGCGATTCATAACGAGCATGTCACGAGCTATTCACGTGCCCGCAGAACTGTCACGTTTTTGATTCATATCACAGATTACGGAGAAATGCTCAAGTATTTCATATAGGACTTAAGTCAATCTTTAATACTCTAAATGTGAAACCACTAGTCACCTCAACGGTGACGATCATCAACAACTTCAGCTGCTTTGCCACTACAAAGAGCTTCCCGCTGTAGGAAGAACCTTCAACATTTGAGTAGCCATTTTGAAAGGTCCAGGGGAAAAACAGGCGGTCGAATAGACATTGTAAGACGCAAGCTGGCTGGAGAAAGATATTGCCGAAAAGTGTTGAGTTCGACTGTCTTTTTGCCCTAGTTATACTCTTTGAAAAAGCATGCAAGGAGCGGAGGAAGGCTCGCTTGGGTTCGGTATGAAGGCTGCCACGGGCCCCAGGGCCTTTGAAGTGGAAGAGTCACCGAGAATGGTGCGGAAACGCAATACGAAAAATCTGTTTTTGAGCATCGATAACTCACCCAAACAAAGGATTGAGGCGCTGGACGCCTCATGCGAGCTTACCAATGAAAATGAGGAACGACTGCGAAAATCTCAGGAGCCCCGGGCCCCAGAAAGACGGCAACATGCCGCCAGCGATGCTCACATATTCTCCGTATCTAATGTGCTGAACGGCACGACGACGGCTGGTAAAGAATCCAAAATGGTCACAAACCGCTTGAAAAGAGGCATGTCTCTGCCCCCACAGCTCAAGACTCGTTTCATAGGGGTGCAGGGTGACCTGGCTTCGTCATCGTCACCTATAGCGACTCAGAGTTTGTCTTTGAGATCTGAAGACGCGGTGCTGCAAAATAGTGGTTTGCGTACGTGCCATCGAGCCACGCGATCTGTATCTACGGTTATGGAGGAGGAAGGCTGCAGCCTGAAAAATGCATACCCAGATGGACCATTGCTGGTTTATGGTTCATATTTGTATTTGTGCTCTGAGCCGTCTATAACAGACCTCGAAGATTTCGACGTGACGCTGAACGTTGCCCAGGAGGTTCCAGACCTCCGATCGCTACTGCCTTTTGCCAAACAGAAAGATTATCACCACATACCCTGGTCCCACACCTCGAAAACTTGTTCTGACCTGCCGCAACTAACACAGATTATACATGAGGCTATAGAGACCAAACGGAAGGTGCTGGTGCATTGCCAATGTGGCGTGTCTCGTTCTGCGTCGCTGATCGTAGCGTACATTATGCGTTACGAGGATCTCACCCTTCATGACGCCTATAACAAACTCAAGTCTGTGGCCAAAGACATAAGCCCGAACATGAGTTTGATTTTTCAGCTTATGGAGTGGCGCGAGGTTCTGAGCGCCCCTCACGTACAGCCTATCAGTATACTAGGAGCGGAGGGAGCGGCTCGTCCAAAGACTGCCAACCCGGTGTTTTCAGACCACCAAGATGAGAATGCGCACGACTCAACCAAAATCACCCCCACGAGTCCCGACTGCTCTAATCTTTCAACTGAAAATACACCTTGCACTCCAAACGACTTTTTCGACTGCGACCGAGTGTCTTCTCACTCGTCCGTCAACGTTGAGGATTCAGGCTCTAATACACTATTTTTGTCAGCTCCGATGTCCGACTCTACACGCTACGCATCAATGTTTGAAACTTATGCGTCCCCTCATGTTGAAATTGGAAACAAACATCGCAGCGGCTGGTGCTGACCTCGCTACTTTTTCAAGTTCTCTTCATCAATTCTGCATAAAAGACGCCTTCAAGACTAGGCGTATCTTTTGAAGCCGGTATCAATCAATACACTAATTACGCTCATTGCGAAGCTTCAAGTAAAAAAGGTTTTACGATGAACATTTAACTCTCTTGTAACTCTAAACAAATTCGAAGACATTTAGCCCAGGGTGTGCACTCCCTTACCAGTAGTACGGTCTTACAAACGTTAAAATCGAACTAGATCGTGATCTTTAAAATATAGGTCATTTTGCACTAATCGAATTATGGAACTCATCGAAGATCACCAGCGGTATCCTCAAAGGACAACGGCTAAACAACATCATATACCACTCTGAGGAGCAATGAATAATGGCCCAGAGCGTTCAGATAACTCAGAGAACGCACCGATAGTTAAAAAACGGTCTTTGAGTAACTATTTGTCCAACATCCAGAAGCGAAAACGGGAGCTGGAAGAAAACAACAGGAAACAAGAAAGCGACAATAAACAAGGAGGTCAGAGCTCAGACGCATCCCGATTGCCACTGGGAACTGAATCCGACCAAAAGGACAAACTGGGGGTCGCGCCTGCTCAAGTTGACAGATCAGCGAGTAATGCCACGAATGACGCGGACGCAAAGACAAGAGAAATCAAACCTATCTCAGAGGTGAATCTGGAAAGGCCATCTGGTGGTACAATTGAATCAACAGATCGTGAAGAACAAAAGGAGGATTATGGGTCTATTCAAGTAGGCAAAAAATCTCAGATTGATGTCACACACAAATTGGAGGAGGAAAGAACTATACCAAGTAATGAGACCCTTCCACCGCCGGCTGAAAAGAGACAGGAGCCATCAAAAACCACCAGTACAGATGTTGCCAAGAGCTCTAGCGAAGACCAGCTCCCGAAACAGCCTGCTGAAAAAGTAAAAACCGAGGAGCATCAACTTAACGCAGGAACACAAAACAAAAATAAGCTGACGAAGACAAAACTCGTGGAATTGCTACGCAATGACGATATGAAAGATTCCAGCGAGCTTGAAAATGACAACGACGAAAGTGAACTTAGCGAAGTAGAAAGTGATGCCCCTACTGAGCCGGCATCTCCGCCCAGACCGCGATTAGGTCGACTTGTACGTGGAGATGAACTGCGATCATCGCCTTCTAGCAAGGCACCACGTTTGCATTCCGATATTAGCGATGAGTCAGAGTTATCAGACCTGGATAACCTGAATCAAATACCACTTTCAAGCAGCATATTACACGCGGATTCTCCACCAGAAAAATTATCACATCAATCGCTAAAATCGTCGCCAGGAGGTATTTTTAAAGGTTCACAGGTATCCCCAACGCGTAGGGGGGTTTTTGTGGGCCTAAAGAAACAAGCGAAAGCTAAAAGGAGTACGGTTCACAGAGACGCTGGCGGCCGAACCAAATTACAGATTGCATGCGACAAGGGTAAATTTGAAGTTGCCAAAAAGCTCATACAAGAAGGTTTTAATGTTGATGACCAGGATAATGCAGGGAACTCTTCTTTGCATGAAGCTGCTTTGAATGGGCACTACGATATTGTGAAGTTACTACTTGAAAGCGGAGCGGACGTCAACATCCAGTCATTCGAGCCCATCAAAGATACGCCTTTGATAGACGCAGCTGCGAATGGTCATCTGGACGTGGTAAAATTACTTCTCAAGTACAATGCGGATCCCACAATCGCTAATGGCAAGGGTCTCACCGCCATTGAGTCGATCGAAGAAGACTCTGACTTGGAAAATGAAGATCTTCATATCATCGAAGGTCTGAAGCGTGCTTTAAAAAGTGGTATTGAAAGATTTGTTGGAGCTGGCGAGAGACGAGTACGATCATCTTCGAATAATAGACATTCCGATAGCGAAAGGTCGTCTTCAAACATAAGGATGGAGGACGAATTCTATTGGACCGATATTTCTTTCAAAGTGGGACGAGAGAAGCTCTTGAGGGCCTCGAAGGAGGGAAGACTACCATACGTGGGTGCCTATCTCGAGAATGGTGGTCGTGTTGATGTTAAATCCTTTTTTGAGGCTGTCAAATATGGGCATGAAGATATTACCAGTCTTTTTTTGGCTTTTGGAGCACAGGTTAACACGACAACTCGTGAGGAACAAACGCCATTGATGGTCGCGCTAGGTCGCGGTCATTTAGGGACCGTGAAACTTTTGTTGGAAGCAGGTGCCGATCCGCGTATGCAAGATAAGCAGGGAAGATCGGTATTATCTTATGCAAAACGTAGTGAATTGGGACTCAAAAGCAAGCAAGAAGTGGAATTGATTCGAAAGGCGTTAGAAACGCGCGGCGAAGGAGATGCTGGCATCTCTACTGGCGAATTTTGGTCTGACGAGGAAAATGAGACCAAGGATCATAATCCGAAGTTGGACACGAAAACAGAAAGCAATGGGAAATCTGCCGCCTTGAATGCTCCACGCAAGATGAGCGATATACCACAGAAAGTCTCTGCCACGCGCAAACGGTCAAGCACCGTCCAGCAGGAAGATAACTCTCGAAACTTCACGGACAAGGAAGGATTGTCCACAAATGCGACAACTGAGGTGCCACCAGAGTTCTCTGTGCCCGACTACACAGGTTCCGTCGCTAACAAAAAAGCCAAGTTAAAGGGCTCGTGCAGTCCAAATGCTGTTGATTTAGAGCAGGAGGCACCAAGGAGCCAAAATGCCACACCTATGAGCTCTGCTACTCCCAAACCTGCAGAGACCGCGGAGGAGAAAGAACTACGTTTGAAGGCCGAAGAAGAATACAGACAGAAGAGACTGCTGAACAAGAAGCGGAAAGAACAAGAGCTTTTGGCGAAGCTCGCTCATGATGAAAAAATGCGCGCTGAGGAGCGCGAGCGTCAAAATGCCCAGGAATTGCAAAGAAAAAACGAAGAAAAGGAAAGGATGGCACGGGAGGAAGAGCTGCAGCGTGCCAGTGCAGAACTCAATCGTAGACGTCAGATTCGCAAACACTATCCTCTAGGTTTGCGATTAATAGACTTCCGGTCTGGCGACGATTTCGAAAGTTTCCTTCCCTTATACTACGTCGTATTGAATGGGCAAAAACATGTGTTGGATCTGCAGATGTGTGTGCTTTTGAAAGATGTGACGTTTTTGTCGCATCACCAAGATGGACCGCGGGTGTCGCACACCCATAAGACGCAAATCTGGAATATCTACAAATTTATCTTTTTGCGAGGTGGTCGTCACCCAACCGGCTTGGCCCGTCAAGTTCAGCTGGAGATCGACGAGCTACCATTCAAGAGTCGCGCAGATCTTGACTCCCAGGAACTCGACTTCTTCGTGGCATTACCTCTCCGATGGGTGCCTTGGAATGAGATCGAGATTCCACGTGACCATGCTCTATCTGTTCGATTTACAAACCTGGAAGAGCAAATGATCGAAATAAGTTTATTTGTCGATACAAATGCTACTCAAACACCACCACCACCACCACCACCTGCTACTATCCCGGCCCGATCTCAAGACCCGCATGTCCACCGTTCAAATTCAACTTCAACTTTCTCAACGTCACTAACTACGAAGTCGTGTTTCTTACGTTTTGACAGTGGTATTCCGGTCAAACTTCGCAGTCGTCCTGCAATAACTAGTCTTCTCAAGGGTAACCTGCCATCGTGGTGATTGTCCGACTCTTCGAAGAACAGCTTTCTACGAATACGAACCAATGGGTTAATCCAGACTACAAAAAGAATCCATAAAAACAAATCACGTGAACGATGCGTGCATTTCACGTGACGACCTTTGCCTGTTTTTCCTGCCATTTGATTGGCTCTAATTCCAAAGTCAGAATCCGATATTAAAAATTTTTGGATTTATCGATTATAACTAGAATCTACAATTTCTTTGACTTTGACTAGGTTCTTGGCTATAACATCCAATTGAAGAAAAGAAGTTCTTGAGCGAACTAGCCTTTCATCGATCCATACTAATAGTGATACAAGTATGTTTGTGGGCTTTACAATTTGAGCGGGGCAAAAAGGTTGAAATTTGAGCAAGTTAGAAGCGATGGAGAGCACTTTTAAGAAATGAAAATTATAAAGTACACGATCAAACTTCGAATGAGATAAACAATGCGGAGAGATTGAATCGATGTGGAAGATGCTGTCGAATGCATCTCTTTTTTGAAATGCGAAACGATCTCTTCAAAAAGGCACTTTTTGGACTATTTTTCCAGGGTTTTTCAATTGTGCACATTGCATATGTGCTCTTTAATTCGGGATTTCAATGCCTTCGTTGCTCTATTTTACGCTCTGTGATCAACACCTTCGCTCTCGATGTGAGACATGACCAATTACTAACTTCCAACAGTGTTGCGTTCTTCCTTCAGCAGAGTGGCGCGCGTTGTGCCTTCGAGATTCGCACAAACTCAGGCCATTTCCAAGGCCGCCATTGTGGACCTACATAGCCGTTGGGAAGACCTTCCAGCCGTCGAGCAACAAGAGCTGGTCACCAAACTAACCGAACGTCAAAAACTACCTTGGTCCCAACTGACTGAGACCGAGAAGCAGGCCGTCTGGTACATATCATACGGTGAATGGGGACCAAGAAGGCCCGTGCACGCCAAGGGCGATGGTGCTTACATTGCCAAGGGTGTTGTGTTTGGTCTAGTGGGCTCGGTTGCTCTCTTCGCTCTCATCAGACAGTTTGGTGGTGAGGAGCCAAAAACCATGACCAAAGAATGGCAATTGAAGTCCGACGAGTACCTCAAGTCCAAAAACGCCAACCCATGGGGTGGTTACTCCCAGGTTCAATCCAAATAAGCATGCCACTTTCAACTCTTAAACCCTCATCGACTTCAGGCTTTCCGTGAAGTTCTGACGCGCATATTCATTTCAATATTTATGGGATGGTCTTGATCGGAACAAAAAGGTCCATACAAAAATAACGACTCTTATTTTACTCATGAATTCCGTTCATCTAGTTCGAATGTCATCTATAATTTTATTTAAGTCCGACAACAAACAGTTATCAAGGAAACCAGGACTGTTATAGAAGTAAAAGCTGTGCTGGAAACAGAGAGCTCCTCACAATATGCGATTTCTAACGTTTCTAAGTTCTTTCTAGCGTTGTAATGTTTTTTCCTTTATTTTGATATTTTTGCAAGATACTGAGCAGCTCATCGCATCTCATCATCATTTACTACTTCTTAAACAAAGAGATCAAAATAAAGCCTTTCACCAGAGCTCAAGATGTCATTCCAGTTTGGATTTTCCAGTCAGGATCTTAGCGATGATGAACTTAATGATCAACATCGCGACGATATCGTTGACTCTGATGCTATTGGGAAAACAGAAGCTCCGCCAATCAATGCTTTAGACCTGCCACATTTGAAATCTTCAAGTCTAAAACAACCGAAATGGGAGTCCATTGAAAGTATTTTACAGAGTCTAGTAGACGTCAGAGTCTCTTTCGAAAAGATACTCACACCGCAATGTTCCATTCCATTGTATCGCAGAGAGCTTTTTGATGTTAAACATCAGTTGATGACTGAGTCGGAGGAGAACGAAAACACAGAGGAACAAATAGAGCTGGAGATTCTGATTGGCGAGACGAATGAGGATCTAAGGAAAAACGTTTACGAAGGAGGTTTGAAGTCGTGGGAATGCTCTATTGATTTGGTAGAAGCACTTTCAACCTCTGCGCATCGGGGAACTCTTCATTCTACCATCTTGGAACTGGGATGCGGTACATCGCTGCCGTCTGAATATCTTTTTGGCCAGCTCCTGTCTGAAAACACTCAAAGATGCGACGTTTCCTTTATTCTGGCGGACTATAACGAATCTGTGCTACGACTTGTATCTCTGCCCAACCTTATTATAACATGGGCGATGCAGACTTTGAACCCACAGGAGCTAATGGAGCTACAACAAGGAGACAATGCCTCTATCCCAGTGATGGAGAACGAACTCTTGTTCACGCAATCGCTGATTCATAAGTTTCAACAAGACATTTTTGCTCGTGGTATTGTCCTAAGACTCCTTTCAGGAACATGGGGCCGTGATTTCCACAACTTGGTGTCTACTACTCTACAGGATTCATCGTCTGAGCTCCTGGTTCTGTCCTCTGAGACGATATACCAACCAGACATGCTTCCTGTAGTTTCCGATCTCATTTTACAGCTGCTGAATGATTCCCAGTCACAGCAACGCAAGGCAACAGCTTTGGTTGCTGCGAAAGACATCTATTTTGGTGTTGGAGGCAGTGTTATCGAATTTCAAAACTATATCCAGAAAAGAATAACCGATAGTTCACTGAATCTCGCGTGGCAAACATTCAAGGTACAAGCTGGGCTCAAGAGGTCCATTGTTTCGATTCGTGACGCCGAAGCTGAAGCTTGAAAGTTCGCATCAACAACAATTCTGCACTTTTTATACAGTTACTTAGTTCAAAAGGACGCCAGCAATTGGAATAATCCAAACAGCTTTTCGAGCATTGTTAATAGTAGTTTTAAGTATGAACAAGATCCTGGAAACTTGACTTTTCTGGTCAAAAAGTTTGGTGAAGTTGGTTTATCAAGTATTAACATTTATAAAATTGAACTCACTCAGAACAGTACTTAAACATTAACAGAATCGACCAACTTTACAAGCAATTGACTCTTCATGACTACTGGCAAGCATCTGGAAGACTTCGAACAGTATTTGGAACCTGATTTCAGTGCAATCAAGGCTTGCACAGGCTTGCTGAAGAGCACACACACTGATATCGATTCTAATGAACTCGATCTACTGACATCGATAAAAAAAGTGCGATATGCACTCAATGAAGTTGACAGGAGAAGCGAGGAAGTGATACGTACCAATCCAGTGCATTTGATTGATAGTCTGGATGATCGTGCTAAAGCTCGTGCCAAGACTCAGGACTCACTAGGTCCCAGTATAGAGTACCTAAAGATGTCTTATAGCAGGCTCGAAAAAGACGTTTTGGAGCCCCATGAGGAAGCACTGCAATTGCAATCAGCATTGAGCAAAATACATCAAACTTCGAGCGTTTTGAGAGACGTGCTGATTTTTCTACATCTGCTCAGGCAGGTTATAGGCCTCACGTCACCAAATTCAAAAGAAGATCAAGCATCTCCAGAACAAACTTTATTGGCTCTGGCTTCTACTCATTCTCAACTCCAAACCACCTTAGCCTCCAATCCGAACTTGAGAGCTTTGAGACTTGTCAAGAAACATGAATCAGAAACGCTCACGCCAAGTCGTCGTGAGACGCTCAAACTCATGGGCGACTTACTGGCCTCAAATTACTCTGGTGAAACAAGTAAATCCGCTCACTCAAAGTTTGAGAGTGCTCAACCTCTATTACTTGCACTTCATAAACTGTCGCCGAAAGATTTTGTCAGCACCATAGACAAGGTTGTACTATCCAGGATCAATTCAAGTAGCCAAGGGCTATCCAAGACAATAACGTCTATCAGAAATTTTGCAACAGCACTGGAAAATGCATTACAAGACGCTCAAAATGTGCTGCTTTTACAAAATACCCTCAGCACCACAAGTACTGGAACCCTCAGTTTGCTGAGTGAGTATATTTCACACAAGAAGTACGACTCCTTACTGGATATGTTTTGGAGTCGCGTGTCCAAGGCATTCAAGAGAGATTTCGAGACTTCGTATACCCGTGGCGGTCCTGTAGGCAAGTCCCTGGCGGCCCACTCCTCTAGTATTGTCCAAAGTATGCAACGAACGCTAAGCTCTGATCCAGCAGCGGCCAATCACGGGCTCGAGAGCATGCTTGATTCAGTTTCTATACTAAATATAAAAGGTTCAAAATAGACCAACGTGTCCAACATGCTCACCGAATGCGACACAACACTCATTTACTCAGTTCGGAAACGCGGCTGCTGCTTGGCAACTACGTCAGAAGTTTTTTGGTTCTTTTTACCACCACGTTTGTGGAATTTTTTCTTCACAAGTTTTTTGATCTCTTTGGCGTTTTCAAGCCTCTGTTTAACTCTTTCAGCACCTTGTTTTCTGGCCTCCCGTTGCTTCTTCCCAGGTCGTCTTCGCCTTATTTTTAGTTCCCGTAAACGGTCAGATTCTATTCTTTTGTTGTGCTCATCCAGGTTCAAAGAATGTCGTCCACGGCCTATCGCTGAAACAGTAGCCAACAGAGTGTGTTCTCTCACCGCTACTTGATAGTTTATGGCACTGCTCTCGAATTTTTTGATATCATCTTGTGAATAATCTGCAAAATAGTAACTGCGGGGCCGTTCTTGCTTAACAAAATCTGGAGATTCTTCCCTGAGTGAAACTTTGATAAGTCGCCTGGTATTCCTTCCTCTTGATTGTCCTTGTTCTTGTTCTTCTGCTTCATTATTGGGCAGACTGTCTGCATTGGAAACATCAATACTTCCGCCGAAAGAGAAAAGCGGAAAGTCAAATTCTTCCTCCTCATTTGCAGGACCATCACCAGCTTCTTTTCCATTCACTTCACCAGTTTGATTCACAGTTACAAATTCAAACTTGGGAATCATATCTTCATCCAACTCTGTAGATGATGGAGCCGAATCATTATCTTCGTTGTATAATTCACTTCTGGCGACGCTGAAAAAGGAGCGAGTTAGTATTTTAAAAAAGCTTCGATGTTATAGGCAGTAAAATTGAATTCATACACTTGAGTGGTGTCCATCGCTGGATTGTGTCGAGCGTTGTTCATGGAATGGTGAGTGCGATGAGGTAGATTTCATTTTATAAACTGCAAGATAAATTAATTACCCACTAGAATATTGAGTAGATGACAGCCAAACACCGCCAAATAATGTCGCTCAACAACTACAGAGCTGTACGTCGATCTGATCTGTACACACCAGTGAGTGAGTTGTATATTCTAGCCACGATTGAACTTTTGTGAGCTGGGTTTCTTGTGAACTGGACAGGGCTCACCGGCATCCAAACATACATATATTTACAATGGTGACTTATTGTCAGTTTCTGCTGGCGATCAACTTACAATTAATAGTAGACCGGTGGCATGAGGCGTAGCCGTGTTCTCTTTGTAAAGCTCAATTAAGATGCTATTGATTGGTATCTTATTTGCTGATTCTTGTCTTCATGTTCTGCAAAAATTCGCGGTAAGACTGGCTATTTAAGATCTTGTCTTCAACCAACGTGCTAGTGGCCCATAGTCTTAGAGTGGCGACTTCTCTGGCCGAAGGGTGATTGACAGGTTCACTTAGCGACGCACCACGAACAATGTATAAGGGCTGGTAAGTGATGACATCGTCATGCTCTCTTAGTTTGGAAATAATGTTTCTTACTCTGCTGTTGAACTCCGAGTTCTCCAAGACTGGTAGCTCTTGCTTACCGATAGGTATTTCTAAGATGTCCGGAGTACCGAAAACATCCATTGTGAGTTCGTTAACGGCATCGCCGCCGACCCACAGGAAGAGCTCTGTGCTGTTATCAATGAGGTACAAACCGTAACGCTCGAGTAGCGACGATGTCGCGTTGATGCGTTCTGGCAGCACAATCTCTCCGTACTCGCTGGGGAGACCAGCCTCATCAGGCATGTCATGCAAAGAGTAGACCTTGGCATATATGTTCTTGATGAGGTAGGGAAGGGGGCTAGACTCCAGAAAGTTGAGAGATGCAGCACGGTGGTCGCTTGGAACCAGACCAGAGCGGAATGCCATGTGTTTGGTCAAGGAATGCATCAAAAGAGGGAACATTCTCAGATTCGCACTCAGTCTCAATGGAGCACCTCCTGCAGTGTTCGACACTACAATTTCCTTTTTGTAAGTGCCCAAAATTTCCTGCACTGAACGGTTCAAGTATTCACGAGCTTCTTCCAAATTAGAATACGCCTTTTCAATTGCCTTTTGAGAGAAGAAGGCTGTCATGGCCAATTGATCCGCAGAAGCATACGTTTCAGCCAAAGAGTCAGTGGTTGGAATTGCGAGAGTTATAACTCTAATTCTCCTCTGCCCTGTGTTCAAAGACAATAGAACCGCAATCTGCAAATATGCGTAATCACGTACCAGTTGTTCATCTATACTGATTTCAAAAACGTAGGATTGATCTCTTGGGAAAGTGGGGAAAGCGCAAAGGTCAGAAGATCTATTGAAAAAGTGACCATAGAATCTTGTCATTCTAAGTCCAGAGGAACCACGCGCTCTCATGACAGCTTCCATTGACAGATCCATGCTGAGATGCTTAGAGAATTCCTTGGTGAATTTCGTAACGTCCGTCAGTTTAGAAGCAGACCAACCGGGGTAGAAGTGAGTTTGCCCTGCAGTGAATCGAGCGAGGTTAGACAAAGACGCAACGTCAATGTAATCTTCTGTAGCCAAAAACATATCGATAGTGATTTGATTTTTGTTGCAATCGATCGTGAAATTCTTGTAAAACGCATCTTGACAGCTTAACAACTGGGAAGCTTCCTTGGGAGTGTTGGCCACACCCGCTTCGCTTCTCTTTTGTAGCTTACCTACACCAAGGTTAGGAATGGTTGATGCAACGACAATAATTTTCCCACCGACAGCCTTGATAAGGTTGAAGGCTGCTTTCAAAGCGGGTCCTAAGGCTAACTTGGACATGATGTTGTACTGGAATATTTCTGGTAATTGATTCAATAGCTTTTCGATATTGGATCTGCAGTCTTGTAATGAAACGTACATTGAGCTTGGCATTGGCAGGAAAGGCTCATCCAAATCAACCACATCCATCATCTTTACCTGATCGCCATCTTCGTCGAGAGGAATGGCGAAGTAGTGGATGGCACTGTCAACGGCCAAGATTGTGATTCTGGTTCTTTGGTCATGATTTGGTATGGAGTCCAGAGTCTCAAGCAAAGTCCTGGCGGCAGTGGCTAGCAAACCATTTTTGATTGCGCTTTGCGACACGTCCAGAACAAACGCGTAAGAAGAAGGTGGAGGCTGTCTGGCGGCGTATTCTTTTGGTGCCAAGTACTCCACGACCGCGTGTTGCATTTCGTTTCTTTCGTATCTGTTGACGGGCAAGCCTTGTTGAGAGGCGTCAAAAGCCATTGGAACGTCGTTGGCAAGGTTACAGAAGTTACATCTCCATCTGCGGCCACCGTCGACAAATGTAACAAATGGATTGATGTAGGAGCGGCAACGACGACACCTGACCACTAGCCCATCCGTGTTGAGGGGGATAGAGCTGTCTGAGTCCTGAAGCGTCAAATAGGGTCTGATCACCAAACCGAATGGCAATTTACTTTTTTTCAGCAACGAGTTAGATTTGGGCACCGAGTTCAACGTGGAGCGCACAAAGTCTGGTGAAGAATTTGCGGTTTCCACAGGAACCACGAATTTCTCAGGTGGCACCATGAGCGGTGGAGGAGGCAGATCCAGATCCGAGACTGGAGGAGGCAACTCCGTCAACAGATCAATTGGGTACAGCTGGTTCATGGGCCTGCCCACGGAGACCGGCTGCTGCTGCTGCTGCTGTCCATAACCCGTACCAGCTTGTGGGCCATACATTGTCCCACCAGCCACGTTGGAATATTGAGGATCCATGACTTGTTGTCCTGCACCAATTCCCGCGGTTTGCGCCAAATTAGGGTCCAAAACCGGCACATTGTGAAGTTGCATGCCCCCCATTGCCTGGGAAGCCTGGTCCACTTGCTGGTGCAGCTGTTGTTGCAATTGTTGCTGTGCTGGCGTCAAGAATTGAGCTTGTTGATGCGTTACGGGTGTTTCCACTTGCGATGCAAAGTTTTGGCCCAAAATAGGCGAATTGGCCGCTCCGACGCCCTGGACATAGTTCTGCTGCTGTTGCGGATACACACGCTTCTTGTGAGACATCTCGAACGCGTGAAATGTGGTTGTTTTGACGCAGTGATCTGTGTTGTTGGTGTTTACGGTTGATATTTAAAAAGCTTAGGTTTGCCACCTGTCTTTTTTTCGAGATTAAGTAGGCAGTATGTTTTTGGCGACAAGAGGAATGGCTAGAGACACGACGAGAGAGACGGGTGGAAGAGTGACTAGAGAAGGGACTAGATAATAAACTAGAGAAATGAATGGACTTTTGACTAGAGGTATGACTAGAAAAGCAAGTAGATGGCGCGGAGTTTTTCACCCAAATATCATTTTAAATTGAAGAATGCTCAATGAGTTGATAATACATATGTATATGATAAAGCGATGAAGATGAATACAAACTTTGAAAGGAAAAGAATAAAGACGAATCGTTCAATTTGAAGGCCATACCATAAAAGTATGACTCTCAATGGTAATCAAATCTTCCTTATGTTTAGCTTACCTTTCGATTGATAGTTTCAGCTACGGAAAATGAGAATATCGGGATGTCACGTGACCCGGACTTTATTATATATAATATATAGTATATATCTCGAGTCGAATGAACATACTGCACCATGCAGTCAAATCTGTGAGAAGGAATACAAGCGGTAGCACTCATTCCGATCCTGCTTTTAAATTAGTGCAGCTCAATTGCTTATCTTGCTTTGAACTCCCGAAACTAGGAAAAAAAAGCGATCAAAAATGGGTGAGATTTCACTCTACAATGCCGTCGACGGTAGTGAGACGTTTTCACCTTGTAGCATTATCCATGGGAAGGTTAGCAAACCAGAAACATCCGTTGTGGAGGTGCATAACCTCGAGTTTCCCACGCTGCGCTTTCCTGTCAACTCCTCTGTTTTCAAATGTGTGATTATGTTGAATCCGGGGGAGAATAAACTCACTTTCATTAGTGACCAGAACGAACGCAAAACAATCACATTGCGCTACACACCTTTATCTCAAAATCTGCCCGTTCATATGTGCATTATGGTAGCCAAAGATTCTCCGCTGGTGTTCGATTCGCCTCGCTCACAGCGGGACAAAGAAGGCGGAAACAACTTGGACCTTGCCTGTCGTAAACTAAGAGTTGGCACAAGATTGATGCAGGCATTTACGGCCGAACAAATGCTTCGCAACGGATTTGGACCCAGAACTTTTGGTGTGGTCGAGGAATTTGCGCTCGATACTTCATTCCAGAAACCTCGCATGCGCAACAGGGTTAAAATCCATATTGTGCGCTCAGACAAAACCCTCAAAGAACTGCGCGACCCCAATTTGGCTCAACAAAATCCCAATGCTTCAGATGCTGGTGGCCTGTTTGGGATTGCTATGGAAGCTCTGCGTAAATACGGGGGTCCCTTTACGGCTCACGATGGAAATCCAGTGCAAGCTGCGGTTATGTTGCTCGATACGCATTGGGATCCCAAGCTGAAGCTAATCACAGCCCACGCAGCGCTCGGTGGTGGTGATGACCGTATCAAACTGGCCATATTCGGATCGCATGGTCTTTACTCTTGGTCACCTTACATGGACAGCGTAATTCCATACTTCCTAGATGAGACTCGCTGCTCCGAATCCGAGGTAGCCAATGATTCGAAGGAATGTGGGTCTCATTGGGAGTGTTATACTTTAACGCTGGGCGCTTTCATGCACGAAATAGGCCATCTTTTGGGAAGTCCACATCAAGAAAGTGGCGTGATGCTTCGTGACTACGTGCGACTCAATCGCTCTTTCCTTTCTAAAGAGGCCTATTCAACAAGAACAAATTCAAATGGTGCTCAACCCCCAATATACCCCAGAGAGGAATGCGGATGGCATAGAATAGATGTACTGAAGTTCTTGAATCATCCCTCCTTTACCACCCCACAAGACTATGCCGATGGCTCGATGATGCGACCTTCTCTCATCGGTGGTTACAGTGTACCCTCTCCTTCAGTTTACGTGCTTCCCAATCAGTGCTGTTTACTTAGATCTGAAACTGGCATTTTCTGCATTCAAATCATATGCGGGGATCTGGCGCGCGCTTTCATTGAATATCTTCCACAATCCATGGGCGGTATGGGCCCACAAAAAGAGATTCTTTTATCTCTCGATGATTTAAGATCCCGCATTCCACCTGAGCATGTCGCTGAGTACCGCGATAAGTTCAAGCTAAAGGTTTGCGCTCTCAACTCTCCCGAGGCTGAATGGGAAATGTTTCCTAAGTTTCTACAAATGCCACAAATATCCATGGGCAAGTATGGCTTCTCTTCCAATGTTACAGGCATGAAATCAATTCTTTACGGTTCAGCTGAAAGGGGAGAAGATGTTGGTATCCTTGCATTTGATGGCACGAAAGTGGGCTGTGTGAGAGTGTACCACGGCGCAGCGCTCGATGGAATTAGATTCTATTTAAACAGGCAAAACCTTGACGCCAAAAAGCCCCCATTACCGCCTAGATCCTACATGGATAGAATTACGACCGCCATGAAAAATGTTCAAATTCAAGGTAGGGACGGTGAAAGTGTTCTATTTGGACACGAAACAAACTCCTATACTGATATTTCATTCGAGAGTGACGAGTATCTTCGCGGCTTTGACATCAAATCTGGCTGTTGGGTGGATGGGGTTGGCATAATCACCAATAAGCGTCGCTCTGGGAAAATTTTGGGAAACGCCAATGGAGGAAGTGGCCATCAGATTTTAATACCAAGTGGTCAAGAGGTTCTGGGGGTTTTTGGAAGAGTTGGTCAGTGGGTAGATGCTTTTGGTGTCATATATGGCACTGTTCAGTAGTCAATTTCGTTCCATGTCATTAAAGATAGAAGACTATACAAACGCGCAGAATACAGTCAATAAATAAGAGTAGTCCGCCACCAAGTCATCGACGACTGCTAAGTCTGCGTCTTCATAGTGGTTTAAAATTCGCTCTGACTTCTGCTCATTTGCGCAGGTCTAGACGCGACGTTCTTTTGAGGTTCTGTGATTCCTAGTCGGGCCAGCTTTTCGTTAAGTTTATTAATTTCGATGTTTTGACGTGCACCTCCAGCAGGTGGTGGTGTCGAGATAGATCGATTTTCACCTTCGCTCCAGTTTTCCAGTCCTCTAGCTAACCTGCTGGAGCTAGGATGGTGTGACGTCTGAGGTCTTAATGTAGGTCTCGCAATGGATGTACCCCCGCCGGTTGCCGGAAAACGCTGAGACGCGTTGCCAGGTTTTAGCGTAGAGTTTTTTGTTAAGTTGACTGCATTTGCGTTACTTGCCATAAATTCACCTTTCGTATTAGCCACGCTGGGAGGTGCTGTAGGAACGATCGAGTATCTTCTTTCAGAATGAACCAGTCCAATCTCCTTCACCTTCATCGTGTTGAGCTCATTTTGAGGAACTTTGAAAAAGCTGTCTTTAGCTTCGTCGTACTCATACAAAGACCATGTAACGCCATATGGCTTGGGCTCCAAGCAGTAGACGCAATGTAAAGGGATATCAAGGTTAGCAATGATGTCTCGGTTCAAATTGAGAAAATAACCCAGAAGAACACGCGCAACAACACGATGTGTGATGATCAGGACATTTTCCTTTATTCTCTCAATTTCCGTGATAACAGGTCTCAGACGATTGATCACGTCCATGTATGATTCACCACCTATTCCTGGGTACCTGTACCTTAGTTTGTCATTAAGTCTCTCCTCAAATTCATCAGGGTGTTTTGCCTGTATAGAGGCATAGGTCAATCCCTCACAATCCCCAGCACTGAGTTCGTCCAGCATTCGCATTTGCTTGTTTGGATAGTCATCTTCATTGAAGTAGTCGCCAGATTCTATTGCCCGTCTCAGCATTGATGTCCAAACAAAAAATTCTGTAGCACTGAAGTTCTTCGTATCACCGTGATCCTCAAGGTACGACTGCATTTCATTCTCAGTGAAAATGGCGCGTTGTTCATCAATGAAGTGAGCAAGAGCTTTAGCGTACCGTTTCCCACGAGGTGTCAGGTCTGAATCACCGCCTATTTTGCCTTGAACATTATACTCACTTTCACCATTTCTTGTAATCCAGATTTGTCTCTCCGCCAGATTGAAATTCAAAAGGTAGTATACGGTTTGAGAGGCCAAAAACCCTTGAATGTTGTAAGAGATGACTTTTTTACCTACATCGATCATCTTGATGTATTGCAGGTTTTCATCATCTTCAACCTGCTCGTAGGCCTGCATGTAATTCGAGAGTCTTTCTTTAAAATCGTGAAGAGAAGCCTCTGGGTCTTTGCCCTTGTAGTCCGGGCCAAACAGTTTGAGCTTTATATTCTTTTCAACCGTTGCCTTGTCAGAACATACGCTCTCAAGGAACAGAACTTTGATCTGGTTGTTGCGGGAATGAATTTTGTCCAAAACCTTTTTGCGCCGACTTTTCGTGGAGTTGGTGGCATCGAAAATTCCCACAGAGCCTGGTCCATCGAGAAGATAGTCCAAAAGCTGGTTTAAAGTATCTATTGCCCATTTTTCCCGCAGCGCTTTACTTTCTGGGTTGGACGGATCAAAAAAATTGGAATCTTGGTCTTGCAAATTGTGATCTTTGGCAAACTGGCGCCGGGTGTTTCCCACGTTGAAAACTTTACAGTAATACATCGAGTAGTTTAGAAAGCGCGACAGTTTGTTGGTGATGAAGGATTTGCCCGTGGCAGGCAGTCCCACCATCACGATGACGAGCTTGGAGCCCGGGTCTTTGCTGGAGATAGTGCCGTCTGGAGAAGTGCGTGACTTGGTCAGTCCCGGCACGTCAATAGTGGTGGGTCTTACTTTTGGATGGATAAACTGAGAGTGAGTTGATGATATTTTGGACCCATTGTCTTCTTCGTACTTCTTCTGTAGTCCCCGCAGATCGCTCGTGCTGTTTTGAGGCGAAGAAATGGGAGTCGTGTCCTGCGAATTGTCTCCAGAGTCATTTGGCGAATTCCAGTAAGAACCAACAGGCGTGTCACTCAGAGGCCGTTTCTGGAAGATCGGAAGCTCGTAGTTATCATCATTGGGGCAAACAGGCTCTCCAGACTTAGTGTCGATGTCTAAACGAACATGCTTTTCAGCGTCATCGCCCTCTTTATGAGGTGTCTCTAAAGGTTCTACTTCTGAATCAGAGCTTGCTGCTGATACGTTATTGGAAAACTGAACAGGCTTAAACATCTCAACATAGATTGTGTGGATATAGAATCACCGAAGTGCTACGTTCACGTTCAAGGGTGGTTTGGAGATCAATTGCTGTAGTTCAGCTTAGCTTTAACGAAACTATATTTCACAGGTGATATATATACATATATTATATGCAATTTATATATGAAATGTTATAGCAGATCACGTGGTAGGGTGGTCACGTGAAGAAGAATGGGTTGTGAAATTGTTAAAGTTAAAACTCATGCGATTCGGGCGTTTAAAAAGCATTGAATTATTATTTCAAGCTTTGAAAATATCTATTGTTATGGTCATTAGGTTTGTGGAGTTTTTTTGTCTCTTTTTTTGATTTTCTTTGGTAACTTTATTCTGTCACCACCTACAAGTCTGTATAAATGACATCTTACGGTACTGAAAAGAGCATGAAAAATATACACAGCTTTCTAGAGTGAGCACTGCGTTGGTTTTAAGTATGATTCACAACTCTGCTTGTCGCTTTCTTGTTGCGACACACAATTCTATGTTTCTCATCTGTGACGCCTGAGGCTATAGAGTGATATATTGATCATATGAGACGGACTGTATTTTGCAAGTTGAAAAGCTTCTTCATCCTAGACGCATAGGAAAGATACTTATTCTCCTTCCAATTGTTTTTTTCTTTTTCGGCTGAGGTTTCCTGTCAAGCAAGCTGGTTTGCTGGCTGATTGTTTGTGTCCGGGTACATGGACATAAGATATCCAAGAGAAACGAGTGTCAGGGTTTATCAAAGGTGATCTTGCAATGGAACAGGATCGAATCATGTACTACACTACTCGGAATCGTCGGGAAAATGTTTGCAACAACCAATCTTGACGAATATGCCACTGACGCTGTTGGCTATAAACGGGGTCACGTGCGATTTTAGAAATCGGCCAGCAGGAGTTGAATGGAACCAGCAACGTAAGATGAGCAAGTAATTAGGCGTTAGATAGGTCCAAAAACAAAATCCAGCATGAATAATGTTCTGTCTACCTGGTTTTTTCAAGGAATTAAATCGTATTTCGGGATTTTGAAAATCCAAACTCTTTCTACCTATTTTCATCGGCAAGACTGGTGTGGTGAGGTCTGCAACAGTTTCCAAATGTGATTATATATCCATTATGAGATAAATAAATAGAACATTTCAAGTTATTTTCCTACGAATATCATACTATCATATTCGCAGTAACTCTTCAAACATTTCTCACAAAGTCGCGGACTCACATACAAAGAAAACGCACACCATCTACCGCTCTACAAATACATGAAGCTAGCTGGGAAACTCCGGGATCAATGACACTTTCACAACTCTGTTAATGGCTTCTTAATTCTAAAACTCTGAGTCACGTGTGTTAATTTTTCAAGCTGTTCAGTATTTCATATTAATACCAGTTACCATAAACTGCAGCGAATGTACTAGCTCATCGCCGCTCTAGGTGCCCCGAGTAACACCCATCTTTCATGGTCAAAAGGTTTTACACAGCAGCAAGAACACTGCAACGTGCTGTGAACCATGTCAACAATGCTAAAACCGTGACACCAGCATCATTAACGGCTGAAAAGCATATATATGAAAGGGCAGGACAAGTAGAACCAGGGCTGGAAATAAAAGGTCTTTCAGACATAGAAGCTGGTCTCAAGGAGCGGTATTACAATAATTACTTGGTCCCATCGAGAGACTGGTGCAAACATAATGGAATCAACTGGTCTGGAATTAAAGATTGTCTGAACATGGACCTTCGATCATTGTCTTTTAAGCATCAAAAAAACCTGGAATGGTACATAGACGATAAACTTTTCGATTCGAAAAAACGCGAGTTTCGTATTCTTCCTGAACGGCTTTTGCAAACACCCCTCGGCGTGGGAGATGTGGTACTACTCCGATCAAACCCATCACAGCTGTGCATGTGCGTCGAGGTTCCTACGGACGTAGAAAACCCGAGTTACGCTTTCGCAACTGTAGATGGCCACATCAAATTCGGCATGCGTAACATGGTGCTTTTGAGAATGCCTTCGTTCCACGATAAAACGGTCGATTATCTCATCCGACAGGAAAGTCCATATCAAGAGACACGAGTGGGCACAGTCAAAGACGACCCGAAAAAGACTTACATTTTGCCGGTGCTAGCACGTCTGCTTTACACGTCTTACGTGCCTTTTGAGATTACGAAAGAGGCATGGACACGGATGGCAACGGTTACCAAAAAACTGGAGCTTTTGCATAGGTATCTGCAACGCAGTTCTGGGCCGTGGCAGGTATCCATGTTCAAACTGTGCGAGTTAGTGTCGCTTATAGACTTAGAAAAAAGTCGCTCCTCGCCTACTAATGAATACGTTGAAGAACTACTCACCAACGCCGATGTAATATCGCACCATGGCGTCTCTCATCGGAAACCACAAAACACTGAGAAAACCAGCCACATCGATGCGGCCACTTTTCTCGCCACATACTGGGCTGTGGTTCAGCAACAGGAGCATAACCTATGGGGAGAAATCCATCTGCATAGAGCGATGCTGACGCCGATAAGTGTTACTGTACTGCCTTTGAGAACACGTCATCTCTACTACGAAGCTGTTCTCAAGGAGTTGAAGAAGAACAATTACGCCGAGATTTCGCGATTTGCTCACCACGTTAATTCAAATGATCTGAAGTCGGCTAAAGACAACCATCCCAAAATTCTTCAGTTGTTACAAGACTACGCCGCTGGAAATTTTCCGAAAAACGGTGCTATCGTAACTATGATTTCGAGACTTTTCCGCAAACTCGAGCACTTTAAAAGCCAAGACATCACCCGAGACTTATGCCATTCCTTATTACAAAAGTTGGAGCCTGACTCACATTCTAATCCATTACTCCTCAATGATGACGTTAAATCACCAACTACTTCTGGCTCTCTTGATCAGAAAATTTTTGATTTGACTCCACCCCGTCAAGTTCAAGATACCTCAAAGAGGCACAATTTTGGCGACATGAATGTTTATTGCATTGACTCGGAAGACGCGCATGAAATTGACGATGGCATTTCGATCAAGATGAAAAGCCCGACGACGTTTGGACTGTATATTCATATTGCTGATCCTACACCTTTGTTTGCAGGTAGCATTCAAGAGTGTCCAGACAACGAAGTCTGGAAAATTGCATTTGCACGAAGCTTTACGAGCTATCTGCCGGACCGTGTGACCCCTATGCTGCCAAAAACTTTCAGCAAGACCGGTGATCTTGGCAAAGATGGTGTGGCATCCAGGACACTGACCGTTTCTGTGGACGTTGATTGTCGGGGGGATCGATTGACTATTTTGGAAGATACCTTCAAAATCGAAAAGGGTTTAGTGTCAAAATTTCCGCGGGTGACGTACAAGAGCGTCGATCGCTTGTTGCAGAAAAAAGGGGATTCTACGGGCGAAAAGCAAGAGCTTTCTCAGATTCTCAAAGTTGCGAAGATGCTGCGGAAAAAAAGAGTGGAAGAAGAGGATGCCATCATTTTTGGGGAGGGCTTCAACAAGGGCTTGGTCAAGGTCGATACCAATAGGATAGAAAACAAAAATCCCACCATTTCATTCGTGGATCAAGTAGAGAGTGCTTCCACGCTGATGGTCTCAGAGATGATGATTTTGGCAAACTCACTTACAGGAAAGTATTTTCGCGACAACAAAATACCAGGTGTCTTTCGGTGTTATGAGGAACTTGCCTTGAAGGATTCCGCACTGCAAAGTTACAACTCGCTGCGGACTATGACACACTCGAAAAGACTGCCGTCTGTGACGGACATTGCAAAATTGTCGTCATTTCTAAACTCCAGCTTCTATACCGGCAAAGCAGCTAGACATCATATGATTGGCGCATCTGCATACCTGACAATGACATCTCCGTTAAGGAGATTTCCAGATCTCGTGAACCACCTTCAACTACACGCTCATTTGAACGGGGAGCCGTTGAGGTTTACGCAAACCGACGTTGACCGCATGATATGGCACATTCAGTCCCGCGATGTTGTTTTAAAAAAGGCTGCACGGCAGTGTGCTGCTTACTGGACTCTCAAATATTTGAAATCCAAACAAAGTGAGGATCCACATTTCAACTTATCCGTTATGGTCACATCTGTTCCACAAATGGGATATGTGCGCTGCATGGTTCCTGATCTAAGTGCCGCTCGCGGCACTCTGAAGCTGCGGCCCGACGCGCATTCGAAATGGGCAATTGGCGACACAGTGACCAATTGTAAGATCAAAAGTCTAGACTGTTTACAGGGCACGATGGAACTGGAAATGCAGTGAATCTAATTGCAACACTCAAAAACTTCTGTAAATACTTCCTTATAGCATTTGATAAATATCAAGACGCATGGTCTTGGCCTCAGCGCTGGCACCATTCATCGTTATTCATAATACTGTCACTTCATGGTTAGCGTTAAAGCCGTACTCGAGAAGTTTTGCGAGTACAGATAGGATCTGACTTAAATTAATTTTTGTAATAGGTAATTCTAAACATCTCGAGGAATCGTTATCCTAAAACATGAAAACACTGACATCAAGCACAGTTTCAACACACAAGCTTGCACCTGCAATTTGAAGCGGTTCATTGATAAGACCTGTTGTCAAGAGCCAAACAAGGGCTTTTTTTTCGTGTCATTTGGGTAAATTTAGGTTTGTTTTCGCTCCAGGAACAAAACGTTGCTGAGTCCTCAAATAGCTTCCCTTTGAGACTTTTCAAACATTGAGTACTCAAAAGCAGGGTTTCTCAGTCAGTTTATAGTGCTATCAAAAAGTCTAGCTGCCCTTCATTCACAGGTTGTCGCAAAACCGCGATTTCGGACTTTGCCTTTGAATAAAGTATCACTTGAGATGAATTACCCAACGCCGAATATGTATCATTCCCCGCAGTTCCAGTCGCCCAACAACTTCGCAAGTAATGTAGTATATTTCCCGGCACCAGGAGCACCTCATTTGATGCCTGTGTACGCCATGCCCGCGCTGAATAACCAACAATATGCGAACTATCACATTGGAAATAACAACAGTGGTTCTAACAGCAGTCATAACAGAGGCGAAAAGCGCACTTTGAAGAACACTAGTCCCTTGAGACGCTCGTTGGCAATGAATAACAATGGCGCTAGTGGTAGAGCTGGGCCCTCGATAAGAACCCCTCAATCATCTAGCCAGGGCCCGGCCAAGGGTCCAGAATGCACAGAAGTCAACTCCATAAATGATATCAAGTCTGCGCAAAGGCAGGAGGGTGATCCGGAGGCTAGGTATACAAAGATGTTCGAGCAGGAGGAAGGATCGCGTTCTAAGGGCTTTGTTGGGGCAACAGCCCCCACACAAGTGTACAAGGTAGCAACACTTCCCTTCAAACATCCAGGTTCGGAAAGCGACGTTTTCATGAAAACTCTGATAGATACACAGCGGCCTGCGTACCACGAAAAACAACCATTGGGCCCCACGGATGATCCCAAATACCAAGTGCAGGCACTGGCAGATCTCCCGGGTGCTGTTGAGCGTTTTACAAGCGAGGAGCGCATCTCCAAGCGGGACCGTACCGTTAAAACGTCCACAAAAGACTCCAAAGCAAACCCCTTGGTTCGTGTGGCGTTTCAGGAGCCCAATGACGCGAACGACAGTGTTGACTTGAGCTTTGACGGCAAAGCCATGAACAGAAGCGATGTATTTAAAATTGTCGATTCTTTTTGCCAAGTTCCGGAGGGCAACTCGGACGATGACGAAGAGGAAAATGAGAGCGAGGAGAAATCTTCAGGGTTTGCTAATGTCTCGATTTTACCACCAGAAATGACTTTCCGTTGATCCCTTTAGAGCACTTTTACCGGTCGAAACGCCCACACCCAGAAGACACAAAACGCACATGCAATGCACTTGAAATTCTTTATTATCTGGTTAAAAAGCTCGTTATATACAGGCAGAAGTTTGCGCTAAACCCTCTTTTCCACTGTGAAACCTGGATTCGACTTCCTTAGCTCACGTTGCTGCTCTGGTGTGAGTGCTTGTTCTGTCACCTCCACACTGACAACTTCTTTGATCTTGGCGATCGAACCCGCTATTGACGGGCTCACTTTCCGGTATACTACAGAGCCAGTTTTTCCTAATCCCAAGCTTGCGGCGATGTTTTTCGTGGCTTGAGGAAGTCCTATGATCGATCTGGAAAGTGTTATTTTATAGAAAACCATGGTTTTGATTTTAACTGGTCAATTTGGGTTGAATGAAATATTTGTGATGCTTGAACGTGGAGAGACGTGAATTGAAAATGAACGGCTGAGCTAGTTGAGACTCGGGGCTTCAAGTTGATAAAGTTGGCATTAACTTGTTCTCTACAATATGGATTTTTCACTTTTCAAGTAAGAAGTTACTGATTGATCAATTAATTGAAGAAAAAATAGATCACACGACTATCAGCTGATTATCACATGACTCGGAGATTGACGAAATTATAAGCTATCAACACATTTCTTAATGTCCGATTGAGCACCAGCTTTACAACTTGAAGTCCATCTCAAACACTTGAAACGGCCGATATTCACACCGAATTGGTCTTTGCGAGCTAGCGTGCTCTGTTTTCTTGACTTGTGTCGATTTTGAAGTCATGGCCGTCGACGAGCAAAAGCTTGCAGAGTCTATCAATTCGCAGATCGAACATGATAAAGGAAAGCATAACAATGGCAAGAAGAAGCATGGGAAGTCTCAGAAAAATGGCGGCAAGGGTTCAAAAGTCAGTGCAGAACACATTGCTGAGGTACGTGCGCAGCGTGAACAGGCTAAAAAGGCTAAACGGGACGCAATGATTGCTAAAGGCCTGGACCCGGACTGTCCTCCGGACCTGCGATTTATTCGCAGGCCAATGCTGTCAATCGTGCCTAAAGGTACACCAAGCACTGGCTTTTCGTTTCGTCTCATGACATACAATTGCCTTGCTCAGGCCTTGATCCGTCGCAAGCTATTTCCCACTAGTGGAAATGCGCTGAAATGGTTCAAACGTTCGCAAGTTCTCCTTCACGAGTTCAAGTACTATAATGCCGATGTCCAGTGTCTACAGGAAGTAGACTACATTCAATACCAGTCTTTTTGGAAGGATGAGTTTTCAAAGCTGGGCTACGACTCCCAATTTCACCGGCACGGAACTAAAAATCATGGCATTGCAATAGTTTGGAAGCGCGAGCTTTTCACAATGTCGGACAAGATGCTTGTGGATTACGACCAGGAGGTTACAGGGCACATCAGTCCGAGAACCACGACCAAAAATGTAGGTTTGGTATTGGCATTGAATTTTACTCAAAAAGTACTCGACCAATTTCCTAACAGCAGCAAGCGCGGCATTCTTGTTGGTACTACTCATCTGTTCTGGCATCCATTTGGAACATTTGAAAGAACACGTCAATGTTACATAGTTCTTGCAAAAATGAAGGAGTTTGAGCATCGAGTCAAGCTGCTTCAAAACTCAGATGGAGCGCAGGGCGAGTGGACGCCCTTCTTCTGTGGAGACTTCAACTCACAGCCTTTCGATGCACCTTATCTTTCGATGTGCTCGAAGCCCGTCGATTACAAAGGCCGTGCAAGAACTGTCATTGAATGTAGCACGTCCTACACGTTTTCAAAAGCTCGCGATGGGGAAGAATGTGGTGATGAAGAAGGCGGAAATATTGAAAAGTTTGGTGACGGTCAGCCGGAGCATCCAGTGCCCTCTGAATTTCATGCAAACGATGAACAGAAAAAATTGGTCGAAGACATGGAGTCACTTCATAATAGTATTGATATGAGGGCTACGTCCATCTACTCTGCTGCGTATAAACATGTTCATGTGGAAAACGCAGGATTGGACAACGATTTCAACGAACCAGAAATATCTAATTGGGCAGAAACTTGGAGAGGACTTCTAGACTACATATTCGTCATACGAAAGTGGGACTACTCAGACAGAACAGTTCCTGATGACATAGAAAATCTTCAAAAGGATGCCGACATTAGAATCAGGAGCTTGTTACGAATGCCCTCTTCAAGAGAAATGCCAGATCACGGACAGCCACACGAAGGAGAATACGGGAGTGACCATCTGTCGATGATGTGCGAAATTGAGTTAAATATGTAGACTGTATACACAGGTTACTGGTGGCCCTTACCACAACCTAAACATCTACAAATTGAAGACCCGCTTCTCATAATTTCTATTTCTTTCTTGGTTTTTTCGATTTCTCTATAGGCTCAAGCTCCATATTGTACTCTTTGTTGTAAACGCTATGCCACGCTTTGACATAGTTGCTCAGTCTTGCCTTTTCGGGATCTGATGAGCTCATAGACTCTAATATTTTGTCTCGCACTTGCTGCAGTTTTAGAAGAGTATCATCCTCTTCCACTAACCGTTGCTGATCGTCAGAGTCTCTACGGACCTCAATCTGCAAAAGATGGTCATGCAACAAGCGAAAATGTTTGTGTAGAGTTGGGTTGCGAAATTCCGAAGGCCTGTACGGACGGCGGAGGCTAAAGTAACTGATCAAAGTGTCCGAAATCTTGTACATCTGTGTGTAGTTTTTACCGCTATCAATATCTTCATACTTTGGTAGCGTCGGCAATTTCCTTGTCTCATCCGCGAATGGTATTCTGGTGAGATAGAATCCTTCATTTTGGTCTCGAGAAGTGGAAGGGCTCAAAACGTAAATAGATGGATGAGAATTATGTTTGAGTTTACCCCATACGATGGCGCATCGTAGTTTTCTCGAAAGAGTTCTGTGGAGAGAGGCTAGAGTTCTGAGCGAGCCCTCGTATTTAGATTCATCTGGAACTACAAAAACACTGCTGGCAATGTTGTTGTAGAAAGATAGGCATTCGGAAGAGCTCTTGAATCCTATCAGTTTCAAAAAGGATTCCTGTTCCGAGAAATCCTTGTTGATTTGAGCAAGCTCATCGTTAGAAAGCTCGATGTCAATTTCTGCAAACTTGTATACTTTTGCAGTTGAATCAGTGACGTCTTCTCCTGTGTTGGCATTCAAATATTTGCGGCGCGACCGCACTTCTTTACGAATGCCATTATGGTCATAAACCTGTCTGTACTTGGTCCCTGTCCGCTCATGAGATATGACGGTGTAGCCCTTGATGGAAACTACGAAATCTTTTGCCTCGTCGAGAATCAATGGACATTGGAAGCGAATACGTTTGATCTCCTTTTTCCGTAAAGCGCGCGCTTTGATCAAATTGGCAGATATTGGAGCTGTGCTAGGACCTTCAAACTCGTACCCCGAGTCCAAGACTTTTTTCTTGGACCCGAACTTGAGCACATCACTATAAAACTTCTCGTCAAAGGGTTTGTCGTCGGTTCCTATGAAAAAAGTGGTGAAGTTGATATAAGAATCGTCTAGATCGTCGATCACCTTCCGGAGACGCTGACGAGCGTTGGAATCGCTAGCCTCCTTCGGTTTATCGTTATCGGTGAATAAAAATATCTTTCTGTTATTGTAGGCTTTTTGGCCTGGTATGTGTTGAAGGAATTGTTCTTGGAGCAACACGAAAACGGTTTCCAAAGAAGCGACACGCCGTTCGTCAAACGGGAACTCTTTTTCCACCGTTGTGATTCCTTTTTTGATGTCTTCAATCTTATCGTTAAGTTTCTTCATCGATCTTACACTGACGTCCAACAGAGGCAGAAATTCGTAGATACTTCCTCGAGCACTTTCATGATTGCAATGGTAGAAAAAGCACCCTAAACCTGTTCCAGGCAGCGTTATGATTACCTGCGACATAAGCTCCAGAAGCGTCTCTAAGATCTCGATAAGTTGAATGTTGTTCAATTCTGCCGGTTTTTCGAACATTGCCCTTGAAAGCTCGATACAAAATATAATACCTTCATGAACTTCGTACTTTCTGTACTTAGCTAGTGATTCAGAATCCCCTTCATTTCCAATTGGCTGTTCCATTGAATCAGATCAAAAGGCTGTGTGTGTTCTTGTGTTATCCTTTACTTTGAACTTTTGGTTCAACAGTGGTGTTTATAGAAATAAGAACTCATCTCATCTCATTTCATCTCATCTCATCTCATCGCCTAACTTTTATAAAAAGCTTCACCTCGAGAAAAAGGCCCATAACGAGACTCTTAAAGACGCTCTAGGATCATTAAACAACTCTTCAAGATGCTGCAAATCATTGATCTGAATGTTGTCACAAGAGAAGATCAATTGGTACCGATTATTCAGGATTGTTTAAGACATCACAGCGCTTTTCTACTGAAAAACTACGCAAATATGGACGCGGTGCAAGCGCTGTTGACAGTGCTGAAAGAGGAAAAACCTAACGCATTGCAAGGATTTGATAGGAGTTTTAGCGGTGCGGAAAGCTTGGAAGGTGGTGTCTCAGTGGAACAATATGTGGGGCGACCAGACAGTTTAGGTTTGCGAAATTCTAATATTGGGAAACTAACCTCTAGATTGATCAGAATCTCTACTTTCTTTGCAAAAGCCTGTTTGGAATCAGCGGGTGGGGCCAATGCAATTTCTGCTGCACTGGACGATGCGAGAAATTGCTGTGTTAAATTTACGAGATTCTACAGATCCACCTCAAATTCTATCCTAGACTTGAACTTCGATTACGAGGACGAGTACAGGCTTCACGGCTCTCCAGGAATCATCTCGGTCTTTCCTGTGGCCCAGGGTATCAAGTATAAAGTCAATGACGGATGGAAAGTGATCGAAGAACCGGATTGTATTTTGGTGCAGACTGGCAGCTTGTTGTCGGCTTTTTCCAATAACAAAACGCATGCTGCGGAGGAAATCAAGTTTCCTACGTCATGCGTTATGCATTTTACGATATTTCCATCATTACAGACTACCGTTTTTGGTTCCAAAACTGTGTTTGACATTCTGCTAGGCAGTCAAATCCGGGACTTCCCGGACGTAACATCAAAGTTATACCCAAGAGAGTTCTCTATCAACGCTCTCATTGCAAAAGTAGATTTCTGCAAAAACATTTTCAACGTCACTGATTCCGTTCTGTCTCTCTACTCGATCTCAAGATCGCTAATGACATCAGCTCCAGAGCTGCACACGCTCTTACCACAAATATCAAACATGCTCAAACGCAAAGTCTCACAGGACGACTTTCTCAGAATGATGAGTATTTGGGACGAGGCCTATGCCTTGGAGTTCAATAACAGCTTCGAGATTACAATACGACCTCCCTCTAGTGGCATCATGAATCATCTGTCGAATAAATCGCGAAAACTAAACTATACAGAGAAGGCCAATGAATGGCTTCTACAGGCGACTCAAGCAGAACATATTCCGTTAAATGTACCTATACTCAGTGTCAGGAAAAGACGGGGAAGTGACAGTCTCGGTGAAACTTCAGAAAATTATAATAATGCTTCCGATGGCAACGATGCTACTGGCCCATCTTCTGGTCGAAAGCTGGCAACCTTAAAGAAAAATAGGTCCAGAGGATACATTTCTAATACCAAAGAGAAGTTTATGTTCAAGGAAGAAACATCGAATGGAGATGTTCCTCTGCTTGAAAGGATTCGTGAGAAAGAGCGGAGAGCAGCAGCATTGCTTTCTCAAAGAGAACGTCACCATGAACAGTTTTTGAATGTCAAGACTTACCAAATTTTCAACATTCTGTTCTCGCTGCCCCAGAACAAACCATACACTATTACGCACCTTACATCGCTGATTATTGATAGCCTTTCAGACAGTAATAATCCTATTGGTGAGAACGAGACGCATCAAGTTCTCTTACGTCTGCAGAACATATTGCCTGACCGCATTCATATGATTGAAGCTGAGGGGGACTTGAAGGTATTCAGATGGACAGATCTTGACAGAGCATTGTTAAAGGAAAGAATGGGCTATATGGCGTGAACAGCTTGCAAATCGAGGTATGTAACACGTCTAGTGTCCCAACACCTTCCAGTCCGGTAACAGAGGCTTAGAACATGGCTTCAACCGAGATGATAGATGCGCCCAAGTAATGGGTTAAATGATATTCAAAGCAAGTCAAGCTCCATAAGCTTCTAAAGGATGCTTGAGGCATACCTTTTGGGTGTCAACAAAGTGCTGGATCAGTCATGTACTTCGTGGGCGCAGTCTTGCCTTAAAAATCAATTAGCGCGTAGGGTATCAATGATTTAATACCATCTGGTCCTGAGACGTTTGGATGATATGCTATCTATTCGTGATGAAAACTATAAAAGATTTTATCAATGTCAATGAATTACTTCATGAAGGGAGTTTTGCTTTATTTTCTGCCGAATTAGCTTCGCTGGGCTATGTCAGCGGCTTTGGAATCCATAAATAGATATTTGAAAATCAATTCAACTGCCCAACTTCCAAAAAAGTCAACCAAAAGCGTTCCTGTAAGCTTGGCTTTGAACAAATCATCCATAGGCACAAATTTCATGGCGGCATTCAATTCAGGTGAGAATTCAGTAGCTCCGGCAAGAGCTAGTCCACCAACACCAAGTAGACCGTAGTACATTCCCTTATTGCTTCTGATACTTTCCCTGAAAGGTTCACCTTGGTAGTTCACTGCAAATGTGGAAACTTGTTGAGTCAACTGGATCATAAAGATACCCGTGTTTAGCAACGATGGAGAAAACTTCTTTTCTAGATCAACTTGGGGCTCACGAGGTTCAATCTTGTAAATTTCCAGCGTGATGTAGATCAGAGTGAGGATATGAATTGCAAATTGGCCTAAAATTGAACCCATGATATAGAAGTTGAAGATACCAGGCTGTGGTCTCAACTTCGATAGTTTTTGCAAAGGTTTACCGCGAGAAATACTGAGGAAGCAAACGGATAATAGAAGGCCTGATGCTGTAGCCTGACCATCGCCAAACTTGACACCTGCAAGATAAATTATCGACAACGAATAAGCGCTAATCAAACAGTTCAAAGCCAAAATTTTGTACATTTGGATAGTGTTGATTAATGCACAACGGCCTTGTCTTACAATATTCGTGACCGCTGATACATTGGCGAGTTTAGAAGTGAAAGGGGCGGCGCAGGAGGCATCTCCAAGTTTCAAAGTGGGAGCATCCTCGCTCTCAGCGTCACCCAAAGATCCCATCACCATTTCTGCCAAGTCGCTAGCCTTTTGTTGTGATACATCCGTCTTTATGGTCACAACCGGTTTGGTGGCTGCCTCAGCTGCTAGCAATTTCATTTCTTCGGTGACCTTTACGCCTTTCTTTTCAAGCGCTTTTAGGTAGTGTGGATTTGATGGACCAGGAGGATAGAGGTGAGCGATAGGCTCTGGTACGGGTGGGGGTTGCTGATTCCATTTTTGCATGAATTGACATTGCTTTTCGTAAAGAGCTTTGGCAGTGTCAATTCGGCGCTGGTCATTCATTTTCTTCAGCCCCTGCTCAGTGCCGTTAAGCAACGCGATACCAACATGAGCTTGCTTCAGGGCACCAACATCATTAGTACCATCACCACACATCAAAGTTTGGTAACCCATGTCTCTCAGGGTGTTCAAAATAAACTCCTTTTGAGTAGGTGAAACACGAGCGTAGACCCAAGTGTTGCGGATAAGTTCTCTCAACTGAGCATGTTGAGCCAGCGCGTTCAAGGCGTATCCGGTCAGAGCGATATCGTATCGAGCAAAAATTTCTGCGTGTTCAAATTTGTCGTTAGCAGGATCAAAAGGCATGTTGATGGTTTCGCTCACATTTCTCAAAACTAGTGTATGGTTCGAGCCATCAGTAGGTTCATCGATGATAAGACATTCGCGTTCCACTATTTTAACTTCTTTGGCAACATGAACAGCAGTAAGAGGGTTATCACCTGTGATCATAACACAGCGGTGAGAGGACTCATTAAGCATCTCGATAGTTTCCGCCGCGTCTTCCTTTAGGGGACATTGAAACACCAAAAAGCCTCTGAATGTGAGGTCAACTTCCACGTCTTTTCTGTCCAGGTTGTCGACTTGTTTTTTGGACAAAGCTTTTAGCTCTTTGGAGGCAAGAGCCAATACTCGGGATCCTGAACGGGTAAAATGCTTGTAAATGTTGTCGTAGTTGGCAGGAACGGATGTTAGTCTCTCGCGAATGGTCTCTGGGGCACCCTTCACTGCAGCAAATGTGGTGTTCTTGTGTTTAGCAATACAAGATGATCTCTTCAAAGCAGAAGAAAATTGAAACCGACGCAAAATTTCGATTTGGCCAACATTATCCTTGTTCGTGGTGTCCTTGGCTCCAACTTTCCAGTCAAAAGCACCAAGGGTTGCTTTTTCCATCGGGTCACCCACTACTTCGCCATCATCGAGTAATACCAAAGCATGAGCAGCACCAACAGCCAAGACAGTTTCGAAAGACGCCTCACCGGCCGATGATAGAGCATCTGGGCTAGTTGAGTCCCTGGAAATTCCGGCCAAACCTTCAAAAACCAAATCTTCGCCTGTTAGAGTTCCCGTTTTATCGAAGCAGCACACGTCAATTCTTCCTGCCAAAGGAATTCTAAATGGCTCAGTGCAGTAAACGTAAAATTTCGACAAAGCTGCTAGAGAGTTATTCACAGCCATTGTGAGCTCCATTGGCAGCTCGGGTGGGACAACAGATGTAATGATTAGAATACAGTCGACAATCAATTTAGACTGGATTCTACCCATTCTTGTACCCTCGGTCCAAACGTACCAAGAAGCGACAATTGCAAACACCAGCAAGAACAGAATGAAGTAAAGAGCTTCCTTGTTACCAACAGACACGCGTTCGGCGGAATAGATCATGACTCTGACGAGAGAACCCTGCGAAGTTTCGAATCCTGTTTTCGTCACTACAGCAAGAGCACCATTGTCTGGAGGTAGAGGGATGTCGGAAAGTTTTTCGGGCACATTCACTTGCAGAGCTTTAGTACCACCATGTAGCACAGAATTTTTATCCAACCCTTCGAGTTCCAACGCTTCGTCGTGTGGACGCAGCTTGATCGATTCCTTCAACAATGGAGTAGATTCACCAGACAACATTGCTTCGTTAACAATACAGGAGCCTTCCACGAGTATGAGATCACATGGCAGTGCACTGTCCTCAGCCGTTCTTGTGACGGACACCAAATCCATAGGTAGAAGCTCGGTGGTGGAGAGCTCTTGCCATTTGTTGTCACGGAAAACATTGATGGGGTAAGGTTTAACAGCCATGGTTCTGAATTCTCTGAGTGTCGTCAATCTTTGGAAAACGCTAGCCGCTTCCATGGCGACAATCATGAAAAGATTGAACAGCGAGTAGTACCACAGCTCGTCCAACAACCACAATGCAACGCAGAAAATTTGAAAGACGAAAAATGGAGCTACAGCATGCTCTTTGAAAAGCTCTGAAAACGATGGAATAGGAATATCAAAGGAGTTATCACCATAAAGTCTTCTTGCGTGAGTGAGATCGCCCGAAAGACCTCTGGAGGTTTGAAAGACTTCGAGTTTGGGGGCCTGATCCACAGCAAACTTAGGAGTAGTAAAAACGCCAGTGTCGGTATCAAGTAAAAATCTTTTCTTTTGAAATTGGAAAAACACTTGCAAATGACCGGCTTCTTGGATACGTCTGATTTCTACAATGTCGTCTGCGCCGTTGTTGGGTGTAGTGTGAATCAAAATATGGGTGGCCTGCTCTAGACCAGCAGCGGGCGTGTAGTCAAAACGACTGGCCACATTGACGTTCCACTGCGGCAAGAGTAAAACCAAAATATTCAACGACACCAAGCCTCCAAGGTAAACGAAGGTCCATTCACCTCCTCTGATATAAAGATCGTACTGTCTGAAATAGAGGTGTGCAAAGGTGGCGTAAAGTGGGATGAACGGAAGAACGTAGGGTCTAAAAAGCTTGTCCTTCTTGAAAAGAAGCTTTGAGTCCCCGACGAGAGGACTCACAACTGGGGACGTCATTTCAGCTTGAATCTCAGGCGATTCTCGAAAGTTTTCGAAATCTGAGAGATCAACCCAAAAGCAAATGAAAAATTTCCTAAACGGTCTTTCTCTTGCTCTCGAATGCTTCAAACACTGCGACTACAGGATTTTGATCTGATTTCCTGCATTGTCCAACACAGGCTGAATTTGGCCATCTTTATATATTCGCCACTCGTAAGATATCGTGTCCCACGATATCTACTATGCGATTTTAGCATGAGCACTGTAGCGTGGAATGAAGTATTCATTGACCCTTTGAAAATATCTTGAAATGATCGGTGGTGTAAGCTCATTGTTGATTTTCAAATTTGGTAGTTCTTTGGATCTTTTCGAGCGCTTAATTTCACTTATTTTGCTTGTCATCGATGCCCAGACTTTCACTTGATCCATAAAGTGATTCAAACAGTACCCGCGTGATTGATTAACTTGCAGTTCCTTTGTAGATAAGCTTTATTCATCTTTTTTGTGCTGAGTCCCTTGTTCAGGTAAGGATGTCAATTCCAGAATACGATGAAATCCAACGAACTTCCACCTTGAAAAGAGTTTGCTCTTCTCTTCAGCACAGCAGAAACAATGGCTTCTTCGGTGAACTTGGTTAACTGAGTTACTTCCACAGCTTTGCTTCTTCAGAGGTTCGTCTTGCAGCTTCGTGAACAGTAAGACCCGTAAAAGAAGCCGTTCTTTCTCACGTCTGGTACATATTCATGAAATCCGTGCTCATTTTTCATCGCCGAACTCTTTTTGGCTTGAATGAGGGCCTTTAGTGGTGCTCTTTTAACAGTGTAAAACATGTGTAGTTCATATAGCCGCCCAAGCTGTTTAATATTTATTTAATTGTCTGCTCATATCATTTCATACGCAGACCCTCTCGTTATTTATGTATACATGCTATGTTGAATACTACGCTACATCATTCAGTCATAGTCACAGCGGTTTGAGCCTTATTCATTGTGAGTCAAATGATCGTCTAAACTCTACATAATTTCTGTATTTTGTTAAGCTAGCCTACACTCTCCAGACTTTCTCTTCTGCCACCATCAAATTATTTCTGTCGCTCATAATCTTGAGGCCGGCGAGATACTCGGGAGCGTTGAACTTATCCTCTTCGGCCAGATCTTCATTAACTTTATCCAGCAAGGCAGCCAAGGGATACGACTCGTCTTCGAAAAGATCGGTTTGCATCAGTTGAGCCATAATGCTCGAGAAAAGTGACAGTCTACTGGTGGAAATTGAGCCTGGCTCCATCGTATCGGCTGAAACAATCTCCTGATCGTGCTGTGGAGGCTCTGCGGTAAGTACAGGCCTACTGTGGAAGTTTTCTGCCGCCGAAAGAATGTGGCGACCATCTTCTGTGACAGGAGCGTCACTTGGTGGGTTTTGCACTTGTTGCCGTCTCCGTGGAGAAACGCGAAGTCCACTTTCTAGTCTTCTTTGTAAGTCACTTTCTTGGTCTTCTGGCAAAGCAGTCATATCTGAGGCATCTTCCTCCATGAACTCGTCCTGCTCCACATCCAGGCCTGCATTTTCCTCGTCAGTTTCATTATCTGAAAAAATGTTTCTGCGCCTGCCATTTCCACCTCTGGTTGGCGTACTGGTGCTTGGGAATGGGGCCCTGGTTGGTGAAGACTGAAGTGGAGTGATGGCAGGAACCCCGTGTCGTACCCTTTGTTTCTTGCGCGGGGACTTGGTTGGTGACCTCTGAGTATCGTCGCCCGCATCTAGATCAGGACCGAAATCTTCTTCACCCAAAAGGGCAAACTTCAGAAGCTGGGCAGCAACCCGGGCATCTTGGCGATCTACCGATCTTGAAAGCCTAACTTTAGCATGAGCTGAAGCCAATCTGATGAGTGTTTCCAGAGTTCTGGGGGTGATTGGGGATTTCTTCGTGTTCTGATCGTTTCTTAGGTCAGAATACGTTTTCACAACCAAAGCGGTTGCTTCGTGAGTCAGCGTTGGTGAAACTCTTTCCTTGGTATATTGGACATATTTCCGTAGAAATGGAATCGAAACAATCTGAGGTAGTTCCGTTCCTTGTCGATTTCCTCGGTTCCTTGCCAGCTTGGCACCCGCATGTAACAATGGATTGAACTTTTCAAAGACTTTGTTTTCGTCGTCATCATCATCGTCATCCTCCTCTTCTTCATTCACGGCAGCTTCCTCTCCCACGGACAGAGATAAGTTGATGGCCTCCCTTATCGGTTCACCTTCCAAGTAGCCAGGGGGGAGATAGCGATGTGTTCTCAAAACGTGTTCGCTGATGGCCCTGTCTGTGTTTTCATTGATATCGTCCGTAACCACGAACAGTAAATCGAATCTCGACAACAAGGAATCCGGAAGAGCAATGTTGTAATGAGGGTCTTTGTTCAAATCGTACTGCCCAAAGACGGGGTTAGCGGCAGCAATCACACTACAACGCGCGTTCAGAGTTGTGTGAATACCAGCCTTTGCAATTGTCACAGTTTGTTGTTCCATAACTTCATGAATCGCAACTCGATCCACGTCGCTCATTTTGTCAAACTCGTCAATGCAAACGATACCACGATCAGCTAAAACCATGGCACCCGCCTCCAGTCTTCTTTCTCCGGTCTCGCGGTCCATCGTAACTGCCGCAGTCAAACCGACCCCCGATGAACCTCTACCGGTGGTTGCTATGGCCAGTGAAGCTGTGTTCAGAACAAACCTCAGCAATTGAGACTTTGCTGTGGAGGGATCACCGACCATCAAGACATTGATATCACCTCTCAGATGCGAGCCATTTTCAAGGTTCTTTTCGACACCACCCAATAACATGAGCAAAATTGCCTTCTTTATGTGATCATGTCCGTAGATGGAAGGAGCCAAGGATTGCGACAAAAGGTCGAAAATATCATCCCTTCTTGATAATTTGTTGATATTTCTAATGTCTGAATCCGTCAGAGACTGTTTGGCTGCTACACCGGTCGACCTCGCGTGCAACGGATATACTGTATTAGCTAGAATCATCGTCTTGAATCCTGATAGCGTTGCACCTTGTTCAGAACCTGAGTTGAGCCCACCGCCTCCTAATGACTTGTAAACACCCACTATATTCACTCTATCGCCCGGTTTGGTCTTGTCGACAAGATCTTCGTCCATTATCACGTCGATGGATCGAGGCAATTGTCCCGGAGGAGCCTTTTCCGGCATTTCTTGTACCGTGACACGTTGATGATCGATGTAGGTCGAATAACCGTATTCTGTAGTTAGCCTATTTCCCTCAGGATCTTCGGTTGGGTATATGGCTGGTGTGGGGATTTGCGTGGTTAAACTGGTAGTTGCATCTCTGTAGTCCCTGTAGTGGAAACGGCCAGTTTTCTCAGCGTAGTGGACCGATCTCAAAAGCTTTGGTCTGACCAACGAGACTTTGGTAACAATTCCCTCGATCGAGAGAAGCTTGTTCAGATGGTGTGAGTTCAGAGTTCTTGGTGACAGTGCATGAGCACCGAAAGACCCACGGAAAGACAGCTTCCACTGCTGTGCCGATGCCACATTTGTACCTGCTCCCGAACTCGTGTGGTTTTCTTCCAGTATCATGGCTGTTTCGGTCACAGCTCTCTCTGCAGCGGGGACGAATTGTGCAGGAGTGTTGAGTACACCGGTCCAAAACGAGCGGTCAAACTCCCGTAAGTCGTCCAGCGACACGGTTACCCGCTGTGGGAGCTTTGCGTATTCAATTTGGGCTTTTTTATCCTCCTCATACCCTGGCTTCGCGTCTGGCATGTTGAACAATTGGACCGATCTTATCGCATCTTTATAGCTCGTAAAAGTGTCCAAAAATTCCTGGAATCGACGCACTCTGTCGCTAAAAACCGCATCTGGTGTTGCATTGATTGCTTCCATCTTTGTTGATGCCTCTAATTAGCTGTTAAGTCCCCTCAATGGCGTGGGTTTTCCACTTTTTATCAGATCTTCACGTCCTCGACAACTTTAAATTCTAATTCTTGAAAAGTTACCATAGGGCTAATTAGTTTTCCTCAAATGGTAACTGACGCGAGAAACCATGAACTATGTAGACTAAAGGATGAGGATTAACGATAATGTAGGTTTTAGACTATTCTCGAATTGGTGAACCTCAAACAGTGGGATAAGTGTTGAAGCTACTCTTCGTAACGTTGCTACAAACGTTGCTACAGTCACTTTACGATGAACTGGGTCTTTATTGTGTGGGTAAAGATGAATCAATGAAGAATCTTGTAGCGTAGAGCCATTTTCAAGTCGACTGTGATGATCGATGATTCTGTTCCCGGCAGTAATTCGTGCGGTAAGTGCGGATTTTCTGGTTGGTATTGACAAATTGTGAACTTCACTGGCTCTTTTGTTGCAAGATGTCAGAGAAACGTAAAACGATGTGGGTAGATGTAGAGCGTTATAAGGTTGAAATCAGAGGCTAGACCAACGTACCTATACAAGTGGGAACCGGGGATTAAGAGAGAAATCGGGTTGTAGGCAATGAAACGTTCAATTGTATGAAACTGGCCTTGAAGGCTTTCTTGTTGTGATAGTGATATTTCAAGCAGGGACCTGTTCGTACATTGGCATATGGAGAAACCTTTCTATAAGAGCTGGTATACAGCCTGTATATATTCAAAAATTGAACTCAATTCATGCTACTTGAGGGTGCCCCATATATTCTCTATATAAGCTCGCATGTATAGTGTGCTCCAAAGTGCGCTCCAAGTACCGGACAGTCTTCATATCGTGCGTAGCGTTCCACACACGCCGTTGCCCTCTCTGCGTATTACCTGTTGCCCGAGGGCAAAATGTTAACTAAACGTTTAAATACATGGTACAAATATCTGGAATAAAGACTGGTGCTGCATATGACCGCCCCTGCTTCCTATGAAGCCGTTTAGTCGGATCTTGGAGCCTCCTTGCAAGAGATGGCGGCTTCTTCACCCATGGCGGAGATGATGGTGACCATCATGTCCTTACCCTCCTCGAAACCGGCCTGGATCTGCTCGCCAATTTCTCCATCTGGGGCACGGACATCGTCCTTGGTGTCACCGTCCATGGTCATCAAAGACAAGTAGCCATCGTCGATGTCCAACAACTGGTATTCGGTTCTCTTGACGTTAGGAACGTCCATGTTGTGGGTCGAAGGAGACAAATCTTCCAACTTCTTGCCGGTGAAAATGTCAATGGCGACCAAGTGCACTTTGGCGTGACCGTGCTTACCGGTCTTGGAGGTGGACATGTCCACGATCTTGCAAGGTCTGCTCTTGATGACAACGAAACCGTTCTTTCTCAAGGCGGAACATTGCATTGGGTAGGTCAAAGAGGAACCGGCATCGGCGGTCTCAAAGGTGTGTTCTTCTTCAGCCATTGTGTATAGATGAGTTCAAGTGTGTGAGTGTCTGGGCTCTTTTAACAAAAAGAGAAGAATCTTTTTCAAAAAAAGAGCTAACTCTCCAGAACAAGATGGGCGGAAGTACGCCCGTAGATGCCTGGCCTTGCTGCCTTTTATACTCACCCGTTTGCCTCTTGAAAAAATTTTTCACCGCGTAGTAGCATCGAACATCATCGTTCTTTTTTCCCACAAGTTGCGGACGTGTATCTTGACATGGTGTTTGAAGCCCTGGATGGTCTCGTGGGACCGTGCGGGTAATGGGTGCGGTGTTGGGCCGATACAAAGATCGCCTTAAAGTTTTGTTGGCAACCTGGGAAAAAGCCCGACCGATAGTTGGAATTGAGCGCACAAGATGGTTGAATGGTTGAGGCTGGCCAGTCATCAGTCTTTGGCTATGTTTGTGCGTGGTTGAGGACACTCGTGGTCGCACGTCAGCTCAATTCTTGATTGTAGTATCTACAACGGGGTTATCGGACAGTGTTAAGTATGAGAAATCGCAGAATGTACTCGAGACCCAACTTGGTACGCGAGCATTGCGGCGCTGTTATGGGGAAATGGAAACGGGACAACACGAACGAGACACCTAAGTAGCTTGGTAAAGTTACATTGCATTGGAAACTGCACTTTGAGTGTTAGTGTGTGTAGTTTTCTCTCAAATCTGCTTGTTGTTCTCTTGTTCTGTCTGTGTATCAGAAGTTTAAACCTCTTTTTCGCTTTTATGTTGTCCTTATATACACGAAAAAAGGCGGAGCTCGGCGGCTAAATAGGGGTGGGGTCAATCAATAGACCACAAGTCGGCTGGCATAGTTTGTGAAAGAGCGAAAAAGGCTAGTTTAAAGATACTTGTAAGGGACTGGTCTACGGCAATGCTCGTTATGATAACATTTAGTGGTCGAAACTTTGTTTTTTTTTTGTCCGTAAGATATGGGTAGTTTAAGTGAGCTAGCGAGCCCCTGTTTTATGGCTATTTATTGGAAGAGTAATGAGCACAACCTGGCGGTTAAGAGCGCTCGAACCGCACAAAACCGCCCAGAAAGAGCTATAAACGCGTTTCATGCCCTCAGTGGATGGTCAATGCAAGGCTGGAGTAAATAATACGCTAACTTTATAGTCTTATTTATCTTGCATTTACTCGTTGATTCCTACTAATAACTGCATATGAAATAAGTAAGACCAGGCCATGAATGATTATAATATTTCGTACATAACGATTGACTTTTCTATGGGGAATTGAGTGATCTATAGTAGTGTGGATTATCATTTGAGTTTATCGGGTATGGACTTTCCCAATCAATATTGGTACGGTGTCCTTCATCTGGTTAGAATTGCCGTTTGTTAGTGTAAACATAACTGATCGTATAGAGTGATAGTGTTTTTTCACCTTGTCCATCACGGTCAGTCCGAACAAATGGTTCGAGGTGAAGAGAGTAGCCATAGTTTGATTAGCCGTTGTGAAGATTGTAGCGTGGTGGTTTTGACCTTTGGAAGAAACCCTCCGGTGCCTGTAACTATGTACGGAACGCGCTCAGCTTATAGTCGACGCCAAACTGTTTGCGGCTAAGCTGTGATTGGCCACTTGAGAGTACCCATTAGTGTTGTCAATGTGCTTCTAGCCTCGCTATGTTGCTATATTTTCTCTCATTAGCGTTCCTGTAGCCCTATTTTTTTTTCACAACCGGTATAACGGCCCCAGGGTTCATAACTGACAACTATCAATGATTCATGTTCATTGTCAACGAGGCGCTTTTACAAGCCTAACCTTCAAGTTTGTAATGCCAGTGTCCAAATCATAACTTGTTCTTTAGCTGTCTCTTCAGTAAAGGAAAGGGCACCTGGTCACATGCTCGTCATATCTAAAATCTCAAAACGTTACCCGACCTTTTAATAAAAGCCGATACATATAGATCATGTGATCATCACATGATTCTTAAATTGAGGATAGCCACCCACACACCAATATTACCCGTCCCTTCTCTCCCGTGACTACCTCATCACATGATCCATACTTTTGATCTTCTTCACTTCTTATCACTTTTTCCCTTTCTGTCATCATCCAGCACAACACACTCAATAATTCTCAAGATATTGAAAATATATGAAAATATTGAACCAACTAGCTGAAATACTAAGAAAGAAAATCAAATAGACAAAGCTCACCACTTGTACACGCGCTCCACTTTCTCATTTTCCAGCACCCTCACCATCCCGCAATGAAGCACTCTACAACGGTTTCGGTGGTCGGGCTGGTGCTGACGGCCCTGGTGGTGATTCGGCTGCTTTTGATAGGGAACAGCAGCATCGTGGTACGATTTGCATGGCCGCCTTTCATTGTGTTCCGATCTTATGTGCCATCGTTTGAAAACGTCCCAAACGTGCAGTTCTACGACCTGCGTAACTACAATGGTAAGCCTGACGGATGGCAGCGTGGAGACCGCGTCCTGTTCACGGTACCGCTTAGGGACGCAGCTGAACATCTACCTATGTTTTTCGAGCATATGGCTCGCACCTCGTATCCACACAACTTGATCGATCTTTCGTTCTTGGTCAGTGACAGTTCCGACGACACCATGGGCGTGCTGCTAGCATACTTGCAGAAGGCTCAGTCGCAAACTGACCGCAGTAAACGGTTTGGCAACATTGAAATCTACGAAAAGGATTTTGGCCAAATCATCGGACAGTCGTTCTCAGATCGTCATGGGTTTGCAGCCCAGGGTCCCAGACGTAAACTGATGGGCCGGGCCCGTAACTGGCTCGGATCTGTGGCTCTCAAGCCGTACCATTCGTGGGTTTACTGGCGTGACGTGGACGTGCAAACTATCCCACGTACCATATTGGAAGATCTCATGCACCACGACAAAGACGTGATTGTTCCTAATGTTTGGCGTCCACTGCCGGATTGGCTCGGGAATATTCAACCATACGACCTGAACTCGTGGCAAGAGTCTGAAGGAGGTTTGCAATTGGCAGATTCACTTGACGATGACGCTGTGATCGTCGAAGGGTATCCGGAGTACGCTACGTGGCGTACGCATTTGGCGTATATGCGGGATCCCTCTGGTGACCCTGAAGTCGAAATGGAACTGGACGGTATCGGAGGCGTGTCTATCTTGAGTAAAGCCAAGGTTTTCCGCGCGGGTTCGCATTTCCCGGCATTTTCGTTTGAGAAACACGCTGAAACCGAAGCTTTTGGTAAATTGTCGCGCAGACTAGGCTACAGTGTAATCGGGCTGCCGCATTATGTGATTTGGCATATTTACGAACCTTCGTCTGACGATCTCAAGCACATGGCCTGGATGGCCGAAGAAGAGAAGCGCAAAGTAGAGGAAAACAAGATTCGTGAGTTTTACGACAAGGTTTGGGAAGTTGCATTCGATGACGTTCGTGACGAATGGGAAACGGAAAGACTTCAAGTTATGAAAAACATTGATCCTAGCTCTGTGAACCGTCATATCACGGTCGATTGGGACGGTATTGACGACGATTTTGCCGAGGAAGCGACCCAGAACGACAAACCAGAAGACTTCGCTAAAGAAGGTGAACCAGAGGGCCTCAAACCCGAGGATGGAAAAGACGAAAACTCTCAGAACCCGGACTCAAAGGACGCCGAAGTTAAGGACTCCGACAAGAAGCCCGAGGCTGGCGATGTTGGAGCTGCTGAGAAGCCCAAGAAAAACCCGGACGAAGTTGAACAACTCGATTTCGATCCCGATATTTGAGCATATCATAGATAAATTTTTTTTCTGTATATTATCGTCTTTTTGCCGAGTATCTTGACCAGTTTTATAAAGCTTATTATCTACGTGAAAAGGTTGCGTTCTGGCGAACTAATTTCAAATCAACAAAGCAAGATATACAAGACGCTAAATTGTCACCAAGTGGTGTTCTTTTCCTTGTCTTCCTCTTACCACAGCGTTAGATGACAGGAAAACAATATCCAAATTACGCCATAATGGTACGAAGTGATATGAGTTCTAAAATCACCTACCGATGAAATCGACCAAATTGCTAGATATTGATGAAGCGGTAGCTGTAATGCATCGGGACCCCAACCACGTTTATCCCTCTTGCTTTTGTCTATTTTTTCTGCCAACTTGACGAAAAATGAAAACCGCGAATTTTTCAGCTTCCATAGGGAACTTTGGTAGTCAAAAATGGCTGCAACCTCCTTATTTGTTTCCTTGGGGTTTCACAGCTTCAACACAGCACGTTTCATCCGCAAGTTTTTGGTCCCGATTTTTGGCCACTTTGCATTTCCCAAAGTCCTTTCTTTGGCTCTTTTCCATAGATTCGTGAATAGCACAGCGTACAATCATCCAAAATTCACCGTTGAAAAGCCAAAAATTACACAAAACTCAACAGTACAAATCTCAAATCTTATCAAAAGGCTATCTCGTTGCATTCCCTCACCTAAAATCCATCAACAAAAACGCTTCAACTATCTCAGCTTTTTTCCGTGTCGTCCGACCACGTGACCCAAATTGGTTTTTGACTGGTGGCAAATAATATAGCCCGGGACCCTCATCGCATTCAACTTAACTTGTTGTTCAAGGACCGAACAACGCCCGAACAACACAATCCAGACGTTAATCGATGGTCAAAATCAACTTTAAGGACTTCAAAAAACAAGTTCTGAGCCTGGAATTCGAACCAACGGTCACAATCGGTGCCGTGAAGCAGAAACTAGCCGAAAACAAGGACTGTGACGAATCACAGATAAAACTCATCTACTCGGGCAAGATCCTACAAGATGACCGCCGCATCGAAGAGTACAAGCTGAAAGAAGGTGATCAGGTCATCTTCATGGTTTCCAAGAAGAAATCCACCACCACAAAAACCACGTCACCACCCATAGAACACAGACAGGCAGTCACCAGCGTTCCACAAGCAACTGGATCTGAATCCACACCTTCTGCTGAACAAAACACACCAAGTGCAGAGAATATCGGCGTAGGAGAAACTACGAACCGTAGTGATACCGGGTTTGTGACTGGTTCTCAACGAGACGAGACTGTTCAGAGGATCATGGAGATGGGATACGACCGCGATCAAGTGGAAAGAGCACTCAGAGCTGCTTTCAACAACCCAGATAGAGCTGTTGAATATCTATTGATGGGTATCCCCGAAAATCTACAGCAGCAACAACAACAACAACCACAAGATTCATCTCAGCAGCAGGCTGAACCGCTAAGTCAGTCTGGCGCACCATCACAACAAGCACCAGAAGGGTCTCAGGTGTCTCACCAAGAAACCACGGCACCCGAGTCTGGAAACCCACAGGACCACCCAATGGCTGCAGACGACCTGTTTGCTCAAGCGGCTGCCACCGCCGGCGGCCCTGAAAGCTCTGAAAGTGGACGTGCCCCAGGAACTATCGGACTCACCATGGAAGACCTTCTATCTCTCAGACAAGTCGTAACAGGAAACCCAGAAGCTCTTGCACCTCTACTGGAAAGCTTGAGCACAAGATATCCAGAGCTACGCGAACAGATCATGAGCAACCCTGAGATGTTCATCAGTATGCTTTTAGAAGCCGTGGGTGGCTCTCTACAAGAAGGCGACATGAACCTGGAAGGTGCACTTGAAGGTGGCATTGCTGGCGAAGGAGGAGAGGAGGGACAGGCTCCACCTACGATCGAGCTAACTCCTCAGGACGAGGCCGCTATTTCGAGACTATGCGAATTGGGCTTTGAAAGATCTCTAGCTGTTCAAGTCTACTTTGCATGCGACAAAAACGAAGAGATTGCCGCCAACATGCTTTTTAGCGAGTATGCGGATTGAATGAACTGGGATGTGTAATTTACCTCTATTCAAAAATAGGAGTATGTAAATATTTTAGATGTCAGATTGAAACGCATCAACATTTTTTTTGGCAGTTCCCTTATAAAACGTTAAAATTGGTGATAGATTTGTATTTGCCCATGTTTTCGACGGGTGGGTTTCCAGGTCTCACGACTAATGTTACCTGTAATCCTGCATCTTTAGCAGCATCCAGTTCTAAGGGATTGTCGCTTAGGAATGATATTTCTTGAGGCGGAAGCCCAATATCTTGGGCGATTTTCAAGTAAGATTGGCTACTTGTCTTGATTCCAGCGGTGTTGATATCGTAATAGTTTTGTAAGTTTGGGCGTAGATCTATGGTCCCTTGCATACCAGCAACATATTGAAACAAAAGTTTCTGAGCTTTCACTGATCCGCTGGAATAAATGTATACAGGTTTTTCTGTCGTTTGAATATAATCTATAGCGTCCTTGTAAACAGGAGCGGTGATTTCACCATCAGCGTAACCGTGAAGCCAAACTAAACCTTGCAATTCTTTCAGAATGGGATCTTTGATATCTTGAGACACCATACTACGAATATGAGCTACGACATCGTCGACTTCGAATTTCTGCAATAATGATCTGATGTGAGCGTCTTCTGAGTGCGGCAGAGAATCAACTTGTTGAAGAAAGTAAGGGAAAAGGGTCTCTTTGACAAAGGAAATCGGGCACACTGTTCCCTCGATATCGAGAAGAAGTGCTGAGAAAGACATTGGCGATTGGGGTTTCAAAGAGGTTGTGAATGGGTTGATAGTTGAAAGATGATCGTGAGTAGAATTAGAAGTAGATATAGGTTATGATGAGAAAAGCGTATTTCGTCTTTAGTGATGTGATATTTTAGATATGTTAGGATCAGCCCAATGACGGAGACGAGTGGTTAGGCAGGTAGGTGATGGTTCTAGTTTGGGAAGGTTTCTCTGGGCGACTAATAAAATTTTTATTGGTTATCTGGGTTTGAAGTGGTGAATGTCCAGTCAATGAAAGTGAATGACATTTCAAGAGTAAGAAATACGAAATTGTGATTAAAAGATGATAAGACTGGGTGAGATTTTCAAACGTAAAAGAAAAGGGTGAGCTCTGAGTTCGAGAGTACTCTAATACCCAGTTACCAAATCTACAGGAAATAACATAGGGTCTGAACTGGATAAATCCGAGAAAAGCATGAATGGCGTGTAGCTAACTGGAAACTCAAATCACAATATACGAGTGTGTCGCTGTCGTTTTCTCAAAACGATGTCGCTTTTGACGACCGATGGTTGCTATCACTTTAGACGCTTCCTGCTATCGAGGAAAAAAGAAAACAAACAAACAAGGAGTATTTGCTCCATCCATCCACCCACACACCCTCTTTTACATCACTTTGTCCGTCTCCTGACGCCCACGACACACCCGTCCAGAGTGATTCTATTTTTTCCCACAGGTTCCCTTCGTTCGCCTACACGATTTTATTATCCCACCACCTACCACCACCTCCTACCGCCCCCACACTCCCTCTTCTCACTGTTACGACCGAAAATTCCACATACCTCATGATCTTGTCCTGACCGATAAAAAAAAATAAAACACCCACTAACTAACTCAAATCCTCGTCCCAGCCCCAGCCCATTCTCCCACCAATCATATCGCTGTGTTGGCTCTTAAGCCCATCATCCTCGAGCTAACTCTACCATACAAAAAATTCCCGTAATTCATTCAAATTTAAATTTCATGCATGCAAATATGCAAGCAAGCACGCACATACAGCTGTCGTGCCGTGCGCTCAATTTCTGCAACGTACCAATGTTTCTATGATTCCCGATAACTGCCAGCCCACTAAACCCATTTACCATCGCTGTCATTCGTCCACAGTGCATGCAACAACGGCAGCGAAATGCGAAAAAAAAATATTCAAGCAAAATGAGCAGCTAAAAGTACTCGTGGTGGTCTTTCGGGTAGCTGTCCCGATACATGACTCGCAACGCCGATGTATCCGATCAGTGTAGAAATCTATGCAAATGCTTATAGTTTTTTCTGTATTGGACATCGCCTGGATGATTTTTTTTTGCAAGTATTTAAAGCTTCTTGTTAGTATAAGAATCTTGATATTCTTGTTAATCTTGGATCATTGAGTTGATTTTTGACATAGACCCATAATCAATATCAACCAATAAATTATAATGCCAGCCCCATACAAGAAAGGATCCGAGAAGAAAGGTGCTACCCTTTTCAAAACCAGATGCATGCAATGCCACACCATCGAACAAGGTGGACCTAACAAGGTTGGACCTAATTTGCACGGAATTTTCGGTCGTCGCTCCGGTAAGGCTGAAGGTTACTCTTACACTGAAGCTAACATCAAGAAAGATGTGGAATGGAACGAACAGACCATGTCTGACTACTTGGAAAACCCAAAGAAATACATCCCAGGAACCAAAATGGCTTTCGGTGGTCTAAAGAAAGAAAAGGACAGAAACGATATTGTCACTTACATGGTTAAAGCTGCCAAATAAGCGTGCTAGCCAAGAAGGGAAGAAAAGAGGAAGATTCAAAAAGAGAATAGGTTTTCTCAGTTTTTTCGATCTCAGTCTTTGCATCCCAGATTTCACATCTCATAAAATCTCTCATGACTCGGTTGTGTGCGTTAGTCGGTCAATCTTTTTGACTCGCAAACACACAACTCACTATTTATTCTTTTGACCTGCGACTTTTTTAATATAGCCTGTATTTAGTTTTTAACATAGATTCGACCCGTAGGGCGTGGAACTTTACAAAGAAATTGACAAAGGAACTTGACAATATGCTGTGACATTGGGAAAATATTGGCCCAGCCAGCCGTGCCGCTAGCGCTTTACAGATATCTTGTCTTCGAGGTCCAATCTGCTTACCTTGCTAACAGTACACTCAGGTGTTCTTCTCTATATCTAAAAAAAATGCTAATACACACAGACTCACCACTAAATATTAAAATGCACTTACACGAACGCCAATGCGGCTCCCAAAACAGCCACCAAAGCGTGCAGCAGCGTGTTGGCGTCAACATTTAGAGCGCCAGCTCCCGCACTGCTCGAAGAGCTCTTCTTTATGTCCTGAACAAAGCCGGAAGCAGCGACTTGCGAAGAGCTGGAGCTGCCAGAGGCTTCCTGGGCAGCCGTGCCCGTGCCAGTAGATCCACTCTTGGTGCGGCTCCTTGATGCCGCACTTTGAGTAGTAAATGGTTTCGCACTGGTGCTGCTGGACGATTTAGATGACGATGACGAGGACGACTTCCCACTTTCGGGATTGAACCCACTGTCCTCCAGACTGCCGAGAACCGTGGTATCGTTTGTGATGGCCACGCCAGCCTGGGTGAAGTTCTTGCTGTCAAAGTATCTGTACGCAGTGGATCCATTGCGTCTGGTACCGGAGGGAGGGTCGTAACATGTGATGTTCACGCTCTGAATCGTCGCATAGTAGTAACCGGGATCCTGGATATCTGGAGCGTTCCAGTCAATCTCACCACCGGCCCATAGCTTTGTCCAGTACGAGCTCACGTTGGTACCACCTGGCCAGATCGATAGCTGGATACGCGATGGTGTTTGTGGGTAATCGTATAATCCGGTCGAGGCGTTGTAGGTGTGGTTCTTGTAGAGAGTTCTTCCGACTTTACCGTCCACTAGCCAGTCGAGATGGTCCTCATGCCAGTCGATTTCGTAGTCGTGGTAGTTCTCGAAAGTATCGCTAGCGGTAATGTTCTTGGAATGCGTCCAGTTCAAGTCACCTTCGAAATAATAGTTGGTTTGGACATTGGTCAAGTTGGCTCCGACAAATTCATAATCGATTTCATCTTGAACAGAGGAAAACATGATAAAAGCTGTCACCACACCTCCCAAATGAGAAGTCTTCATACGTGCGCTCACTTTTCCGTACCACATGTATCTCGTAGACGACAACACCGCACCTGACGAGTACTGAGGCATCGTCAACAAAAGCGCATTTTCGTCATCATAGTCTGCGATTGATCCCTCGTAGATCCAGTCATTGGCCGTTGCATCACCAAGGAATGTGTACTGGTTGGCGACATTACTGCTATAGTTGCTGAAAATGGTCTGTGAATCCTTGCAAATGGGCATTGCCATACATGCAGTCAAATTGTAAGAAAATCTTGGATTACATCCACCCAAGCAGTAACTGCCAGACCCACAAACTCCGTATTGCGAACAACATGGCTTGTCATCGGGACATGCACCGACGGTTCCGTTACAGTACACCGTCTCGTCACTAGACGCCCTCACGATCGACCCGAGCAGGGCGACAATTGGCAACAGAATCAGCCTCAATTCTTTCATTGTCGTGAATGTGTCGACTTTTCAAAGAAACCGCTTGCCTTCAAGAATTCTAGATCAGAGTCCAGGCCTTCCCGCCAAGTCCGCCAACCAGGCTCCCAACTTTATATCATCGACGCCATTAGAAGTTTTTCTCGACGGTTGGTTAGTATTTTTCTTCATTGAGAGAACCGCGAAAAAAATTTATCTGCCATCAGTGACTCCTACAATTGGAAATTTGGCTTCAGCTTAGGTGCTTTCGCGGCGTCAACGGCTCTCGGGCGATACTGATTGACTTCAACATCTGTAGAATCTTCGTCTTCTTCCTCTTCGTCGTCTGAAGGAGCACGCACTTCTGGCGCATCTCTTTTCTGTTTTTCTGTATCTGTGACGTAGTTCTTTTGATTCTTCTGGGATAGCATATGGGCAAAGCTTTTCTGTGGTTCGCGCGCGTTCCAGTTCAAGGTTCTGCTGATGCTATCAATGAATTCCGTGGGACTAGACTCGAGCGTAGGAAACGAGTGTGGACTTGCAGTGATGCAGATGTAATCACCTTTAAACAGTTCGACTCGGTTCTTCCCGTCAAAAGCGGCCCATGCGGTAGATCTTGAATTTAAAGGCACTTTAACCTTGAGCTTCATACTGTCAGGCAAAATGATGGGACGGAAACTTAGAGTGTGTGGACAAATTGGGGTGACGGCGATAGCGTTAACGCTTGGGTAGACTAGAGAACCCCCAGCGCTCAGGGAATACGCTGTTGACCCTGTGGGTGTGGCGATAATCAAGCCGTCCGCCTGGGCGACCGTCAGTAGCGAGTTGTCGCCAAAAACTTCTAGCATGGAAATAAAGGCACTGGGTCCACGATCAATAGTCAATTCGTTAAGTACGTGATATTCGCCGATCATGCTGAATTTCTTCTTGGATCGTGTGCCATCCTTGTGTGGTTTACGTCTCCGGAACACACGGCATGACAACCGCATTCTCATCTTGCTTCTGATCTTGGAGTTCAAAACGCGTGGCAGCGACTGTCTGAAGTTTTCGTAGTTAAAATTGGTTAAAAAGCCCAAGGATCCGAGGGAGAACGACATCACTGGTGGGATACTTCTTTGAAAGAGTGACGAGACGTAAAGCACGGTACCGTCACCGCCTAAAGTCACAATTAGGTCGAAAAAATCGTCTTTTTTCGCCACCAACTCGGGGGTCCAGCACTTGATTCTATGCGACGCACATCTGCTGTCTCGAATGATACCAGGGGTGTCAAACTTGCTCGACTTCTCTACGGACTCGTCGACATATATCTGGATGCCGGGGTAGTTGACCAGAATCCACTCGACCATTTCTCTTGTAAGGTAAACGAGGGAGCTATCTTGTTTTTTGGTGACAATCATGAGCCTGTTGACCTCCAATGTAACAACGGATTTCTGAATGTCTTTGGATAGCAAACGCATGCCGTGTGCGGTTGACGACAGTTGCGCATGTGAGGTTGCCCGTCTCATATCGTTTGAGCCCACAGAAAGCCGTCTAAACACCTTTTGAGCAGCCCATCCAGAGTCCGAATCGTCATCGCCAGAATCCATTGGATCTTGTATTGGCACTGGAGGTTCCTCTGCGTTCAATGGGGTCATTTTACTACCCAAGATTCTATTGCGATCCGCCAAATGCGAGACACTTTTGGACCTCTTGCTCTTGTTTTTGAAATCCTTTTTGTCCTTCACATCAGGGTTGGGTGACGACTTCCCAGTGCTTTCCGTTAAAGCTCTTGACAAAGGCGACAGTTCTCTCGAAAGAGGTGAAGAAACCGGAGAATCAGCGTCCCTGCCCATGTTTTTGCTTTGAATTGTTGGTTTCGTTTCGAAATAAAGCCGGCCCTTGTGAAACCGTGTTAGCTAGAGTATTATCAAGTCAAATCTGGCAAAGCTTTACTGCAAGGGATCTATTATTTCGCTTGTTTTGTGCGAAGGGTTCGACAGGGTGCAGTTTGAGATCACTTGAGCTACAGAGACTAAAATCAACGCAAAACTTTCGTTGAAAAGCCTGTTGTAACTTAAAATGAGATTCTGAATCTAATGAGAATCTTTCCAAGGTTCAAAAGCGTCGCTTTCAAGTGTTCTTGACAGTTTTTTTCTGACGTGGAGCTCTTATAAAGTTTAGACAGGAAACTTGTATCCCTCCATCATATCGAACTTTTAACAATGCATCGCAGAACACGAAGGTCATCAGGTTCGAAAAGCTCGAGTAGAAAGGAAGCCGAGCATTAAGCTCAAAATAAGATGAATATACTAAATACTTGTAATATAATCGACTTCAATTCGTAGAAGTACAAATAACACTTGTAGGTCCTTTTCACTGTACTTTTTGTTTTCGAGCAAATCAGTTCTCAGAGATCTGACAGCTCCAATTCTCGCCGTCGAGTAATGGGAGCGAGGCGCCCAGACACCATACGAGCTCGCTATCGGCAAGTTTCTCCGCGGTCTTGAGTTCACGGTTGAGAGGAATGTCGTAGCCGGTATGAAGTAGGGACACTTGGAATGTCAAGTCGAGACACCACTGGGGCTCTTTCTCGAGCTGCGAGACCGAACCCTCAATTCCGCTGAACACACTATCCCACACTTCTTGGCCACTACAAACCATACGGGCCAAATCGGCAAGTTCTTGAAGCGTGAAGGAGCGTGGCAACCCCAAAGGATGTGTCTTCTCGTAGAAATACGAGAAGATGTATAGATCATTGGATTCTTTGAAAGTAGACACCAAAGAAGGCTGGTGCACACCGTTAAATGAGCAAGGTGGCAATGAACACTTCGCTTCCTTCTTCAAGACTGAGTCAGTCAGGGAACGACATTGAGCTCCGGCAGGTGTCACAGGGCCCTTGAAAGTAACAATGTATTCGTCGCCATTTGCTAACTGAACTTCAACACCAGACGCTACAGCGCCGGGTGCTAGACATGGTGATGTCAGCGTGACTTTCTTATCGGATTTATCAATGCGTCCATCTTTCAAAGCCGTCTCTACCAATAGCGCGTTGACCTTGTTTCTACCCTCCATCAAACCGTACCCCAGATGCGAGAATTGGTATAGTGTGTAAGTGTCTTCTGCGAATTTCAACGTGTACTTATGTTCACCTTCGGCCATCTTCTCGTTGGGAGGGAAGCTGGGCTCGAATACGATCTGCGTAGAGCCCCCGCCAAGGTCAAACGTAGCGGCCGTTGGCAACTTGTTGCCAGCCCCAATGTTTCCCAACAAAAAGTTGGCAGTGATCCATGCGTACACACCTTCTTCTTCTCCGCTCATCACCACAACACCATCTTTTTTCAGCAATGGGAATGGATAGTCGTTTTCTAAATGCGTCTTGACTGCCTCTAGAATCTTGTCAGATTTCGCGGTACCGAGCTTCCTCAAACCTGCAGTGGCCTTGACTGCAACAGGCGAGCACCGATGTTGATTCTTGGGGATAACTTCCAATGCCTTGTCTAGCAATCCATCCAAGGATTTTGCTGCACCCACAGTGTCGGTGTCATACGACGAAAGACCGGGCTTGACCGCTTCAAACGTTTCGGCGATCAAGGTCGGTGGTTTCGTGCAAACATCGAATTCATATACGTGAACTCTCGAGCCGGTCGAACCTGCATCGATCATTATGATGAATTGATGGTCTTTGTCGCATTTTGCAGAGTTGGAATATTTTTTACCTGACGCCTGAGTGAGGCCTTGCTTTACAGCATCTTCAACGGAAGGGTTTTTCTTGGTCGACGCAGCATCGTCGATGTATCCTGGCGTAGAATTGATGGGAAGCGAGCTTACTGTGTCATCGTCCAGTTTTGGCGACATTTGAAATACTCCCGAAGAGCTGGAGGACGATCTCAGAAGTAGTATCAGCATGGTCGCTGTGAGTGATCCAATTACGAATCTGTAATTGCGCACCACGGCGCCCAAACCTGCCATTATCGTGCTATGATATCTTATTGTTGTATCAGAGGAAAAGAACAAAGTTGGTCAAAATGACTGGAGTTTTTTGAAAACCAATGAAAGCGAACAAGGAGATCTCAAATCTAGCGCTTTGAGAAAGTACCGATAATTCTTTGATCTTCCTGTTTCTCGACCGGGTTTATCAACGATAGGTTTTACGTGTCTTTAGACGCGTCTTATGCTTTAAAAGTTGCATAGAGTTTTTCGAGAGGGTTTCTGGTATACTGGGAAAAAGAAAGGCAGAGCTTTTGAGTCACATGATACGCTATGAAATTGCGAGAAATAAGAAGAAATCTGCGATTCGGTGGTGTTGAAGAGCGGTTTTCGAGCTCGGCGTGGGTTTTGATGTAGAGTGTAGCTACTTTCGCGATGAACAGAGGTTTGTTTCCATGAATTTACGAAATGTAAGGTTTAGTAGATGATGTTCGGTTTGATATCACGTGACCTCTGATATATTCAAAAGTTTTACAAGCAATCATCATGGTGCGCTTCCGGATGTGGGATCTAGTTAGTTATGGTGGTGCTCACTGTAGATTTCAACGGTTCTACTTGATTGTTTTAATTGCTGTACAATCTTCGGGGAATCCACTTCTACGAAAGATGCGTTTTTTCCAGTAAGATGAACGAAAAGAACAGTAACAACAATAACCATGGTAAGGTGTGGACACAATGCATTTTGGACCATGAAAACTCAACATGATACCTGGTTGCGTATAAACCTGATGAAATATTCAAAGAAATAGACTCCCGTGTATGGTGAGGGAATTGTACTTCTTCACGTGACCACGGATCACACTACAAGCACGTGGCGCAAACATGTGACCGATTTGCAAACGAAGTCGCTTACGTAAAGAAACTTAAACTCAATGGCATGGATAATAGTCTACAACAGAACTTGAAAGGTCATCGCATCCAAGTAATCGCACCTTTTTAATCCCATAAGCGGTCATTTCAGCATGAGTAGGAACGTGGATAAGGCGAACTCGGTGCTGGTAAGGTTTCAAGAACTCGAAGCGGAAAAAACGGGTGGTTATAAGGACTATTCGCGATTCAAAAGACCTACAAGAATCACATCGATCAAGAACAGTAAAGAAGCACAACAATGGCGCCGACAAGTCATTCATGACATCAACTCCAGGGTAACCAAAATGCACGATCCATCCCTGAACGAATTCCAGCTCAGAGAGCTGAATGACGAACTGAATGACCTATTTACAGAGAAGAACCGTTGGGAGCGTCACATTCATAAAAACTTAAAGGGACCTGATTATTCTCGAGACAAGATGTTCAAGTTTGCTGGAAAATTACTGAAGGGTCGCCGCTATTTTGGGCGGGCTCTTGAGCTACCAGAGGCCAGAGAATTGGCCCAATCTGACCTTGACCGTCGTACGAAGCTGCAGACCACTCGCCAACGCCAAGCAGCCCTGCATAATAAAATTAAAAGATGGGAAAAGACTTTGGGGCCAGAGTACTACGGCTTTTTGCCAAATGAAGGCATACGCTTTCATCGTCCTTTGACCGTGGACAGCCAAAATATAACCGAATTACTGACATCAGAGCCTACAGAACAGACACCGCTTAGAGATTATGAAGAAGAGTGGACAGTGACTTACAGGTCCGAACTGGGAAGCGAAGATGTGTCGCCAAAGCCACAAGCTATAATTCCGGCGATGGAGTACGTACCAAACCAAAAAGAGATGGAGAACTGGTTAGTGCAAAGGCGAAAACAACAGCTGCAAAAACAGCTGGGACTTTGAGGCTGACTTTTCTATCACGAATCAAAACGGCTGCTACACGGCGCAAGGGTAATAAAATATACATAACGGTAATAAATACATTGTAAAATTTCGCACACGACCAGTGCATCAACCAGTGCGTCTGATATCATGGCGTACCATGGGTTGGGGAGCGGAAAAGTTGATTCATTCCGCGTTTGGTAAGTAATTTGGACATACGCCGCTCACTCCCCTGGGGCTCTTTTTCTTTACCTTCACTGCTGGAAGGATTAGAGTTTCCTTCCTGACCCGCCTTTGGAGATTTTTGCATGAAATGAGGAAGTCCCCAGCTCCCTCTACTGTTGCTTCTATTATGCTGAGATTTTGGTGTTTGAAGCTTCTCAGTCGTCGCCGTGTCTATGGGGGAAGAGCTGTTCCAAATGGTGTTGAAATGACCCGAGTTGAAAAGGTTGTCTTTCGAAAGTTCTTCCTTCATTGGTATTGATAATGGTGAAGTGCGCATTGCGGGATCATTGTTGTATCCAGAGCCGAACGAAATCACGTCGTCCCTTTGAATAATTGGCGTCTGCATGAAACCCGACAAATTATCCTCGTGGGACATGGAAAGAGGTTCAAAGGAGTCATTGCTAGCCACTCTCATATGGTTGACATTTTGCGGTTCAGGAGCAGAACGGGGAGACAGAAGCGGCAAGCGAGCTGGTTGCATCCCAAAAGACTCTGTCCCGCTTCGAGGCAGTACATTTGGAGCGGTTTGTCGACTCCAATAGTCATCCAGCTGATCTGTTGTGTATAGTTTCGAAGTACTGACATTTGTTGCCTGATAATCTGCCTCCGAAATCATATTTTGAAGCCCGCTCAATAAATGATGCGAATGGTCGTAGTCAAAATGGTGCTCCTCCGGAGCTAAGCCTGGTTGATGTCCGTTCTGATGATGCATATTCCAATTTGGGTAAGACAACTCGTTGTCTGGTACAGGCGAAGTATGTCTGAAGGGGACAGCTGCAAACGGTGCTGAACCCTGCTCTGGGTCACCCGAAGCGTATGTGCTCGGATCGTGCAAGTTCAAGTGAGGCGCGCTCGCATGGCTAGTATCTTGCTGAGTAGACACATATGGTTGGGCAGCAAGACCTGCCATCAAGTCTCTGTTCCTCATGCTAATTTCGGTCCATACGGACTCCATCATTTCATTGCGTTTTTTCAGCTTGAGTTTTCTGTTTCTCCAGTCTGTATCTAAATCAACATCTTTCTGTAATTCTTCTTTCACCAAGGCTGCTACCACCGAATTTTCACCAAGGGAATTCAAAAATTCATAACCGGCATTGTTTAACAAGCCAGTTTTGTCGTTGATGCAATCGTTAATTTTCTTGAAAATGCTGTTCATGCTCACTGTATTAGAACCAGTTTCAACAGGACTACTCCGTTTGCTTGCAATAGAGGTCCCTGAGTTTGTTGCGGAAGAATTTTGATTGGAATCCAAAGACCTTTTGACAGAGCTCAGTTTTTTATTCTCTTCTTCCTGATTCGATACTTGAGAGTGCAATTGGCGCACTTGCTGCGAAACTTCGTCGATTCTTTCAAGCAGAGATTTTTTCTCGTCATTGAATTTCGAGATGAGTGTGTCTTGCCTCAATTCATTTTTCATCTCTTGATCCCACTTGATCATATCGTTTTTCATTTTTTGTATTTTGTTGGTGCTTTGGTCAATATTCTTGTCTAACTTGCCGCGTTTGAGATCGTAAAGTAGCTTAGAATTTTCCAAAGACTTGATGCTGGACTTGAGGCTTTTCCGCAAGTCTATTTCGTGCGCCCACTGTGCTTTCAAATTGTCGAGCTCCAGTTTCAACTGCTCTCGGCTTTCGTGAAAGTCTTGCAGTATTGACGATTCCTGTTGTAACACGTCATGTAGATCTTCCTGGGCACACACCAAGATATATTTCAAATCCGTGATAGAAAAATCGTCCAAATCTTGCAGATATGTGAGGCTGGCGTAGGATGTGGGAGAGTCGGTGGAGACAGCCACTTGACTTTTCCTCCATTTGGCATCAGCGGGGAAATTGGGCGCTAGAGTTGGTTTAGCTTCCAAATCGTCCAGACTGGTCTGACTGGTGCGTTTATCGCTACTGGTTGACTTGGTCATCAAATATATGGAAGGAACTTTGTTTATGAACCCATCTTTGTTGACACACACGAAATCAAATTGATATTGTGTCTGTGGTGAAAGACCGCGGAGCAAGCAGCATGTATACAAAGAAGTCGCGATATTTGGGATAGTGCCGATCTTGACCTTATTCAAGTACAGCACATAGCACGATATTGACGAGCTCGTCTTTTCGTGAGCATTGGTTGGCTCGTTTTCCCATCGAACTGTAATGGTATCCTGCGTTATATCGTCGATTGACACTCTTGTCGTTTGCGGAACCTGGAGTCCCAACGTGGATACTATGCGCCAAACCGGGATCCCCAGAAAAAGCACCAGCCGGTGGGCGAGCCATATGATCGCAGCGGCGGTGAAGATAGCATGTGGAAGCATATCACTGCTGAGCAGACGTTCGAGGTTTCCAGCTTTCTTGACGTAGATCATCATCGTTGATGATTAGCCTTGTAGCTGAGCTTTTTTCATAATAGTGAAAACATTAGTAGGGCTAGGCCATCTGGTCGTGCGTAGTGACATGAGAACACGTTGTAAAGCCATTGCGTTTTCGCGACCAAGAAGTGATGATAGAATTGCGTTGCTAACCAGATGGAAGAAACCAGAATAGAAAGGATTTTTCTGAAATCTGGTTGTGTATTTGGTACTACTGTGTGATGAAAACTCGAAAAGTTTACGTTCGTGTGAAATGATCGAGTGAAAGATGTCTGAGGATCTATAATAGCTGCAGAAGCTGTACAGATCCGGACTTTATATCGAAATTCATGGTTTAAAGACTGTGAAGCTTGCATTAGAGTGTTGCCTTCTTCCAGAAAGCTGTCCTCCGAAAACACAATTTCATGCACTTCTTATCTGGGAGAGAGGAACACTGTGCACACCCGCCTTATGCTACTCGCGTGAGCGATATCAGTGCCAAGCTTAAGCTTCTTCTGGCTTAAAAAATGGGTTTCAGGCCCCAGTTCCAATGCTGTCGCTGGATCACGTGATATTTATCACCACCCCTACTACTCGGATGCCAAGACAGAGAAGAATCAATATATATTATCAGTTACAACTGAGTCCACCTAATACCAAACAACTAAAATAATTAAGAATGCGTACAACGATACCTACTATATAGCCCTAAGTGCGACACCGCGCACTCTATTTAGGCTGCTGCAACGCGTTAAGGGAATCCGGGTTTTCACCGGCAGCACACGCGACGACGGAGTGTACTGCACCGATCGATGTCCCGGTTTCGTCCGGCACGATCGCAGGCAGCGTCTGAACCGGACCACCGTTTGGTTTTTCGATCGGCTGCATGGCACTTATTTCTTCGGTCTTTTCCGCAGGCTGCTTCACAACGCCGTCATCATTGCCGCTGTTGGCGTTGTTGATGGACGAAACAGTGGGCACCTGGCCCGAGTATCGTTGCAGACGACCGGGAATCACAGCGTCTGTGTTATTGAGCTGTTGTCTTGCTTGTTCAAACAGGTTGGACATAGAGGGGAGGGGAGGGGGCACCAAAGGATGAAAAGTAATATGACAAAACCAACGGGCAAACACACAATATCCGCCGACACCTCTTATGTATCCCGTATGTACTTAACGTAATGCGCAAGCCAATATTTTTGAAATAAGCTGCGTTTCTGGTTTCGCTTCTGAGTGAGCGACTTCCGTTCGATCCTCTTGTCGCTTTTCCAGTCGGTTGTCCGCTCCCGTAAGAAGGAGGAGAAGAATCCAAGAAGAAAAGAAACTAAAGACTTAATAATAGGGTAAACCTTGAAAAAAAAAAGAAAAGAAATAAAGCCGCAACTGATGGGACTGTCCTGCACGTGCAAGTCAGGTGCCGCTCGCGAGCTTGATCGTTATCTTTTCCTACGGCCTGAGGGCGGGTAACACCAGGCCTTGGTTTTTTCGATTTTTCCGCTGGAATTATATCTACTCAAAAGTCAACTCGCTGGGACAAGTGATGGGCAGGGCTCCATTTATATATTTTTCTGTAGCCTGCGAAAAAAAAATTATTTGCAAGCAGGCCATGAGGCGAGGAACCGTAGATGAAACCACAGCAACAATGTAGGCAAAGGTAGTCGTCGAGTCGATCCTGTGTGGGTCAAGGACAAAGGTGTTTTTGAGTTTTAGCTCAGACACACATTACGTACGGTTCGAGACGTCCGTCAATGGCGAAGACGTAGCTTTTTTCTTTCTTTTTTTTTTATCGTTTTGAGTGCATGTAGAAACGGATCGAGTGACGTACAGTCGATTGTGGTGCGTCAAAACACGTAAACTGGTGGCTTGCCAACCTGAATAGAATGCAGTGCGTAGTGAGAGAAGTCCATTTGAGGGCGGGGGTCTTAACGCCCAAGACGTAGACACTGTGAGAGGATGTGAGAGGATCTGAAAAATATCTGGAACAGATCTTTGAGATGGTTCGGAGTTAGGTGCACACGTTGGCATAGAGAAGAAGAAGAAGAAGAAGAAGAAGAAGAAGAAGAAGAAGAAGAAAGAAGGGTCTTAGAAGGCGAAAGCAAAACGCAAAATAGCCTCTTGCACAGTCTCATTCGCTCACGTACACACACACTCTCTCACCCTCTCTCTCTCACACTCACTCACTTCAAAACGACGTTGTCGCCTCGAAGCTTGAGATATTCCTGGTCCACACCCGGAGCCATGGGTTTGATCACCAAACTGTAGACCTCGCTGTTGCAGAAACGCAGCCCATTTCCAGGCGACTTATAATTGGCCTTAAGACCTGTGATATCGCAGTATTTCTTGGTCGGATACACACTGGGAGGTGCCTCGACGTTGAAATACGTCAAAAGCGTCTTGTTGTCGCGCTTCAAAGAGTCCTGAGTGGTTTCGCTGGTTAGTCTTTTCCACTCGTCCGTTATTAGCTGGCGCGTTGCCTTGTGCCGTCTGTGGGGCTTTTTCCACGTCGAACACTTTAGATGTAGGCCCTGGGCCGCGTTTTCAGCCGCCACGGATCTGAGAAAGTCGATTTTGTCGTTATTCATGCGGTTTCACAATCACAGGTTTGGTTGCGATGGGTGTAAGTGAAGTAGAATAGTCGCGCTGTGAGTAAAATGTTCCAGCAGTGAAAGAGTATTGGTTAATTGAAAAGCTAATTTACCATTTTGGAGCGTGATCTTGAAACCAGCATATACTTTTTTTAGAAATGCTTCCAATCAACTATATGGTTTTATAGTGTAGTGGTTATCACTTTCGGTTTTGATCCGAACAACCCCGGTTCGAATCCGGGTAAGACCTTTTTTGCATTTCGAGAAGTCGAACGTGTATCTGTAGCGTGGAAGAATAATTGTTGGTGTGTGTATCGTGGGGGTCACAGCTGATAACATGGTCCTACAATCTACGGCTCCGAATCTAACTCTAATTTTTTTTCGTCAAAATCAGTTTCCTCGTTGTGTTTGAGACCTTGAGTGCTCGACCCATCCATGAGTTCCCTTCCTATCCACATACAAAATTCGATTGAATATTCAATTGTTTCCCGTTTGTTTCTCGTTTGTTTCCAGCTACCGTATGCTTCTGAAACGATTGACTTGGATATAAGATGCGAAAAAACGCCGTCGTAGTTTTTTTTCTCCTCTCCCGAGTAGACTCGAAGAGAGGGAAATGAGGTCACATGCGTTGGTGTCTGGGTGACATTGAGGCAGTCAAAAAAACCTGCAAGGAGGTCACGTGACATTAGATAAAGTTTAATTCTGCAAGTAAGACTCTGAGACGTTTAGATTAGTTATCTTAGAGGTAATACCTCAACACACCAGACAAGACAATTAGTTCCTAGACATCGAAATCCAAAAAAAAAAACTCGTCATAAACGACGCTTGTGTGTGCCAAAGTCACGTGGTCTGGTAGTGAAATGGACTTACGAATTTTTGACTCCGGCGAGAAGAGGCTCCCTATTTTTTTTTTCCATCCCTGGTTTTCCACCTTGGACTATAGAGACCCGAGTCAGCCAAATATCGTGCTACTAGCGCTACTTTAACACCACTGCAGAAACACTCGGGGTAGGGAATCCAAAGATATCGTGGAGAAGTGTGGTATATGTGGTATAATATTGACTATCTCGAAAATATATAAAGAGGTTGTCTAACCTTTAGAAGTTCTTGAGTTCTGAGCGTCGATTCTTTCAATCGAACGAACCTTTTTCCCAGTTAAACTCAAAAGAAAAACCTGCGTGATTGCGTGCTTACGTGGAAGCATGACATCTCGCACATAGAGAATCTTAGAATTTCCCTTCGGAAGCCGTTCAGAACCTCCCGTGCGAAGTGATCATTGTAAGATCACTTCACACGGAATGTGTTTTTTCTCTGGGAAATCCGGAATCTTTCTTTCATAGTTCCCCTCCCAATGTTGTGGTTTTGTGGCAGCAGCTTAAACCAGTCATATTAACACTCATCTTAAGCAGTGCTCCTCACCCTCTCCATCTCTTTTTTTTGGTTTCCCTTTTTCTGTGATATCCTCTGCGCTACTTTTTAGAGCCTTTGATTACGTCAGCGCCCATTTTGACAAGAAAAAAAAGTTTCGACTCATACATACATACATACATACACACGCATTGGTAAACCGTAGAGAAGGCCTAGAAAGCTGGCGAAACGAGAAAGGAATAGAGAAAGAGCCGGGTTTGCTGAACACAAGCTGACAAAAAAATTCACATCTCGATAGCGAGACGTGTGTATATATAAAAAGGCCGCAGTAGTAGTAATGGTCTCTTAAACCGCTCTAATCCTTTTCTTGAATTCTTGAAGAAACTTATTGTTCAATAAGGTCCTTTAAGATCAACAAGCTAAAAAAGTTAATCAATTTCTTGAACTTTTAACCTCAGGTTAGAAAAAAGTTTCAAAAATACACCATTAACAGGCAAAAACACTCAAACAACAACTATTTCATGACCGTTTCAGCTGCAATGAGTGACCTCCCAGAACCTTACATATCTGCTGTAAATGATTTCCGTTCAGACACTTTCACAACTCCTACGCCAGAGATGATGCAGGCAGGTATGCAAGCATCGATCGGTGACGCCGTGTACAATGAGGACGTGGACACAATTGCCCTGGAACGTCGGGTGGCTCAAATGGCCGGAAAAGAAGCAGGTTTGTTCTGCGTTTCCGGAACGCTTTCAAACCAGATCGCGTTGCGTTGCCATCTCATGCAGCCTCCATACTCGATTTTGTGCGACTACAGAGCCCATGTCTACACACACGAGGCGGCCGGGCTTGCCATCTTGTCGCAGGCCATGGTGGTGCCAGTGATTCCCTCCAACGGCAACTACATGACGCTTGAAGATATCAAGCGTCATTACGTGCCAGACGACGGAGACATCCACGGCGCTCCTACCAAAGTGTTGTCGTTGGAGAACACTTTGCACGGAATCGTGTATCCGCTCGAAGAGCTGGTTCGTATCAAGGCATGGGCCATGGAAAACGACATCAAGCTGCACTGTGATGGAGCCCGGATCTGGAACGCTGTGGCAGAGACTAACGTGCCCTTGAAGCAGTTTGGAGAAATCTTTGACTCCATCTCCATTTGTCTGTCCAAGTCGCTCGGGGCCCCCATGGGTTCCGTTTTGGTGGGAGATTTCAAGTTCATCAAAAAATGTAACCATTTCAGAAAACAGCAGGGTGGTGGTATCAGACAGTCCGGAATGATGTGCCGGATGGCCATGGTGGCCGTGGAGGGCAACTGGAAGGAAAAACTACAGCGTTCGCACCGTATGGCGCACGATTTGGCCGCTTTCTGTCGCACCCACAACATTCCCTTGGAATCTCCAGCTGACACTAATTTCGTTTTCTTGAACTTGCAAAAGGCGAAAATGAACCCTGACATCTTGGTGAAAAAGGGTTTGAAATACCATGTTAAGCTCATGGGCGGCAGAGTGTCGATGCATTACCAGATCTCCAGCGACTCTTTGGAAAAAGTCAAATTGGCGGTCCTAGAGGCGTTCCAGCACGCTCAAAAGCATCCTTTCGACTCGGACGGGCCTACCAAAATCTACCGTAGCGAATCCACCGAGGTCGACATCGACGGAAACGCTATCGGCGAGATCCAGACCTACAAGTACTAAAAAAAGCGCTTGTTACTAGGTCTAACACACCAATCAAATCATGATAAAATAAAAATTCACGGGCATAGTTGAATAAGGTTGATTTTGATTTTTAAAACGTTAATTTTGGGAGTTTTTTCATTCGGGGGAAGAACAGGGTTCTTCTATCTACTATTTTTTTTCTTTCTTTCTATTCTACTGGTCTTTTTGCATTATCTTTGGGCATATTTCATGGCAGTGACTATCGCGGTCGGTGACGACAACGATCTTGTCTGGAATTCTGTAAGAATTCTGTGAAAAGTGGCTCCGATTGCTCTCCAGGAGAGGAGGAAGAGACAGGAAATAGAGAGGAGGGACCTTTTTTTTTTCCAACTCGACTGGAAAGCTTCAGAATTAACTCAAATGGCATAATAAATTTGACCATTTGAGGACCAACGGCGTGTTTCCGAATCGAATTTCTCGGAGCACGCTGCTCTAACATGGAGAGACAAAAGTGGCCAATCAAGGAAGAAAACAACGACAGATTGCATTTGTTCGAAGGTATTTTTCCGCTGGTCGACGAAGACGTTTGGTCTTTTTGGAGTTTACAATACAGCACAGAGTTACCTGGTTGGTAATTGGCATCGGTTCGGAAACCGAGTGTCAATGCCACCGACTTTTCTCTGGCGACAGTGTTTTTTTTAACTTAATGATGTCAAAATGACAGCTTTTTTTTAACACTTAAATACATGGAAGTATCAAAAGATTTCATGCTTTCTTCTAAACAAGTATTGCAGAATCATTCATTCTGTCATTCCTGTTTCCATCGAGCTTCTTCTTCTTCATTCTACGAGCGTTGCTTGATCTTCAGTCGTACCAAATTCTCATTACAACGTCATATGGTCAACTTTTGTCGTAAAGCATCGCCATTGTTTAATCACATCACACCACATGCGCTCGATCAAGTAAGGAAACAGTACACCTATCTACGAATTTGAACCATCTACTATTTAAGACTAGTGATATGAGTTTGTAGACTGTTTCTTCCCGCGTTTCAGTGATTACAGAAAAGGTCTAGTTCATGGCTTCTAGACGAAGGTTATATACTCTTCTCATTTGTATAGGACTATTGCTAGTACTTCGGATACGTGCAAACACTGGTGCAACAGATATGGCTTCCAAAATCTCACACCCTGTTGTGATTATTGGGTCTGGCCTTGCAGGACTCAGCACAGCCAACCAGTTGGTGCTGAAACACAAGATTCCAATTGTGCTCTTGGATAAGGCCTCTTCCTTGGGAGGAAACTCGATCAAGGCTTCCAGTGGTATTAACGGTGCTTTTACAAGTACGCAAAAAACGCTGAAAGTCGATGACTCTGCTGCTGCGTTCTACCAGGACACTGTGAACTCTGCTAAAAAGGCTGGAGTTCGCACTTTGATGTCCAAACTGGCCCAGGATTCCAGTTCCGCCATTTCCTGGCTACAGCAAGAATTCGACCTGAAATTGGATTTACTGGCACAGCTGGGGGGTCATTCTGCTCCCAGAACGCACAGATCATCGGGAAAACTTCCTCCCGGGTTCGAAATCGTTCAGACACTCTCGAATAAACTGAAAAGCATTTCTGAGTCTGACCCTCAGCTTGTTCAAATCCGTTTAAACAGCAAAGTGTTCAACGTGGAAATTGTCGACCGGAAAGTGCAGTCGGTTGAGTTTTACGACGAAAATGGTCAAGCACAACGGCTTTTGACTGAGAATGTGGTTTTTTGCTCAGGTGGATTTGGATTTTCCAAAGAATTGCTGGACAAGTACGCACCAGCTCTCAAGTCTCTGCCTACCACCAACGGTGCTCAGACAACGGGCGATGGTCAACTTTTGATCGAAAAACTGGGTGGCAAACTGATCGATATGTCTGAGGTGCAGGTTCATCCAACAGGCTTCGTCGATCCGTCAGACCCGCACAGCAACTGGAAGTTTCTCGCTGCCGAGGCTTTGAGGGGTCTTGGAGGCATTCTTCTCAACCCATTGACGGGACGTCGGTTTGTCAACGAGCTGGACACTAGGGATGTTGTCACCGAGGCGATTCAATCCCAGTGTCCAAAAGATGAAAACAGGGCATTCTTGGTCATGAGCGAAGACGTGTATGCAAACTACAAGAACAACATGGACTTTTACATCTTCAAAAAGCTGATCCAGAAGACCACTGTGGCCCAGCTGGCAGAAACTCTTCCCATCAGTGTCTCTGAGCTGGTTTCGGAACTGCAGAATTACAGCTCTGAGAGTTCCGACGCTTTCAATCGTGCCTCAAGAATTAACAACTTTGGCAGTGGAATTGACGACACAACTACAATTTTTGTCGGCCAAGTGACGCCGGTTGTTCATTTCACCATGGGTGGGGCAAAGATTGACGAGACTTCTCGTATTCTCGGCAAATCTGATGATATTATTGCTGAAGGGCTATACGCTGCAGGCGAAGTTTCTGGAGGCGTTCACGGTGCCAACAGACTAGGTGGGTCCAGTCTGCTAGAATGTGTCGTCTTTGGACGGACAGCAGCAAATTCAATTGCTGCTAAACTATGAAAGATATCGGTGGAAAGAATCGAAGTTTACATGGTTATATATCAAGGCTTTAAAAACGCAATGCTTCCAACATGCCTAGGCAGTGTTACCGTCTAGTTCGCTGGCACTACAGTTCTGCTCATCCTTGACCATAGGCCCCAGAGCTAGATGAGAGTACTTTTGTACTTGTTGGTCTAATAAGAATAAATAACATCTTCAAAATACAACTTCAAGAAATGATGTTCAATACAGCTTGACATGAAGAATCATGAAGTCCGGACCATGCTTCATCTCGCTGATCGATCACAATGATCGACCATTGCTGATTCATGTAGCCAAATCTGAAAACCGCGAGATCGAAAACGTGTTCAAATTTAACACTTTTTCCAACATAGCTTTGGACTACTTCGGAAGTGACCTATATGAATGGACGAACACAAGTCAGGAAAGTCGCGACATTAAAGACCTATTCCAGCTCGAAGGTGTTAGCGTGTATGGGAAATTGATCAAACAGACCGGTTTGAAAATCGTGGTGGGATTTTGGAGTAGTTCTGAGCACACTGACGAAACGCTTGAAAATGTGTTTGGCGATATTTCAAGGTTGTATATAAAATGCAAGTTCAATCCATTCTTGAACAGCGATGAAGACCTGATGGAGCAGTTACAAAAGAAATTTGACGAGAAATTTTAGAGCTTGTTATTTTTTTTCTCGCTTAGCGTGGGAAAGAGTCCTAAAACTTGAAAACTTCCTTTACCCAATGAGATACCACCAACTTTCCCTCTTCAAAGTTTTCATCATTGTGGCGAACTATCGCGCATGCATGAGTACTTAGCGTGTTACGAATATAAACCGGAAACTTGCGCCAGGCAATTCTGTTTAGGGATTCGATTATGCGTACTTGGGCAGGCGCCAAATCTAAGTGCAGGTTTTCCAACGACGGTAGTTCTTCCGTTGTCTCCACCGCGCGTGAACGTCTAGCCTCAATATCCTTGATAGAAAGTATTGCCAGCTCTTTGAGTGTGGTCTTCACGACCCGGTCATTGTCCTCGGTATCTGTGACATTTCCTGGATCGAACTCATCGATCACTGCAGACAATGTGTTTTTCCTTTCGATTGCGCTGAAAACACTTTCGATAAACGTGTCGGCCTGATCATTCAGAGACTGCTGAAGCTGTAACTCGTATTCGTTGGGGGATTCGGAAGGCGAAACAATTATGTCGTCCGATGCGGGTTCCTCGGTGCTAGTCTCAAAGACCTCGTCAATAAAGTGATGAGAATACCCCTTTATGAACTTGGTCGCCCTTGTGGTAGACTTGATGGTCTCCATAATTCCAGACAGAACAAACCAAATGACCCAAATCGGAGCTATCAACAACAAATTGAACAACACTGCAAGCCAGCGCACTAGCTTCGCAGACCAATAAGTGAGAAAGAAATACTTCCGTGGGTCAACTTTGGCGCTATCTTTCTGTCGAGGTTGCTTAGCAACTTGCAATTTTTCGTTGAAATCCTCAATGCGAGTGATCCTGATAGATCTAGAGGGATCAATAATCGTGGGAGCGTACCCGGAAACGTAGCTAAACCGATGATCGCCATTTTTTTCATCAACTTCGAAAAAGGGATCGTTCCTGGATATACCGGCAGTCCACCAAGCAGTTCTTTTGTCGTTGATAACATTCGCGTACAGTGCGGTGTTTTGGAACTCTTGCAAGGCCTTATAGAAAACTGAATTTTCCAAGCTCATCGAGATTATCAGCGGGGTGCCATTGGTAAATCGGCCTCTATCCTTCAAGAACATCTGCTTACCCGTGTTGCCCAAAACTACCGGTACGATTGTGTTGAAGAGCCTGACAGCTATGTTATTGCCCGGGGCATACACTCCAACGTGAGGCGTACAAAAGGTCGTAAAATTGACAAGTTCGATGTCCTCTTTTTTGAAAACCTGTTTCTTGTATAAAACACCCAGAGCGTAACGGGCTATTAGTCCGCCTAACGAGTAACCACAGATCGAAAACTTGGTGACTGAGCCAAGTTCCCTAATTTGAGTTTCTATATCACCCGCTACTCTGACGCCGCAGACGTCGATCCCATCGTAAGTTTTGTAGCCCTCGTTCAGGTGCGTTGTGTATATAACAAGTTCCTCGTCTTGGGTCAAGGATTTTTGGGCTTTTCGAGCGTTGAACTCCGCCTCCAGTGCGGTCCGTATATAATCAAAATGCGACCTGTTTCCCCACAAACCGTGAACCAAAACGACCAGATGGATTGGCCTAGATTTGTTGCGAATACCAGAAGAGTCCTGCATCGCTGAGGGGAGTCTACAAACAAGATCGGTGTTGTCCGTCTTGTAGAGAGGTTAGAGGATGTGCAATTGACCCTTCTCGAAGAGAAACGGTCTGGGCATGTGATGAGATCGAGGTGATAAGATACGAATGGGGAAATGAAAGAGGTGCAAGGGGCAAGGGCCCAGGACAAGTGGAAGTATCTTGAATATTTCAGGATTCAGTTCAGCTCAGAACACACAAGTTTTAGCAGAGTGCATAGATGCATTGAAATGTGTAAACCGTCCTGAGGATGTGCAAAGCTTGTTATCTTTTGATAAAACATCAACTTTTTCAAGTTAAGCGCAAGTGGTTTAGTGGTAAAATCCAACGTTGCCATCGTTGGGCCCCCGGTTCGATTCCGGGCTTGCGCAATTTTTTTGAAAATCTGTAAAGTTAATTAATGTGGAAATAATATTAGTATTGCATTGTTAAGGTAGACAAGACTATGACAGTTTCTGATAGAACTTTTGAAGTACAGTCAGTCTTTCGAGAAAGCAGTTTGGTTGTGAGTAATTCATAATATATGTCTATTCAAGTAACAGAGTATCTTATTTGCTTTGCATTGCCCGCTGTCTTCTTTTTTAACAATATTATTCTACTTTACTGTCATCAAGTGGTAAAAGCTTCAGATTCGACAAACATACTAAGTGAGTGGCACCAATTCTTCAACAAGGCTTTTGCTATCCGATTGGCGGGCTTTCGGCAAATTTGGGAGTCTTGAGGCCTGGACAAGTGTCGAGTTACAGTATTGACGCTATATTTGAACGTGCGAAGTGCGCAGTGTATTTACAGATCAAAGTAACTTGACGACACTTTCTGCTAGAACTCGAATCTGGGAAGCAGCTTCAAAAGCTTTAGCAATAGACTAAGAGCTCCCACAAGAATGTATAGAGGACGAAACAGAGCCAGGGGCAAGGGCTCTGACGATAACCAGGTTAGAGGACCCAACTCTGCGTTAACGCAATTTTTGAAAGAACAGGGTATCAATGCTGAAAGCATCAGACAGAAATGGCTGAAAAGTCGCGAATCGGAAGAAAAGGAAACGCCAGACGGTGTCAAAAGTGAAAATCAGGAGCCCAGTCTTCCTAAAGGTAAGACGCGTGGTCGGCGTCCTGCGGTTGCGAGTAGTTCAGACGACGAAGACGGCGACGAAGACGATGTGGAATATGACGATGAAAGTGACGATGAAAGTGTCGAGGGAAAAGAAGACAGCGAAATGGATGGATTTGATGAAGAAAGCAAATCCTCAACCCCCCGTTTGAATGGTAACAATCGATTGAAACGATTCGGTATAGATGACGAAGATAGCGATGAAGCAGAATACGACGAAACCAAAAGCTCAAGAACCGTCTCAGAGACTCCAGTACTTGAGATAACTCAAGAACAAGCCGAGCAAAAGCTCAAGAAAAGCCGGCAGCAGCTGCAGCAGAGAAGAAGGAAGAAGAAAAGGGCAGCAGAGCTTTTGGATCGGAAAACAAGACGTATCTCGACTTTGCAGGATATTTGCATCTCACAGATTAGTTCCAACATTTTGAAGTTGCAAAAAAACGCCAGCGCCGGCGACGATAGCATTTCCACCAAAATTCGCGATACTCTTGGTGGACTGTCTACGCAAAACATGAATAAACTTGCTAGAACTTTGTCAAAGAACCGAGCGCTTAACGATCACACGCTTCAATTGTTTCTCAGGACGGACCTTCATACGCTAAGTTTCCACGACTGTTCCAAGTTGTCCTACGAGGGGTATAAACTGCTTGCTATCTTTGCACCGCAATTGTCGGAGCTTTCCTTACAAATGTGCGGTCAACTAAATAATGAGGCACTTCTCTATATCAGCGAAAAGCTTCCCAAACTAACGTCCTTGGACCTTGACGGCCCATTTTTAATCAATGAAGAAACATGGGATGTTTTCTTCTCACGAATGAAGGGGAGACTAAGGGCTTTTCATGTCTCCAACACCCACCGTTTCACCGACAACTCATTGGCTAGTCTCTTGAAAAATTGTGGAGATAGCCTTGTGTCGTTGAAGTTGTCAAGACTCGATGATGTTTCCGATTACAGCATAATACCACAATATCTAAAGCGGCAGGACTTTGAGAGACTGGCTCTAGAGTACCCCAATAAGGAAGAGTATGTCACAGACGAGGTGGTATCTGCAATATTGAAAGCGGCCGGGCGTAATCTAAAGCATTTGGACTTGAATGGGTGCACCGCACTCACTGACACAACAATTATAAATTTGAAAGATGTCTTTACTCAAAACGAAAGCAGCATAAGCATTCTCGAGTCTCTTGAATTGGAAGAGCTGGACCAAATTTCCACAGATGCGATGGTACTACTTTTTAGTCAGGTTCAGATGCCGGAGCTCAGGATATGCAGTTTGAAGCGCTGTCTTCAACTTGGAGATATGGCACTTATTGAACTTTTCTCAAACAAAGCCGGACAGGCACTTGTCCATCTTGTCCTCAATTCTTTAAAAGAAGTGCATGGTGAGTGTTTTGAGGTACTGTCGTCACCTAATCTCAAAAGACTTGATATCGGGTTCATGGGATGTGCTAATGACGAACTTGTCAAGAAGCTTGGTGAACAAAACCCACAACTGGAAATACTAGAGGTGTTTGGAGATAACTTGGTTACTGGAAAAGCACATATTAGATCAGGGCTTACCGTCATCGGACGTCAAAGCGATTCATTGTGATTGTGAGGTAAATCCGTTAATTTGAATGCAAAAAGTCGCTGCTGAAAAAGTCCTTGTGCACCGCAGCTTTGTTCACCTTTTCCAGGTTTTTAAAAGTCGGCAGAGGAGGTGGTAAATTCGCAAAAGTTTTTGATTGGCTTTCGATCACTGAGTTGGATACCACTGGCTTTTCGAGGTACAAACCTGGATGCCCATTGTCTTTCTTGTCTTTTCTGACTTTTTCGGTGCTCTTGAAAGTATCTCTTTTGATCCAGAGAGGGTCATTTACTTTAAAGTCAAGATCCACGAGAGGATCAATACTGATGTTGTATCTTCCATCGTACACTTCCTGCTCGTAATCACCCAAATTGACATTAGTCATAAAGAAGGATTTGAAGTCACTAACGATATCGTTTATTAGAAGAACCGGGATGTGTATTTCATTTCCCAGCCTATTCACGAAGTTCTCAAGCGAATTCAAATCCTCTGTGCTCTTCAAGATTTTGTAATATTGGAGCCAAAAGGGCGCAGATGATTTCAGTTGTGGTAGTTTTTCGAACTCTGAAAGTAATGCCCTGGTCTGCGCCGTGTTGCCTAAATTATAGTAGGTGACCTTGATTAGACTAATCACCAACACTGAAAGTGTTGTTTCATTGACAATATTCTGTAGCCTATGATCACCGTCTTCTGAATTGCGGATGCAAGCACGTACGTTTTTTTCCAGGTAGCCTGCGAACGCTCTTTGTTGTTTTATGATATCTTGATCTGCTATGGATAAGCTTGATCCGAATTCGGATCTTTTTAGGACTGTTAAGAAGTCATTGATAAACGTACCATCATTGGGATACTCACGAGCAAATTCTGCAAGAGTAAGGAAATATATGTCCAATGATTTTTCCTGGTTGACCTTCAACGATGACTTTAGGAAAGTCAAGAAATTCTGTCGCAGCTTTCGCGAGCTTGCTGGGACTACGCCTATTCCTCTTTGAAAGGCTTCCAAGGTTGTATCGAAGCTTTCAGTTTTCTCTATCCAGGAAGTATACCTCAACCAAAAATGCTCATAGTACTGACATGGAATAAGGCACCGCTCAAAGATGGATTTGGTCAAGTTGGGTTTGACTAGTTTCGATTCGACGGCAAAAGAAAGGTAATTTTCCCAATTATCCAGCTCGCTTTGAGGCAGTGGCCCCAGATTGAAATAGCTCTGTGATATTTGGGACTCAAATTTCCAAACACTGTTTACCAAATTTTGTGTGTTGGCGAAAATGGCACTTATCTCTTCTTCGGAGTCAATTTGTAGTTCAGTCTTTTCTGCATTGTCGTTTGCAAAGGTTTTATAAGCGGTATAGTACTTGGAATATTGATGCAGTGGGATGTGGCTTACTGTCTTGTAAATAGCGACCAAATTGTCCAGTCGCTCTCGATTACTTTCAAACTCGATATAACGATCCCAAAATGGATGTGAGAGGAATTGATAGCCCACCAGATCTTTTGCGATCTGGAAGTTCATACGTATTTTGTCCACTTCGTGTGGATTGTTCGCAATTAGTACATTAAGGTAGTCGCACCATAGCTCTAATGAATTGGGAAACGCATCTACAGCCCGAGACAGTACATCAAGTGAACTTTCCAGTCCCTGTAGTTGGTATTGCACCGCTGTAAACCTTTTCCAGTAACCGAATAGCAGTGGATATCTTGCAAGTGCATTTTCGAACACTTTTTGGATGCTGTCTTTGATGGTTTGGTTGGGACTTGTGTACTTCAAAACAAGCTGCTCTGTAGATTTTATCAACGAGTCCACGGAGGCGATCTGTTCCCAATTGACTTTTTTAACTATGTTAACCCATTCATCGTTGTCCTTCAAGAATCCAACGTCTAGGTTTCTTAGTACATCGGAGTACTCCTGTTCGGCTCTTGAAGTCATAGATGCAACCTTAGTCGAAACCTGATCCTTTACAAAGATGATTGGTACGAGAATGAGACGCTTATGAAGTTTTACACAGCGCTTTCTTGTCGAGCACTTGTAGAGATGAGCTGTTATAACGAATTGTTTACTTGATGACTGTGTGTTAGCACTATCACAAGTCACGTAAATGTTCGAATATCTACCGGTGTCAAGAAGCATTAACGAGAGCTTTAGACGAGCTATATATACCATTGGTTTGGATTTATATTAGATATCTCCTGAATTTTTGGATTACTATGGGAGGTTTCCAGATTGAATGAGCTGTTAGTGAGCATTATTGCAGTGACCGGTTGCAATTCGAAATCATACCAGATCAAGAACACTGCAGCTTGTAAAGTAGCTGAGTTATGAGCGTTTTTTCCCAAAAACTTCAACATGCAATTGAATTGGAACTGTGATTTCAAACCACGATGCTTCGATCGACGTAACATTTATTACATAGCGTGTTCCGACGCTTAACAAGAACTAAAACACGTATTTTTTGCAATTCAATTAATTCCACAGGAGCGCAGAAGTCTGATTACTGTAATGATAAGCTCCATCCAAATCCAAGACAGCTCTCCTTCTGTATACAAGTCGGCTGTCGTTTGAGAACGTATATTGTCGCATCAATATGCAATCAATTACCTGTCGCTGTGCTAGAAATGTACAGAATGATAACTCAACGGTGACTTCAATGGCAAGGCTTTCCAGCTGACGGAACGGAGGAAAAGCTCATGGAATAGTATAGCTTTGAAATTTCGCATTGGGATTGGATATGAACCATATTCATATGTGGTAGAAATTCTCCTCGCTACTTTTCACTCAAATTGCGAAATTTGATTCATCAAACCGGCCGGTTCTTCGAGCCTCGATACCTAAAGGACATCTCTGGTAAAAACAATGTATCAGTCAAATTTCCAAAATTATAACAACAGCCATATTCTACATTCAAGAACCTCTGAATCGCATTGCAAAACCTCCTCGAAGGTTCCCGAGATCTTTTTGTTTTCAATATCGTGATATTAAATTATGATGTTAAAATCCAACTCTTGAAAACTTCCAAGAAATAACAAATACAACATACAAAAAGCGAACCCAAAGCGGTCTTTTCCTCTCGATCGATGTCGATAAGACCTGTGAATCTTGATGACTTTGCAGAGACATCTTTTGAAGATATCGAAGCGACCGTGAGCCCTGTAAATTGGCCAAGATCAGACGCAGCTAAACATATATCAACAGCATCGTCCCCGTTAAAAACTCAAGGTGGACCGCCATCAACAGCAAGCTCAGAAAGTACTACCTTTTCCAACAACAAAAAGCGCTACTCCACGCATACAGAAAGCGATGAAGACGGAAGCGCCTTCCTGGACGACTTTGAAGAGTTCCGGGGTAAGAAAAGAGACGATGAGCTATTGAAGAGGCATTTCATACAGGATTTCGACGTGGACACGATAAAGCACGGACCAGTTTTCGAAGGTGACAATGAACAAAGTGATGACGAAGATGAGGTTCGCACGCTGACCAAAAGGTTTGCCCAACAAATGCGGCCAGCAACGAAAAGCAGAAACTTGAGCGGGACTTCCCGATCCAAAACGCAATCTGGCTCATCCTTCCATAAGCAGCCACAATCAATGCTCAATCTGCGTGGAACGTCGAGGGAACGCAAACCTTCGAATGGACGACCCTACGAAATCGCAAACAGCAGGTCTGCATCGAATTTGAGGGTGGCTAGTCGTCACAACCCAAAAACTGTGCAATACAAAAAATCCATGCCTATTCTTTCGCGCTACGATATCATACGTGAAGAGAACGAGCGGGATGATTACGATGAAGCTTTCGAAGACGACCTCAAGTTCGAAAAGAGTCTTTTGCAGCCCCAGTTCCTTTCGGATGACGATAATAAGTCACCTTTGAACTTGTCACCTTCACAATATACTGTTACCGCGGACGACTCTTTACTCACACCCCAGCTGCACAAGCGACACTACGAGTGGGTGAAACCCAGCCAATTGGGTAACTTCAGGGAGCCCGCGAGGTCATCCAAGCCTAAGAAAAGACTCTCCGCGAGCAGGAGGCTGAAAACCATAAAGCAGGAAATTGACCATAACACACCCATGAAAAAGGGACGCATGATTTACAATCCAGAAACGCTAACTTGGGAAGGAAACGAGCAGGCCTTGTCGAAATTCCGTGACGTTGACACTTTTGACAAAAAAGCTATCATTATCCAGGAGAAGCCCGAGCTGCAACCGCCAGACGAGAGTGGAAAAAGATCAAATTTCAAGCAGCATGGCAAAGTAGTTGGCCGCATGATGTTCGATCAAGAGAATCTATGCTGGGTCAGAGTCGACGGTAATGAAAAGAACCCGTTCAAGGAAATTCCAGATTTTCTGCCGCGCACAAATATTGCAAATGCTTCAGGCATGGGTACGAATGGTGTATCTTCCAAACGATCCCAAAGCCACTTTGCTCCCAGTCGTGAAAATGGACGTTTTCCATCTACGGCAACAACGAGATTCCACTCTTTGGGTACAAATCCGTCTTCACATGATTCTACGTTCACTGTGGATTCCAAGACGCTGGAAAGGTTTTATCATGAGGAAAATCGGTGGACTAAAAAAGTTGGAGGATGGTTTATTCCCCGGGATGTCGAAATGGAGGAGTATGACGCTGACGAAGGATTGCCAGATTCAAAGGGCAGCGATTACATGTATGAAATACGAAACATGGTGATAAGCTCGGCAAGGAATTAGAGGAATACTGGTATAGAGGTGTAATGATAATGTAAAAGTAATAAGATGTCACCATAAGTATGGAATGGTGAGGGTTCAGGGCCGTTGACACATGTCTATAGTCCTAGTTTTGAAGGAAGCTCCAGATAAAATCGAAAAGAATCTTGACACAAGTCAACGCATAAGTTTAGAATAGTAAGAAGTGAAAAAAGAACATGGATCAAACTCAAACCAAATTCAACTTCAACGCTGAACGATCCAGTGCAAATTGCGGCCAAAGACCAGAGAGCCTGATACTACATCTCCCCCGCAGTCCCCACATTGAAACTTGAATCAAAGAATTTTTACTTCATTCTTGTTTTTTTTTTCAGCTCTTTTCACAGGGCAGCTACGAAACCCGTTCCAAGTTTATTTTACATGGAGATCTCTACTTGACGCCTTGAATCGCTCTGAAACACTCTTCTTACACTCTGGTTCACTCTTCTTCCCCTCTGTTTCACTCTGTTTCACATTGTTTCAAGTGGTCTTCTGTCCTCATCGTCTCGAACATTTCTTGGTTTCTTCCACCCATTGTCGTTTTATATATATGTTTTTGATTTGCTGACGTAAGCAATCTGAAAAATTCGAGATTTCATCTAACAGTCAATAAATAGAAGTGGTATTTGATTTAAAACAAGCTCGATGAGGCTGGCCCACTCAGCAAGAAAACTAGATCAGTTTCAGGAAAACGAAAAAGCTCTTAAGTAGACAAGTTTCCAACGACCGCTGAACAGGATCTGTCAAGTTTTCAGCGGATCTTGACCTCTTTCTGGGCTCCCTCTACCTCTATCATATCAATCCAACGCTCTTGGCAGTATAATGTTCCGCAATGATTGGCAACTGTCGATGAACTCCAAGACTTTTGATGCACTGGACTGTTCTTTGTTTCGAAACTTCAAGGCAATGACGGTGATCAACTACGCGTTCTTTGTGCTTTTCTTGACGGGCCTGAAAATCGCACTGTTCGTTTCAGACGTTTACACTTGCATCAAGCTTTTGGCTTTCAATACATGGTCCAATAACATAATTCAGCCATATATCCCGTTTCGAATTAGCAAGTGGCTGTTCAGCGGGTGCATTTTGGCCTCGGTGGTGCTGATCCTTTGGGAAGTGGCCAACGGGATCCGAATCTATCGTACGCGCAACATCTCGCTCACGTATGTCAACAACTTCTCGCGGGGCGTTTACTCGCTCAGCCAATACAACAAATTCTGCGTGTACGACCGGATCGCGCCGCAGGGTGCGTTCCAGAAAGTAGCGTTTTTCACGTTTTTCGAGCTCAAGGACTGTCTACGATTACTGGTCACCGATACACCACGCCAGGTCATCAACGGGCTCACACTGTGGTCAGTCCTGGTCTCGCGTACACATGACAATTTGGGCCAACTCGAAAACATCAACGGTCTCTTGGCCAAAATAAAGACTATAGCGCAAACGAACCGCGAAGAAGCAGTGTTGTTATCTTTCATGCTGTTTTCGTTCGTGATCTGGGCGTTTTTCATGTCCAAATTTGTCGCTGCCTGTATTTGCTCCCTCTATGTGTACTACAGGCTTCTTAAAGACAGAAAACGCGGCCTCAAAGAGTTTGTGTGCGTCACAGTAAGCGAACACGTCAACTTCCTTGTCGAAAAGTATAGAGGGAAACGCTACGGTACATCAACAGCCCTGGATGATTCAACATATAGATTGGACGAAAACAACTTCACTATCAATGCTTCCACAGCAGATTTGCTGTCGAAACCGACTCTGGATACCGATTTGGAAGCAGGCCATCCAAAGGGCCGTCCCTTCCCATATATGTCTCCATTTGGCGACTCTAAAACCACTTTGACTCTCAGAACTGATACATTCGTGGACTCTGACACTTCTGGTGAGCTCCAGCGAGTACCCAACATGTCAAGTGAGTTCTTGAGAGATATGCAAGAAGAAGAAATTAAACATTCGAGCGATTTGTCAAGGCAGGCGCCAAATTCAAGACCATTTGTCTCAGATTCATCAGCGCCACTGCTTCGAGACTTACAAACCGAGCCAAACGTGCGTGAAGATCTACCCCAAGATGGAAGCAGTCCAGTGCAACCGCTTTCGCCAATTGTCAACCTGAACAATGCCAACCTGAGGATAGACGCTTTCAATAAGGTATCCAAATACTCAAAAGTCAGTACACCGGAAAGAGCGTATTTTGGCGAATCAGAAAATGGGTTTCCAGTGCGAAATGTGAGTTTGTTAGATAGACGAGACCGAATTGAAAACGAAGATTACGAATATTATACAAGAAAAGGCGAATGAGAAATGGGTAGGTGACAATCCGTGACAGGCAAGGTTGTTAATGGCATATTTATAGTTAAGGTATAAGGAATGTTGTGCTTTTGACTACATCGCCTGGTTTTTCGAGGAGAAAGAGTAGTGCCCGAAGTTATTTGAGCTTGAAGGGCCCATGAATTGGTACAAATGCTAGATCAGCTGAAAGAAGTTGTCACGAAAGTTAATGATGCTGGAGAATAATCAGGACTACGCCGTGTAAAAGTTGAAGTTTTGATGTTTAAATTACTGGTGAGTGAATTGTGACGCTAAGAGTCCACCAGGGTTTAAATTTGCAGTGCAAGCATAAGAGATGTACTCACCGAAGGGTTGAATGAAGGCGTCTTTGATGACGGTATTAGCATCAAATTTGCTCTTTGAAGCACTCGCTGAGTGGAAACTGAGACATGAGAAAGGAGAAACCTTGAGGGGGGGCAGCCCCCTGGAGGGGCGTAGAATGAATTGTTTTTCTCAAAAACATTCACCGTCGTGGAAAAGTGGCATCTCGGGCTGGCCAACTATGCTGAATCATACAAATGAAAAGTTTTTACTGCAATACTACGGAAGATCATAGCCACTCGAGCAAATTTGTGAGCGACCTTGAGTTTCAAAAACGGATTCTGAAAAGCGATCCAACCCAAAGGTGTTGAATTGTCATAAAATTGTGAGTACGTCAAAATTTCCTCTTTCTGAAAATGTTGTTTACCACGCAGACTAGCCAATTGAACACACCGGTAAACTTTCAAGATGGAAACTACGCTCATTTAGTAAGACTATCGGCTCGATTCACGACAACGTACTAGGTCCTGGTTTTCAGCTCTGAAATTATTGTTCTCGAGATAAATCTGTCGCACTGAAAAGTAGAAAACGACACTACAGATTGAAAGAGAGCAAAATTGCAGCGATTTACCGCGTTGAAGATTTCGAAAGATTACGCTACATGTACTAGCAATGCTACGATTATTTAGAAGCACGTAGTGGTTGAAGATCCAGCCCCATTGTCTGATTACTCATGTGGTTTGTCGTTAGATGTGATCTGAGTATCATAAGCAGTTCTCGCTAAGATTTGGTCTAGAATTGGGGTGGAAATGATAGCCGCTCCGATTGACCAGTTTCTTGGGTGCTGACAGCGAGTTGTGGATTAAGAGGACTAAAACAATTGTTGTTGAATCTTTTTCTTGGTGATGTTTTGGTCACGTGACCTTGTGACAGCGTCAGTTTCCAAATGGGTATTGACAAACAACAATTCAGGCGCCGTGTTTAAGGAACCAAAGCCTATGCCGTTTGCTTATTCTATAGTCACGACTATATCCACCGTATCTTAACGGCTTGGGATATACAGGTCTCCCACAGATCGATTCGACATAGCATGGGCATCCGCCACTAAAACCAACCGATCGACCAATTTTTCCAATTCAAGAATGACACATTCTCTCAGAAAGAGAAAGAAAAAAAAATTGAAGAACAACGCTTTGACGCTGATTCTTGGAGTTCAAATGGACCAAATAAACGGGATTTGCCACCGAACCTCAATTGGAGTTTCAGAGTTGGTGAGACTACACATATTTAACTTCTTATAGTTGAAAAATATTTGTCACTATGGACGGTCAATGCACCTTCACGACTGTTTATCGTTTGTCTTGTTGTGTGCTGTCGATCGAAGGTCCCACTTTGTCAATTGAGGTCTCAGCTGGGTAGCTCCATCGCATATCTTAGCACTTCGTTCGTTAGATTCTGTCAAAATTCACCATTACTCATATAAATTTAAATACGTTCCTAGAGAAGATAATAACGGTATCATATACAATTCCAGTTCGTGGTCGAATGACTAACATCTCTTAATCTAAGCAACTGGCTAAAGCTCGCATAAATCTATCAACATTACACCAAGCCAGAGTGTTTGTAGTTCTCGAGGCTTTATTTCTGACCACAGTTGCAAATACCTTAATTATTTCATGTCGTCGAGCATTTTGGATAGAAAAAACACCTAGTAGTTTCCCAAACGAACATGAACACCGTGTAGAGCATAAGTGAATGCGGTGAAAAAAGCCGGGATTATGCGGCTATGAAACCGTCATTGCACTTTTCCATAGTGGTATCCGAACATCCATTCTAACGGCCCTGATCATTTTAAACAAGTATGTATCTTGAAGAATCTTGAAGCATTTTTGTTTTTCGATGAAAACAGGCTAGACCATGAAATAAGACGGTATAAACTAACAAGAGTCTACTAAATATGATGCGAAAGATTTGTAATGTCCATCACAATCGAACAATCGATCGATCGATCGATCGATCATCGCTGAGATACTTGTCGTGAGAGTGGTTTTTCTTAGAAAATTAATCACACCACGTGATCTCTCTTATCACGTGCCCCTCAAGAAAACGACCTCAAACGCAACTTAGGGTCACTACCGACGAACCAGGGCGCGAATCCGCCGTTTTCATCACCGCCCTGCCAACGAAAAAAAAAAAAAAATGCGACTATATAAGAACCCAGCATTTTCGCCACTTCTCTTCTTGAAGTTATTTGTCACCCTTTTTTTAAACGCTGGCCAAGGCAGAGTAGCACATCTTCTTATAGATACATCTCTTCCTCTCTCAATTACCACACAACAATAGCGCTAGCGATGTCTGCACCCACAGGTGACATTGGTTTGATCGGTTTGGCCGTTATGGGTCAAAACTTGATCCTAAACGCTGCCGACCACGGTTACACCGTGGTGGCTTACAACAGAACAGTGGCCAAGGTGGACCACTTTATGGAGAACGAAGCTAAGGGCAAGTCGATCATCGGTGCCCACTCGATCCAGGAGCTCGTTAACAATTTGAAGAGACCCCGTCGTATTGTGCTACTGGTCAAGGCCGGTGCCGCTGTGGACGCGTTCATTCAGCAATTATTGCCATACTTGGAAAAGGGCGATATCATCATCGACGGTGGTAACTCGCATTTCCCAGACTCGAACCGCCGTTACGAAGAGCTAAAGGAGCAAGGAATCCACTTTGTCGGTTCTGGTGTCTCTGGTGGTGAAGAAGGTGCCCGTTACGGTCCTTCTTTGATGCCCGGTGGTGCCGAAGAGGCGTGGCCACACATCAAAGAGATCTTTCAAGCGATCTCGGCCAAATCCGACGGCGAGCCATGCTGTGACTGGGTGGGACCTGCCGGTTCCGGTCACTACGTCAAGATGGTGCACAACGGTATCGAATACGGTGACATGCAGCTGATCACCGAGGCCTACGACATCATGAAGCGTATCGGTGGTTTCACCGACAAGGAGATTGGTGACGTGTTCGAAAAGTGGAACACCGGTGTCTTGGACTCGTTCTTGATCGAAATCACCCGTGATATCTTGAAGTACGACGACAAGGACGGCACTCCTCTAGTAGAGAAGATCATGGACTCTGCCGGCCAAAAGGGTACCGGTAAGTGGACCGCCATCAACGCCTTGGATCTTGGTATGCCAGTCACCTTGATTGGTGAAGCCGTCTTTGCCCGTTGTTTGTCCTCTCTAAAGTCCGAGAGAATCAGAGCCGCTGGCATTCTACCAGGCCCACAAGTCACCAAGAACGCCATCAAGGACAAGCAGCAATTTGTCGACGACCTAGAACAAGCTCTTTACGCCTCCAAGATTATCTCCTACGCTCAAGGTTTCATGTTGATCCGTGAAGCCGGTAAGACCTACAACTGGAAGCTAAACAACCCAGCCATCGCCTTGATGTGGAGAGGTGGTTGTATCATCAGATCTGTTTTCTTGGCCGAAATCACCAAGGCTTACAGAGATGACCCTGAATTGGAGAACTTGTTGTTCAACAAGTTCTTCACCGAGGCTATCACCAAGGCCCAGTCCGGATGGAGAAACACCATTGCTTTGGCCTCCACCCAAGGTATCCCAACCCCAGCCTTCTCCACCGCATTGTCCTTCTACGATGGTTACAGATCTGAAAGATTGCCAGCCAACTTGCTGCAAGCTCAGCGTGATTACTTTGGCGCCCACACCTTCAAGATCTTGCCAGAATTTGCCTCCGAGGAATACCCAGAGGGTTCTGACATCCATGTCAACTGGACCGGTAGAGGTGGTAACATCTCCGCCTCTACTTACCAGGCCTAAGCGCGTTCGTGTGTTGTAGAACTACCCTGAACAATCGCTTATACATGATAATGAATGAATATTGTGCGGTACTCGGATCTTAAGTGGCATAATACACCGACGGAAACTATCCGTCTTTTCGTGATATCGAAACCTAGACATATACGCCAAATATAAGCTGTACCAAATTAACAATTTTTAGTCAAAAGACGGTGAGTATCCTGGTAAATTCCAAAGTGATTGACACCTATTGAGTTCCATTCATGGGCGAGCTGTCGCTCCTGATGTCATTGGCTACTAAAAATTGGTCATGAGTTCCAAAATGTTAAATTTCCAAGGTGTCAGCGTCAGTCACAAAATGTTCAAAATTTTGGAAATACCTTAAACCCACTCGAAGCGCTGGAGTGCAAGCTAACCACAATCAAAGTTACCTCCAGGTAATCGTCAATCCATCCATCACATCGGCTAACTATATTATGGGTGATTACCACAGAGAACAGGACCAACTGTATTCAAAGCAGTCGTATGACAGGCCCGAACTGCTAGAACCACGCTATGAGCGTTGCGAGGGTGTCAAACGTCCCTTGTATCACGAAAAGGTCGCAACAGCAGAACCCCACAGTTTTTTTGATCGAGTAAAATCGAAACTTAACCTTTTTCGTGGCTACGACAATACTGATGACAGTTCGATGGACCAGGGTTCAACGATGACACGCCAAAGTCAATTGTGGAATGCAATCAAGCGGAAACCGATTCAATTGATAGTGGAAGACAATGACGACAGGGTGCACTTCGACGACAGAAATCAGCGCGCTCCGATTTTGGAAAGTGCTAATACGTTCCTCACAGACAACAACCAGATTTATGGGCGTAACGGCAACTCGCCAAAGCGCAAAGAAGCCAACTCAAGTGTACCATTGAGCGGATCTCCTTTTGCAGGTACTGGTATAAGCGATTTCATAGGTTTTGAAAGTGACATTGTCGTCACGAAACCTGTGTCGCCGTGGGACAAAATTGCCTCTAAATCGTCACTGAAAGGTTCAACCACGCTTCATTCTATTCAAAAGCGGCTCTTACAAGTCTCAGTAAAGAAGTCGGAAGTTTCGAAATGCTACCAGAAACTTTTGAAAGAATTGAACGAATGGTGGGAAGACACCATTGAAGCAGAAGAAAACATGGATCTGGTAGCAGATTTGCAGAAATTGTTCCATGAAGACCTAATGTTCGAACAGAGACTGTCCAACAAGCTCAGAGAAATCTCGAAAGCCCTCGAATTTACTAAAATGCGAGAAGAAGAAATGTTACACGAGCGCAAAGAACTGCAGCATACCATCAGAAAGTATGGTCAGACACGAGCAAAAAAGGGCAACAACAGTGAAGAAGCCCATTTCTTGAAGGAAAAGGTCATCACAAGACAAAATTCGCTGTCGACCATAACTTCTCACTATCAGCAGTCTTTGTGTACCACAGCTCGAGAACTTTTTGTTAATGCGAGCGTGGAGTATTTCGAGACTGCTTCAGATGTGAAGGATGCCAGTAAAAGCTTCTTTCAAAACTCTGTTGAATATTTGCGAACAATTCAAGCAGGAAATATAGAACAGCATATCGACGACTTGAGAAGAAAGCGTGCTGATAAGCATTGGTCGAAGCTTTCGCCACAGGAGCGCGATGATCCTAATAGGCTTGTAGAAATTATGAGCGGCATGTACAACGGTCAGGATTCGTTGATGAGATGTGTCAACAAAAAAGTGCCGCTAAGGACTACAACTAAATTGTCTAATATCTCAGGGAAAGAGAATATGACACATAAAGAAGATCAAGAGGAGTTGAAGCTAGAGTTTAAAACTGGACTTGAAGAATCTTTATCACAGTTTCCCAGCGAAAGTAATAATAAGTCTGTTGCCGCGGATGAAAGCTTCGCCAAGATGTCGGATTATGCCAAGATTAGAGAGAAACGAAGTATTCAAGGCACGTCACTTAATTCCAATCGGACGTTGAGGTGTGAGGGATTAACTCAAAACAACCCTGACAAGAATTATTCACGCCTTCCTTACCCCGATACACCAGATACTCTTAGAGCACATATCGAAAATTTAAAAACTGGGCTCAAAGATGGGAAGGGAACGGTGGGCATGGGTTTTCCAAATATCGACGATGAAGATATGATCATAGAACTAGCTCAAGGTAGAAGCGGTCCCCACAAAGATATCTACGAACCCGAACAAGAATTGAACCGCAACAGATGGATAGAATCTCCTAGGGTATAGCTGTTGCTCAAAACATCACGAAAACGCGTTATCGGTGAGTCATTCATTCATTTTACGTGTCGTATTTACAATAGTGAATTTCTTACTTCCAAAACACTTTACAGTATTATTACTGGTATAGTAACTCAAGTGCTGAAAAAAAGCTTGCACACTTCATAAGTTGATATCATAATGGCGCAACTGGGTGCAACTTTGATGAGTCTCGGTACGAGACCTGTGTACAGTGCTACGATACCTTCGTTTTTCCTTATTTCGTCCAAATACTTGAACATATTTTTTGAAGGCTGTGAGGACTTGGAGCTGTCCACAGAAAAGCGAATCTGCATCCGCGTTTTCCCCACGTCGAAAGGGTGGGTCAATACTGCAGCAATAGCACCACTTAAACTTCCTCCGATAAAGCTATTGATGAAGTGATTCCAGTGATTAGTGGACGATGTATTCATCATATACTTGGCTGATCTCTTTTTGTAAAATTCGTAGCAACCCCAGTAAACAGCACTGAAGGGAACGTCTCGCCAAAGTGTTATTTCCAAGCCCTTGAATAGAGCCTTGTAACCTATTTTCGAAAATTCCAGTCTTGATTCTTTCATCAAATCCTTTACCATCATGGCCGCTGTACTGTTGGTATTTGATCTTGGAATACTTTGAAGACGTGTTCGCAGTAACTCCAGAGGTGCCACAATAGTGGCAGCCAGAACCCTAGCCGCAGCACCACACATAAGTGGATTCAGCACTGGATACGTATCTTGAAGATGCGTCTTATCTCGCAGAGTTTCGTACCCAATAAAATATACCATGTTGGCCGGTGCAGCCATTAATAAAGTGATAGAGATGCCTCTCCACAAACTGGTGATGCCTTCCATTTTCGCTATTTTGCCAAAAGCGTCCCATGTGCTATTATACCGTACGGGCCCTGTTTTGCAACTCACATCCTGAAAGCAAGAATCTTGCCAAAAAAGGCCCTTTTCAGGCCCCATTTTCGCCAAAGGTGTTCCCTCCGAATCACAAATACAATCATACAACATTTGTTGTTGCTGAAGTCGTATTCTCACTACATCCATAGGTGTTAATATCAACGACGTTAGCAATGAGCCTGCAACAGCGCTCAACAACCTTTCCCGTAAACCAATTGCGGTTTTCTTTTCATCACTCATGATATTTTTGAACCGCCTTTCCCTCGATCACAAGCAGGCCTGCTACAAATGGATACAAAGTGTTTCTACTCGCTGGAAATGGATGATTCGAGGTCAAGTTCTCAGAGTTTAGACGGACATCTCTCTAATTATACCAGTAATGTCATTTCTGAAAAATTAGAGATCGAAGGAAGTGTCAGTATATGAAAAATCACATCCAACGACTGAGCTGAGCTGGGTTGATTTCAGCAACGTACATCTCACAACAAGTGTCGAGGAAACTGATGGTCTTTCACACAATATTCACACGATATTCGAATTAGGGAATGGCGGACGAGATCTTATAACGGGGTTTTGAAGTTTCCCGAAAAAAAAAATAAGAATTGAATTTAGCGTCGTTTTCCTGCGTAGTTCAGAGGTATTTCAGGTGTCAAATCGTAAACCTTTCGAACTAGAGTATCCAGACGTTTGGCCTGTAAATGAAGTATCTCATCAGCGGTGTTGAATGAAAAAGTGGTTAGTGTAGGATCATGATTTTGATGCTGGTCCAAGTTTGCAAGATCGAATTCCTGTTCTTCCCAGTCCACATCGAATTCAACGCTGTAACAGTTCGACTGCCAATCCCCGCCAGATGCGACGAATGTAGGCACATTCTCGATCCATTTGTTCACTTTCTCTTGATGTGGCATGTTGGTGGCAGAACGCGGGTTGAAGTAGGAGGGAAACGTTTGGAAACTGAACTGCTCAAAGTCATCAAATATGTGGTTTATTTCCGCATTGCAATTGTCTGGCGGTCTGGTGGCTAGCGGGGCTGGCGTGGGTGCACCAAACGTACTGCCTGAGTTAAGTTGATTGAAATTGTTAGCATAGTTCATCAGAGTATACTGAGCAACCGCACCAGGCACAGAGGGTCCGTAGCTCCGATGATTTGTGTAGGATGAGTTTCGCTGCGCCGCGTTACTGTCATAGTGAGAGCTGGATACCATTCCCTGGGTCTTCTCAGGACTCTCCAATCTAGAATAGCTTGGCTCCGAAACGTCAAAACGTTTCGATTTCTTGATCTTGAAACTGTCTCCTCTTTTAGGAGATCTTTCCAATATGGGTTTTCCAGTTACAGCACCTGGTGAATGTTCAATGTTCATGATACTGCCGTTCGCGACTAACACTCTTGCGCCTTTATGATACGATCTTTGAGGTTTCATTGCCGCTAAAGATCCTGCGCCAAGGAGATATCTACCAACGTCCTGGCTCAACAGACAGTGTAGAAACGATATTGAACGTGCAATACCTTTAAATCAGCCACAATGTTCTTTCTTTCGGCAAGATACAAGACAGTGACAGAAAAACGTCACATAGTATTTCTCATATAGTGTCAAACCTGAAAGAACTCTGGACAAGCAGGCGGCAATAATAGGATTACTTGGTCCGCTGCTTCTTCATTTTAATTTTCCCACTTGCCTCTTTAATCCTTTTGCCCATCTTGAGGTCTTTACCAGCCTTGATGTATTCGGTCGGAAAGAAAGATGTCAGAGTCCTTTCCATACCTGTTTTCTTTCGATTGTTCACCTCTCTAATCAGCGGAACCATCACTTCATCAGTCTTCTCCTTAGGCCATCCAACAGTAGACTTGAAAAACTCACGAAGCCTGTCCAAATCGGGTACCCCCCAGCTGAACTTTGTCGTATCATGATCGACTTCAGGACGCAGGTAAGCCTCCCGTACCAAGTCACTCGGGAACTCAGACCCGAGCACCACTTCATTCGTCGCTAGCTTTTTGCGCAGTTTTCTTTCAAAAGCAGATTCCTTTTCCTGAAGCTGCTTGTCAAATCGAGCTTCATTATACCAATCTCGGAATTTTGCCAAATTTCCAAACTCTGCCAACACTTCCATAGCAGAAACAGGCCCAATGGTCTTGACACCCGTGGTATAATCACTTCCAAGAAGCTGAGCCAGCTCGATAAATTTTTCTCTGTCCAAGCCCAGCTCTTTGAGAATCATGTCACCGTAATAATATTCCACATAATTCTTCTCCTGGAACATGTTTTTGTAGACTTTATCGCCCCCAAATAGAAATATATCACTGTCATCCGTGATGATGCCATCCACAAGTTTCAGCATTAGTAATTCAGCACACTGAGCTTCGGCTTCCATTGGCGCTGTCAAATAGGGAATTCCAAATCGCGTGAGCAGCTCTTGCACTTCTGCTACCATAGCAGCTGTCACCTCATCAGAGTCCCTCTTATCTCTCATTTGTTGCCCCTCCAACTCGTCATCAATAAAAGTAGCGCCGACGCTTGTCGGGTTCAGAGAGCTTTTGAATGTGTTGTAGTCTTGTTCTTCTTCCCTCAGCTGATGGACAAGTGCGTCCTCTTCTCCTTCAGAAAAATCGTAATCGACAACAGGAGCAACTTCCTTGGGTTCTTTTGCGTTTTCGGCATGTTCACTGCTGGGCTCAGGTTCAGGCGAAACTATGGGTTCCTTATCAGGTGGTGAAATCTCCTCGAGGTCGTCGTTGTCTTGCTCCTCAGTTTCCGTTATTGTCGCAGATACAACTTCAGCAGCTCGTGGTCCTGTGAAAAGAAAGCCTGTTTCCTCGCCAAGTGCAGTTTGGTCTTTTGAATCACTCGTCAAAAAGGAACTACCCAAATGGGGATTGAAGTCTGTCGGGCCTGATGCCTTAAACCACTCAGGTGTTGGCAATTTGGGAGGTTCTTGGACAGCATCACTCTCTGATGATAGATCCTCCGCAACGTCAAGAGATTTGTCCCCCTTGGAATTAGACCGAGTTTGCAGACTTGTTTCAGTCGGCTTGTACAGCACAGGTTCTGGAATCTCCTCATGAACGGTATTCGTTTTGTATTCAATGGGTTTATCCTCCGTATCTGGTTGCTTTGCTTCATTTTCCGCATCTCTTGTCATGCTCGGTTGTGTATTGCTTGAGTTTTCAACATTTTCAGTAGATGGGTCCGAGCCTGGGATCTGGCTTCCAGCACCCTTGCTCAGCCTCTTCAGATTGTCCATGTCCTGCAAATCTTTTTCTAAATCCGCAAGTTCATCATCGCTGGCACCACTATCATTATCAAGTTGTATGATATCGGCCTTGGTACCAAAAGTGCCACTCTTCCCATCGTCATACCCAAATACTTCATCTGGAACGTGTATCAAATTCTTTGAATTCTTGGTTGAGTCTGTTTCAGCATGCCTTTTATCCAAGAATGACTGTCCTCCTCCGGGCTGCATAGTTGTAGCCATTGTGGGAAGTAAAGAAGCTTTTACCGAATAATCAAGTTCCTCCTTTTTCCCACTTTGGTCAAACTCTATATCTTCCCAGTCCACACCGCCGTCATCCTCGTCATCATCTTCATCTTCATTACGGCTGTTATGAATACCGGATGATTGAGGCTTGTCATCTAGCGTAATCGCTTTATTGATCTCGGAACCATCATTACCAGTCAAACTGAGCGCCCACCCATTTTCAGTGCGTATCAGCTGGTATTCTTTACCATGCTGTCCTGCTACTCGCGTGTTGGGTCCGTAATCAGGCTTTGATGCACCGCCATCGTTTGTGTTCGTAGCAGTCATCAGTTTTTGAGTGAAAAAGTTCCGTCTTTTCACCATATCTATCTGAAATTTCGAAAAATCCATACTGTCCGGAAAAAGATTCTCCAGCTGCTCCTTCGAGTAGCCTAATCTCAGTCTAGATTTGAGTCTAAGGGCTGACAAAATCATGTACTGCGTCGATTTCGGCAGTTCGTCGAATTCTTTAGAGGCAGGGTTGATTGAGTCAAGGTCTATGCCGTCCAGCTCATCAATATTTTCCATAATGGTTTTGAAATCATCTGCGTTGATCCTGGTATCGTTAGAATCATATTTGAACCCAGGTATCCTAGGCAGATCATACTCGTCGTTGAGTTTGTGAACGTGAGGTTGAGGCGTTGTCGATAGCGTCCCCGGTTTCTCATCACTCTGCATCTGTCGAGCCAAAAGCTTTCGGGCTGTTGTGGCAGCGTTTTCTCTACGGCCTTGACGTCTCTCTTTACGCTGCTGAATGGTGCGTCTCTTTAGAGCCGGTGCTCCTCCATCAAAGACAAAGACAGGTTTAATTCCGAAGTAAAGCAGTTTACAGATTCGTCTGAAAAACCCAACAACATGCGAATAACGCATGGCATTACCTTCTTTATCTCTCACAGCTTTGAGAAATTGGTATATCCAGATAGAAGCATCAACTGCTAGCCGTTTGTTCGTCAGAGACTCAAGTCGTACGGGTTTGGCCGTAGGACCTACAATATCCCAAAGAGCATGAACACCCATTAGGATCAATTGATCGAGTCAGAGTAGCTATGCCTTCAAGCAATGGATATCTTTAAAGAAGAGATGCTGTTGATGCTGAATATTGCATTAATTCATACTGAATTTCCATAATATGTTAAATTAGGCCTGTGAAAGAAAGGTGTCAGAAAATGTCAGTATGATATATATCGAAAAAAAACGTGTCTGAACGTAAGACGCAAGAGTCAAATAGGATTTGCTCGATGGCCCAACGTTCGCTTTGAGCGCCTCTCGCACCTTCAAGTATGTTCAAAATTCAAGTTCGCTTCTAATATTGTGATTTAAAAAGTCAAAAACAAATGTTCCGACTGGGGGTCGAACCCAGGACCTTAACCGTGTGAAGGTTACGTGATAACCACTACACTATCGGAACTAGTGTTATGAAAGGGGAAATAACTTAAAGGAATATATAAGAAAGATGCAGTCATATGAGCGTCATGGTTAAGAGGAAGCTTGCACACCATGAACAGGGGAGGGCTATTCATCGATCATCAAGCTAACAATGTCTTTGGCACCTACTTCGCTTGTTTCTCTTATTCTTTTAGACCTATTGCTTATTATTTACGTGTCGGTACTTTTTAACTTCCTAGCATATATATTCGCTGGAAGCTGCAGATATCATCAAGCGCTATGATCAAGTTTTAATGAGAAAAGACTGCCAGCATCGCCTTAGTAATAAAGATAGTCTGAACGCGCATCAAAACACTCATATACGTTTATTGTTGAGCTGTGCGAGTTGCTAGCAGCCAGCATCATCTCATGCGGGTGAAAAGCCATCGCGGAAACGAATGAATTCGGCAGTCTCGAACTACTGATTCCGGTAGCAAGCGTGTTGGCCACACCACCTGCGTGTGACTGTGAGTTCTTAAAAGTAGACAGGAGATCGCCTGCTGTGGTCCATATCTTCAATTGTTTAGTCCCCGTAGCGATTACAGGCGCATGCTCGTGCACCTGCATTGAAGTCATCGTGGTAACCCGGGATCCAGATGACCCCATGTTTTCACCTTCATCTTTAAATTGGTCGATTGCATGAGAGCTTCTTAGGTCCCATAGCTCCACGAGACCTCTTTCTGTACCACTCACAAGCTCTCTGTAACCACCTCTCTGCAAATGAACATTGTTGATCCCCGCCTTGGAATGCCCCTCATCAGATCTCCACAAGTGCACCATCGAATCTCTAGGATCGGCACGACGGTCATAAGCCCTCAGTGACCCATCTGAAAATCCCGCCACAAATATATTTCCCGACAATTGATCTGAGGTTATGGAGGTTATCAGGGAGGAAGACTTTGCAGGAATGTCAACCTCGACAGTTTCGGTAAGGGCATCCCAAACCCGTACAATTTTGGCATCACCAGTGACAAGCAGGGAGCCTCTACTTTGCTGCCACTCTGTTAATAGTCCAGTGGATCGTGGCGTCAAAAGCAGATCAGTAAGACCTCTCCACGACGTCACCAACTCCAATTCATCTAGATCGTGAAATTTGCTGTATATCTTCACAATACCATCTGAAGAGCCTAAGAGTAACAGTGGTATGTCATCTTCGTTCAAATATTTGATGTCCGTTATTTTGGTTCCGAATGGATTGCCATTCGAAAAAGTCGCTAGTCTTGAGCTTTCAGTCCAATCAAAGACACAAATGTTGTCTCTATCGTCGGCAGATACAATGTAGTTTTCAAACTGACTGAATTTCAAGATTTTGGGTTGAGATTTGTTTTCCAATGATGCCGAGACGTTAGACCAATCTCCATACAAAGAAAGCTTTTTTTGAGCCTGAGTCCTTTGAATGATCATTTCATTTCTATTTTTCCGCCACAATCTAGAGGTGTACTCCTCACTTCCAGGCTCATCGGCTTCTTGCTTCTTCATCTGAGGTTCTTGGAAGTATTCCCTTGAGTAGTTCAAAAAGCTACTGGTCAATGGTATCTCAAGCCGGCTTCTCGGCCTCCGTGCTCTTTGTGTCGAAGCTGTAGGGGCCGTTCCGTGCGGCACACTCAGCATGTTAGAACCTTTCAACTTATCGTAAGCCCTTCTCGCGGGAGTTTCAGCCGTGCTGTTATCGGTGCTATTTTCCCATCCTAAGGATTTAAAGAGACCGCTCAAAGACGTTATTCTTTTTGTTATGCTCTTTTCAGAATCCTGAAGCTCATTATTGTCTTGCGGCTTGTTTTTAGGAGATAAACTTGTGGGCCTTTTAGCAACAGGTAAGGTGGATACCATCGCCGTTGCAGAACTAGAGGCTGCCATTCCTCCTCCTGTACGTTCCATCAGGTAAAGCTCCATCAAAGCAACGACCTCGCTCAACTGCTCATGATCACTCAATTTGACAAGAACATAGTCCACGACCTCTTGAGCAAGATGCTTGTTCTCCGCATATGGATCTTCCGCTAATATCAAAAGAGATTTCCAAATTGTGTAAAAGATAGATCCGTGTGCGACAGATTGCTTGCTATCTAGACCACAGCCCTCCCATGTTGGCTCTAACTGCGCTATTTCGTCGCATATTTCTTGAAAAGCGATAACAAGAAAGAAACTGATGTAACGATAGGCGAGATGGGAAAGGCAAACGATTAACTCTTTGCGCACTAGAGGTGATCCATCGTTCACAAGTCCTAGAGTTGCAATAGTCATTTTGATCTCCTCTTGCTTGAGTCGTCTTGAGTCCATATTTCTCAACTGAGAAAGAAATTCTTGGGTCTGCAGCAGCTGCCGTTCGACTTGAGCGTGTTGTCTTTGTAGCTGGCCTGAAGACTGCAACGATTGTAATTGAGCTTGCAATTGTTGGCTTTGCTGCTGCATTTCTTGTTGAAGTTGTAAAGCGAGCTCTGGCTCATCTTTCTCAGAGAGAAACATGTTGATCGCCAAAAGAGCAGCACACCTTACCTCCGGAATGGGGTCCCTCAAAGACGTGTAAAGTTTCTCCAAAAATCCGCAGGTCATGCAGATATACTTGTTGAGAGGATTCTTAAAATATAGTTGACCCATTAAGAGAATACACCACTGTCGTAATAATGGCACGTCGGATGTTTCAACATAGAGGCATAACTTATTGACAAGTTCTAAAGCGAATGTGCATTTTTGCCCCAAGGGAAAGTCACGCAGAAATGATGATAGAACAAATATAGCCATTGCCTTCTGTTCATCGGTGGTGTTATTTGCCAATGCCGCGGATCCGTTTACAGTTCCATTTTGCATGGATTGAATCATCTGGTATCGTTGGGTACCTAAGCTTGCATTAACATTCATCGTTAAACCACCGCCACTAGCCGCACGTTGGAGTTGAGGTGCGGGTCCAGCCGCGGTCGTCCCCCACTCCGGAACTAGCATTTTAACGAAATACAAGTAGCCCTTTTCTTTGATAAGTTCGGACTGTGTGTTTTTATAATCAATCGACATGATACGCGCCCAAATGAAGACAAGAATTGGTCTAAGTTCGGGAGCTGGACTTTGCAACAGTTTTAAAACATAAGGAAAGATTCCAATGGATAAAGACAAGTACACTGCCCAGGGACCAAGATCCAAAAACCGAGATAAGAGGACCAATGCTCTGACGCGGTGAACTTGAGAGAGCAGAACCTGAAGGACAATGGGTAATTGTTCTGGCGGGTTCCTAGTGTTTGATCCATATTTCAGCCAGAGTTCAAATGCGGTGAGGTTCTGCTCGAAAAAACCTGTAAACTGTTGTTGTTGCAGCTGAAGCTGTGCACCTGCTATCTGTTGCTGCTGAGCCAAATGTTGCGAAACTTGAGTAGCACTTGGCAGATGATGATTAACAAGTGACATCGTGCTGAGCGTACCTGCAGGTGCTTTGGAAATAATATTATCCTCATTTCCAATAATCTGTTGATTCTGTAATGCAGTTTGAAGTTCAAGCTCTGTGGAGTTTGATGGCATTGTCTGAATATCACTTGCGAGCTTACTTAGCACCTCATCAATGGCTAGGTCCCACGACTTCCACATTGGGTGATCCGCGATGGAATCGGGAAGTTCAGGATCAGACACAGGGTGACAGTTGAACCAGGGCATGATTCTTTTTGCCAGTAAGAAGTTTCTGAATAGCGCTGCCACCATAAGATCATGCCTAAACAGCCTCTTGAACAGCGGGCGCGGAAGCGAAGTCCACGCTATTGTATCAGTTATGGCTGTAAATATCCAGTTTAATTCACCCAAAGGTGTTCTTCTATCAGAAAGCTTACCTGGAATCGTCACGTTGGGTTTGGTTGTTGGTTTGGAACCGTTTCGCAGCGTTCTATCATCACTATTCTGAAATAAGACTGCATACTTCGAATCACGCAAGGGAGAGTTCATAAGAAAGATATCAACACTTATCTCGATAGGACAGGTAAGGCAGCATGTAAATAGATCCGCGGGAAGCTCAGGTTTCATCGGCAGTAGTTCGTTCGCCCTACAGGAAGCCAGCTGTATACATTCCACATAAGCTTGAGTGGGCGAAGGAGCCGCGTTGTCATGATTTCCTTCTTCGTCATCTTTTATCCTCTTGTGAACAAAATTTTGAAAATTTGTGACGATGTTTCCAGCGCTGTTGCAATCATAGACATATATGCAAGGTGCACCTAACCAGGTTTGAAGATCATACAATGAAACTGGAATGTACTGTGTGTAACCTCGATTAAACACCCACATTTCACCAGAGGCAGTGGGTTGCGGTACACCGTGCCCGTTGTAATGGAATAGAATGCGTTCGTCTTTGGATGCGCGCCGCAGTGAATTACAAAAACGTTTGACGTCTTCCACGCATGGGTCGAGAGACTGTTTGTATCGCGTTCTGAGCGAAAGCGTTTCGTATTGTGTCTGCAGGTTTTTACCTATCTGTTCGATCGCTTTTTTAGAGTCCTGGAAGTTGAGAGGATCGACCCACGATTCGAGTCGCGCACAGGGATGAGTCTTAGCGACATCAGGGGGGTCTACTCCGAGATTTAGACACAATAGTAATGCAGCAGAAACAGTTTTTTGACGTTCTTTGAGTATTTTCCAGTCTTTAATTGGCTGATAGTAACGTTCTGGGTCTTTCTTCTTCTCTTCTCGGGAAACTGGGTTTCCGTTTGTTCGATGTCTTTTGTCGTCAAAATAGAATAAAAAGTCATTTTCTAGAGACTCCAGTAGCTGCTCAGAAGAGTACTGGTCACCAAACCCATGTCTAGTTTCTGTATTCAATCTTTGCAGAGGTTGAGGTCCATATGTTATAGGCATCCTACCAGATGTCAAAGACTACTCCTTTTTATGGCAAAAAAGCCCCCAATTCTCTAAAAAGTGGGCCAGTATGATGGCAAGTACCTGTTGGTCAAGATGAAAGCTAATCAAGGCCTCAAAACAGCTAAAAGTGCTTGTTTTGCGTGTATTAGTTCAGGTCTCACGCCCTTTTGGAATTTCATGGTTAAAGATCAATCTAACTATAGTTCTAAAGCGTTCACCGTGAACGACGATGAAGCGATATAAATTCAGCTAGACGAAGGTAAGAGCAGAGCTATGAGCTATTGAAAAGCGCCAGGGAAATTCAAAATGACTTCTGGCTCTTTCAGTGTTCATTTTGTGAAGCGAGCTGCTTTTTCAAAACTTTCTTTCCATTAGATTTTACTTTGCGATTTTCGAGTCGCCAGCATAACTTTCTCGCTGCTAGATTATTAAATATCTATTCCGAATAGCTAAGCAAGCTAAACCTCTTCCCCCCACCTACTTAGGGCTACAAATTCTCTCCGAGTTCCGATGATGCCCTTATCATAACCAAGAATTCAGGAAGAAAGTTTCGAATGATCTACAATTTTCATCTTTTAATGATGTACTTTGAACTTCACCTGACACGCACCGTATGTCAATTGTGGGTGAACACAAGATTTTGCCCTTTTTAATATGGCATAGAGATTTGAATTTGCAGTTTTTACACCGCATTCTGCATTCCTTCAAAGACTGGTTTCACTCATTGTGAGAATCAGATCGAGCCTTTTAACTGTCACTGCACGATATACGTTGGTTACCCAAGATAATTTGATACAGAAAAATCTTAATGGAATCGCCTGTGTCCTTATATTTGGTAGCTGGAGCTGTTGCTTCACAGAGGTCTGTATCGTAAGATAATTACAATACAATTTCATACAGTTTCTAAAATCATTTGATAATCGACGGGGGGTGTAAGGAAAATAAGTGATTTTGGGTGTAATGACTACAGAAATGCCATGGTGCGAGAAAGGAGATTTGTGCTTCTCATGCAGCGCAACAAGCGCCATGGTCGCTGGTCAACCCACAACTTGTAGTTATCCAAAGATTTTGTTTATTCTGTCGCTGTCGCCAAGGTCACGTGCTCAAGATCACATGGAACGGATATAACGCTTTTCTTAAGGAGAGGATCTGACAATATCATGCAACAATGAGCGGGTATCTCAAGCTGGATGACATCAACAGAATTCCCCCGATGGCTCCTTACGAGAAAAATGTTTATAATAGTCCGGAAAGGTGACCTTGCTAGTGCCAAACATAATCTCGACTACGTACACAATGATCCAACGATCAAGCTTAATTGACCAAATAACAGCCATAGCTTCAGCGATGCGATGAGCTCCGAGACAGAGACGTATAGGAATCACTGAAGATGGCCAGTACCTCTCATAACCCCGCCATTCTACTTCGTAGGGTTTTGTCCCTCAGAGAAAATTCCCATTTTGTTCTTGTTATCGATTCTATTGGAAGATCAGGACACTGCGTCTTGGATGAAGTTGCCCATGAAGCTGAAGGATCTACGACCATTATTTACGTCTCTTTCGAAACTATCAGGAAACCCAACTATGCCACACATTTTATAGATGGTTGCATATCTCCGTCACGGCTGCTGACGACAATCCAGTCATTTCTGCCGTCCCCCGAGCACTCCAAATTATCAGCTGGCAGCAAGTTTCTGGTTGTGATTGACAGCATAAATTCGATCCCGGGTGGCAACCTGGTGCAATTCGTGACACAGCTGGCTTCTCCCTCGGTCGCTTTGCTGGCTATCTTTCATAAGGACGTACCAGAATACCGTTCTGCTGAACTCGAAAACTACCCAAGCTCAATACAGCTTTTAAAGTTCATGGCCTCGTCAATTATAGAGGTGCGACCATTTACACTCGATATTGGTGAAGAACAGGATCAAGAGTCTGGATTGCAAAAATTGGATATGCCCACGGGACTCAATAGCTCAGTCTATAAACTCATTTTGACCAACCGTCGAAAGTCAGGTAGAGCTTTAACACATGAGTTCAAGTGCGACTCTCAGACACACTCATTTACTCCGATACAAAACGATGAAGACTCAACTGGTGATCCAGAGGGCTCCGAAAGCTTTGAGGGCTTGACAACTTTTAATTTGGGTACCTCAAATCGGCAGAAAGCCGCAAAAGAACAGGTCGCCTTGCCCTTCCTGGAAGCTCAAACCTTCAATACAGGTGGTGCCATTGTGTATGAATTCGAGAAAGACGACGACTACGATGAAGAGGATCCATACGAGGATCCTTTCTGAGCCCATTGAGTTTATATACAGAACTTTTAAGATCAAGTTATAGGCTTGCTCGAGTGCCCTAAGGCCATTTGATTTAAGCGTCTTTCCTATGGACGTGACAACGCAGATGCCAAGAAACGTTTTAGATGTTAAACAGGTTGAGTAACATCATTGAGGGATGTGGAAAGTCGATGCAAAGGTTTTTTAACAAAGGTAATGGAAATAGGTGAACCAATAGCGCTTCAAAAATCAGATAACAAATTTTCGATGATATCAAACTATGGTCACGCAATACTCGACACTTCTAGTAGTTTATCCTGTTGCAATAGTAGCAGGGAAGATTGCGAGCTTTAGATTATCGCAAGAACACTTTTCACCCATCTAGAAATCTACAACTAATTGACGGTCAACATTCCCTATGGGGGATTGTAGATTGCAACAGAGTATTCTATCAATGACAATTTTGGTCGGTCAACAACACGACGTCAATGAGGCAGTTGCATTTTTTTTTATCAGGCCGCGAATTTATCATTTGCGCCTATCATTGCCGCACCAATATTTGCTGATCCGGGTTCGAAGGACGGTTATGACAGTCATCGCGTCGGAATATAACCTTGGCCATTATATGAGCAATGAAAATGTAGTATCGAAAAAGAACGAGAGACCATTGAAACAGGTCCACAACAGGCTGTTCGCTGATTCCTCTTCCGAAAGCATGACCAAGACCCTTGAATGTAATCATAAGCATTTCTGCCGAGCATTATGGCGGTAAAGTGTTGAGTTTATTCCCTATGTGACCTACTGTTCTTTCTTCTCAGGACTAACTTTGCCTTTATTCCCCTTTACCCTCTTCAATAATGCGACCAGCTTGCCTTTGAGACCAGGTTTCGCTGATGCCTTCCTGTCTGCTTCTTCAACGGTGACAAGTTTTTTTACCATTAGGTTGAATAGCGTTCCAAACGCTAAGCCCATAACAGTGGACGTCAAAATAATCACATTGTAAGGCATACTGAAATCCGGCGTTGACAAGGACAGCAGAAGAGTGGCAGTTCTCATCTCACTCCGGACTGGGCTCAACACAGTGATCAAGGCTGATTCAATCTCAAAACCATGATTGGCGTCGGGTGGATATTCGGCGTATTTCAAAAGCGCTTTACTGAATTGGTACGACAGTGCCAGAGAGGTGTGAGCTGGTATGCTGATGTTGAATTCCAAATGCGTCGGCCGCTCTCTGTCAATAGCAGGCAAATAGAACGTACTTTTTATCACATCTCCAATTTCGAGTCCATCATCGCTTTCTAATTTCAATGAAGATAGATATAATCTCATGTACCAGGGAAGGGATTCGAAGTATATGGCATTTACGGTTTCATTATTGGGGTTTCTGAACACCGCGCGAAGACCCCCACCATCCTGACCATATCCTGTGAGGGATCTACTCACGTAGAGAGGTACGTTCTCGCCCTCCACAACATGCGTTGTATTGTCCGAATCAAAATTTAGGTCGTGTAATTGATTATCTTTGATGGCAAAGCAGTTGTCATCAGTTGAATATAAAGAGCCTTCGATGTCGGCGTAAACCGTCCAGCTATCGCTAACCTGGGCACAAATTGTTGATGGATTCTCTGAGATCAGATTTGACCCCAATATTTTCTTGCCAAAAAGCTGTGAGAGTCGGAAATTGGTATGCTTGCTCTGTGGCAGAGGAAAACATTCCCAGGCATTATGCAGTTTGCTCTCATCACACTGGAGATCGGCGTCATGCAATGGTTTGGGAATGGGATTGTCAGCTCGCGCCAGAGAGTTTGGGACATTGAAAACCATTTCAATATTTGCGTCCATATGGTACTGACATGTGTCTCCAGTGCATATAGTTTTGACGTCTATTGACAAACTGTGCCAATTGGAATCAAAGACCTTGTGACCATCTAATAATGACGAAATACCGCTTTTGCCTCTTGTTGGTAGAAGCTTCAGAAATGGCGTCAGGTTTTCTGTGCAGATAGGTTCGTTAGCCAAAGCGGCACGCAACAAATACGCTTTTTTCGATGCATCAAAAATCGGTATCGGCTGCTGATCTGATGGCTGGAAAGAATAAACAGGATACGTCGTTTTTTCCATGTTGATGAAATTGATGGACGAGCAAAACAGACCGCTCAAGGAGTTAGTGAGCGTGACCCAATTTTCGTAAGCTTCATCGCGACTTTCAGCCTCTATTACTGCCCAAAGTTCAACTCCACTGCCACCAGATTTTGTTCCATTATGAGGAAGCTGACCCCAGGACTCCGCGTCCCAGCGTCCATGCGTAAAACGCAGGTGCAATTCTCTCGTTTGGCTGTATTCCAAGATGGGACTCAGAGCTTTGGGGAAGACCGTGTAGTGACGGTAAGAGTCGTATGCAAGTTCTGATTTACCTATCGCCAGATTGTTAGACTGCATCTGGAATTCAAATGAAGCAAGCAAAAAATTTCTAGGCAAAGGCTTTAAAGTTAGTTTCTCATCGAAAGGGTATCTTACAATGCTGTCATTGTTGAACAAGACAGCACTAGGAGCATTCGTCTCGATGTTCTCCTCATGAACGTTCTCCTCTATTTGCAAGTGTATGTGTTGTTCCGGTTCCCTCTCTAGCTCGGGGGTACTTGAGGTTTCAGATACTAAACATGTTTGATCACCACTGCCCGCCGATTCTGTTTCATTGGGAATGACTAGTTCATCGTCTATGGAAAGCCCACCAGCCCCATAGAATAGAGCAGTGAAAGCCCAAAGACAGAGGAAGTTGAACCTCATTTTAAAAGCTCAAGCCCTTAGCCGCTTATAGGAGAAAGATGAGTTGGAAAGCGCACCGTTCGAGTTCTTGAAGCTCATTTTCTATATAGACTTCATATTTATCTAATTTAGATCTAAAAAGTGTTGATAGCACTATCGACGAAGGGCATAATTGCATGTCAGAAATGGGAACTTTAAAGGTTTAAAGACGAGTGTTGATTGAGGTATTGATTCTTTCTGTACATACCACAGCTGAAAAGTATTACGGTAGGATGTCTGAATCCGAAGTTGCGAGTAATGGTAGATCTAACTCTAAGAGAAGCTTAACAGCATCATATTCCATCCCCAAAGAAGTACAAGATGAGCTTGAGCTTGGCGCTGAGGATGAAGATCCTCTGAAAGAAAGGGCTGCTGCGAAAAGCACTTATGCACGAGAATCAGAATATCAGCGGCAGAGATTTGGACTGGAGCTCGAGAGCGGAGAAGCCTCCAAAAGGCCTTTTGGAACCGTTGAAGCAGAAGTGGACAATGACAAGGCCTCCAAAAAGGCCAAAGTGTCCAGATGGGACGTAGTCACAATCAAACCCGATGAAAGTGGAAGTTCTAAAAACCAAGGAATGAAACTTGTTTCTAAAAAATCCAGGTGGGACGTAGAAGCAGGATACCAGATGCCCGAATCGTCAAAGGCTGTGTCAGACGAGCTATCTCGAGAGTTGGTGACAGAGGTGCCGGGCGTCGGAGACCTGCAGTTCTTCAAGCCTTCTGATAAAACTCATTTTGGAGAGCTGCTTGTACAGAAACCTGATCTGACTGAAGAGGAAGATAAAGACCGTCAGTTTCTGCGAATTTTACTCAGGATAAAAAATGCGAGACCACAGGTTCGGAAAAGTGCAATGCGGATTTTGAAAGATCGCGCTGCTCAATTTGGCGCCCCGCGCATATTCAACAGGGTTCTGCCAATTCTTATGGATAGATCCTTAGAAGACCAGGAGCGTCATTTAATGATCAAGGTGGTCGATCGCATAATGTCTCAACTAGGAGATCTCGTCAGACCATACACGCATCGAATTCTAACTGTAATAGCACCCACTCTCATTGACGAAGATCCGGTAACACGAGAAATAGGTAGAGAAATAGTTTCCCGCTTGGCTCAAGCCGTGGGACTATTTGAGATCATAACCAACGTTCGTTCTGACATCGACCATCAAGATGAATATGTGAGAAATATAACTTCAAGGGTTCTGGCATTGGTTGCAAAGTCATTGGGTGTGTCCAGCCTAATTCCATTTCTACGAGCAGTTTGTCGCTCCAAGAAGTCCTGGCGCGCTCGTCACACGGGAATGAAGACAATACAGCAAATAGGCATCACCATGGGCATAGGCGTCTTGCCTTATCTCCAGTCGCTTGTGGAATGCATATCGGAAAACTTGAGCGTCGAACAATTGCAAGTTCGCATTGCTACAGCTCAATGCATCGCTTCTCTAGCTCAGAGTGTACATCCTTATGGCATCGACACTTTCAACATTGTTTTGGAACCTTTGTGGAGAGGCATCAAAACCCATCGAGGCAAGTCTTTGGCGTCTTTTCTTCGGGCCTTGGCCTTTTTAATCTCTTTAATGGACGAAGAGTACGCTGGGTACTACACACAAGAAGTTATGCGGATAGTACGAAGAGAATTTCAATCTCCAGATGATGAAATGAAAAAAGCAGTCTTGCTAGTCTTGCAGAAATGCTGCGCAGCAGGTGGTTTAACTTTCAAGCAGGTAAAGGAAGAGATAATGCCAGATTTTTTTCGTTACTTCTGGAGTCGACGCATAGCTTTAGATCGTCAAATCAGCAAACTCGTAATCTATACCACCATTGTTCTTTCAGAGAAGAGCGGTGCTGCGTATTCTGTAAGCAAATTGCTGGATCCGTTGCGAGACGAGTCAGAGCCGCTCAGAATCATGGCAGTCAGAGCCATTAGCCGAATCTTTAAGCAGTATGGCTCACATGATATTGATCAGCGATTGGAGACCAGGATTATTGATGGAATGTTAATCGCGTTTCAAGAGCAATCGAATGAAGATCGCGCTATTTTGCAGGGATTCGGTACCGTCATAGAGTCTTTGGATGCTAGAATGCAACCGTATTTGCCGCCCATAGTGAGCACTGTCCTTGAGCGCTTAAAGCACAAATCTCCAGTGATCAGGCAGCATGCAGCGGACTTGTGTGCCATGATGGTACAAGCAATTTATCACTGCGGAGAACTTAGCATGCTCAATAAGCTAAACATTATTTTGTATGAATCGTTGGGTGAGGTCTATCCTGAGGTTTTAGGCGCAATAATCGGAGCGATGGGCCGAATTGTTAGTTGCGTCGACTTTGAGAAGCTGCAACCACCACCAAATCAAATTCTTCCCAACTTGACTCCAATTCTTCGAAACCGCCACAGGAGAGTACAACAAAACAGCATAATTCTTGTAGGGAAAATTGCAGAAAAGGGACCGGAAAGCATTCCTCCAAAGGAATGGATGCGCATCTGTTTCGAGCTTTTGGAAATGCTGAAAAGTCCTACCAAGTCAATCAGGCGGGCTGCGAATGCTTCATTCGGTGCAATTTCTAAAACTATAGGGCCTCAGGATGTTCTTGTTGCTCTGCTCAACAATCTGAAGGTTCAAGAGCGGCAGCTTCGTGTCTGTACTGCCGTGGCGATCGGTATTGTCGCGGAGACTTGTGGACCAATTACAGTCATTCCTGCCATCATGAACGAGTACAAAACGCCTGACACGAATGTACAAAATGGTGTTCTCAAGGCTTTGACGTTCATGTTCGAATACATTGGAGACATGTCAAAAGATTTCATATATGCTACTGTTCCTTTGTTGCAAGACGCTTTGACAGATCGAGATCTTGTCCATCGCCAAACCGCAGCTACTGTGACAAGGCATCTCGCTCTTAATTGTATGGGAAAAGGTTATGAAGATGCATTTTTGCATTTATGGAACTTACTTATACCAAACGTTTTCGAAACATCACCTCATGTCATATCTCGTATTGTCGAAGGTATTGAAGCGTTGAGGTTCGCGTTGGGTCCTGGTATTGCTCTCAATTACGTGTGGGCAGGACTATTCCATCCTGCTAAAAACGTGCGCAAGTCATTCTGGAACCTGTACAATAACACCTATGTCCAGTGTCCAGACGCGATGATCGCTTACTACCCATCCTTTGATGAAGAATCTGGTCAGAAAGTAGAAGAATTGGGCATTGTTTTGTGATTCTCGCTATGCAGGCTTTATTTACAAGGTGTACGTTTCCGAGCAGACGAACCTCATGTAAATTACTATCAAAATAATTCTTTTTTCGCTAGACTTATAGTTCCGATAGCTTCCCCCTCAGAGTCTTCATCCTCAGAGTCGTCTTGTGTAGAGTTCTCGTCTGAATCTTCTTCGCCAGAAGTGGACTCTTCCGAAGTTTCTTCCTCGCTTGTCGAATCGTCCTCCTCGATAACCACTCTACGAGCTGGTTTGGACGCTCTTGTTGGAACCTCGGAAAAGAAGTCGTCCAGCGTTTGAAGCTGATACTTTTTGCCTACAGATGAGGTAAAAACACGAGACGACGTGTTAAGCAATTTGTCTGCGTTGTCGCCTTTACTTGAAGGTGATTCACGAGATTCGTCGGCATTAAAGAACGAGGCGGACGAGAAACTTTTTTTGAATTTGTTATAATCTTTAAGTTCTGCTGGTTTTCTCAAATCTGAACTTTTCTCATCTTCATCGCTATCCCACCTTGACGGGGTTAAATAATCTTCCATGTCATGATCAAGACCCATACGAGTCATGTTTCCTGAGTCTAGAGTAACTGGGGCATCAAAAGTGATACAGCGAATCGATGGTGGTTTTGGCGCTTGAAGTAATAGAGAGGCAACTTCAAATTTTTGTCTTTCAAAGAGGGATGAAAACATTCTGGCACAATCTCTGATATCGAAATCTTCGTCAAACTTGGCTAAGTAAAAAGCATTTTGTGCCAGCTGATTATTTCTCGAGTTCTCAAAGTCATAAAGCGCATCAGAAGTACCTTCCTCGGCCTTAAAGTTTTCTAAATCGTAGGATAAAATTTTCGCTGCAAGTAGAACGATTTGCAATCTGGTTTCCTTTGGTTCCGAGGAAAAGCCAGGCAATAATATTCTCAGCACATCAGGACATATTGAAAAATTGATAGAAGCGAATTCCCCAAAAAGCCATACGATACCAGCTTTTGCCGGCCCTGATAAAAAGCTCCCACTTCGCAGCGTTTCGTATAGTTTAATCATTGTGCCTAAATGCTGGGAGGGATACTCTTGAATCAAATACCTAATGACGCCAACATATGATTCCAAAGAGGTAGACGCACTAGAGTTTGCGATTCCGCCCAATAGCCACTTACTGATGTGCAACGACAAGTTTTGCGATAAGGTACCACAAACAGCGAGAGAGTTGAGCGCTTCTTGTACAACTTGCGGGCGAGAATCGGTCGAAATGTAGTACTTGAGTTCTTTAACGATTTGTTTAACGTTGTTGTCATCGATGAGTGTTGTGATGATTTTGAGCTTATAAATTGCCGTGGAAGTATCGTCGCTGGGGAATAGGAAGAACTTTCTCAGAAAGTTGGAAAACGTTGTTGGATCAACAGCGCAATACATCAAAATGCACTGTAGAATTATGCCATGGTCACTGTAGAATGAGGGCACACTTATTAGTCTCGCTAAAGCTTCAGTTGCTCGAGAATTCTTAAAGGACACAGGGGGTGTGAGCTCAAAAAAAGCTTTACTGATGGAAACGATGACCGCGGGGTTGGGAGAGTGCAGCATGTGTTCAATGGTTTGCGAATAAAGCTCGAGGTCGGAATCGAACACAACATCATAAGTAGCGAAAGGTACCGCATTAAAAGCGTCAGGAAGGGCCAGAGTTTGAGAAGGATCAGAAGCATCTCTTAATAAAGGCTTTTGGACAAACTTTTTACAATACCGTGTAAGTAAATCAATCAAGTAAAGCTGTGAGTATTGCGTAAGCTGTGGTAAAATTTCGCAATAGCGGCGAAAATGGCCATGAAGAAGTTCCAACGAGCCAGGGAGCGCCTCTTTGAATAGCACAATTGCAGAAGACACAACTTGAACGTCAGAATCTGCGAGTAAGTCTTTCAGCAAGGGCACGACATCTTCTATAACATGTTCGCGGTGTTCACGGTACAGCTTGAGAAGCGCAAAGCATACAGCACAACGCACTTCCGGTGCACTATCAGTCACGGCCTTTTTTACCGAATGCAAAACAATCGGGTATAACGAGGGCAGCTTGATGTCAGAGAGCATCTTGAGCGCCAGCGCACGAGACTGCGGATCTGAATCCGCTAGCGATTTCTGAATAGAATTGACCGCCAGAAGAGCCAGATTGGGCTGTTTTTCTGCGTAGTTTTGCAGATAGATAGACACAAGTCTCTTCACTTTGATATCTGTTGACAATCCAATGTTTTTGACCACATCTGCGAAATAGGATTCCAAATCAACGGTTGTGTCGTCTGAGGCCAGTAGTGACGCCACTTTCTTCATTCCATCGCGAACTTCCCTTTCATTTCGCGAGTCCAGTAATGAACGGAGCCCCTCAGGAGTTATGTTCTGCGAATAGCGATGATATGAGGTTTCTCCCAACCGCGAACTTGCTACTGCTGCGGCTTCAAGGGTCAATTCACGCGCAGATTCCAAAGCTGAGGTTATGCGAGTAATTGAATCGACCATGAGAAATATTTGGGGGTTGTACGGGGCGTGGTCAACGTTGTGAACTGGTGTTCATTGAGTGAGCTATCTGCTGGAGCTGATTGATTTGGGCTAAATCGAGTTCATCTGTAGTAATACACGTTGTTTTAGATGTATCGTTGTACGAAAGATCAATTTGAGAAGCATAAAAATAAAAAAGCCCTGTAGGGGGCTCGAACCCCTAACCTTATGATTAAGAGTCATACGCGCTACCGATTGCGCCAACAAGGCTCTTATGATGAACGTGGAAGAAAGGCAGTTATATACAGGAAAAAACTGTCATGCCTTTTATTCCCTTGCCATGTACGTGGGAAACTGAATCTGGTGACACATTGTTGGTCTTGATTCCAGTCTTAAACCAATGCCAGTTAAACGCTGTTCGTTTCTGAAATCATTGCAGTCTCTAAACCTTTCGCTGCTCTCAACACACCAAAACGCGACTTAACAGATTCTCAATTAAATTTACGTTAAGTGAAAGCTACTAAGAGTTCAATATGTCAGAACATCTTTCATGACATTAAAACTCGATTAAAACATGAGTGTAGAGGATGAAATAGAAAAGCTGAAGTCCAGGCACAAGGTTTCTCAACACGCGATACCAACGACATACGAAAGTACCCAAAATTCAATTACTCTCGACATCTGACATCTTTTTCGTTTTCACACTTCCGCCAAAGACCTACACATCAATTAGAACAATCAACATATTTTCCATGCTGTATCCTTGAATGATCTTGGATTTTAAGATGTATAGTATAAGTCTCGCCCATCGTGGACTCCGGATATCATTTCGGATGAACATGTCAAATAGCATCAGAGTTCAAAAATTGAAAAGAACAATAGCGATGAAGGCAAAGCCTAACAGTGCAACACACGACCTGGGATAAAAACTGGATAGTCAAAGTATTCGCTCACAAGCCTAATACAAACTCACAGATATTCGTCAATGTGTTTTCTTCCAAGATTCTTCCTCAAGACATCCACCTGATCCTCTAGTCATTTTTCGAGTCAATATATATTATTGAAGCCCAAATGCCCGATGAAGTGAAGCCCTCTGGTACCTGGCACGATAGGATACCTTCAAGCGCCAAAATAGTCCCGAATATCTACCGGCTGCCCATTACAATGCTATCCGGTACCAACGAACAGACAGGGCTTACCGAAATGCAGCGACAAGTCTCGGAAATTGTTCAACATGGAGTCATTGACCCAAATTTTAAGTTCAATGACTCAGATTTCGAACTTTTGTCTACGCTACGGTACGATCCAGGATTCACTGCCACCACGGCTGCGATTCCTATGCAAAATGAAGCTTCCAGAAATTGGCCGGATTTTGGAAACGTTGATCCTTTACTATCAGCTGTCGATCTTCGAGCTTCCTTGCCAGAAAACGAGAGCCTACCGCACGACGAAACGTCACTTTTTCGGCTTCTAAGCGATACCCACCGAGACAATGGTCCACCTTCACCACCGCCAGAACTCGTTGATGAAGATCTCACCAACATACCAGAATCAGTTCTACTAAACACATTTTACAATCGCTTCCTGCTTCTAGGGGAGCAATTCCAACGACTCACACTAACGCTCAACTACTTTGGATGGGACTTTGAAGTCCCATTTGCCCTGTTGCTCGAAAAATTAATCATGGCATTGCCTTGTCGTTTGAGTGCTTCTACAAACTTACACACGCGTATGCAGAGCTTGTACAATGACCGGAAATGCTACAAAATGAGAATTCTGGTGTCCAGTTCCGGGAAAATGCGTATTGAGGCTCATGAGATACCATCCAGTCCTTTTCATCATTCGTCCTCCACCCAGTATTTCATTGATACCATTTTGGGAGGTCTCATAGACAAACCTAATGAGGAGCCATGGGACATATTCATCGACACTCAAGCGTTGACAGCATCTCCCTTCACAACATTCAAAACGACAAAAAGAAATCACTACAATGAGGCCAGGTCTCGGATGCAAGAGCTGCGGTCAACCATAACAAATCCCAGAGCTAAATCAGAAATCCTATTATACAATAATGCATTTGAGCTGATGGAAGGGTCCATCACCAATGTTGCGGTGCTACAAGACAAACCTGAAGGCTCGGGTACTTTTTATCAAACGCCGTACCTCTCAACAGGCTGTCTTTGTGGGGTTATGAGATACTACCTCCTAAGCAAAAAGCTCTTAAATGAGGGACAGACTGATGTCCGCGATTTGCGGGTGGGTGACTCAATACTTTTGTTCAATGGAGTGATGGGTTGTGTTAGAGGCATTATCCGGAACTCGTTGCAATAGGCCAAGATTTTGAAATCGCCAGTTATCCTATCATACTTCTCTTTCTGCCCCTCAGTCTCACTTCCTCAAACCTTTTCAAAACCTCGCGCAACCTGTTTTGGCCCTTTTGACTGAGCTCTTCATAAACCTGCTTGTACCCTTGCATCAACAACTCGTTGTAAGTGTCGGCGAAACGTGAATGCGTGCTATTCACAGCTCTCTCTAGCACATACAAATCAACGCCTTTATCTTCAACAAGTGTTGATGCCGATCCTAGCCCAAAATCGATCAAGTAAGGCTCCCAGTCTCCGTCGCTGTGTTGAAGAACGACGTTGGATGTTGTCAGGTCTCCATGACAATAGTCATTCCAATGTAGAAGACCAATTTGCCGGCCCACTTTTACTAGAGTGGTCTCGACAATCTCACTATGTGGATCTGATACACACATCCACAAAAAGTTTTTGAGACTGCTGAAGCCATTACCATTGGGAAGCTCTTCGCCCAAGAACTCAATCCAAATGCATCCGTTGTAGACGTCACATGCGATGAGCTTGGGTACGTTAAGACCCGGAATCTGCGAAAGTTTGGCTAAAATCCTAGATTCACTCAATGTGCGGTGTTTGGTGAGCGCTTTATCTATGGTAGGATGTCTGTATTTTTTGGGAGGTCTGTACTTCAAGACGTACTTAATCGATGTTTCTGCATTGTTCTGGCTAGGCTCATAAGGATGAACCGATGTAGTGAAAACAACAGCTTCTGCACCCTGTGAAATCGGTACAATAGGAACATTGGGTGTCAGGTATGAAGCCACTTCCTTTATAATCTGATCGGACATCTTTACGGGCTTCGTGGATATGTGTAACCGGCTAAGAATCTTGGCCTGTAATGCTCTCGTTGCTTGATATTTAAGATCTCGAATGAGACCTCATTATGAACGGGTCATCTCGAGCTCGCGGCATAAGAAGATTCAACCAGATCGGATCAGATAAGATCGAAGGACCATAGCAATTGCATTACTACTAGCTTGGTGTGTATCTATTCGTTGGCACAAGATATGGGTATATTTGCGTTTATTTGACTTTGGTTTTTTGGCTTATTTCTGCTGACCACCATACATGTTTCTCCATTCGTCGATCTTCTTCTCGTCGATACGCTTGAAGAGGTATTCGGCTTTGTTGATATTGTGTCCTCCATGTATGCTGAGGTTGAAAGTGTTTTCAATGCGTAGTGGTGGAGCATTCAAAATCCTGTAAATCGTTTCGGCAGTTTCAGGCATGAATGGATAAATGACGGACGCAACAGCGTAGACAAGGTTGAGACCGACACCAACGACTGCATCGGACTTTTCTGGGAAGTCTGAAAATAGGGTGTTGTCTAGCTTGTTTTCTTGCAAAAACAAGTTACCACGGGCGCTCAGCGCCATGGCCAACTCAAGACCACGTCTTTCGTGTGTTTGTTCCATCTCGTCGATGTAGCTGGTCAAAGTTGAGTCCAAATCCTTCTTCAAGGACTCGTAATCATTCAAGCTGCTGGTAGAGAACTCCGGCACAACGCCATTGTACTTGGCGTTGACAAACTTGACTAGTCTGTTCACGAAATTTCCGAGGTTGGCAAGCAGTTCACCGTTGTTACGGGCAACAAAGTCGTTCCAAGAGAAATGGGAGTCGCTCGACTCGGGTCTCATGGACGCTAAGTAGTATCTCCACACACTAGGAGATACACCGGTTTCTTTGGCGTTATTTCCGAACACACCAACGCCTCTACTTTTTGAAAACTTACCTCCTTCATACTGGAGATACTCCGTTGTGCTTAAGTGATGCAGCATAGTCCAGTCCACTCCCGTACCAAGCTGAGAGCCTGGGAAGATGACGGTGTGGAAAGGAACATTGTCTTTACCCATGAATTGATACAATTCAACATTCTTGGGGTTTTTCCACCATTCTTCCCATTTTTTGGTGTAATTGGCAGTAATGGACACATATCCGATTGGAGCGTCAAACCACACGTACAAAACCTTGTCCTTGTACTTCTCCATGGGCACCTTGGTACCCCACACAAGGTCTCTGGTGATACAGCGGGGTTTTAAGCCTTCCTTCAACCATGAATTGGTAATGGTCTTTGAGTTCTTACTCCATTGGCCCTCTCTAGACGATTTCTCCACCCAAGCTTTGATCTCTGGCTCAAGCTTGTCCAAAGAGATGAACACATGGTCTGAGAATCGTGGGACGGGTTTACTACCATCCAGTTTACAGCGAGGTTCAACCAACTCAAATGGATCTAGCAAAGAACCGCATTTGTCACATTGGTCACCACGAGCGTCTTCGTATCCACACTTCGGACAGATACCCTCCACGAACCTATCAGCTAGGTAAGATTTGTGAGTCTCGCAGTACAACTGCTTCATCGATTGTTCTTCCAAGAAGCCGTTTTTGTTCAGATCATTGAAAATACCCTGGGCAATCTCAGTTTGCTGGTCCGTGGTGGTTCTTCCGAAGTGGTGGAACCCAATTTGGAACCAATCGTAGACATCTTTGTGGATTTTGTGGTATTTATCACAAAGTTCACGCGGTGTGCATTTTTCTTCAAGGGCCTTGGTCTCAGTGGCTGTACCATACTCATCAGTACCGCAAACGAACAAGGCGTTGTAGTTTCTGGCCTCACAGTAACGGGCATAGATGTCTGCAGAAAGCACACTGCCAACAATGTTACCCAAATGAGGGACATTGTTCACATAAGGAAGTGCAGAGGTGATCAAAACGTTACGCTCGCCCTCTTTAGGCAAAATCTCAGAATCGTGTTTTTTGATGGAGAAATTGGTGTCGACATTTACGGCACCGGTGTGTTTAGCACTTGACGATTCTCTTGGTGTTGATGACTTGGCGATGGAGATTGCAGCGGAGATAGGTTCTGGAAGATCTTTTAGCTGGGCTTCCACCAAAGCGGGGCTCAAGGCATAAGCGTTGGCAAAAGTGATTAGTTTGGTAGCACTGACGGGCTCAGAAAGACCTGGCAAATAGTTGGCCAAAGCTTTGTTCACAGTTTCGTCAACATGCTCCTGAGGAGCGTTAGGATGGTGCAGTAAAGCTTCGAGTGACGAAACCGCGAAATGCGTTTCTGGGGACTCAGTACCTTCGAAATCGGCAAGAACATATCTCAAAATAGCATTGGCGTTAAACAAACGGAATTCGGACCCGGCAACTGTGAGTCCTAACTCATTGGATTCCAGATCAATGGATAATTTAGATTTGGCATCGGCTAATTTTTGAGCAAGAGCGATCTTTAAATTATTCGCCAGCTTCAAGGCACTACTGGATCCCTTAGATCTATCGAATGACAGGTTCAAAGACATCTTCTCAACTTCTTTGGCTTGAATTTCTATCAGTGATGAGTGTGATGAGGAAGTGGTTCGATGTTAGACATCTCGAATTTTTTTCATTAATTATATATAAGTGTCAGTGTCAGCGTAAAAAGAGCAGTGATCAAGTTGACAATGACTGCTGTTGAGAACAGAGGAACCAGTCCTCAAGCGGGTAAAGCCTTTGTGAAAAACCAGATGTGTTTTCAAGAATTATTTTCGAATAGTGACATATTGTAATTACAGTTTTGACCCGTCCGTCAGCCGAATCTCCCATAATAACACAGATTTCAAATCCGTGACTAAGCTTAGCAATAGACAGGGCTGAAAAGAGTGATCGAAACTACTTGGTATATCATTCTTGTAGTTTTCGATACATTCTGCAGCTTTCTATGATGAATGGTCGGTGTTCCAAGCATATTTATTTGATTCTTTGCGTTTCTTTTAAAAAATTGTGTTCGACTGTCTCTACAAATTTGACTGAATTAAATTATTCTGAGTAGAACTTACCATAAGATTTTTGTATGATTCGGGCATTGAATAAGGACAAACCTCGGTGCTTCGAGTAAATCTGGAGCTTGAAAGGATCTTCTTGTTTTTGAGGTCATTTTGTACTACTGTGTCGTTGTTGTCGAGTTCCATTGTCGCCAGGTCTTTCTCACCAGAAGGTATGTTTGTTAGCCCGTACAATTTCCTCAATTATCCATCTTGTTTAGAAATTTATCTATTCTTGTTATTGTACATATGAGAGCCTTGACTTTGTTTTGATTCTCACTGAACGGCGTCTCAGTTCCTGACCTTCCGCTTCTTTGCAGGAGGAGCTTTTCCAGACGCTCCAATGGTGATATTTACCTTTGGTGGGACTGGGAAACCGTAGGACTTTGCCACCTTTGCGAGATCCAGCTTGTCGATCTGGTAGACGGTCTTAAGACCGTGTGATGCATATGCCTGCAAGTACGATCTGTAACCGTCCTTGGCAATCTGGTGGAGGTGATAGTTGGATCTGATCAGTTTCTCGAGCTGTGACTGAACATTGGCAATCTTGTTGGTAGGGAACTCGAACTCATTGAGAGGAACCTTTGCAGCCTTCAAGTAGCGTAAAAACCCAAGTTCGTTGGGGGTTAGGAACATCAACGATTTGCCCTTACCCTTGGATCCTCTTGCAGTTCTTCCGACTCTGTGAATGTAGTCTCTTGGATCATCAGGTGGGTCAAATTGGATGATCCAGTCGACAGCAGGTATATCAAGACCTCTGGCCGCAACATCTGTGCAGACGAGAGTACCTCTGTCAGCATTGCAGAACTCGAAAAATGTGTTGGTACGTTTTTGCTGTTTTTGCTTCCCGTGCAGCTCCAGTACTGGCAAATCAATGTAGTTCAATAGCTCAGCGTAATACTTGACCGAGTTGCACGAAGACAGAAAGACAATGATCTTCTTCTTTTGGTTACGCTTGAGGAAGGAGAACAAAAGCAGGAAACGCTTGTCACTTTCACAGACCACATATCCTTGTTCCAAACCTTCCGCTGTTGATGTTTCTTTTTCAGAATCAACGTTGATGAACAGAGGGCCAGGCCTTAGAGAAATACGAGCCAAATCTTCTACTTTAGTAGTTTGTGTGGCAGAAAATAGCATGGTTTGGCGGTCCTTGTTGGGAAGAATCTTGACAATTTGACGCATTTCGTCCTCAAACCCAATTTCCAGAATACGGTCCGCTTCGTCAATGATCAGGGCGCGCAGGTTCGTGAAGACGAACCCGTGAGTATTTTGAAGATGGTCCAGAAGTCTGCCAGGTGTGGCGATTAACAAGTTGACACCTTTGGCAAGTTTATCGGCCTCTTGACGACGATTGGCACCGCCGATGACGATACCGAAAGTTTGCGAGTGGAATTCTAGGAGCTGCTTGGCAACACCGAAGATCTGCAAGGCAAGCTCACGAGTGGGGGTGATGACAATCACACCAGTACCGTTACGAGGCTTGAACTTCAGTGAATTCAGCATTTCGATAGCAGGCAGCAAAAACGCCAAAGTTTTTCCGGAACCTGTCTTGGCGGCACCCAGCACGTCACGGCCAGCCAGTAGCGGAGGGATCGTACGGGATTGGACCTGTGTCATATTGGTGAATCCAAGCTTCTCGATAGCTTTCATTGTTGGAGGAGACATATTGAGCTCGGCGAATTTTTCCTTGTATTGAGGTGCTTTTGACTCACTGTCATTGGAGCTCACTTTTTCAACGCTGGTTTGTGGTTGCTCATCGACATCATCTCTAGCGTGCTTCTTGGAGCGAGACGCTGCTGCTGCTGCTTCCGAGGCCATTCTTAGAGGAACAGTATGGTTCTAAAGTCAGTGGGCCTTTAAAGTTCCGAGAGAGCCAGTGTCTAGTAGAAAAAGCTATTGAACTTTTATAAAACAGAGGACTTTATGTACTGTCACTAGGGCGCGATGAGCTAGCTCGATGCGATGAGCTGAAAGTTTTTCAGATTTCTGTATAGATGGTAGAAAATTTCGTCACCGTGTTCGTGAGAGATGATATTGATATAAACTGCTAGGCGTGCATTGCTTACCATGTGACTAATCTTCAAAATTTAGCTTACTATGGGAAAATATGGAAGCTATGATTTGCTAGATAGGATCTCAGACGCCTGATCAGTGCGGGAGAGAATGGCACACGATTTCGTCAAGTAGCCCTATGAAATATTCGAAATGATGAGAAAAGAGACTTTGCGTCACGTGACCCGTTTATAATATGTCCAATGTTTATTGGGCTTGTGTCAGTGAGAGTAAATGTGATATAGTGTCTTTTCCGCCAAAAGGACTTCTACCTGGCGGAGACGAATTGTTTGAACCTACAGAGCTTCATTTTTATAACAAAAACGACCAATTTTTCCTCTTATTTCTTGCTTCGCCTTGGTTTTTTGGTTTTTCTGGTTCGTTCTGGGTCACACCTTTTTTACATAAAATATTGATGTAGCTCTAAAGCGCCGTATAGAATACAAGGTATAGCACCGGTTTATCCTTCCAGGGAAAGCTTTCGTCCCGACATCCCTGATGATATTTCTACTGCTTTTTTTCACTTTTTCCTCTCTTTGGAGAATTAATATTTATGAAAGAAAACTGGTAATTCAGAATCTCAGTGTTTTAAAAAAAACCTATGTCATTACCAGCCGTCTTGATACCTTGAATATCTACTTTAAATGAGTCTAATCACTGTTCAATGCCCACTTGTCTTTCTTTTACGTTCTCCTTCTCGTGAGAGGCACCCAAAGTACCAAAACTAATACTTAAGCTTACTACGCACTCAGTAATCGTAGAAAGAAGCCAAAAAGTTCCGAAAATAGCTACAATTCACATCAAGCTAAACAGAGTTCAACCAGCTCTATTCAATTCAAAACTACTTCTGATTATTGCGTTTTCTCGATTCTGTCACCGATATATTTTTCTTGCTAAACATATATATATATAGATATAAATATAAATGCACTGTTAAAATCCATAAGTTCAATACTTGTATATTAGACCCTGAACCCTTCTCAGATATCTTCACTCTTTAGAAAGTGCAACTCAGCAACTTTTATAGACTCCCGACAAGTATCTCGAATGTTAGAACTTCACGACGATTGGGATACCCAAGCTTTGTATCAAAATGAAGTGGATAATTGCAATTCCTGTGAAAAGCAAAGCCCTGTAAAGCGCACAGGAATTTTGTGCGGTCCCAACCTGCGTCTGGTTGGCGTCAACTATGCCAAAAATCTGTATCGGGCCAGTATGCTGCTAGTGTGTCGTGACATTGAATGCCCCGAGGTTAGTTTCATTCGTGGACCCAGTGAGAGCAAGCACGTCAAAGCTGACGACGTGCGTCGCGGAGAATTGCCAAGCACTCTTTTTTACGTGGACAACGGAATCGATTTTTACAGGTACACCATCGAGTTCCCCATGGAATCATACGAACAGGTCGTGAAATACTCCATTGGCGGTGATCACCAGCCTCATTATCGATTCTTCGTGCCATCCAAAAATAACAATTTCAACGTTATGTCATTCTCGTGCAATGGTTTTTCGTTGAACGTTGATACCACCCAGTTCCAGGGTTCAATGTGGTTTGACGTTCTCAACAAGCACGCCAAGACTCATTACCACGTAATGCTCGGAGGTGGTGACCAAATCTACTCGGACGGCGTGAACGTTTTTTGCGAAGGCTTCAAAAATTGGTTGCATGAGAAAAATGCGGTCAAAAAGTTCAGGGCGCACTTAACTTCAGAGCTGCGTGCAGAGCTCGACGAGTTTTATTTGAAGGAATACTTGGAATGGTACGGGTACGGTTACTGGAAGGGAAGCACGCCAAAATCGCAAACGACCCAGAAATGTTTCCCCATTGCCATGGCCACCATACCTTCGATCAACATCTGGGATGACCATGATATAATCGATGGGTTCGGGTCCTATTCGGATTCCTTCCAGTCGAACGAGGTTTTCAGTGGGGTCGGTAAAGCCGCTTACAAGTATTACATCCTATTCCAGCAACATGTTTCTATCGAGGAAAAGGAAGCCTATCTGGAGGACGAATCATGGCTGTTGGGCGCTCAGGATGGCGCATACATAGGTGAAAAGTCTCACTCAATTTTCACTAGATTGGGCCCAACGAACGCAATGCTGGGATTAGATTGCCGCACGGAAAGAAAGCTGAAGCAAATTGTTTCTTGGGACTCTTACGACCTTGTTTTTAAGAGGTTAGAGAAAGAAATTGCGGAGGGTAAAATTGATCACTTGATGGTCATGCTTGGTGTCCCTATCGCTTACCCTAGAATGGTTTGGCTCGAGTGGATTTTTTCATCGAGATTTTTGACACCACTGAAATACCTTGCAAAGAAGGGCATTATTGCCCCTGGTCTTGTCAATTCTTTCAACGGTGACATAGAATTGTTGGACGATTTGAACGATCATTGGTGTGCACGTCATCATAAGAGAGAAAGAAATTATCTTGTTGCAAGGTTGCAAGACTTTGGCGCAAAGCATGGGGTTCGTGTAACGATTCTATCCGGAGACGTGCATCTTGCCTGTGTGGGCCGGTTCCGCTCCAAATTGCACTCTCACCATATTACCGGTGGGAAGCAGGATGAAGTCAAAAAGATTTTGAACGAGCCAGAAAAGGACGTAAGATTGATGTTCAATATCATTTCGAGTGCAATTGTCAATACTCCACCTCCTAATCCAATGAGTACACTTCTTCAGAAAAGGTCGGGCATTCATCATTTTGATCGCGACACTGATGAGGATGTCGTGCCTTTATTCAAGACAGACGTGGATGGCTCGAATAGGGCAAGTTTTTCATTCATGAACCGCAGAAACTGGTCCGACTTGATTCCAATCGAGAATATAATGGAAAGTGAGTATCTGAGGGACTTTTACAAAGTTTCTGTCGGTGACTACTGCTACTCAGGCTTGGTTACAAGTACCGGCTTGGTAAGCAAAGCTAAAGTCGACCACAGCACCAGTAAAAAGCAAGACGTTTCCTACCCTATCACCGCCAAAGGGCTTATTGCTTCGATCCATGCTGAAAAGGACACATTTAACAAAAACTCCGAGACGGAAGCGTACGCAGTGGTTATCCCAGAATTACAGAATGTGCAAACTTCCATTTCTCACGAGGGTATCAAGCACGTTAGTTCCAACACTTAGAGGCTTGCTTCCAAAAAGAGACTATGAGCAATGAAAAGTTGCGTGTCAGAGGCACAACGTATTTATTAAACGCATTTGAGAGAGAGAGGGTCTGAAGGGCCGATACCGCTAGGTAATGCAGCGGGAGCCAAAAAAAACTGAAATTACCAGTTATCGAAAGTAATAATTAATCTTAACGGTTCGTGGCTTCTTCATTTTTTTAGTTGCCGCGTCAGCGCTACAATCAAGCGCCAAGAGAACAAACTCTGATAACATAGAGAGACAGGGTGTGATGCCGTTTTGGAATACTTTCAAAGACCGTTTGTATCAATATTTTAGAACATAGTAATGCAGAAAAGAGCGTGTAAGGATTCAGCAATGTTTATCCACTGGCAAATAAGTGATACCTTTCGGCAAAGCAACCAAAATGCTTCTAATGACCGTAAGGTGATCCATTTTTGAGAAGCGAGGCAAAAAAAGAGGGACTCCAGAGGGTTGGACGTTCCAAAATTTGTGGCAGAAATTGCAAAGAGGATTTCTAAATGCAGCGGAGTGGTTAAACTGGAATCGGGAGCTTTAAATTGGGGTCGTTGAGCGACGAGGGCTACGTTGCGCTTTTTGGAGGTTCCCGGAATCAAAATGAAATAAAAATCGGATCCAAATTACTTTGCAGCGTTTGATCAATGGCTGTCAACCACCAAAATCGGCACTGGAATAGAATTGACCTTGTCACTCCTAATAATAAACGAACCCCGGATTGCGTAAATGAAAGCATTTCAGCTTCAAAACCACCACGATCTTGACAAAACGTAATCTTTGCCAACCGAAACTTGAGCGTTTTCTACCTGCGTTCAAGATCCTCTGTCTCGTTGAGTCTCGCTGCTCTACCTCAACATCCTATTTTCACAATTCGCAGTGTAACTCAACACTCAGAGAAGATCCAGATCTCATTTCTTAACAAAACCTGACCTAAATCAACCGAAATTTCACGTTGCAACCATCAAAAATCCATAATTCGCGCTATGTGTCCGTGTAATTTCGTTGTTGTAGTTTAAACGGATGGAAACTTCACGATTTTGATGTTTTTCAGTCAAAACAATGGCTAAGGGCATCATCATCTGGTGATATCAATTAAATAAGGCAACCTGGGGAAACGAAATATAAAAGGAATCGAAATTTCAACGTATAAAAGCGCGGATCTTTAGCTTTAGAAGACCACTTTTTATTGCCAAAAAACGTCTATTTCATCGGCAACTACACTGGACAACAACAACACGAAGACGCGAGAATTTGACGCTCACTTGAACAGTTTTAAGTCCTTTTGAATACCGTTATTCAAAGTATACAACCAACAGATACAATACCTATGAGTTTAGACAATGTGTGGCCGCAAAGACGTGGAAACTTGGATTTTGAAGATGCAATACGTTGCAAATACGTTACGAAGAATAATCAGCTAGGTGACGGTTATTTTAGCGTTGTCAAAGAGTGTATGAACATTCACACCCGGGACCTTTTCGCCATGAAGCTGATAAGTAAGAAAACGGTACAGGGCAAACTATGGCTCATTCAGCGGGAGGTATCGTTGTTGAAAGATATGAATGAACGTATTCGAGAGCTGGAACTCTCAGGTTCACAAAATCACGACACTTTTGAAGGCCACCACCATGTGTTGCAATTGTTTGACTACTTTGAGACCGCACAACATATCGTGCTGGTCACACAACTGTGCGACCATGGAGACTTGTACGAAAACATCATCGAGGCTGGGTCCTTGCATATCACACGTCAAGTCAGACCCTACACGGCGTGTTTGTTGAGCGCCATACACTTTTTGCACGAAAATGGGGTGGTTCATCGCGATGTCAAAGCTGAAAACGTCATTTTCCGACGTCGTGTCACTGAACTCAGCGAATTTGCCCGGAGGGGCTCTGACTACGATCCTACGGCTCACGACCTCGTTTTGGCCGATTTTGGTCTTGCCACCAGGCTCAATAGCTCCGAAGACGAATTGCGAGAATGTGTAGGGACCATTTCATATTTGGCACCTGAAGTAATGAAGTGTCAGGGTATTTCAAGACTTCCACCTTCAGAACAGAAGACGATCGCTCCTTATGATAAACTAATCGACGTCTGGGCTCTTGGCGTACTTTCCTACTTTATGATGACCGGCTACATGCCATTTGATTGTGACACCGATGCGGAAACACGCAAGTGCATCTTGGAAGGTGATTATTACGTGGATGAGGGGTTGCGCGACGAGCACGACGCGGACAGTACCCTATTTTGGAACTTTATTCATCTGTGTTTTAACGTCAACGCCAAAGAACGGCCCTCAACTCACGATTTGAGAAAACACCCCTTTGTGCGCGCATTTTTCCAAGACGACGAGACCCCGGAGCCCTTTGGAGATCGAATTAGGCTTCACAAAAGCATTTCTTCCTCTTCACTGCACAAATTGCAAACGCCATCACGCTCTGCGAGCTCCACGAGCGTTTTGCATCTTGGTTCGCCCGAGTCAAGAACAAATATGAAGCGCAATTCATCTCGCGATGAGGAGTTGAACAAGATCCGCGAAACGCTTAAGAAGACGTTGTCGATGACATCGCTGAAGTCCGCGCAACCGGCACGCAATCCATACAAGGACAATTCTACGTTTATGCTTGCACCTATGCCCCCTACCGGCTCTTTGATGAATGGATGTTTGTCGCTTACGCCCGAAAGTAAGTCCAACTTCAATACCCCGCCTAGTTTGTCGCGTACAGCGTCTTCAAACAACGTCTCGCCACCGGCATCGGCCAATACGGCGCTGACGGGCATCGAATCAAGCTCTTCACGCAAGCGTGGCGAGGCTCGGTTCGACATGTAGAGTACATTACGGTTTCGTTACATTGTATTAAAAAAGACGCCTGCGTGTGCCAAAAGTACGATTACACAAAAGTTTATCATCATGCATCAACAACTGCGGCGACCCAGCAGGTTCAAAAATTCCTCACGCGTCTTGTGAGCACCTCTAAAACAACCCAGCATGCACGAAGTGACTGTTGAAGATCCTGTTTTCTGAACTCCTCGCGACACCATGCACATGTGTTGAGCCTCCATGACTACTGCTACACCACGAGGTTTGAGAATCTCGCTCAATGCCATGGCAATCTGTTTCGTAAGTCTTTCTTGTACTTGCAACCGGCGGGCATACATCTCAGCCAGACGTGCCAGCTTGCTGAGTCCCAAGACCTTTTTGTTTGGGATGTAACCGATGTGCACTTTCCCGAAAAATGGCACCAGGTGATGCTCGCACAGCGAGTACACCTCGATATCCCTTACGATAACCATTTCGTCGTGATCCTCTTCGAAAACCGCGTTTTTGATAACATCGTCCATGATATTATGCTGGTAGCCCTGGGTGAAATACAGCATTGCCTTGGCATATCTCTGCGGAGTATCCAGGAGGCCTTCACGAGCCACATCTTCGCCCAACTCCGCCAGAATCACTTTCATCGCCGCCGCAATCCGCTCCGTACGCTCTTGCGTGTCTTTTTCCGATTCTTCGGCTCGAGATCTCGAGCCAGGTGTGGGCCACGATAGGCCATCTGCTTCAACGGGTGGGTTCAAAGTATAAGGCGACGCTGGCCGCGTGTTGAGCGGTGTACCTTGTCTCTCAACAAAGTGAGCAAGCTGTTTGTTATCCATTGGGTGATGCGGAGGCGTGTGTAGGCCAAGAGGCTCGTTGTTCGACAAGAAGAGCTGTTCAGTTCGTATTGTCTAGTTGAACAATTTCAGTGCATTATAGATGCCTAAAATTTTATTTTTCAAATATTTTTGAAAAACGGTTCTGACCGCTGCGCCATGAAGGGTCCAAAATTCCAGCTTTGCCCAGGTTCGAACCGCGCCCGAGACATTAGCGTTTTTTTTGACTTTACTTTGTTGAGGACATTTCGTGAACTTTTCAAAAGACCCTTCCTGTACCACGGCATACACCACAAATCTCTTTGTCTAGTAGGAATCGCACTCTGCCTTTGCCATTGCATTGCCCACATAGAACGCCTCCAATTCTGGGGTCCCCAGGCTGTAAAATAAGAGGTGAACCAGACATCGATGGCGGGGCAATGGGTTGCGGAAGCGGACTGTAGGGCCCGTAAGAGTAGTAAGAGGGATACGCTGAGGAATATTGCACTTGGACGTTTGAGTTAGGAGCGCTGTGAGCAAAACGGCCCCAGCACCGTTTACAGGGACGGCCTGTTTTCACTTTGATGCCGGTGTTCCCACATTTTTGGCAGTAGTAGCCTCTTGGATAGGTCCAGGGCACGGCAGAAGATGATGTCTGACCAACAGGTGCGGTAGGAGGACGTAAGGGAGCAGACGTTGGACGCTGATGGGGAGGAGGGGGATGAAAAGGAGGAGTTTGGGCCGAAAAAGCAGGACGTTGAGGCGTTGCAGGAGGGAAATCGGTGCTGCTGATGGCCTCATCGTAGGATGGTGGCTGCTCTTTGTTGTTGGACATCGTAAGCTCGGATGTTTTTGGATATATGTGGTGAACTGTGCTTAAGGTCAAAACCAAGGCCTTTTTAGCTCTGGGTAGTGTGACATTGGCGTGATTAGCGTTAGATGCGTTTAAGGTATGCGGTGTCTGGAGGAAGCGGTTACTTTGAACAGAGAAAACGAGCTGGTATTGCTGTCCGCAGTGTAAGTTGTACCAAGATAACTGGCCGGCTTTACAGAGATCGAAAATATGAGACTTTGGCTTGATCCGAAGTTTTTCCGACGTTTTTGCTTTCTGCAAAGGCTATCTGACCAAAGATTTACCTTGTTTGGGCAAACCTGATGGTCTTTCGATTAACAGCTTGGCCATTTTGGTGTCAAGGAAAGTCACGACTTGAACTTTTCTCTTTTGACTTACTTGTTGTCTCTCCTATTGGAAAATTACCTTTTGTCATGATTGATGCATCGTCGTTTTGATGATGCTCTGCATTTTTCAGCAACGAGGCCCTTTCCGGCTGGTTTATTTCCATTGCCACCTCACGTAGCCCGCCCTGTATCGGGATTGGGATTGGGAGGGTTTCCTTCATTTCGCTGACATCTTCCCTCCATCGAGTGTCCTTACATATAGCGACTCAAACTCCGATGCCGTCGACTCACACTGTAATTGCTCCTGTCGAGTGTCACTATCACCTTTAGTTGATCAACCGTACCAATTGTGTCATCTGTTTTCATTATGATTGTATTTCAGAATCATCTCAAGACGTCAGCGGGTATCTACGGCTTTCATACAGCAGAAGGAGCTTGTAAACCGCTATCAAATGAGAAGACTGACATGTCGAAACGTCGCCAGTTTGTCTCATCATCGTGATGATGATTGACTAACATGTCCTTACCCAGGTAGCGACACAACCAATGTCCGGTCAACCCGTCTGTTACTGATAGCCTCTGGTCTGCATCTGCATCTGCATCTGCAATCAGAAAACCAGCTTATCAGAACACCACTACCCAGTAGCTATTCTCACTGGCCCACCGACGCTACCGGTTCTCTTAGTTGCCACTGTCTCCATTGTTTACTCACGAATACTGACATCCCGCTTAAAATTGTCGCAATTGTGACGATTTCAATCCTAAACACCTTAGGCTAAACAGAAATAGCCCGATTGTATTTGAAAAGTCTTTTCGTCAATCTAGAAGGGCTTGTTGATGATAGCCATGCTTGCCTGATTGCAGCAACGGCGAACCGCTCGCAATAGTTGAACAATGCCGCTACTATTGCGAATAGAAAATCTACAAATCTTTCAAAACTACACTTAACTCTTACCATTCATCTTGCTCAGGAATGCTTCGGGTTTTCGCAGCACTTCGATGATCGTTTCCAGTTCTTCTATATCATTGCAGTTTGCATTGTGCTGCCCTCTTTGAACTCTAAAAACTCTTAAATCCTGTCTACGTTATCTCTAAATACCAAAAGGTTCTTTGAGCATTAGCCAGACTGCTCTTCGCCATCGATGAAGATCTTGGTTGGCTATTTCTTCATCTTAAGATGAATATATAGAATTATCATCAATTCTTTACTACTTATACATACTCATCGACAACTGATTGAAAACCAAAAATCAACAGATACATCAATCCTATGTGGCTTTCGGAGGCTCAAAGTATGTTGAAATGCAGTTGCTAGCATTGTATCCCGTTTGCTAACCTGTTTGTATCAGAGTTCGGCGTTGCTTTCACGTTTGGAGGCTGTTTATTTCTGACGTTTGGTGTAATCACCTTTTTCGACCGCGCGCTGTTGGCGCTTGGGAATATCCTATTTCTAGTGGGCCTGCTGCTGATAATAGGACCGCAAAAGACTTATACGTTTTTTTCCAGACCCAACAAGAGACGCGGGTCTATTTTCTTCGTGGCAGGCGTACTGATGATATTGGTGAAATGGACGTTTCTAGGGTTCGTGATAGAGTGTGTGGGAATTGCTGGGCTTTTTGGTGATTTCTTCGGTGTTGTGGTTCAGTTTCTGAGATCGTTGCCCGTTATTGGACCGGTCCTATCCCACCCTGCCGTTGCACCATGGGTCGATCGATTGGCTGGAGTCCGTGTTTTGCCAGTGTAAAAGACGAATTGTGGCAAGAAATCGCAATGGCGTGGTTTACAAGTCCATTATGTATAGTGAAATGTCCCAGACGTTTCTATGTAAAGTAAGAATTGCATGTCCGATAGATGTGTGCATTTTCAAAATCGAAGACCGTGAGTGCGTATTAGAGATGCTCGAGATAGCCAAATCATCTGAACCAAGACAAAACTGTTGCAGTTTTTGCAGATCTGGCTCAACAAAAATAGCTGAATAGCCAAACTATCTATCATTGACTGAAATTGAAACTAAAAGAAGTTATGTTTTTGGATGATCCCGCTAGGCTTTCTCGTTCATTATTGGGCAACAGAAGGCTACAAATGAGGTAAAAAAGATCTAAAAATTACACTCAAATCCTCCATTCGAGAGCACAGTAGCTGAGCGCTCTGTAACTGATCAATATTGAGCTAGTTCACTCAGCTGAGTGTGCTTGGCCTTCCGTAGATTCTTCTTTAAATCTTCAGAAACTGACACCTCGTATATCGGCATATGAGCCCAAATTAAATCTTCTAGTTGAACATATACACAGTTCAGCCAAGAGAAGCACTCAAGATACAATCATTCAGTAGACAGCAGCTAGCCTGCGGTTGATATTCAAAGCCCGAAGTTGAGCCTATCGATTTTGCGGGGAAAATTCACATAGGACTACGAAGAATTGGGTTTTGTGGCTACTTTTAGCGTCATAAAATCGGCTAAAAACATGACTCGCCCTCTGCGATCCAGGAGCTCCAGGACACGCAGTAGTGGGCCTCAAGAGTCTCCGCAAGAGTTCACAGATGCCAATGGGATCATACATACAACATCACGCAGCTTGCGGAAAGTAAACTATGCCGAAGTTGAAAATTCCTATGACTACATCAATGAAGGTGAACAGGACAATAATGACAACGAGAATAATGACGAGGACGACAGCGAGGATATGCCAGTGACAAAACCTTTTCGTGGAAGAAGTAGAACTACTTATCATCAAGATGAGCAAGAGACAGAAGAGCCAGTAAAAACCGACGAGTCATTGCAACCGGAAAGTGTACCAGCAATAGAGGCCAGTAAGGAATCGAGGGCTAATCATGTCCACAACGAGGACGAAGACGCCAGTTTCCACGAAGATGAAGAAGATGATGCAGAAGAAGACGACGCTGCCGATCCTTCAAATGATGACGAGTATTTCTCAGAAGAGTCCGTCAGAAAAACCCGTCGTAGGGCAGATCGAAATTTCATTGTTAGCGACGAGGAGAGTGACGATGATGAGGCAGGACTTCGGAGTACTACTAGAAATCACCGTACGGCACGCTCTTCATATCCCGCCGAAGCTCAAGCTGACACGGATGAGGATGAAGTCTTGAGATCAGGAAGGAAGTTCAGAAGCTCAACTCTTCAAGCCCGACAAAGTCGAAGACATGACATCTCACCGCCCCGAAAGCTTCGGCGTAGAGGAAGACCTGCATATGCAGATGAAGACGAAGGCACAAGAGCAGAGCAACTGTCATTGGCGGATGAGCTACGAGAGCTACGAGATGACAGTCCAATAAGAGAAAAAAGGTCGTTACGCGAAAGAACTAAACCTGTCAACTATACGCTTCCCCCACCTCTACCAGAAAATTCCATCGACGAGTATAACAGAATCACTAACGAGAACAGCGCATTGTCATATCCATCTCCGCGGGGTCGACGAAGACAGATTACAGGCCAGAGTTTTGGTCCATTAAGAAGACTATTTCCTACAGGAGGTCCCTTTGGTGGTAATGACGTGACTGCGATTTTTGGAACAAACACCAATTTCTACGATTCGAACGCTAATCCCAATCTGGCAGGAAATAAGCTTCTTTTAGACTCTGATTCATCAGAAGATGAGATTGTACCTTTGGGTGCAGCACCAACTAAAAGTAAAACGACCAAACCGAAGAAAAAGAAATCAGAAATTGCGGATCTTGATCCATTGGGCGTAGACATGAACGTAAAGTTCGAAAATGTGGGAGGTTTGGATAATTATATTGACCAGCTTAAGGAAATGGTGGCCTTGCCGCTATTATACCCAGAGCTTTATCAAAAGTTTGCCATAACACCACCAAGAGGCGTCCTTTTCCATGGCCCCCCAGGTACGGGTAAGACACTAATGGCAAGAGCTTTGGCAGCTAGCTGTTCTACGGATCAGCAAAAGATCACATTTTTCATGAGAAAGGGAGCCGATATACTATCTAAATGGGTCGGCGAAGCAGAAAGACAATTACGACTACTTTTTGAAGAGGCAAAAAAGCAGCAACCTTCTATCATTTTCTTTGATGAAATAGATGGCCTTGCACCCGTCAGGAGCTCCAAACAAGAGCAGATACACGCAAGTATTGTTTCCACAATGCTTGCACTTATGGATGGTATGGACAATAGAGGACAAGTCATTGTTATCGGAGCTACCAACAGGCCGGACGCCGTTGATCCTGCTTTAAGGAGACCTGGACGTTTCGACAGAGAGTTCTACTTTCCTTTGCCAGATATTGACGCGCGCGCTAAGATTTTGGAGATACACACGAAAAAGTGGAAGCCCCCTCTGCCCGAACATTTCACCAAAAAACTAGCTTCGTTGACGAAAGGTTACGGTGGTGCTGATTTGAGAGCCCTATGCACCGAAGCTGCGCTTACAAGCATTCAAAGAAATCTACCTCAAATTTATCAGTCCGATGCCAAACTAAATATCGATCTTTCGACTGTCGATGTGAAAGCAAGTGATTTTATGTTGGCTTTGGAAAAGATAGTGCCTTCGTCAGCCAGGTCGACAGGCAGTTCTGCCCAACCACTACCCGAGACTATTAGTCTTTTGCTCAACGAGCAACTCGACGAAATTAAGAGAAAGATTCAGCATTTGATGCCAATCAATCCAAATGCCCCTCGCAAAGGTGCTTCTTTAATCAAGCATTACGCAGAGTATGAAGAAGATCATTCTGATGAGGCAGAGGATGGATTTTTGAGAGCAGAGTTTTTAAGAACAGTGGAAAAGTCTCGTATCTGCAAGCCGCGTCTAGTTGTTACAGGCTCAAGAGGTAACGGTCAGCAATACATTGGAGCAGCTATTCTTCACTTCCTGGAAGACTTTAATATTCAAATGCTTGATGTTGGCACGCTGGTAAGCGATGCTACCAGAACCCCAGAGGCTGCCATAGTTCAAGTGTTTACTGAAGCAAGAAAACGCCAACCCTCGGTGCTCTATATTCCTAACATCGACATCTGGATTCAAACACTTCCTTCAAATGCAATACTTACTCTTGCAAGTCTCTTGGGAACGCTGGAAAATAGTGAAAGAGTGCTACTTCTAGCAGTAGCAAGCGAATTAAAGGATCAAGACTTCACCAATGGTGTCCTATCCCCTCTCGATTTGAGCAAAGGTATTTTTACCATTCAAAGGCCTTCAAATGCTCAAAAGATGCTTTACTTTGGCACAATTACCAAATTGCTGAGGATGAAACCATCGAGTTTCGCTTCGGGACGGAAAAGGACCAAGCCTTTGCCTCAACTTCCTCTAGCAACAAAGCCCACCACTCTGGAGATTCTCGATGATAATGGACGACCTTTAACCGAAGAAGAAAAACTTGTTAATACCTTAAAAGCTCATCAAGCGCATGATATGAAGTTGAAAAACACCTTGAAGATAAAATTGTCAGGGCTGATGGACCTTTTCAAAAATAGGTACAAAAGATTTAGAAAGCCACCGATCGACGATACTGCGCTTGTTCACTTATTCGAGCCAACTCCTGTGATGCAAGAAAATCCGGATTATCAGCAACCCTACGTCAAAGTCGATAATATGATCCTTGAATGTGCGAGTGGGAGAAAGTTCTTCAACATGGATTTGGACATCGTGGAGGAAAGGCTATGGAATGGGTTTTACTCCGAGCCTCGTCAATTTTTGAAAGACATCGAGCTCATTTATCGTGATGCTCACACCAGCGGCGATCGTGAACGAATCATAAAAGCATCTGAAATGTTCGTCAATGCTCAAATGGGAATAGAAGAGCTATCGCAACCAGAATTTGTACAAGAATGCAAAGCCGCCAGACAACGAGAGGTCACCCGGCAAAAGTTATTCCTGCAAAAAGAAGCAGAACGCAAAGCTCAAGAGGAGACAATGCTGAAAGCTCAGGAGCAACTTCAATCCAATCCGGTTGATCTTTCAGCTAACGATAATTTCAATGACAAAACAGATGTCGACTCAGGCCCCGTAAGCTCTGGCATACAGACATCGAATGACGACAGTGTGGACAATAACATTCTAGGCGTCGGCTCTGGTGGGCAACTGCAATGTGAAGCTCGTCCCGAAAACGTAACTGCAAACATAGCAGAAGCCAACAACATTAACGAAGAGGGAAATCCAGATGAACACGATTCGAAAGCTGACTTTGATAAATTGGCATCTCAAAATAGCAGTGCAAGCGACATTGCAGAAAGTCCCAATACTGCTGATAGCGCAAAAACTTCTACTGCTGAACAAAGCAATGAATCTCATGCTGTCGCTGAGGAGCCAAAGCCGGATTTTGTGTTTGACGAAAATAGATTTCAGCAACTTCTGGATCAATTGAGAGTGAACACCCAGAGGTTCACTGTAGAGCAGCTAGAAGAGAAATACGCATCTCTTTTAGATGTTGTATGGGCCGAGAGGTATTCTTGGAATAAAACGGTTGCTCTTGATAGACTGGAGCATCTTATCAACGTGAGCTGAGTATAAAAACATGTATTTAGAGCAACTCTTTCACTGCATCAATGACCATTTGATCATCACCGTACTGGCCTGTGACCTGTACCCCGATAGGTTTGTCAGACCCTCCAGCGGGCACTGAAATGCTTGGAAGCCCTGCAAGAGACATTGGGGTCGTGAAGATATCATTGACATAAGAATTGATAGGACTTCGAGCGTCTCCTGTCTCGTAAGCATCTATTGTTGCTGGTTCGCTGATCGCAGACAGCGAAAGCAGAATGTCAACACCATTTTCAGCACCATTAGAACCTGTCAGAACATTTGGAAGCGCAAAAATGCTGTCAAATTCGTCAATCATTTCAACTCGCAGTTTTTGTGCCTTGATGTAATGGTTGTTGATGAATTCTGAGCATAGGTTGTAGTTACCTAAAACGATTCTAGTTTTGACCTCCGGACCTAAACTTTCTCTTGTAGGAGCGAACAAGACATTTTGTATGGCATCTTTTGTCGGATCTCTGAAACCATATCTGATCCCGTCATACCTAGCCAAATTTGATGCGGCTTCAGCTGGAGCCAAAGTGTAATAGATAGGAAGAGAGTGTTTGATGTCTGGGAGCGATACTGGATAGAACTCATGTCCCTTGGCTGCTAAGCGTTCCACGACGGCGAGAAAGCTTTTTACAGATCTCGAGGGAATGCCCTCTGGAGTGAATTCTCGCGGTATTCCTATTCTGAGCTTTCTGTTGCGTTCTTTTTGTTGTATGATGAGCTGCAGTTTCCCGCGGGAGTCTTCATCCAGACTTGTGGGATCCTTCGGGTCGGTTTTATCCAGGACCTTAAAGACGCGGTCGATCACGTCGATGTTTTTCGACAGAATTCCAACAGTGTCAAAACTTTGAGCATAAGCAATGACTCCGTGTCTTGAGATCCTGCCATAAGATGGCTTGAATCCTAAGACAGAGGTGTAAGAGGCTGGTAGTCGAACAGAACCCCCTGTATCTGTTCCCAGAGCGAAATCGGCCACATCTGCTGCCACTGCAGCAGCAGATCCTGATGATGATCCTCCTGCGATCACATCTTCACCTGGAAACAATGGGTTCTTGGTAGGTCCGAAATGCGATTTGGTACCACCAGAGCCCATTCCAAACTCGTCAAGATTAGTTTTCCCTACATTGACAGCCCCAGCTGCTGCCAAAAGCTCCACCACAGTGGCATTGTAAGGTGACATGTAATTGTCTAGCATCTTCGATGCACAGGTAGTTGGCAAATCCTTAGTTACAATGTTGTCCTTTATCGCACATAGCAGGTTTCTAAGCGGCGCATCGCTTTTTCTCTGATCCAAATCGCCTTTTCTCAACTGTTCTTCAACAACTTGGTTCAAACTCGTGAAGATGTTAAACTGCTGCTGAACTGTTGGTACTCGTTTTAGTCGAGTAAGGGCACTTTTTAAAGACATGACGATCTGATGGATACCATGAAGTTCGAAAACTTGTCGACCAAACTTTTTCTGTGAACTGAAATGCTTACAATGATCCTTCAAGATCGAAATCTTGATGAAGTGAATGAAAGGTGTAAATATGTCAAATATTTATGGCATTGATGATGATAAAGTTTGAACAGGTCTACATCTACTTGTTGAAGAACACTAGCATCAATCAATGAATACTGAACCACTGGAACTAGTAGACGATGTGTTAGAGGACTTGCAACATAACTTAAAGGATGGCGATGTTGAGGTCTACGAGTTCCTAGATCTAGAAAGCCAAAGTGACTGCGATGAGGGCTTAAAGCAGGTAGATAAGGAGGAAGATGTTGTTACGGATGAAGTGGAATACCAGCATTCCAAACAAGTATTTGGGACGCACATAAAACAAGACGAGAAAACGAGTTATCGTGGACACGATGGGAACAAAAGCGTGGGTGTCAGATTGGCTCGAATCAGAAGAGAATTGGAGGAATTCAAGGTGCAGGAAGCAAATTTGGCGGACGGGAAACAGTGCGATTCGGAAGTGCTGATTCTCAGAAACGTAGCAGATCAATTGGATCAAAAACTTCAGCTCCAGACGGAGGCTCTTAAAAAACGATTGCAAAAAGCGAATTATACTGAAGCAGCAGACGGAAACTATGCATCTCTGCCGAATCTTTCAATTGACTTCGAAAATGGTCAACGTGTGATGCATCTGGAGGCTCGAATGGACAGATTGGAGCAATTCATAGGTATGGGTAATGAGCGCGGCGGGAAATCGCTGACAACCATGTTGAACGAGGTCTATCGGGACATTGGACTACTCAAACAGAATCCAAGCCATTTGACTGCCTTTAAAACCAAACTTTCTTCCATCAGCGACGAGTACGAGCAGAAACTCGTCGCCAGAAAAGCCTCTGGCGATCCAGCATTGCAAAAGCACATCCTGGAGACATTGGAACCCCCAGATCTCAAAACCAAGGGCATTTACGACTCCTACGCTGTTTTGAGGAAATACAAGGACGCTTTGCCGCACTTGGTCTCACGAATGAAAACCTTGAACTCGCTCCATATTGAAATCGGAGACGCCGTGGGGACCGTCAAAACAATTGACAAATCGCTCAACTGGGTGTCAGACCAGACCAGCAAATGGCAACAAATGCTGGAGCACATGGACGCTAAGCTCAACGCCTTTGAATCTGCTGAGGCCAAAAATATGCAAGAAATTACAAAACGTCTGAACCAAGCTGAAAAAAGAATTGATGACTTGAAGTGATGAAGACTGGCTCGCGATGTGCTCCGGTGTGTTCCCACGTTGTTGTCACCATTTACTTTTCACTCGAAGAACCCTGGGTCGAGCTCAGTTGTAAGGTTCGCTTTTTTTGACAACGTTTTTGTCTATCACAACCTGTGACGACATTTAAGGTCGACAAAGATCGATTTAACCATTACAATACAGCCAGTCCTGATACAAAGACGCTAGTCATCGATCACAAAGGCTGCGACTTTCACTTCTTGGACTCACTGCTTCAACGCAGTGAACCCAGCGTCGAGCAGCTTAGTACAGAATGATCTCGTAATATGCCATCCAATTCAAGACTATTCAATGAGCTCAACCGCAATCACCACATCAGTAAGAATCTGAAGCCAAAGGACGCTTAAGAGTTATGACCACACAGTATGCAATCGATTCGGTTAGATCTTACATGGACGCCATGAGCAGCATGGTCTCTGCTGCTCAAAATTTTAGTTACGAACCTGGTATTGCGGTTCCACCAGAGATCGACAACGAGGTCGACGTTCAGAAAAACGACAATCGTGTTCAATTGACAACACTATCTCAGGATAGGAATGATTGGGACGATGTTTTTGATGGTTTCGGAGAGCTTTCAAGAGAGAACGTGTTGAGCGCTATCAGGGAATTGACTTCGGAAGACAACAGCTCGATGAATATCTTGAAAGACCTACGTGATCATGTTGAAAACGGGCCTAGTAACGTTGATTCGAAAACGCTGACACGAACTCTTTTAACGCTACTACAGAACGATGATTTAAATATACTGCAAACGGAACTCTTCGATTTCTTGGGCGATGAAAACATCGGCTTGATTTCGTTTTTGATAGAGAATCGGGATACGTTGCTTTCGATACCATACGATGAGCACCTCGAGTTTTTAGAGGGCCCATCAGAGGAGGAAAGATTTTTGTCGGAGAAGGAGATTCGCGAAAGTGTTCTGAAGACAGCTCAGGACATCAAAAATCTACAACTAAATCCCTTGCAAAAGCAGCAGCAATACCCACACGTTTTCCGGAAATCAGAAGCCGGATCAAGTTTCACGCTTTCTTTTTCTGGTCAAAAGTTCGCTTTGCCTGCGGGAACTACACGGCAATCCTATGCCTCGCGGGAGGAAATCATTATTCCTTGCGCAGACAATGGCTTCCAGCGATCGTTGAAGTTTAAGAATATAAGGGTCAAAGATTTGGACAAGTTTTGCACCTCTGTGTTCAACTACGAGTACCTCAATGCCGTTCAAACGCTGGTCTACCCTGTTGCGTATGAAACAAACGAAAACATGCTTATTTGTGCCCCTACTGGTGCTGGTAAAACAGATGTAGCGTTACTTACTATTCTGAACACAGTAAGGCAGTTTTCGGAAATAGACGAAGAGGGAAATATTGATATCGAATACGATTCATTCAAAGTCGTTTACGTCGCGCCATTGAAGGCCTTGGCGGCAGAGATTGTCGAGAAGTTCAGGAAAAAGTTGGGTATATTTGATATTAAAGTCCGTGAGCTCACGGGTGACATGCAGCTGACAAGGGCGGAAATATTCGAGACCCAAGTTATTGTTACAACACCAGAAAAGTGGGATGTCGTTACCAGAAAGGCCAATGGAGATAATGATCTTGTTTCTAAAATAAAGCTGCTGATCATTGACGAAGTGCATTTACTTCATGAAGATCGAGGTTCCGTGGTGGAGACACTTGTTGCGCGTACTTTAAGGCAGGTTGAGAGGTCTCAATCCATGATCAGAATTCTTGGATTGTCTGCTACCCTACCTAATTTCGTCGACGTAGCTGACTTCTTGGGTGTCAATCGTCACGTAGGTATGTTTTACTTCGATCAATCTTTCCGTCCAAAACCTTTAGAGCAGCAGCTACTGGGTGTTAGGGGAAAATCCGGAAGCAAACAGGCCAGGGAAAATATCGATAATGCCGCGTATGATAAACTGGTCGAAATGATTGGTCGTGGGAACCAGGTCATGATCTTTGTTCATTCCAGAAAGGACACGGTGAGGAGCGCCAGAACGTTCATCTCTATGGCTCAGTCTAGGCACGAGATCGATCTTTTCGCCGAAGACTCTACCATTAGAGACTCGTACTCAAGAGAAATGACTAGTAATAAGGATAAAGATGTTAAAGAACTATTTCAATCGGGGTTCGGTATTCATCACGCCGGGATGTCACGGTCAGATCGTAATCTGTCTGAGAAACTGTTTAAAGACGGTGCAGTAAATGTGCTGGTTTGTACCGCCACTTTAGCATGGGGTGTTAACTTACCGGCAGACTGTGTCATTATCAAAGGGACGCAGGTATATGACTCTCGGAAAGGTGGATTCGTTGACTTGGGTATATCAGATGTCATTCAAATTTTTGGTCGTGCAGGTAGGCCTGGTTTTGGTTCTGAGCATGGTACTGGTATTCTTTGCACAACCAGCGACAGCCTCGATGACTACGTCTCTCTCATTACCCAGCAACACCCAATAGAGTCGAAACTGAGCCCAAAAATTGTGGACAATTTAAACGCGGAAATCTCTCTGGGTAGTGTGACCAACGTTGAGGAAGGTATTCAATGGTTGGGCTACACGTACCTTTTTGTTAGAATGAAGAAAAATCCATTCAGTTATGGTATCAATTGGGATGAACTCAAGGAAGACCCTCAATTGTATGAACGTCGAAGGAAAATGATAATAACGGCAGCAAAGAGACTCCATACCTTACAGATGATTGTTTTTGATGAGGTGTCACTCAACTTCATTCCAAAAGACTTGGGCCGCATCTCTTCGGACTTTTATCTCCTGAACGAATCGGTGGAGATTTTTAACTCTTTATGCAATCCTAGTGCAACTGAAGCAGATGTCCTCGCAATGATCAGTATGAGCAGCGAGTTCGATAACATGAAGTTTAGAGAAGAAGAGGCAACCGAGCTTACTCGTCTCAAGGAGACTGCTAGCGAGTGTCAGATTGGCGGCGAGATTGAGTCTGCGCAGGGAAAGACCAACATTCTTTTGCAATCTTACATTTCAGGATCGCGAATATTTGATGCAGCACTTTCATCCGACGCTAATTATGTCGCCCAAAATTCCATCAGAATCTGTAGAGCACTTTTTCTTGTAGGTGTCAACAGACGATGGGGAAATTTCTCGAAAGTGATGCTTGATATTTGCAAGTCCATTGAAAAACGGATGTGGGCCTTCGATCATCCTTTGTGTCAGTTCGAATTGCCAGAAACAGTTGCCAGACGGTTGAGGGAAAAAATGCCTTCAATGGATAGTCTACTGGATTTTGACTCAGAAGAGTTAGGAGATTTGGTACACAATAAAAAAATCGGGCACAAACTTTCCAGCATTTTAAAGCGCTTTCCCATGATTGACATTGATGCAAGTATTTTTCCTATAACTACTAATGTTATGAGGATACATGTTACATTGCATCCATCGTTTCAGTGGGATGTCAAAATACATGGTAACGCTCAGTTTTTTTGGCTCTCTGTCGAAGAGTCGGATAAGTCACATCTACTGCACGTCGAAAAGCTTGTCATCAACAAACGTCAAATGTCTAATCCTCACGAAATGGACTTTATGATTCCATTGTCCGACCCCTTACCTCCTCAGGTCGTCGCGCGAGTTGTCTCCGATGTTTGGATCGGTAGCGAATCGTCGCAAATAATATCATTTCAACATCTAATCAGGCCCCATAATGAGACTTTGCAGACAAAATTGCAAAGACTTAGACCGCTGCCCACGGCGGCGCTTAAGAATGAAATTTTGGAGGAAATTTATCCCTTCAAGTATTTCAATCCAATGCAAACTATGACTTTCCATACCTTATACAACACGAATAACAGTGTTTTCGTGGGATCACCAACCGGTTCCGGAAAGACTATAGTTGCGGAAATTGCTATGTGGAATGCTTTCAGGACCTTCCCGGGTAGTAAGGTGGTTTATATCGCACCGATGAAGGCTCTGGTCAAGGAGCGTGTGACGGAATGGAGGAAAAAAGTGACTCCAGTTACTGGAGACAAGGTCGTTGAACTGACGGGTGATTCGCTTCCCGATCCGAAAGATGTAAGAGATGCAACAATCATCATCACGACGCCCGAAAAATTTGACGGTATTTCTCGTAACTGGCAGACACGTAAGTTTGTTCAGGAAGTCTCTCTCATCATTATGGATGAAATTCATTTGTTGGCGAGTGATCGTGGTCCGATATTGGAAATGATCGTCAGTCGTATGAACTATGTGGCTGCGCAAACAAAACAGCCTGTAAGACTTTTGGGGATGTCAACAGCTGTCTCGAATGCCTATGATATGGGTGGATGGCTTGGTGTAAAAGATGACGGATTGTACAACTTTTCCTCGAGTGTTCGACCCGTGCCTCTGAAAATGTACATTGATGGATTCCCCGATAACCTTGCGTTCTGTCCTCTCATGAAGACCATGAATAAGCCCGCCTTCATGGCAATCAAACAACACTCTCCCGAAAAGCCCGTATTAATCTTTGTCGCATCCCGGAGACAGACACGTTTAACAGCTTTGGACCTAATTCACTTGTGCGGAATGGAAAGTAATCCTAGAAGGTTCCTGAAGATTCAGGACGAAGAAGAACTTCAGTATTACTTATCCCAGGTATCTGATGAAACTCTGAAACTAGCCTTGCAGTTCGGTATTGGACTCCACCATGCAGGTCTGGTGGAAAAGGATCGATTCATATCACATCAACTTTTCCAAACGAATAAAATTCAGGTCCTCGTGGCCACTTCAACCCTGGCCTGGGGTGTCAACTTACCGGCTCATCTGGTCATTATTAAAGGAACCGAGTTTTTCGACGCCAAGATAGAGGGATATCGTGATATGGACCTCACCGATATTTTACAAATGATGGGTAGAGCAGGTAGACCAGCTTTCGATACGTCTGGTACTGCAATCGTTTACACTAAGCAGTCCAAAAAAATGTTTTATAAGCATTTCTTGAACATTGGCTTTCCCGTTGAGTCGTCGTTACACAAGGTCTTAGACGACCATTTGGGAGCTGAAATTGCATCTGGCTCGATAAAAAACAAGCAGGAGGCCATCGAATTCCTGAGCTGGACATTTTTTTTCAGAAGGGCACATCATAATCCAACTTTTTACGGTATAACAGAAGACACATCCCCAACTGGTGTCAACAAACACTTGAGTGAACTTATTGACACAACTTTGGAGAACTTGGCGGAATCTAGTTGCGTTTCAATAAAGGGGGGCGATATAGAGCCTTTGCCCTACTTGAGCATTTCATCCTATTACTACATTTCTCATAAAACAATTCGTGAGCTTTTGAAGCATATTCGGGATGACGCAACATTTCAGGATGTGCTCAAATGGTTATCCGTTGCCGTTGAATTTGATGAGCTACCGGTCAGAAATGGTGAGATTATCATGAACGTGGAAATGTCAGCGCAATCTCGTTACTCTATTGAAAGCACCTTCACCGCCGAAGAAGAGCGTCCTTTGTGGGATCCACATTTGAAGGCCTTTTTATTATTACAAGCGTATTTCAGTCGTGTGGACTTACCTATAGCTGATTATCATCAAGACCAGCTATCTGTACTGGATCAGGCATTGCGTATACTTCAAGCGTACGCTGATGTAGCTGGTGAGCTAGGGTATTACTCAACGGTCTTGACTATCATCAAGATGATGCAATGTGTGAAACAAGGCTGCTGGTACGAGGATGACCCAGTCAGCCTTCTTCCCGGTATGAGTCTACAAAGGCTTCCCAGCTCTAAGTTTGAAGAGGGAGGCTACGCATTGGAGCGCACAGCGTCAACAACACTGGTAGATATTGGAAAGCTAGGCTACAAGAAACTTGAACAGTTGGCCAGGAGACTTCATGTTGCAGATGACTACACGAAAGATTTCATTCAACAAGCAATGAGACTGCCGATACTCACAGATATTCACGTCGAGCCTCAAAGTAGTCCAAGCAGTCTGGTCATCACCGCTAGACACGCTGCGTCCAAGGCGAACAAGAACTTCGAGGTTTACTGTGATAAGTTTCCCAAGACGCAAAAAGAATTGTGGTTTGTCATTGGTTATCAAGGCAAGGAATTGCTCATGGTCAAGAGATGTCAGCCTAGAAAACAAAGCAACAATGTTATCTTAATCTGCGATTTTGTCGTGGCGGAAGAATTGCAAGGACAAACATTAAATTTCACCATCATAAATGATGCGCTCGACATCAGATACGAATTGCAGCATACACTAGCCTAGCTGCTCGATGAAAGTGTCTCAATTTTTCCCTTTCGGAAATATGCTGATTTAATGTAATGTACATAAGAAATGTCGAAAAAACTACTAGTTTTCAAAGAAGTCATCTTCATCCTCCTCTATGTCCTGTTTTCCTGAGCCAACCTCGGATTTGCCGCCATCTTCTGGACCTGATCTGTCGCTCTTGTGCAGTTGTAAGCCGTTATCGTCTCTTCCTAGCTTTCCGCCCTTCAAGATTTCATCCAAAGACACCGGAAGCTCACCAGAGTCCATGCTGGCCTTGACAAGCTCCAGAAACGCCTTTCTACCTGCTTGTGTTTTTTCATGACTTTTATCGCTTGTGTCGACGTCTTCTTCATCGTCTTGTCCATTTTCGTTCGTTGGATATAAAGCGATGTATTTTTCCGTCTTTGGGAAGTTAACCACATAGCACAACTCTGCTGCTTTCTCTTGAATTTCGTTTTGATCATTGTTTTTGACAGCCTGTTTATAGCGTCTGAGGGCCTTCTTGCGCTCGAAAAACCGAACCATATGATATTTTTTCGCATTTTGCTGGACTTTGACACGCAGCTCAGCGTTTTTGAGCTCGAATCGCAGTGCTTCCAGACTTCTCTCCTTCTCGATCAATACCGTGTCAGGAAGCACATCCTTTTTCTTCTGCAAAAGACGTTCGATGTCTCGAATTTTTTTCTTGATTTTGTTCGACCCAGATCCCAAGATGTGGCCCAATTGAACAGAGTTACCAAGTGGCTTCTTGGAGCTCCTGCGCTGTTTCCTGTTCATCATATCGTGTCCTGCTGAGCTATTGTTACTGGCTCATCTCAGTTGTTGAAGCGATGAGCTAGATTTGATGCGATGAGCTCTACTTACATAACCTTGAAATTTTTCAATGAGCAGACGACAGGATTCGTAGAGAGTGATCTTGGTGAGATCAATGGGTCGTTGGTGACAAGATGCTCAAGAAGAGTTTAAGAGAGCCTTAATTGTACCTCAAACTGCTCTTGCAATTTTTGTTTTGCCAGAAGATTTGTTTAGAGGCCAAAATTGTGGTCAAATCTTTTGTTAGGATTAAAGGTCATTGATGATTTTGGGAACGTCAGTGCTCAGCAACGATTGAAATTAGAAGCCAAAAATCGAATTCATAGATCGGCAAATGGGTCTTCGAACGTTAGAATTGTTCTATCGGTGGTGATCGAATATCGATCAATATGACCAGGATCTCTTTTGTCTTGTTCACGTTTATATCATGGTCACGTGATTTTCCGGGCTGAAGACAGGACGTAGAGAATAACGGATTCGACTGCGAGTTCAAGGACGTACAGGCCAATCCAGTTGACTTGCTGCTTCTTCGTCGTACTTTCCGATGAGAATCGCGCGAATCTCAATAAAGTTCTTACTCATGAATTTCCAAAATCAATAAATTCGAATACCAAGATACCTTTTCACCAGTGGTAAAAGACCATGTCAATTGAAGACTAACCAATGGTACATTTCTTCTGGTGTGCTCAAAATCACTAATGATCAACGCACATCAAAATGAAGGACTGCAGTTATGTTTCAAACTTGTACACTGTTTCCTAGCTTCTTCTTCATCTCCAGCGATCCTGGAAACAGACTCAGCTACAAAAAATAAAACGTAAGTATAACATAAAAGTATAGTGAAATCTAAGGGTATCTGTTGGTGAGAGGCTTGCAAGAAAAACGAGCAGCTCGAGCGTGATGATGTCAACCTGGACAGCTTTTCCTGCTCAGTTCTTCTTACGCCCAAACAATCCACGTTTTTTCTTCTTCTTTTCTCCTTCACCCATTGGGACTGGCGCCGGCGCCGTATACACAGCCTGCTCGCCCATCAGATAGGGCTGATGGGACGAGTTCAAGGCCAATGGGTCGGCGTTTCCAAATTGCGGAAACCCAGGTCTCACTTGGAACCCATACTGAGCCGTTTCGAGCCGTTGGCCCCATGAAGGATCACCAGAAATCGAGTATTCAAACCCTCTAATGGTATCCAAGGGCCTTTCATCCCTGGCACGCGTTGGATTCGAAATGTCTGGCTGCTGAATCGCTTGTCCAAACACGTCTCGTGGATGACTATCTCCATGTTCTCCAGAGTAATAAGACTGGCGGTTCGGATCATCTTGCGATGTATCAGCAGCCTGTTCGAAGGGCTGTGCTTCCTGCACTGCTTCCAAAACCGGATCGTGCACCGAACTAGCCCGAAATTTGAAGTGATCCTCTTTGGTCAGTTTCACTTCGGGCGCATGTCCATGTTTCGTGGGTGATTCATGGTGACTTTTGCCAAAAATACCCATTTTGAGCCGCTGAAAAGAGGGTTATGTATAGAAAAAAGCGATTCTTCTGTAGCAGTGGTCGGTATTTGACCCAAAGTTACAGGTTGTATGAATGTCCGTGGCCTTGGATGCTCAGAGTTTTGTAGTTCTGGAAGGAAGGATGAACGAATGTTTTCGAGAATGGTTGTTATGGGCTATATAAATTAGATATTAAAGGTGGCTCGGCATCGTCGATAGTGAGCGCGCGGCCGTTTAGGTTGACATCTAGGTAGTTTTCGAGGTGAAGATCTGGTCGGCTCCCTAGTCGTTTCTCTAGTCGTTGAATCATGCTTTTGACGACGGAGTGAGAGAGACAGAGAGGGAAAGAACGACTTGGGGTGGTAGCGAGAGATCTTAAAGGTGTCGCGGCTACAAGATTGGCGGATTATTATTTATAAATTGGTGGGGATCTCGTCTTGAGGTGAGTTTGATTTTTTGGTTTGGAAAATTTTAAAGTCCTGGGCGAGTTTTGATGCATTGAGAATAAATGGGTCTATTCTCAACCAAGTGGTCTAGTTTTTGTAAAGATCAAATGCTACCTTTACCCCACTACAATGCCCCCAGTGTGATTGCCATCACCATAAGTGGTCAGAGATCTGGTACATAAAGTAGTTTTCTCAGTCTGACGACAGAGTGGGTGAAAATGATAATCCAATATGTTTATACTTGTTGAGAAACTCAGATCAAGTCTCTGGAGTGTCATGGTGTGACGACTGTCCCATACCCTGGGTAATGTGTCCCAATGAGATTGAGTTACTATATGTAGCCAATGATTTTATCTTTCCTCACTCTTTTAAGTAAACAGAGTAAGGCCTAATGGTTGGGTAAATAGTGTCCTTTCATACAATTTTGGGAATCGGTTCCATATAGTGGTAGCTTTCAACTGCCAATTGCGTGGTGTGACGATTGATATGATGATACCGGGTGGTAAATCCATCCATCTCCCGCAGTATCCTGGGGCTTGGATGCTCGAAGCTGAATCTTTATCGATTCTGTCGCTGTCACGTATCACATGATCCAGATCACGCTGTCAAGCATCTGACGCTTGATCTAAGAGGTGAATCCAACATCACACTGGGTAATGAGAGGGTTGCAGCTTTCAATGAGTAGGGCAGGCTAAAGGTCACAGTTTCCAGTGGGTAAAATAGGTAAACGATTGCACTTTCTAATGGGGTGCAAATGTTGCGTACAATTCGTATGTAGTGATCTCATGGGACGGTTTGGCCGCTGGGTAAGGTTTCTGTTTGGCCTTAATGTTGACAGGACATCAGGTTTTCGGGTACTTCCCGAAACATATGCCTGTGACGGTAGACTCATTGTACACACCATAATGCTTGAGTTTACGGGAAGTAGTGTATGCCCACGTGACGTTCCGCGAATTCAAATTAATTGAAATTTTGGATATCTACTGTGACAGTGTCAGAATCAACTCGAATAGTCATAGAAAAGTGAGCAATTGCTGACATCGCCCACAACCTGTTTGAACGAATGGAACTATGGAAAATTGTTCCCAATTTCTGGATGTCACTCACGACATGGAAACGATTATTGCACTCAAGACACGCCAAAGACTGACACCTGAGGTTGAAAAACGAGTGAAAAATCACTCTTTTGGAAGGTATGATATTTAAAGCTGCCCCGCTGGATTTTTCCGCATCTCTCACCTTCCAAATTCCTTCCATAGCTGGTAAAATATCCCCACAGCTAATGTTGCCACGAAAACGACGCCAATGGGAGTTTTCTACTTCGCGTCAAAAGCGATGTCTATCTGGCAGACGGTCCTATAGCAGTCGCTGTCCATCTAACGTTAAAAATAGCAGGTCCTGGTGCAGAAAAGTTTGAGAAACGTCGATAGAATTTGAGAAACATCGAAGATATATTTAGCAAACGATTGCGTTGGTGAAGCCTTGCATCGAGATGTGCATCAAGATATGCAATTGAGGCATTGCAGATATGCGTCGCTCTTTCCTGTAGTCAGAATTCTGTCAAAAAAGATGAACATCAACCTGGGGCAGTAGAGTCTCAATTTTACAGCACCAACAGCTCTTTGTTTCGAAATAAGTGTCTTGTCTTTGATCTGAAAACGATGTTTTTCTCACCTTCAAAGGTTTCTTCTTCTTGCAAATTGAAATGACAGTTAATAGATATATGGCGATATCGACAATCAAGAGTCGCTAGAACCATACATTTCAAATTCTTGGTAAATAAACCAGTGTGTGCTTGCAATTGACAGTTTTGACCACAGCTCCCGCAAACAATCGAGTGAGCTGCACTCGACAAATGAGTAAACTGCAATTGACAATTGCAAAAAACCCTCCCACAACCATAACATTCGTCAAGCCCCGCTCCCCACCACCAACAAACCAACAAACAAACAAACAGCTCGAAAGAAATGACAAGTGGCTCAGCTCTGTGAGTCCAACAGAGGTCCCAAAATTTCCCGCAAAACACACCATTTTCGCCCTACCAATACAGCTAAAAACATACGCACTCTGCGCGCATAAACAAACAAAACACCGGCTCATAAGTGAAGCCAAGCGGCGCAGCTGTGTGACTGATCAAGATTGAAGATGTCCGAAAAGCCCAGTAAAAAAACCCTTCGAGCTAAGAAACGTCAGTTTAGTACCGAGTGATGGAAAACTTGCAAGCCCTGCGTGCGAGGCAGTGCCTTGCATTATCGGCCGTTAACACCACTGAGTACACCACAGAGTCTTTTGGATTGTCGTGGGCTTAGCAATGCATGCAAGAAAACTGCTTAGCGTCCGATTGATGTCCGCTAAGCATCCACAGGGACCAAAACCGACGTGCTAGTAATCATCGCGATGCGCGGTGTTGAGAGATCGGTACTGAAAAGCTAATGCTAAGGTATTATTTTATTCGTGGCTCACTCGCAGCGTGGAATCGGTTTTTCAGAGTTGGTAAATGAAGATATGGCAAAAGTGCCGAAAATAGACTTGTAGATACACACACACACACACGCATACACACACTCACTTGCTCACTTACTCACTTGCTCACTTGCTCACTCACTCACACTCGCCTCTCGGTAGGAATAGAATAGTATAAGAACGCTACCCAATTGAGAGGTTTTAAAGCCGGAGGTTGGAAACGTAGTGTAAAAAAGGTCTTGAAAGATTCTAAAAGTGCATCAAGTAGCTTTACAGAAGTCAAGAGTCTCTATATACTCAAGTTTCGCTATTATGTCACGCAGTACCACTACTATTACCAGTGCTTCCCAAACAGCGACGCTGGTTTATGCGTCATTCACAAACTCTGCAGGAAAGCCTGAAGTAGCGCAAGTATTCGCATATTACAGCTACAAACCCAATGTGGGAGCAGCAGTAGCTTTTGCCGTTTTGTTTGGGCTCACGTTCGTGCTGCTAGGTGTGAGAATCGGGTTCGCATGCAGAAGCAGGTCGATCAGCGAGCGCCAGCTGGCATTGCTGGCGCTGGACAAAGAGGTCCAGGACCCGTTCCACGCCGAACCCACGTCTGTGGCTAAACCTTGCTCTAATTTGCGACTGGTCACAAAGTTCATACCGTTGCTCATCGGGGTGGTCACTGAGTGCGGAGGGTATATCGCACGGATTGCATCGAAAAACGATATCTACGCATTGGGGCCCTACGTGGCCCAAACAGTGATGCTGCTGGTCGCTGCTGCGTTCATGGCAGCAACCATCTACATGGTTTTCGGCCGGCTTTTGATCTTGATGAACGCCACAACCGTTTCGTTCGTGCCCATCCGTTTCAGCACTGCCATTTTCGTCAGTGCCGACGTGTTGAGTATCCTCCTACAAGCCGCAGGTGGTAGCATTTTGGGTGCCTCTGACAACCACACGCTGGGATCCAATATCATCATTGCAGGCCTGGTCGTTCAAGTGGCAGTTTTTGGTCTTTTCGTCATCACAGAAATCCGTTTTCTTTTCCTAGCTGACAAAGTCTCGCCTGTGACCTCGCAGATCTCAAAGCAGTGGAAAATTTTGAACATCAACTTGTTTGTGTGCAGTGTTTTGATCTTGGTCCGTTCGATCGTAAGACTTGTTGAGTTTATTCAGGGCTACAATGGTTATATTATGGACCATGAGTGGTTCATTTACGTTTTCGATGCCGTCCCCATGTTTTGGGTAAGTTTGCTCTTCCTCATCACTTTCAGCAAGGGCAACCTGTTCAGAGTCGAATTTGAGTGCACCTCCATGCTTCGCACCGATAAGACGTTGGAAGGCTCAGAACAAGAAACCTAGAAAGTATTTGTCTATATATTTAGTCGAAGAACGCCGCAGCAAATGCGGCAACAATAAGACGTCCATTTTTCTACAACTTTATTGTCATCGGCTTCTATTTTTGCCTATATTCATCAACTATCTTGATTTACAACGTTTATAATAGCCATTTTGATACTTTCGCAAGCACGGGAAAGTTCTTGATCGCTCATCTTAGAAGAGCAGCATACTTTCAAGCTTGGAACAATTGGCAGGGTCTCGTGCTTGAGAACGAAGGTGTTGCGGCTAATCAAGACGCTGTACTCTTTCAATGCATAGTCAACGATCTCTTGAAGTAACTTTTCTTCCGCTTCATAATAGTCAATGTGTTTGTCGGTCAGGTATTTGCTATGCATGGCGCTGATTTCCTTGTACAATGACTCTTCTGTGTAATGAAATTTTTTGAACCGTAGGTCTTCCGATAGTCTCAAATGCAAAACACTAGAATCGTTATCTGAAGTGACCTCAATAATCTCTTTAAGCTTCTCATCGTCACGGAAATATTGATGCATATTGTTCGACAATTGACGTAACCTTTGAACCGTGGAGTTATCCTTTTCCATACGTTTTAAAACTTCAGATCCAACTGTGACCGTGAAAGATGGGAGCGAGGCGGAAAAAGTGTAAGCGTGTGATCCAATTCTCTGGTGCAAAGACATCACGGAGTCGCCAAGCACAAACCCGCCTGACGAACCCAAGGCAGTGGCCAAAGACCCAATGGTGATATCAACCGAGCTTTGACGATCGAGGTTGAAATGCTCGGTGATACCACGACCAGTGGACCCCAACACGCCCAGTGAGAATGTCTCGTCTACGAGAAGTCTGAACTTATACTTGTTTTTCAGCTCCACGAGTTTAGGTAGCGGTGGGATGTCACCTAAATTATGGAAAAGACCCTCAGTGACGATGAATTTTCTTGGCAAAGCTGGCAATTTGTCTTGAAGCTCCCGCTCTTGCAATTGCTGCAGCAAATCCTCTAAAGCATCCATATCGTTATGATTATAGTAGTAGACAGTGGAACGACTCAACTGCAGAGCGTTCTGAATGGAAACGCTACACCTGTCGTCTGCAACAATGACATCACCACGCTTAGTGAACGCAGGGATGACAGAGGTGGCAATACAGAAATCTTGACCGTACAGCACGGCGTTTTCAGTGTTGAAGAACCTGGCTAGATCATATTCGAGATGGGTATGCACGTCTAGATTACCATAAAAACCTGCGGGACCGCAGGCTCCAACGCCGTACTTGTGGATAGAGTTTTTGGCGACTTCCAAAACGCCCGGCTCACTAGAAATTTGCAAAAAATTGTTTGAACAGCAGTTCAAAACGTTCTCGTATTGTTCGGCACCGTCATTACGCGTCAAGTCAATGTAGTTGTTCGAGCTGGATGTCGAAATCACGGGAATTTTTTCTGTACGCCATTCAACTTTGGAACTACTCTGTGTCACTGGTTCAGGCTGCCATTCGTCCAGCAAAGCATTGATCTCTTTGTCGGTAAGTTTTGGACCTGCCTGGAAGCCTTGTTTCCGAGGTTTCCGAAGAAAATACACGATCCCATAAATAATCAAAAAAATCTCTACCATGGTCCGGTATGGGTCATGTTGGTGCGACCGTTTAATGTAATCCACTACATAATGGCTTCCAGGGATCGCACGTACAACATTTTGGAAGTAATACCACAGATATGACGACGTGCGAAGTATGAAGTCTGGCACCACAATTGACGTCGGCAGAACCGCTGGGGGCTGCATTCTCGCGCGTTGAAAAAGGGCTGAAAAAAGCTACACTCAAGCTGAGCAATTCCTTTATGAAAAGCTGTTGTACTTGTACCTAGCCTTCGAGTGAGTCCACCACCAACAAACCGTTACTTCTGAGGTGTGTAGAAGACGGTAGTTGAATATGATGAAGATAATGGTTTAAGATATACTTGTTTTTATTGTAAGTATTACGGTTATTACATATAAAGAGTGAAATAAGGCTTGGAAAACATGAATACTCGAAGGTCATGTGACATACGGTTTGGATGTCACATTATTGTCTAGAGCATTGATACAGTTCGAATGCAAACGTCGACAGCAATAAGATTAGTTTAGAAAGCATTTTGAACAGATCCCACGCTGGCTTTGGACACAGTCTGCAAGCTCAAAAAAAAACGATCAAATAAGATCAAGTGTCATGGTCGTGCACAGTGACATCGGGTTGAGTCCAGATCTCAGCCGGTCTGTAAGGTCTGCTTGTCGAGCGTCCTTAGCTCTTTTTGATGCTCCAGATACCTTGTGGTTCACCTCAGATAGCACGCAATAAGTTGCAGGTTTTCTTTGGTGGTTCTAGCGAATGAAATGGGCAAGTGCGAGATATCGGTGATATGCCATTAGCTTTCGGTTCGACCACGGCGTCAGATTATTCAAAAATTGCCTTAGACCCGGTCTTGAATGATAGACATTTGTTGAAGCCTGTTTTAGCTTACTTATGGCATCTTTTCGGGAGGTGTGTGTCTCACTTGTAATCAATTGCGTCAGGAAAAGTGGTTGCCAGCCCGAGTATAAGTATAACCCTTTGAGATAATATGTGAGTATCTCTTCGTGTTTGTGGGAGTATGGCGGCGAACAAGTTTTTGCAAAGTTGATCGAATGGGGTTGAACTCAAGTCGCAACAAACAAAGTTCGTCGCTCGTCGATCTCACCCTTTTCTGCTACCCCCCCCATCAGGTTGCTAAAGCCTGTTTAGCGCTTTCAACAGACTGTCATGAATCAAGAACCTTAGAGCTGATGAATTGGAATATCAACCACATCAATCAAACACACCTACTTCTGCTGCGCCAACCATCAGTACCACACCAAGCGTTCAAAAGTGTCATCGTACATTTGAACCCCTAATACTATGATCGATGCCTTTCTACTTGTCAATGAACACATTCATGAACCCTTGTTCAGCTACAATCCCAATTTTTGTGGAGCTTGAACTCCTGCTCATTGTCCTCATCGTTCAGACTAATTCATCTTTCTTGTCGGATACCGGTATTCAAAGAATGCTGTTGCAGTCTCGAAAAAAATTGGTTTGGAGCCCATCGCCAGCCTTATAAAAGTTCGTTCTCTGACCTCCTCCTACAGCGCAAAACTCGCAAGATACCAATCCCCTTTGCAGGGCTCGGACCATATTTACATAAGCTATGCCTTTAGAAACTAAAATAAAAGTGGCCAGAAATTACCTGGACACACGCCCCAGCTGGCTCAAGTTCTAGCTTGTGAGTCACGCTTCACAACCACTTGTCAGTCTAAATATTGACCATTTATACTCAGTGTCTACCTACAATTGGCTCAACTGTAACACCCTTAAACTCCCCAAAAGTGGTGTTTAACCCCCAAGTTCCAGCTCATCTCTTCTTATCAACAGCTCTCTCTTTATATACTCATTTCTTGGACCAAGGGGCTAAAATACACCGTCCCCTTATTTTTTTCGGGGGGGTATAAAAAGCAGAAGGGACATGACAAACCTTGGCGGTTTTATCACCACTTTAAGGAGTACAATCCATAAAAAAGAGGAAAGAACGCGGTTTAAAGTTCGAAACAAAACTAGACTTCTTTGTGACCGTTTCTTTCTCTCTATTGTGTAATCTTTGAGACCAGATTACCGTACTGCATAGCTAGAGTTAGTTCTGCAAAGGGCCGTTTAGAACACTCAAACTAGACAATTTTTTCAATTTTTCAATCGCACTTGAGCTCGAACCAGTTAGAGCTATGAAAGGATCTACGCTAGTAGCAGGAGCCTTGGCTGCATCGTCGGTTCAAGCCGCCTCCTTGCAAAATGTTTTTCAGGCCAATACACTGCTGGACAAAGCCATCAGTGCTTTGGGGTTGAATGAGCAACAAGTGTTGGATTCGGTTCCAAAAAGTATTCAAAAAGTGTGGGGTGAAATGGGAATGCTGTTCCCCAAGGAAACGTCGGAACTGGAGTTCATCACAAAACCTAAATCCAAAATCAACTCAAAACCAGACTCAGAATGGGATTTTGTGGTGCAGGAGCACCCAGAGCACAAATTGCGTGTCAACAAAGTCAAAGATCCCAAAGTTCTGGGTATCGACCCAGGTGTCAAGCAATACACCGGGTACCTGGACGTGGAGGAAGAAGATAAGCACTTCTTTTATTGGTTTTTCGAAAGTAGAAATGACCCCAAAACCGACCCAGTTATTTTGTGGCTAAATGGTGGGCCTGGATGCTCGTCTTTGACCGGGCTATTCTTCGAACTGGGTCCTTCGTCCATTGGCTCTGATATCAAGCCCATTTATAATCCTCATGCCTGGAACTCCAACGCTTCGGTAATTTTCCTTGACCAGCCTGTCAACGTTGGGTATTCTTACTCGGGCTCTAGTGGGGTTTCCAACACTGTGGCCGCCGGAAAAGACGTTTACGCGTTCCTCGATCTTTTCTTCAAGCAATTTCCTCAATATGCCTCAGGACAAGACTTCCACATTGCTGGTGAGTCTTACGCTGGCCATTATATTCCAGTCTTTGCAACAGAAATCTTGTCGCACCCACAGCACGAAAGGTCTTTCAACTTGACGTCTGTATTGATTGGTAACGGGCTAACAGACCCTTTGACGCAATACCCATACTACGAGCCAATGGCTTGCGGCGAAGGTGGTGAACCATCTGTGCTGGAACCAGCAGAATGTGAAGGTATGTTGGACACTTTGCCTCGGTGTTTGAGTCTCATTGAAAGCTGCTACGAATCCGAGTCAGTATGGACTTGTGTTCCTGCCTCCATCTACTGTAACAACGCGCAAATGGGCCCATACCAGAAGACCGGCAAAAACGTTTACGACATGCGTAAGGAGTGCCAGGGCGAGTTGTGTTACGCAGAGATGAAATACATGGATGAGTACCTAAACTTGGACATTGTCAAGCAGGCTGTTGGCGCCGAGGTGGACAACTTCGAGTCTTGCAACTTCGACATCAACAGAAACTTTTTGCTTGCGGGAGACTGGATGAAACCATACCATAAGGCTGTGACCAATCTGCTGAACCAGGGGCTACCAGTTTTGATCTACGCTGGTGACAAAGACTTTATCTGCAACTGGCTAGGTAACCAGGCCTGGTCTGATGCTCTTCCTTGGAAGCACGGCGACAAGTTCCAGGACCAGCCTGTTAAGACCTGGATTTCTAGCACCACCGGAGACAAGGCAGGAAAACTAAAGAACTACGAAAACTTTACGTTCCTAAGGGTTTACGGCGGTGGTCATATGGTTCCATTCGATCAATCCGAAAATGCGCTTGCTTTAGTTAATGACTGGATCAAGGGATCGTACAACTATGAATGAAAGGACTCTATAAAATCAAAGGATCGGCAATTCACAGTTGGCCCACCTGAAGCGAAACAAACTCGAACATTCCACTCTGACTATAATAAAATGAATTAAAACCGGAAAAAACATCAGGGGTCAAGTTTTGTCGAGAATAGCAGTTGGCATTACTTGAGCCATCTTGGCAGAGGTCTTTTTTTGAAGTCCTATATAAAATAATAAAATCCATGATATTTAGAACAATGGCAACGGGTTTTGCCGAGTGTTTAGCAGTGAAGTTGTTCGAAGTTCAGTTTTTCGTGATCTCGTGGCCAGGTTCGAGAACTTGACTGTATTTCATAAATTGAAGCTATATAGAAGATATACCTGATGAGATGAGTGAAATACGCAAAGAACGACTAGAAAGGTCTCTGATTTCATCACAAACGATCACCAGATTTCAAAAACAATGACGAGAAGGACGCCTCAAGTATTCAAGCTTTTGGAATACGTCTGCATAGGCCTTTTTCTCATTGCAGCTGTAGAGCTCTTCAAATACTCAACGAGAGTCAATTACGAGTGGTTCCATTGTACTCCTATCAAAGAGCCAGTCAGTGAAAATAGTTCTGCGTTCAAGATTTTTGCAATTGGTGGACCAAGCTGCGACAAGAGGGGTGAGTATAAGGCGATTATGAAAAAAATCACGTACGACTATGAACCCAATGATGAATCGGTTTCCTTCTGTATCAAGGAAAACGCAGATGTCACACCTATTCACTACCCAATTGACACTCCAAAGGGGGCTCCCGGGTATGTGGCTTACGCTGCTTACGACTCCGATGCACAGTTGATCAGTCAATTGTGCGATGATGCTATCATTATGCATTTCTAACTAAACCCAATTATACTTTATGTCATTAGCATTTCTCTTTATAAATGTAAGAAGAAGCAAGCCCCGTTCTTGTGTTCCCACTATTCCTCGCCCTTGACACCCACAGGCTCTTCAGGTGGGCTTCCGGAGGGGGCATTGGCTGCGGGCGCCCCTGCCATTCCAGGACCCGCAGAACCGTTATACATGGGACATGTCTTTTTAGTCCTAATGTGTCCCACCATGCCACAAGTGGCACACCTTCTATTTGTTGATTTCGATTTGGTGACTTTGCCGTCCTTGGTCTTCTCTTTAGCCAGCTTGCGCGCTTGTCTCCTCTCTTGAGATTTCTGCAACTTGGCTAACTGCTCTTCTAGCAGCTTCTTCTGCTTCAATTGTTTTTCCTCGGTGTTTTCTCCACTAACCAGGTCAATATTGTCATTCATTAATTCATCCAAGCCAAGGTTGGCTTCGGCTTCTTCACGTTTCCGTTCGTAAGCCTTTAAGTATCCTTGTATCACTCTTGGATCTCTGATTACAACCGTTTGCCTTTGGATGATACCATTCTCATCTCTCGTTTTCCGAACTATTCTGAGCACTTTATTGTCTGGACGATGTGATTTGACCTTTTTGTTTGTTTTATTCACAACATCAGGGTTTTCCATTTCCTCGAAAGGATTGGATATTTTCAAGCTTTTAGCCTGTGTGTACCATGTTTTGCTGATTTCCTCCTCATATGCTTTCTGTTGTTGGGCCACGTTATAGCTATGACCCCCTGCTATTTGCTGTTGAGACAAGTCTGATCCAGACCTCGTAAACCCCCCCTTCATGGAAGTTTTCAGAAATGAAAACCCCTCTCCGCAGCCGGTAGGATCACCGGCACCGTGAATCTGTACCATGGCGCGCATCTGGGTTGCGTTGAGAAAGTTCTTAGTGGCCGCCCATGGTATGAGATTCTCTTCAAGTTTGATCAGCTTCTCATCGATGTTGAATTGCTCATTGTCGTCCTGGAATTGCTGTCCATGATACATGGACTCTGTCAACGAAACGTCCTCGGGAACTATCATTTTCTTTACACTTTCGTTGTCTGGTAAGGTTTCGGATTCCTTCAGCTTCCAAAATCCGTGATCGTCACCATCTCGCTGATACTTCATGAATTCTTTCAATCTTTGTCGATTTTGCATGTCATTTTGATCTGGAAAATGTCTTGCGACTTGCTTCACTAACAGTCTGTGCTCTATGGATTTGTTCAAAATCCGGTAGACGACCATTCGCAGTCTACTTTTTCCCATGGATGTGACTTTTCTTGAATTTGGACCTGGCACCTCCACAACAGGGAAAGTTTGCCCAACTGTGAACAGGTGGTTGATATTTCTCAAATAAAACCTGTTTCCCATCCCATTGCCTGTACTTCTAACCAACAAAAAGTCTGTGCGAGACACATCGTGCTTGAAGACCGGAGCTCTGACCATGTTATTATATAACGTCGGTACGACGTTTCCAGGTTCAACAAAGCCGAAGTTCCAAAAGGGCGACTTATCCTGGACGCCAAGAACGTGGGTTTCGCCCACGGGTAGTTTTGGTCTTGAAATGTCTTTATCATGCGTCTTACGGTAGTAATTGATCAATTTGTTACCCATCCCAAATTTTGACAATGCCATGGGAGTTTCTTCCGAATATTCCATCAAGAATATAGGCGCGCTGTCTCCTAGAGTCAAGTCGTGACTTTTTGCGAAAAGCTCTCGAACATCCTTCCCCTTATCTCTCTTTCTCTTTCGCAATTTGAGTTTGCTAAAGACAATGTTAGTACCCGGGCGGACCAAGCAGCCAAAGTGTGGCCTATGAAAGCTACGAATTGCGCTCTTGGGCGGTACCACTTTGTAAAAGGGAGATTGTAGTCTAAGAGCTGGCTGTGAATGTTCAATTGTAAGGTTTGAAATCGTTGACCGGATCTTAGTTTGGTAGTTTTCTTTCAGGATCTTATATTTGTGATCGTTGGAGATGTTAAACTTTTGTGTTAGTGTCTTTTCGTTAAAAGCCAGAAGTGCTGCCTTCGAATTGGCGTCCTTACTTCCGCGGTGCTTGCTCGGAACGAAAAGTAATTTCTCGTCATTCATATCAAGGCACATCTTGTTTTGATAAATTTTACCTTCGATCAGATTTTCTTCATCCCAGTTGGGACCACCCTGTATTGGAGGAGCTTTGAAATCACATATCATTTGATTTGTGGTTCCTTCGGCTTTCTCTGTGCTGCTTTCGGGCTCGGTGTCGGTGTCGCCCACAATTTTCCCATAATCCCAATCATCAGCCATAATTAATAGCTCCTCTGGTATTTTCCCATCGCTTTTCCTACTTTCTTGGCGCACCGTGCTATCTCCGTATATTTCATCTAGAGGAACGGTGACGAGACCCGATTTCTTTCGCTTGGATTGTTGGTTCATGAACTGCCAATTTTTACTTTTAGCCCTAAAAAGCCGACGTGAGTCTGGTTGCACCTCGAATTTGAGCTTGAGCGGCATGAACGGTTTGATATGTCTATTTGAAAGGTAGAGTTCACGCTGCCACTGATATTGAGCAAGTTGTCTCGGTACGATGCTGAGAAGCTTGAGGGCTTTCCCCTTTTGAAATTTTGGAAAATAGAAAGTGAGCAGTTCCTTCTGCTCTCGTTCGGCTCTTTCAAGCTCGTCCCGTTTCCTCTTTTCTTCTAGCTCGAGCTGGTTTTCATCTGCGAACCCTCCAAAAACATGGTGCTCTGTCTCTGGATAGGGTCCTTCGTTTCCGTCCACTCCTAAAAATAGCGTGTTATTTTGATCATTGTACGAGCCATGGTTGTCACCATCCAGAATAGCACCGTGGCCACCCATGAGCGTCATATAGTCGTCATTATTGTGTCCTGGATCGTCAGTGTGGCTGGCTTGCGTGTCATCCACCAGTTCTTCATCTGCTAGTTCGTCTTCATCTTCGAAATCCACTGCATCTGGTAGATGTTCTGTTTGGCCCTCATTGGGACCAATGTAGTTGCCGATCTCCATCGATCCAAAATCTCCACTGAAAATAGCATCGTAAGCGTCGTCTTCATTGGAAAGATCGCCATTTTTGGCCGACAATTGTTTTTTGGATAGCTTTCTACCTTCCATGATAGTCGCCGGAAACGCTTTGGCCTGGTCTAGTGCGACTTATAGCTCAGAAACCTTTAGAAGGTTGTTCAGTTCGCCATGGATGCTAAACATCGATGTCATTTACAAATTGGCTACCGCTACTTATAAAGTCACGTGAGATACTGAGCATTAAGAATTGCATTTCAAGTACGATCGATCAAACAAACAAATCAGAGCTTTTTATCTTGAGCTTGTACTCTTGAATTATCTTGTACTAATGCTTTGGCTTTCCTTTCCGGTTCTTTTGGGTTTAATCTCATTCTGTTTGAAGCGATGCTGCTATTTTTCAAATGCCAGTGTCAGTAATTAATGAGGCAGGCTGTTATTGATATTGAACTTGGTTTACTGACGCTGTCATTGATCAAAAAGCGGTTTGTAAGATGACTGTACGCGTTGTTAGGGACTCAGTTTGATTCAAATTTTCCATATTCGAGACCAGGCTTTAATCAAACGTTCGCGTAAATTATCAGAGCTGCAGTTTATTATACATTAGTCTCATTGAGGATTTTGGTAGTTCTGACCAAACGAACAGAAGGAATCTTGACAGTTGTTGAAATCAAATCATAGTTTCAGTGTAGGTTTTGCGAATTTGAACCTTTCCAATCAAAGCGAAATGTTTTTTCATTGGTGCTGTTCAATCAGTTTTTTCTCTCAATGGGTATGAGAATTGAGAGTAAGCTGGGGTAAGATCCTGGCAATTGAGGCAGAGTTCTCAAATTTTAAGTGAGTCTCAATGTCTAAGCCGACTAGATTTGAAGAAATAGGAAGTTGGTCATTTTTTGTTGAGACCAGAATTAGAGGCTAGTAACATTGCATTAAACTTGGCTATTCGGAAAATTAGAACTTCAAATATTTATAGTCGGAGTCGAAGTGATCAAAAAGGATCGGATCACCAACTTTATTATTTCGGAGACGTTTTGGCTCTCACTTGGAATTTCAGCCTTCTCGAATTCAATTAAGAGGTTTCAATAAAGCTAAGAACGGTGTTCATCTTATGCGAGTAAAATGGAGGACCCAAAAGATCTCAAAAGGAATATCCAAAATATCAGATCAATAGCAATTTCCATGGAACGCTGCCCATAAGAACTATAGAGAATTTTTCAGAGTTTTATAGGCTCTTTTTAGTATATGCTTTTGAAGACCTACTAATGCTAACGATTGATTTCCACACGCATAGAGATAAATCGAGGAAAAATCAAAAATCTTCTGCACTCTTCAAATAATCGAGCAAGATCAAATATGAACGCATTAAAGATAAAACTTCATAGCTCACAGGCCTCTATAAATTCACTATTCCTTTTTTCACAATTTCTGTTGTGGATCAATTGCTTGAGTCCTGACAGCCGCAAACGAACTTTGAAAAAAATGAATTTTGAAGTAAGTCACAACCATTTCGAATCCGAATAGCCGCCAACACCCTCAAACAGGCTTGCACAATATCCAAAGCCGTAGCAGCATTTGTAACTATGGCAAACTTCTCTGCCCAACTTCGTGACAGATTAGTTCAAAGTGATCTTTAAAGAAGTTAAATAACAACTGATAATGGTAAAATACAGCTGACGAAACCTGGGGAAAAGAAATCGTGGCGAAAAGGCTATAGTTGATTAAAGAAACTAATTCACCGGCTCAATAGATTATTTCCGTCAACGTACCGTGTTGAAAATCTACGTCTAAAGCAGGCGTCAGTGCTAGAAATCGAGCCGCATCACTATGTACGAAACACATATCTAAGCATCTTCAATATAGACGTCTAATTGAAAGATGAACTTGAAGGCTGTTGAACTATCACATCTAGCGAACCTCATCGATATCCAATTGCCTCCATGGAAGCCAATGCTTTGATTGCTAGAGCCAACAATGCCAGCACTAATAATTTCAGCAACAGTAGCTGCAAATTCTGGAAATTCGATTGGCACACGCCAGTGAAACCCAGATCCAGTGGAACAGCGACCGCTGAAAAACCGGACGGAAACGATAACAACGATGAAGATTTGTACAACTTCAAGTATAAAACATGGCTTGCAAGTGAGCACGCGGCCTGGGACACTTTGAGTGCGACCCCCAACGAAACTATCGATCTGTCGTTGTTTGATAGGACAAAACAACAGCGCCAGCCTACTCAACAAACCAATAATAATATCGGTGCTCCAGCAACAAACACTCAAAATCCTGCTGAGCCCGGACTATCAGCAGATGATATAAGGGGTGCTGTGGGCGGCCAGGAATCTCTTCCTGGCTTCAACACTTCTCAACCATCGCAGGAAAAATCCCAAGATCAAGATAAAGTACGAGAGCAAAACGCCGAAGTTGTAGAAAGCACAGAGACTACTGAACCTGGACCTCAAACAAAGCCTGACGCAATTGATGGAGATTTGCCAAAGACAACAGAAACTAGCGATGCTGATGGCGATATTAAGTTGGATTGAGCTCCAAACTCTCATTTGTTGGTATCAAATTAAGCGGGTGTTTCTTTCACTTGTCTAAGAGAGCACTTTCCAAGTCGTCTCATCGCGTTCCGTTGAGCTACAGGCTGCCACAATACAAGAAGGCCTAAAACTTCTGCGGAAGAATCTGTCAGTGTTCCGTTTTTCTAAAACAAAGTCAAACTTTTTGCTCGCCCCGTGTAAAAGTGCCCGGTTTTACTATCAAAATGTCTTACTGCTTTTGTTGAACTTCATCAGAGCTGCACGGAACAGCTAATGTAAACTCACTCACCACCCGAAATTGTAACATCTATAAAATAGGATCATTTAAACAGACAATACTGGCCCAAAACTACTTGCCGTTTCCCATCGCCCTTCAAAAGGATCTGTCAGATAAAACTCTTACCCGTCGCCTTGATGCAATTGGTGGCGTGCAAATTTACTTCAACCACTTGAGACATCGGTCCGCGCAGCGACAGGGATATGCATGATCCGCACGTCGCCAATATGCCATATACAAGAACTTTGTCACCGAATAACCTTTTTGGCAGTTCAGCGGACGCGCTGTCTTCTGTATTTCGAGAGCTTTTCGCCAGACCAGTCTTTTGATATCTCTTTGCCCAGAAGACTTACTATTCATTTCTTATGGCGTTTCGAGAACACCAGTTGTCGTGCGTAACGTGAGTTGGTAACAACGCCTGATTGCAGCTCGATTGGACCAATGCTAGATCGATTTTGAGACATCCTCTCGAAAGGCCCAGCCAAGTCGCTTGTGACAAAAAAGTAATCGTTAAGTATCATTAAACCGTTATTTCCTTACCGCTAGTAATAGCATCGAACTTCTAGCCTTCACAACGGCTTCTTGTACTTCCTTTTCTCTCAGTTTCCTTTGCTCATTTCTATCGTCCCTATTCATTGCATTAAGCTCGCTCATAATCTTGCTGTAGTCCCTTGTATCACCGTTACCAGAGCAGACAATAAAGACTGTGGAGGGTGGGCTCTTGCAATAAAGGTCTTGTAGCTTGCTGAAAAAGTTACTTCGAGCGGCCGAGACATCTAAATTCCTAAAATCAGATTTAGGCGCTACCGCATATTTCCTGGAAAATTCAAGGTCTCTCAACCTTCCAACAAATAGGTTAAAGTCATGAAGGTGCTCATTGATGTTTTCAAAAATGAGGCTATCGTCTTGACATCTCACACTTGCTTCAGCAGAGTGCCCAACCCCGGTCAGCCCAGTTGATTTAGGAGCGTAGTCGTTCAAACACATGCTTCTTATGCCACGTTTGGCTAATCTGTGAAAAAGATTTTCAGTGTTGATGCCCACTCCAAAACTCAAACCATTGACTATCTTGAGTTTAGTAAGTTCCATACAAGCCCTTGCGTCTTCAAAAGAATCGTGACCTAAACCATCGCTATTCTGAATATCTTGATTCAAAAAATCAGAGGCAAGGTATTTTAAGGCTGGTCTAAAAGGCGGACCCGCTTTATGTTCATAGATTATCGCTGTATCTATAATTTTCGGGTGCCTCAACTTTAAGACGTTCAGATCAGACTGTAGAGAGTGACCGATGAGAATATCCGTGGAGCTTACTAGCTTTAATAGATCGCACTGGACATCCTCCAAAGTTGTCGTTACATCTCTCAATTTTTCTTCAGTGATACCGCTGTATTTGGTGAGATAGTCCGTTATGGTGGCATCCGGCTTAACTAAGCTGTCATAGATGAGACGGCAATCAAAATCGACAAGACTTACGCGCGTGAGAACAAGACCATTTTCGGTCATGCACATTTCGCAATCCATCGAAAAGGTTCGACAACCATCATGCTCAAAAGGTTGTGTGTCTTTCCAAACCGGCTGGAGGGCTCGTTGTTCAGCGGACAAGAGCTCTTTTTCTTCGCCGCTCAGACCAGCAGCATCTTGATGAATTGGATATTCGTTCTCCAGTAGTTGATCGAGTCGAAGCACCAAATCATTCAGTGTTATCTTCTTTTTACTTAACTCCTGCTTTTTCAGCTCCTTTTCGTTTTTGCTTAGTTTCACGTTCACGAAGGCGTTATAAGCTGAGTAGATTGTATTGGCTGAACCCGGTGTTGTGACTGGCGCACGTTGCATTTCACTTACAAACTGAGGTTCAGAAAGAGAGTCGGATGCGCTTTGCGGTTTGTTCGTCTTGTCCCCGTCGATAGTTAGCTCTGTGCTATTTTCAAGATCTTCTGGTAGCAAACCGGGCACAAAGAGGACTACCACTTTGCTTACAGAAGAGTGGTTTTCAACTGTCAGCCATCTTGGTGCATTATTAGTGTCGTCGAAAAGGTAGAGCACTAGATCTCGTAAATCTTTGATAGACACTGTCTTATCGTAGGCTTTTTGGCCGATGGTTAGCTGCGGTGGTTGTGAAGCTTTCTTCTTTTTTTTGGTGACGAGTACTGACGACGACGAAGAAAGTACTTCGCAATTGCTGTCTTTTATGTGAGCAAGACTAGGACGGGTGATTCCACTTGATCGTCTTCTTCTTTTGGACCCAGCTTTGGGTCTGATCTGTGAAAGCTTAGAAGATTCATTGTCATCTTTGACATCGTCAACGGGCGTTTCGCTAGAGCTTTGATCGGTATTTTGGATACTCTTCATGATCATTTCTCGCGACTTACCATCCTCACAAAGACTCAGTCGAGCAACTCTAGACTGGAAAGATCCCTCATCTTTGAGTTGTTCTTGTGCCTCGGTACCGTTACTTGTCTTTTCTTCTGTCTGGTCTGACATGTCAACTTAAGTATTAACGTCAGCGTCAACTCTGGAACTTTCACTGAATTGGGCTTTAAGGAATTGATCTCAAAACCGAGCACAGGTTTTGCAGCTCAATGAAACTGGTAAGTATCCTTCAGCGTTGTTTATCACAGAGAAGCCTTGCCAATGTTTTTCTTGTCAAGATGCCGCTAATAATATCTTAATTCACTGGTCCGTTGCTTGTAATACGTTGGCCAAGGGAATCAGTTGTCAAAAATAGTGAAATCCAAAACTTCTCAAAAACAAACGTCTTGATTTTGGTGATTCAAAAGATAATCAACTAACACTGTTTGTATCTGACTTTTGTTCTCTTGAAAGGGCTCTCGTCACCTCTGGCGCAGATGACTTGTACGTTTAAAAATTTGTGAATACCTCACGGCATCGTGAGACACGAATGAGTGCTGTGATAGAACAGGGCTGTTGAAAAGCCAGGTCTTGCGTTGTTGCCAACACAGCTCTATATGATTTAGGAGAATGCAATCAAAGGTCTACTGCCTCTTTTGCATTTGGAATGTCAATTGGGGAGTTTTGAGTCCCATTAATGTTTAGAAGTGATGACTTCTGATCTTCGTAGATTTTGGCTAACTCTGCCTGGACATCTATCTCTGGTATGACTGTAGGCGAAAGACTAGCATCGGAACTGTATTCTGGGTCAGTGTCTTCTTTCTGGGACGCACCAGGAATGTGCCGTTCAAATTGACCTGCTATGAAAGATTCAGCTTCGATCTGCAACACGGGGAAATTCTCGCCCATTGTCTTGATTTTGGACTCAGAGTCACAGCCTCGCGGCACGAACAGCTTGTCCATTTCAATGTAGTTGGGCGTCTGACTCGATTCCTGGCCCAGCATGACCCTCCGTATCTCTATCAAACTTTCTGGCGCACTATCTTGCTCGACTGCCAGCAGTGAGGCACGTCTTATGAATGCCAATGATCTGAGGGATTGGTTCAAAAACTCCATTTTGAGCGAATTCCACTGCGGCGATCTCAGATCTAGTCCCACACAGACCTGAGCCCCCATGAGCACAATTGTGCAGAAATCCAATTTTTGTAAATCTCGACCCAATTTTTGTTGCAGCAGATCAAAGCTGTTGCGAAGACCACGCAACCATGTCTTGTGAGAACCTTCCTGCCAATCTAGCAAAAAGCCCCACCGAACGTTCACGGTGTCGGGCCCAACAAATATTGACAGTAAATCTACTGCGGTGGCAGTTGAAGGCCATGCAACTGTGTAAATGTGAACTGAGATTGCCCTGTTTCTTTCATTACCAGTCTCCAAAATTTTGTGGTAGTAGCCAATGGCAGCCAAACTGGAGTTTTCGTCTTCTATTTGAAGTATTTCTACCAAAAAGTTTTGCAAGGTATTTTGAGTTTCCGCAGACAGTACAAGGGTCACTTGATCCGATTCTTCCGTATGTGGCTCCCGGTGTGCCTCCAGTAGCTCATTCCAGGCGCTGAGCCCCATAGCCTCGGTTAAGTAAGCTTTAGTTTACGTATCAAAGGTCTAAGCTCTAACTTAAAGGTTCTCTAGTATAATTATCTTAATTTATATACGTATAATATCTTGTTATATTCACGTCAGTAAAAATAAAATTACTTGACCCAACTAAAGAAGAGAAACATCAATTCTATAGCCAGTTCCAGTCTATTGTCACCGCTAACACTATATTTGCTACTGGGAGATGTTTGTATTTATATAAAATCAAACCACTTTGATGTTCTCTCTCCCAATTCTATACTTTCATATCTATATCTACAGTGCTTTTATTTAAAAGTCAGCGGAATTGTAAAGCCCAATATCAAATTCAGCTTTGGCGTCGCTTTTGCAGCCAGCGTTCAACGCACGCATCCTTTCCAACTCTTGTAAGTAGCCGTCTTCCACACCGGTGACGTAGTTTCCGGTAAAAACACCAACTTCGAATTTAGAAATGCTTTTGGTTTTGCAACAGTCAATGAGATCTTCAAGAGATTGGTAGAACACTTTGTCACAACCCAATTCGGCGCTGACTTCCTCCGTGGTCTTTTCGTATGCAACCAGCTGTTTAGTGTCTGCCAAATCAATACCGTAGATATGGTTGTAACGGATTGCTGGGGCCGCAGACGCAAAATATACCTTTGCAGCACCCGCTTCTTTAGCCATATTGATGATCTCCTTAGAAGTAGTACCTCTAACTATAGAGTCATCAACCACTAAAACCCTTTTGTCCTTGAACTCGGAGTCCATGGCATTGAGTTTCCGCCTCACTGAGGAAACACGCTCTTTCTGGTTGGGCATGATGAAAGTTCTGCCAACATATCTGTTTTTGACGAAACCTTCGCGGTAAGGCACCTGGAGACGGTTAGCACACTCTAGGGCACAGGTACGTGCGGTATCTGGGACAGAAACCACGACGTCAATGTCCTCGCGATTCAGGTCCTTCAGGATGCTGTCTGCTAGCTTGATACCCATTTGAAGTCTTGTGTGGTAAACCGAGATACCGTCCAACACGCTGTCAGGTCTAGCAAAGTAGACATACTCGAAGAGATCTGGGCGGATCGAGTTCACGGGCACCACTTGCTTGAACTCGGGTGAATTGCGTCCACAATCTTTGGGAACAATAACAGCCTCACCGGGCGCCACGTCGCGGAAGTTTGTGAAGTTGTGAGCTTTCAAAACGACACTTTCAGATGCCAACATGTAGTCCTTGGTACCGTCCGCTTTGGTTCTCTCTCCAAAAAGGAGCGGTCTAATCCCGTTGGGGTCTCTGAAGCCGATCATCCCGTAACCAGCCAGCATTCCGACACACGCGTAACCACCGCGACACTGTCTGTAGACGCCCTCCAACGCGTGGAAAATGTCGTCGTTGTTGACACGGTACTTGTTGTGTTTCTGAAGTTCAGCTGCAAACAAGTTTAGCAGCAACTCGGAGTCACTGTCGGTGTTAATATGTCTATGCACGTCTTCGTCCATGTAACGTCTTAGAGAAAGCGTATTGACCAAATTACCATTGTGACCGAGAAGCACACCGTAGGGACTATTGACGTAGAAAGGTTGAGCCTCTGAATTGGCACTGGATCCAGCGGTAGGGTATCTCAAATGTGCGATACCCATAGACCCCACCAAGCCTGCCATTCTCTGTTCCGTGAACACATCTCTGGCCATACCGTTACCTTTACACTGGTAGAGACGGCCTCTGTCACCACAGGTAGCAATCCCAGCAGCATCTTGACCCCTGTGCTGCAAGAACAAGCACCCATCGAAAAGTTCGGGGGCTACCGCGTTAGTTTGATCTGCCAAAGCTATACCTAACACACCACACATTTTTCTTTTGATATGAAGGCTACAGGAACGCTAAAAAGACCGTTGGAAATCCCTAGTGAAGGTGATCAACTGCTTTTCTGAAAAACGGGCTAAAAATGCCTTGATGAGCTTCCAAAAGCTGAATTCTCCACAACAACAATAACCTTGAACGTTAGAAGTTGGATCATGAATCTATTATCATTATAACACTTTTTATTATATCTCATCGCGGGCGATGAGAAATTTCTCTTTTTCATTACTTTTCAGCTTAGGTAATTTAATTCGAATCTAAATTAGTATTTTGATGTCAATTTAAAATTGAATGTTAGATTTTTCATCAGAGAAGTCAGAGGTAATTTAACATGACTGAAGGTGATGATAAAGACATCGGTTTGAATGAGCGACAGTGGTCAATAAAAACCGAAAGATTGAGCCATTCTAGTTTTATGTGCAATCTCGTAATTCTCTAAAAAAAGGGCTATTTTTTGCAGTATTTAGGACAATTTTTGACCCACTGTGGAGCGAGAAATAGTCAAGTCATTCGTGAAGACGAAAACAGAATTATAAGAGGAATTCTTGGGGCATAATGGGTTTTGAAGTTGTCATCAAATCATAGCGGTTATATCATCAAGGGCTCCAATTCTTGCTGTATTCAAATTTGTTTTCTCTATGGTAAAATCTATGTTCAAACTCATGTAATTTTGACTCATCTTTCCTGGAGACAAAGCAGAGATTATAGTAGACTTCGGATACAAAGCCCAATTTGAGATTTTCAATCTATTTGTTGCCGCGTTTCAAAAGCTCGCTGCATGAATTATTTGTTTCGTTGGTATGCAAAATGATGTTTAAAAAAAGGCCCTTTTCTCTTCTGTAGAGGTGACCTACCCTATGCAATGCTAAAACTCAGCAAATGGCGTATGTTCCAAAAATTTACCAGTGCTTCGAGCTCCTAGTTTGGCCGCCGAAAGCTTTTCTTAGGGTCTTATCACATTGGCTGCCTCTATAAGTCAAAACTTTTCCAAACGTACCTCTCACACGTTTTGCCCGTGATTTTCTAAACGCCTTTCCCTTTTCCATCCTGGTTTCTATACTATGTGCATTTCGCTACTTGAGGAATAATAACAAGGTACCTTGCGGATAGATGAATGCGGAACACCCCGTAGCATTAGATTTCACGCTTCATTTTTAGTCTTATTCAGAAGTCTTCTCCGCCTGCTCTCTTTCTCTTGACTCTTCTTCCAAAAGCTCAAGGTCCTCTTGGATGTCCCAAAGCTCCCTGTAAAGAGACTTGGGGCGAGCAAGAAGCTCTGTGTGTTTGCCCTCCTCTCTCACACGACCCTGTTCGAGCACAATGATCTTGTCAGCGTCTGCAATCGTTCGCAGACGATGAGCGATATACACACTGGTCTTGGAGCCCGATTTGAAGTGCTGTCTTACAGTCTTAAGCAAAGCCTGCTCTGTATGCGTGTCCAATGCGCTGGTAGCTTCATCGAAAAACATCAGAGGAGCATCTTTCAAAAGAACCCTGGCGATCGCAAGTCTTTGCTTCTCACCTCCGCTGATCATCATTCCTCGTTCACCTACAATTGTATCGCGACCGTTTGGGAGGTTTTTTATCAGATTCTGTAGTTGAGCCTTTTCGATCGCCAAGCCTATATCTTCATCAGAGGCAGTAATTCTTCCAAACTTGACGTTTTCCCAGATGCTTTCGTTGAACAGAGGAGTATCTTGAGGAACGACGCCGATCGAACGTCTGAGAGACTCTATATCCAGATCCCTAACATCTTTTCCGTCTACTAGCACACGGCCATCAAGCACGTCATAAAACCTGAAAACAAGTCTCAAAATTGTAGATTTTCCACTGCCCGAAGGCCCTACAATAGCGGTCTTCGATCCAGCAGGTATTGTAAAGCTGGCGTTCTTCAAAATCAGTCTTTGCGGGTCATAACCAAATGACACGTTTTCGAACTTGATCTCGGCTGGCAGCTTCTCTGGAAGCATTAATGGCTTTTCCACGTTGTTGATGCTTATCTTGTTTCTCTGAAGACGGAAAAGAGACTCCATATCAATGAGAGATTGTTTTAACTCGCGGTAGACACTGCCTAAGAAGTTGAGAGGAACAGAAAGTTGAAAGACCAATTGATTTATAAGAACTAGATCCCCCACTGAGAGAGATCCGTTAACCACCCCAATACAACCCATGTACATCATGGCGGTCAGAGCTGACGTGAAAATGAAGTTTTGGCCGGCATTCAAAAATGCAAGCGATTGTGCGACCTTGATTTGGGAGTCTTTGTAGTTGGTCAAGGACTGGAGGTAGCGTTTTGCGAGAAAGTCCTCATTGTTGAAGTATTTCACAGCTTCGAAATTTATTAGCGAATCAACTGCAATTGAAGCACCTTTGTTATCGGCCTTGTTGGCCGCTTTTCTGAATTCCGTTCGCCATGCAGTGGTTTTGAACGTGAACATAGCATATAAAATCATGGTAGTGAATGTCATTGCAGCAAAAGAGCCACCAAATTGATACGTTAAAATACCACAAACGGCTCCGATCTCAACAGTGATAGGAATAATGTGGAAAACCATGGCGCTCAGGACATAGGATATACCTTTGGTGCCTCGATCCATCGCTCTTGTTAGTCCTCCGGTCTGTCTGCTTAAATGCCAGCCCAGATCTAATTTCATGAGATGTCTGAAGGTCTGGATTGACACTTTGGTGATGGCATTTTGGGCGACAGACGCAAATATGGCGTTTCGCAGTTCACCAAATAGAACTGATCCGAACCTCGCAGCACCGTAAGAGAAAATTAGCGTTCCGATCGCGATAGGTAAGGCAGATGTGGCGTCTGTCCATTCCACATTCATGGAATCAACAATATTTTTAAAGAAGAAAGGAACCTGCACATTGAGAAGCTTTGACCCCACCAGAAGACCTAATGCGATCAAAACACGAATGCGAACCTTTTTGTCACCACCGGGCCAAATGTATTTGAATAGGTCTTTCAGAATTTTGAGTTCGGATATCGTAGGTGTCTTAGAGCCGCCATTTTTTGCCTGTGCTTTAGGTGGTGCTTTAAGCGGCGCTTTGGGCGGCGCTGTGGGAAGAGCTTCAAAATGTGATTTAGGTGAGACCTCGGGGGCCTTTTTCGTGGACATTTGCTTGAATTTATGTGACTTACAGGTTGAAAACTCATTTATGCGAACCCAGGTATGCAGTAGACCTGTATATTTTGGAAAAGGCCGTATCTTACCGGCTGAAGGTGCCAGCCGGCGTGAAATGGAATTTCCACCGCAGGCATGTAGGGAGTTCAAGATTATTCGTTGCGACGGAATAAACATTGTGAGTTCTCAGCGTACCCTATGGTACTTGGGAGAGCTCAACGTTTCAATTCGTTGCCAATCACACCTTTCTATGTACGTGTGCAGTTCATGATGAGGAAGATCTGTAGAAAGAGAGTAACTGATCTACTAGTCAAATTGATAATTTCAATAAAGTCACCAGTCATGTGACTTGAAGGCCACAGTTTGATCATATGCTTCTCACGTGACCAAGGGCTACGCATTTCTCCACCCACACACCACAGTAAAAACGACGAGAGACGATAGACGATCTCTGGAGGGAGTTCATGACGTGGATTCTATACTTTACATAGGGGATCAAGCGTTGACTTACGTGAATGGAAACACGGTTTCTACCTGTGGAATGCTGTGTGGCAATTGCCTCCCTCAAGCGCTCATAGGTATGGTGCGACTGCGTCGTCGTCAAGCACGCTGAAAGGCTTGTCTTGGCCCACAACAGCTATTGACAGGTTCTTCGTGCTCAGCGATTCGTCCTTCAAGCACTGCCTGAGTGCCTCCACGGCTACAGCGATTAGCTTGTCTGCGTCCTCGATCTCCAAATACTCGTTTAACGTTCTTTCCAAATATGTCTTGGCACCTTGAGAACGGGCACCGATGGCTGCACCGTAGAGCTCCAGTGTGTTGCCTGAAGGTTGGAACTCGAGTAAATGGGGCCCACTGTTGTCGTAGCCGGCCAACAACAGACCAACGCCGTAAGGTCTGCCGCCGTAGGACTGTGTGTTTTTCTGGGCCTTGTCACTGAGCAAATGGCCCGCTCTTTCCAGCGACAATTTGCGGTTGTACACGAGACTTGAATAGTTACATTGTTGTCTCAAATAGTTGCTCAAAACGCGGCCATCTGGGGCCAACCCGGCAAGGGAAAGCCCCACATGCTCGTCACACTTGATTATCTTCTTTTGGTACGACGAAAGCTCGTCTGCGTTTCTTTTCAAAGCCACTAGGACTGCGTGTTTCTTCGATCTAACACCAACTGTCACACTTCCCTGTTTGATAGCCTCCAAGGCGTATTCTACTTGGAAAAGTCTACCTGTTGGAGAGAAAGTTACGGAATCTCCGTCATAATTGTTTCTGAACATAGTTGCCAGGTGCAATTGTGTCCTTGAAGCTGTGATTTACAGTCTTATTGGATGTGATTCTAAGGATCTATGTGGTAAGAACTTAGGTTGAATTTGAAGTGGTTTTGAGCTTATTTTCACTATATAGAAGTTAAATTGAAGGTTTGCCACCGGAGGTGTAGAGTGATAATAAAGGTCACGTGAGCATTTTCATAGAAATTGTAAAGAAGTTCAGTTGACGATCTATAAGAACATAGATCGAGAGACCGCGGTTTTGGCTGATATTTAGCACACTGCTCGTGTGACGAATCGCATTGCGTAGCGTGAAACTATGTACGCGTGAATTTGGGTTACGAGACTAGGTTTTAGCATCGAAAAAAGAGAACTTCAAGATGCATTTCCGTAGGCTGTTCTGGAAAAATGTAAGTGAACCACGTAAATGTCATTGCAAGACGTCAACAGCTCACTAGGTGGTTTAAGTACATGATGGTGGTTAATCGGTGCAGTCTCGTGCAAATGTATTGACCATTGATGAAAAACTATCCACTGAGAAGAACAAAGCGTCTTAGGAAGATGATAACGCAACTAATGCTACAGCACTATTGGCTGTGAGCGGTAGCGAGTGGTTCGATCGGGTCACTCAAGTTTTGAGGATTGATTTAGTAGGAAATCAATTGAACTCTCAGTCTAAATTTCTGTTCATGTCCCTGGTACCAGACCATTTGTCTTGGATAGGAAGAGAGTAGAATAGATGAGATATAATTAATTGGGCATCGACTTCTACCGACCAGAGGTTTTATCAGAGCGAAGACACATCATGCGATGTCTACAAGACAACGTCTATAGGACAAAAGAAGCGATGGAACGCCGACGTTTAGTGAGTTCACCAAGCATTGCGTTTTGCCGAATTTTTAGGGTATTGGGCTTCAGAACAACAAATGTAATTTGACATACTAGTAAAAATCGTTCGAACTACTATCTGGCTAGTATACCCCGTCTGCCATCATTTCCATCCCACTGGATGACGCATAAATTTTACCATTGTGCCTTGACCGGCCGGATGGATTGTCTTCAGTAGAAGCACAGAAGTCAAAACTCCTCATAAGTAAGTAGACAACAGGTCGCTTGACAATCAAATGCAGTACCAGCCTCCATGTTCGCAGTAGAGCGTGTATCACAGGCCGACCTTCCACATGAAGTCCAAAACGTTCAGCGGATAATCGAACCTCTTGAAATACAAGTGATGAGGCCTCTAGCGGGGAAACTACAGCTTCCACTGCCATTTCCACTTTCCCTTTGTGCGCTCCATCATAACCTCCATCCGTGCCCAAAACACTGCCAGGGTTGATGCAACCATCAAAGCCCCCACGAAAATGGCCATATGCAAGTAATTTTCAGGCGTCACGCTCTCTCCCAGAGACTTGACCAAAACACCCGCCACAGGCGTTCCAACAAAGCCGGCAGCGCCTTGGAGCATGTACATTATTCCCGTTATACGTGGCAAATTCTCCATTCCAAATATCTCGACCAGTGCAGGCGAGAATAACCCAATGTATGCGCTTGCAAATAGTCCATAGATCATTGTGAAGCCGATGAATAGACCTTTTCCAGCCGACCTATCGGACCCCCCAATTACCGTGCTGGGGACCCAGAGCCCTGCTGTTGACACAGAGCTAAGAAGAGTCGTGAAAAAAAACGAATCAAGCCGCCCAAATTTATCTGCCATAAAACCGACCCCAATTTTGCCGATAGCGTTACAAGCATTGCTCAGCGAGGTGAAATTCGAGCCCTCCTGCTCGCTATAGCCAAGAGTTTTGGCATACGCTGCAATATAAAAGATAGGTGTGTAATAAGCTGCGCTCTGGAATATAGCATTGAGACATTGCGCGAAGAATTTGCGTGTCCTGACGATGTTGCGGGAGGGAAGTGGAACCTTCATAAGCCCTGAAACCCGAGAAAGTTTCATGTTCTCTTCATGTAGACGTGTGGCCATTTTCGGTTCCCAAGTCAAAACGGCACCTGATGCACAAATGAGGACGGTACAGATGCAGCCTGTAAGGCGAAGTGTATTTCGAAACCCTATACTCCGGATAGATGCCGTGAGAATGGGAGACCATACCAGTCCACCAATGCCAGTCCCAGCTGAAATAATCCCCATGTTAGCGCCTCTGTACCTTCCAAACCAAGAAGGCGGGACCGTCATCGAGGGCATAAAGGAGAGGCAAGTGGCAATGCCTATCAAAAAACCCTGTGTGAGCTGAAAATGCCACAAAGCTTTCCCGAAGCTGGCAAGCACGCTTGCAACGCCAAACAGCAGACCACCTGAACAAACCACCGGTTGCGGGCTGTAGTATTTTGTCCATGCCACGATGTAAGGTGCCCCCAGTTTCATCATGGCGGCGGCTATACTGCCAATCAAAGCAATCTCGGCAGACGACGCTCCGGTGAAAGGATTTTCTTCTTTTTGCGACATTTCTTCGTACAGAGACTGATAGATTCCGAAGCTAAAGAGAAGACCACAGCCGGAAAAATTGAGCATAAAAGCGGCTGCGATAATCACTATCTTGCGCCTTTCTTTGGTTAGAGATGAGGGCAAATGAGACAACAATAAGCCATCAATCCTTTTGGTATAGATCAGGGTTGACAGATTAATGAGAATCAGGACCGTACATACTTCTTCGAAGCTCTTTTCTCAGCTTGAGCACTTTCGCCTCCATTTTCTATTCTCCTGATACCATCAGTAGGTTTCTTGTCGCGTTGGGATTTTGATGTGACACCAAGCACTCTTGTTGCAAGCATCATCATTTTTTGACTAAATCGCTTCGTTCTTGTGACTATGTCAACTTTGACAATAAATGAGCAAAGAATACGCTTTCACGTTCTTGACTGATAAGCCATGGTTCAAATACTCGAGAGAACTTGATTTCTAGGACGAGCTTGTCGACTTACTTGGTGTGTGCTGTGTGAATTGAGAGTCATAATGGTAAGAATCACACTCCTGGAAAGGCGATGTGGGTTGACTCATCTATTTTTCATTTGAATCGGGTTGCGCGTTTGTTGTCTTCTTCCACGAATTGATCTTTCTGGGTACCGATCAGTGCTGTCCAACGGGTTGACCCGGATCAAAAATTTGCAACCCGGGTTGCAAAATTCGGGTACTTAACGGGTTGCTTTTTTTTTCAATCAGGTCTTTGAGTATTAATAATTTAATATTTACGGATCCTTCAGTGAGTTTCAATCACATTCAATAGCGTCGCTAACGGGTTGGGAACACCTCACATCGCCTCGGTGACAAAGAGGAGCAGCTCATGTTTGTTCGCGATGCTAAAAAACGTTTAGACTTGATATGAATTGTATAATGCTACCTGGGCTAAATACTGGTCAAAATACTAATTACGCCGCCCAGCGACCGTCGAGATGGTCATCATCATCATAGGCATCATCATCATCAACACCGTAATCATCATCCTGACAATCATCCTCAAGGGGTTCTTCATCAGATGATATATTTATAAAATCATCGGCATCGCCCGGTTTCGTGAGTAGAAGTTCCTTGTCGTACAGGCCGAAGTTAAAAAAGCGGTCTCTTAAAAGCATGATTCTCCTCGCATTAGCGCTCCCGAGACTTCTGCGGTCGCTTCTCATTAGTTTTCCACTGATAGAGAATGTTCTCTCTATACCGCATGTGCTGAACTTTGTGTACAACATGGATAAAGCCAACGGAAACAAATGAGGGTAGGTCAAACGCCGCGAGTACCACCACTTCACGGCATCTGTCAAAGAATCTGAAGTTAAATGAGAATCAGCCTTATAGTTCTCCCATTCTTCCAGAGCTTTAGAGGTTCTTTCTGGAGGCTGCTTGAAATGCAATTTTAGCCTTTTGAACTTGGTGACGCGATTCGTGTTCACTGGCTTGAGCATATTGTCAATGTACGGATGGTTTTCGGATTGGCACTGCTTGAGGTAGCCCTTGACATATGCCTCTACCCTTCGAAAGTGCTCTGATCCCTCATTATCACCAAAAAATTCTTTAAAATAATCGCCTTTGATACTAGGATCCAAGAACGCCGCAACAAAGTAGATGTCGTTCTTTTCATACAACTCGAAGTATTCGTCGAATTTTGACCTGGAAGAGATGATGGCTTTCAAAACAGTACTCTTTATCTCTTCAGAGAGTTCGAACTTTCCATTAATGAAGGTGAAATCAAAAAACCCCTCTGGAGAAGCTGGAATGGTTTCCGTTTCACCCCTGCTGCATAAGTCATAAAATTCCTTCATCGTGGAATAGAAAGTGACTGCATTAGCTATGTTGCTTGCATTGTTGTCTTGCAAAGTATCGTTCATAGCTGGAAGATCGAGCAACAGCTCGTAAAATACTCTAAGAGTTGTACTGTTTCGTCCGTGAGCTGCAGCCGCATTTCTATCTTCGGAAGGACATTGTGATATTGTTCATTTGACTTCAAACTCTGAGCCCACCCTAAATATCCTTTGTGATGCTTTAGAAATGTAGCGACCTGTTTCCAAATGAAAATCCACCGCGTTTCGGGAGCCGAAGGCACCAAGGGTAATCTAGCATCCGCTATAGCAGACCTTAAAAGAGATGACCTCTTGATTATTTTGGCGAACGCACTAACATCTCTCAAGCCTTTTTCAAACCTCTCATCTTCCCTCAGCTTTCTCACGATCTCCTGAAACAGAAGGTTCAAAATGTGACTTGCGCAGCGAACATGATGAAAGTTTTTTGTCTTCTTGAATGCCGTCGTCCTCGAAGGTTTTATGAGATTGTGAAGAAGGAAAGAATGCATGGCCGTATTATTAGTAGCATTGTCAGAGGTAAAGGAGAGGACTTTATTTGTTATTCTAAATCGGTTCAAAACCTCCACGACCGTGGTATGCAGACTTTCACCTGTATGGCGTGAGCCGCTGATATCAACAAAATCCAAAAGGTGACTGTTATTGGTCTCTTCACAGTTATTGAGTAATGCCTTTTCTCCAACGCCTTGTAACATCTTTTCATTCAGCAAGTTCGGAGCGAATGAAGCTGCAATACCCAAATAAAGAGTGACCGTTGCCTCCAGTCCACACATCTAGCTCTAAGTTTATGAAATCGGTTTGTTCTAGAGCCGCAACGAGTGCCTTATCAAACCATTGGGAGTAGGTTTCGAGTTTTGTATTTATCGTGGTGCGAGATTGAATGAATGACATTTCTGGACATGCCTTACATATCCATTTCCACGTTCTAGAGCTGACAAACGAAAACGGCAACAGTCTTTCCGTCAAAAAGCCAATTGTCCCGATGGAGCCAGGACTGTGCTTACACTCGCGAGCAATTTCTCCCGGCAGCGGAAGCGAGCGAGATTTCATGATCAAAGAGTCTAGTGAACGCTCCTTTATAGTTGCAGCCTTTTGGGATCTGTACTGGCAGGGGTGAATGTTCTTGACGTGCTTGGAGAGATTACCCGTAGAATTGCTTTCGTAGAAGGTTCTTCCGCAATGTATACAGCTAGCTGTGGTCAAACCATCTGTTTGAGAAAGTCGAAAGTGCTTGCGAAGTGCGGACCTTTGCATCCATTGTGATTTTCCACGCGCTAGAGCCTTTTTTGTATTGTGGTGGGGCAAGTCACCTAGGTGGTTCTCAGGATCACTTAGAACCGTATCCCCTTCAAGATCAGTACTGGGACTCGGCGCTAGTTCATGTGGTGCAATCATAAGAGGGGCTTCCATTGTTGGTAGAAACTGTGGCCTGAGCCATGTTCCTGAATGTGAAGTAATGAATTCTGAATTTTGTCACCTTTTATATCTTCAAAAGTTTACGCGTTGCATTTTAAAAAAGACGCGTTACATTTTAGAAAAAACGCGTCCAGGTTCCTCTCAGGTTGCAGTTCAATTCTAAGCGGGTTGTACGACAGGTTATGATTTGCCCGAAGCGGGTTCTTTCAGGTACCTAGCTATTTAGCAGATGGGTCCTCAAATTTTATGAATTTTTTTTTACCCGGCCAGTTTTGCAACCCGTTGGACAGCACTGGTACCGATTCGTGAGTCGTCAAATACGTCGAGGTAAATTAAGAAATGGTCAAGGTATCACAGAGAGCTGTCTAAAAGGGCGCTAGCGCGGCGAATCATGTAGTTTAACAATGCTTACCACTCGAGCATTAGAGTCCATTATAGGTGTTATTCAACGAGGTTTGAAGCTATAGGAAAACCAGTTCGACCTAACCTATCAACTATTTGGACGTTCTGAACGATCAGTAATCCCTGGTGTTACTAGATAGAGGAAGAGCTCCAAATGCGTTACGAACTGGTCAAGTATGAATTACATTATAAGCTCTGTATTTCACATTTGGATCAATCACTATTTTTCTACAAGTGCTAGCTGACTCTGGGAAAACATCACTTCTCTTCGAGTTCAACGTCGACCGTTACTAGGGCTGCCAGATCAATCACTCCCAGGATTTGCAGCTGTTTGGGCAGATTGGTAATCAAAATGCGCCCTTTGGCGTAATCAAGGTTTACATTGCACCACTAAAACTGCCTATTACCAGGCTTTTCTTAGCAACAGTTCATCTTCAAGGCTCGCGAGGAAATCATTACTTCGGGCAACATACGAAAAAGTTACGATGTCTTGCGGCAAGCCACAAAACATGGATGTGCTTTCTCCTATCGAATGGATGATGCCTCGATCCTACATCACCCAGATTATCTGCTTTTCTTCTTCGAGTCCACAAGTCCCACAAATCCTCAGGAACGGGCTTGGGAACACCTTAACAGAGATGTCGCATCTTGCATGTGAAGTCATGGACTGGGATTCACCAAAAGGTTCCGTGGCACTCAGCAAGCCGAATCAAACTTTGGACGATTTATTCTCTTTTTCGGATTTATCAGCGACCATGGACTATAGTTCCTCGAAGCTAAGAAATTTCACTCCACCATCCTTACTGGAGCTGAACGACTTTCCCATCCATAACAAAACAGGAAGCACCAATGTGCGACCAGTTTTTCGAGCGCGCCTATTTTTGGCGCGAGCGGGCTATTTTTTACGTGTCAGCGTCCACCACTCGACAACAGATATAACCGGCTTAGGGATTCTTCTCAAAACCTGGGCCTCGCACTGCAGAGCTGGCAGATCGGGAGCCGTTGATGTCACGCAAAGCTGGCGAGATCATAGCGTATTTTGGAAGACATGCACAGAAGCTGTGATTGATCTACCTGATTTGCTTCATTATCAGGAAAAGCATTCTTCCCTTGGCGAACCAGAAGAAGGGAGTGCTGCTGACATGGTTACTTCAATCCTCATTTTACCGAGCCAGCAGTTGCATATTTTGAAGACAGAAGTTATTGAGCTTCTCCCCGTTAACGGGGTCAAATGGGTGTCAAGGGGTGATATTTTGACGGCCATTCTTTGGAGTTCTCTGGTTTCTACTGAACTTACATTTCGTGGGAGTTCACACGAAAGCGACATCCATGCTATCCGCATTCCGGTCAATTTTCGCCGTTGCTATGTTCCACCATTGCCAGCTAAATTCATGGGAGCAGCCTTTGGCGTGTCTATAGCAACCGCCAAAGAAGCCGATCTCATCAATGTCGCGTTGAGTGGTGACACTGAGCAGTTCTTACCAGCACTAGCAAGGGTCTCGGCGGCTATTCGAGAAGCTGTGTCGCTCGTGAACGCACAAAGCATGAGGAATGCTGTTCAGTTTCTGGTGGCGCAAAAGGATATCACAAACGTCAAATACGGTCCTAGAGACGAAAAGGTCTCAATCGTTTCTTGGGCAGATGAAGCTGTATACGGCTTGGATTGGGGCAATGAGATCGGCTCTTGCGATGCAGTGAGATTGCCGTACTTGCGAAAACAAAGATATCCCATCGTACTTCCACGGCTTCCAAATGGCAATCTGGAAGTTCTCGTGAGCTTCAAGAAACAGTACATGGAACGCTTTAAATATGTGAAGGTTTTGAAGTCACTGGATGTGAATTTCATCTGAGATTATAATTTCCGCCTAGTAGAGACTGTGCGCGTCCATCCCTTTTATAGGCATGGAATACCTAAACCTTGGTCTTCTTTGAACCTTTTGTGGGTACGAAAACACATGTCTGATACCCCGCGTAAAGTCCAACTTTGGACCAAACTTCAATAAGAAGCCGATCTTGTTTAATTGGGATCGACTCCGCGACAACAAATCTAGAATAGGCCCCATTGGGTGCACATATTTTGGTTACTGTGATGCACCATGCCATGTTCGAATCTTGTTCGTCTCAATTCTTTTTGAAAGTTGCTACCGCCCACAACAACCTCACCGTAAGTCCTCGATTTTCATTAGGCGAACCTGTGCAGAAATATCAGCAAAGAGTAGACGAAAAAGAGTCAACCGATTTTTGGTTCGCTTAGTTCCATGATGCATCTATTAACTGGCTAACTACAGAACCCATGAGATCCGGCACTATCTAGAACTTTTTGCTCTTTCATGTTCGAGAGTTCCCAGACCTTTCCGGCGTCGCCCCAGACACTTTCACCTACGTGCATGACGGGCACTTGTACCTGAGACCATTAGTAGCAACAATGACATGCCATTCACTCATCCCACGTAGAATTGGTGTCGTATTTCATTGGAATGAAATTTTCAAGCCTTGTATCAACAAAAGAGCCTTACACCATTAACATATCACTTCCGAAAAAACAGGGCTCAACAAGCTTAGCTCGCACTCTGCCTTGCGAAAGTTTGGACCTGACGGATTATAAGGAAGAATAATGAAAGGTCGAACTTTTCTCAATTCGTTCCTCAGCTAAATTCCCAGCGTCGGGTCCAGTTTCTGCAATCAAGAATGCGGTAATGCTTTTTGTTTCTCGGCTACCGCTTAAATGTGCCCATAGGAGTCATCCCATTGTGAAGCCAGGATCAAACCATCGCGTTTATGATAATGACGACGCCATTTCCGAGCATGTAGCACCGTGGCATCGCTTTCATGAAGTTTCCTGCGCGAAATCAGGCTAGCTGTCCTTTGTGAGGGCCTATGCAGTGCAGAGTAAGGGCGAGCCGATGATTCCTTTCAAAGGTGAAGAGATCTATGCATATTGCCGTGTTGTGGATTTTCCATAGGTTTGACTAAATAGGCCAGATCCGAACTAGTGAACAACCTAGTCCTCATCACAGCCCACTTCTTTTTCGGAACTATTAGATCCACCAGCACAAATTGAAGACGACTGGGAATACCCATAATTTTTCATCAGATGCCAGCAACGGTCATAGGACACCTTGTGGGAACCCCAGATTTCGCTGTTAGTGGCATCCGCTATGCTAGACACGCTCAAGATCACCCTCATGCAGATGCTGATGAACTTGGATAATCAAAAGCGGGTATCTCAGCGGGCATGCTAGCCGTTGATTTCGGCTCGTGTTCGACGAATGACCTGCGGTATCGGGTTGCAACCCGAGTTCTCGGCCATCATTGTAATCAATGGGTGCGTTGTGTGCCACATGGGGTGATAGCTGGAATATTTTAGTTATTCTTGCAGCGACAACTGTCGGCAATCTCTACAGGAGACAAACTAGTCCAGAAACCAGAAAAGATACATTTCTAAGACAAACTTGGACGAAAAAGACAAAAAGACAAAACTAAGGGCTCAAAATTTGCGATCGTACGTGTGTGAACATAAGCGCTTGGTATCAACGACTCCAGACTCTGAAACTTCGCCGCTCTTCAGCATAAACACCGCTTTATATCACCTTTTGCCCCGCTGACGCTGAGTCACATGCTTCTATCACTTTTCCCATTTTGTCTCTTTATCACGTGACCATACTAAGATTTCGACCATAATACGTCTTTTCGACTAGCGACCTGAATACACAAAGCACTTTTAGAGCTTATATTGATCTCTGCCGTCTTCATTTCTTTAAGAGCTTCTATTGCCCATTTTCCTATCTCTTTTCCACTCATTTAGTCTTTATCGCGACACATCTTCCTTTTCCACTATGCAAGGCATCTAATTAATCATAAGCTAATAAACAAGGTTTCCCGAAAAAGATGAAGGTTGAGCTGAAATAGTGACGCTTCTACACCTACTGCTAGCTACAGCGTTATCCTCTCGGCTAGCTAGCATTGTTGATTGTCTGTTGAAACAATTCAAGGTTTCTAACTAGCCTCGAACTCGGTGACAATTGGTTTCTGGTTGATACTCAACAAATTCATCCCCTTTTGTTGTAACTGCTAGCTCTCGAAAAGCTGCTAAGTGCCTAACGAAGTACTGCGTCTCATCATTGCCAAAAAGCAAAACTCAAAACTAAGAGCAGTCTAATCTGTTCTGGTACTTTGGCTTTCGTTCCCTTTTCGAAGATCTCGCGTGCGTGTTTGACACTTTTCTCGCTTTTTTGTCACATAGCTCAATCCCACTCTGAAGAAATTATAATCCGCCCACAATGATAAAACTGTACTTCCTCTCGGTATTCTATTCGGCACTCAATCACATCCCGCCATTTGTGTGGGCCGTCCTCCATGTGGTTGCAGATATAGTGCAATTTTGGATGCGACGACTGATGAACTACTTTCGTCCCAAATCTCGAAACCTGTACCATGGAGCTATCACCGAACTTGAGCGCTGTGAAACTTATCAGGACTGGTACAATAGAGCTGCAGTAGTGGACGAAATAACGGGTGCAGACTTGTGGCGCCGCAATTTTTATTCCCAGCGTTACGATGTCAACTCTGTTCTCGAACAGTACGCCGTACTGGATGAAGCTCTCGATGAACAAGACGCTCATACTATTGTACAACGCTTTAGTACTACCGGGCCCTCTATGCTACGAAATTTTGCCGGCATCGTCGACAAGCGGCTGTTCACAAAGTCCTTAATCGGAACAAAGTTGCTTATAGAACAGTACCTAGATAAAGTGCTGGAATGCTTACAGTTTTTATGTGAAACCCCAGCCGTTGCGAGAACCTCTTTTTTCCAAAGATGCAAGCTGTCTTTGGGGACGACAGCCTTCATATTGCAAGGTGGTTCGTTGTTTGGTCTATTCCATTTGGGGGTCATCCGGGGCTTGCTAGATCAGAAATTGCTTCCGAACATAATCAGCGGGAGCTCAATGGGGGCTTGTATTGGTAGCATGTGCTCTGTATTAACCAACGATGAGCTTTTTATGCTACTTTCAGGTGACAATCTTTTGAATGCCATCAAATCTGACCTTGAACTTCTGAAAAAATGCGGCTATGGGAATATCGATCAGGACATGAACTTAGGCTCTCTTTTGCAAAACGTTGTTCATCGCGGGTATTCAAAAGACGTATTCCTTTTCATCAATTTCGTGAACAAAGTAGTGATAAAAGATCTCACCTTCGAGGAAGCATTCCAGCGAACCGGTAAGATCCTGAATATTATTGTTCATCCAACTGATCGTAATAGGTGCCCAACGCTACTAAATTATGTGACTACGCCAAATGTTCTTATAGCTTCAGCAAATGACTGTAGTCTAGGTTCCGAAGTGGTTTCTAGTGGGACCAAATTGTTGTGCAAGAATCTGAAAAATGAGATTGTCGATTATCTTCCCGACACTGGAGATACGCGCGTAGTGTTTTTGACGCCACAAAATGCCAGTGAGACTGGTCTCGCGGAAAGCCCGTACACGCGGTTAACAGAACTTTTCAACGTTAACAACTTCATAGTCTCACTGGCCCGTCCTTACCTCGCGCCTTTGGTTATGAATGACTTGAAACATGAGATCAAAACGTCGAAATATTACTATTATAAACACTACCCGACGACCGATATGAGTAATTTCACACCTTTACAACTATCGAACATGAATGAAGTTGAACCCCTGGGTTTTAAATTCAGATACCACTTGGAACGAAAGCTCAAACACATTGCCACCATGGAATTCCGTCATCGAGTTGATGTTCTAGATAATTTGGGGATATTAAGCCATTGGATCAAGAGGCTTGCCATTGATGAAAAAACACCAAGATCTGCTACCGAGATAACGATAGTACCAAATATGAAAAGTTTGTCCTTTAGCAGGGTTATCGAAGGACAGCTTGACAACATTCCCTACTGGATCAAGTGTGGAGAACAAAGCTGCTGGCCAGTTTTGGCGTTGATCAAGACCCGCTGCGCGGTGGAGTTTGGTCTTGACGAGATCATCAAAGCCAAAAGAAGAATTTGAGCGGCATTGCAAAGAGACCATCCGTTCCAATTAACGATAAAATAGCTTTGTAGTGTCTTTCTGAGTATGGAATAAGTATTCGTTTTCGGCTACGTCAACAGGCAGGTGAGAAGTTGTCGCACCGCCTCGACTTATGGTCAAAATTCCCGTTATGTCCTTTGCGCGACCTGTGGCCAGCGGTTTGATTCCCAAGACGGCGATGCTTTTGAAAACACACCCGGTCTGAAAACGAATCTGCTCCACCGCGTCGCATGGCACCTGTTCCGAAGTCTCTGTGCCTGGGTTATCGTACGATTCTGTGAAGCTGATGATAATCAGTAGCGGTACTGCTCGGGCAAGAGGGTTTATGAAGTCTAGATGGAGCTCGTCGCTACTGATATTCAGTAAGTGCATCAGCAGCTCGGGCTGCTCTAGTAGAATCAGGTCTGAATGTGACTGTGTGGACGTCAATTCTTGAACTAGAGACTTCAGAACTCTACTAGCTGGCTTCCCATGATGTTTGAGCACAAAATCCGTGAGATAGTCTTTGATGATGTAATTAGAAGGATCGATCTTCAATTTTCCGAAAGCTGAGTGGTAAAATTCACCACTATGAACCCACGATGCAACGGTAACTGCTCTCTTAATTCTATTGTCGATTCTTCTAGTTTCCAGCGATGCAGTTTTGGTTCTAGCTCGATTCATAGCGCTGTTGTGCGATTCATTCAAAGTAAGCGGTGCTCCGAAAACCTTAGTTTCAACCAATGCATTCATAAGCCAGGAAGGAGATGTTCCCAGCTTATGCGTCACTAGAATGACATGGTGTTCATCTTTCTCGAACAAAGACCCAGCAAGCACTGAGTGGTCGCTGAAGAGCGTAAGTTCTTGCTTTTGAACGTTCGACATGTTCTCTCTTGGTAATCAAGAGAAACACGATGCGATAACAAAGTCTAAATAAACTTGAAGCAGTTTATCAAATCTCTCAGCAGGGCAGCTTTCAATTGTTCAAGCTACTGACTACAAACTTTCTAGTAGTTCAGGTCTCTTGGGCTAAGGTAGAGGTACTACTTCGTTAATTCCAGTTTAATCAAAAATTATTCAATTTGAAGATTCTATGTTCGATTCCTTTGAGAGACCTTTTAAGCAAATGATTTCTTGAAATATTGAAAAATTTTAGCTGCCATCAAAGCTCATCTCAATCCATAAAACAACACTTTCCAGCCAGTAAAGACATCTCTCTGACTGCTTAAGACATAATGCTTACTCTACCAGCTTTGACCGGTGACATCAGCGTTTCCATTAACTCGAAAGCTTCCAAGACTGCCTCTGTGCGTCGCCCTGTGGAACCTGTGGGCCGTTACTTCATGCACCATGCCCAAAGGACCTTGAGAAATCACACCTGGTCCGAATTTGAGCAGATTCAAGCCAGCCAGAACGTACAACGCGTTGAAGAGTCTGTCGATCCAGATGAGGCTTTGCTAGACGACGATCTAGCCGATTTGTCTTTGTTGGAGCATGACCCTAGAGACTGGAAGACCGCAGACTTGTATGCGGCGATGGGTCTGTCTAAACTACGTTACAAGGCCACAGATGCCCAGATTATTAAAGCCCACAGAAAACAGGTGTTGAAGCACCATCCTGACAAGAAATCAGCTGCCGGTGGTTTGGAACAAGACGGTTTTTTCAAGATCATTCAAAAGGCTTATGAAACTTTGACAGACTCCAACAAAAGAGCGCAATACGACTCGTGTGACTACAACGCCGATGTTGCACCTCCAAAGAAGGGCGCCAACTACGACTTTTTCGAGGCCTGGGGCCCAGTTTTCGAGTCGGAGGGTCGTTTCTCTAAGAAGCAGCCTGTTCCTGGCCTAGGTAGTCCAGATGCCACCAAAGAAGAAGTTGAGAAGTTCTACAACTTCTGGCATAGATTTGACTCCTGGAGAACTTTTGAGTTTGCCGATGAGGAAGTCCCAGACGATTCTTCTAACAGAGACCACAAGCGTTACATTGAGAGAAAAAACAAGGCCGCCAGAGATAAGAAGAAGACGGCAGACAACTCTCGTCTCGCTAAATTGATTGAGAGAGTCAGCGCTGAGGATCCTCGTATCAAGCAGTTCAAGGAAGCTGAAAAGAAAGAGAAAGAGAGAAGAAAGTGGGAAAGAGAAGCGGGCTCTCGTGCCGAAGCCGAAGCTAAGGCCAAGGCTGAAGCTGAAGCCAAGGCGAAAGCCGAAGCTGACGCTGCCAACGCTGCCAGCGCCAAGGTCGATAAAAAGAAGGCCAAGGAGGCTGCCAAGGCTGCCAAGAAGAAGAACAAGAGAGCTGTCCGTACCAGTGCCCAGGGTGCTGACTACTTTGGCGACGCTGACAAGGCTGCGTCAATTGACGAGCAAGTTGGCCTCATTGTCGACTCGGTGGATGACGAACAGCTTGCTTCCTTGGCCGAGAAGGTCAAGGGCGACGCTAAGACCGCTCTAACCGAAACAGCCAAATCGCTTGTCGAGTCCAAGAAGCTCCCAGCCTCTTTGCTGTCCTACTTTGTCTAATAAGATCTGGGCTTAAATACGTGAAATTCAATAGAGTGATAAAAATTTCTACTATAGGACAAGGAATCCGCCGCAAAAGCTGTTAAACACTATGAAAGGTCTCCATATAGCTGTATTGGTAGCTTATTTGTTCCGAGAGACCTTCGTGTTGACAATTTCAAGCCCAATGTCAAGTACGATAGACCTTGAGAAAGGAAGCAGCTTTACATAAAAGAGATAATTCCGTGGAGGCACAAATATTTCAAAATATTCTGTAGCTGTCAGCCCGCGAACTCCAGAAGCCATACAACAAAGTGGGCTTTCCAAGAGTCTCTTTTGTCGATCGTGTTGACAACTACTGCTTAAGATGCTCGGACACACTAGTACAAAGTGATTCACTCTGAAAACTCACTATTTCACGGAGTCACTTCACTTCCCAGAGTATGACAACTGGTGGTACTTTTAAGATGTCTGAGAAAGCCTGGATAAGTGCTTCTCTCGGGTCTTGTTTCTTGTTTTGACCATGCATCTGGCCAATTGAGGACCTTTTCAGAGATCACATGACCTGAATATAAGTACTCGCTCTGTACTCGACAATACACATCACTACAACTACTCATGAAAAATCCACTTAACCTATATATATATGATCTTCAGCAAGAGATTTGAAATCCTACGCTGTTGAGGATCAGAGAATCAGGGAAGCTCCATAGGAAAAGTATCGCTACGGTACATAAAACAAGGATTCGGACTGCTACTACCAATTGATCCATGTCGTTCAGAGCAAGCTCGAATTTTGGTGGAATTCCGACTACACATCAAGGGTACAAGCATAATGGAAGTGTGAGATCCAATGGGGCAGATACAGCTGCTTTCAAGGAAAAAGCGCTTCGCGAACTGGATAGGCTATCTAATAAAGTGGACGACCTCACAGACCATCCGCTTGTTCAGCGGGTGAAGCCATATGTGCCTGCGTTGTCGCGATTCTTCATCGTAGCCACTTTTTACGAGGATTCGTTTCGTATCATCTCGCAATGGAGCGATCAGGTATTCTTCTTGTGGAATTACAGACACTTGCCGTACTTCTTCGTGGTACTCTTTCTGCTGCTTGTGGTGCTCTCCATGATGGTGGGGGCCACCATGCTCGTGCTGCGCAAAAGATTGGTCGTGGCAACAGGTACTCTGTGTGCATGCATCGTGCTCCAAGGGCTCGTTTACGGTCTTTACGGGGCTTCATTCATTTTGAGGAATGTGAGTGTGATCGGCGGGCTGCTGATCGCTTTTAGTGACTCCATTGTGCAAAGCAAGACCACATTTGGAATGCTTCCGGAATTGAACAACAAGGACGGGAAAACCAGGGGTTTGATTCTTCTCGCCGGTAGACTGCTGTTGGTGGTGCTGTTCATCACCTTCACCTTCAGCAAGAACTGGTTCACCGTGCTTTTGACCATCATCGGAACCATTTGCATTTCTGTCGGCTTCAAGACCAAACTGGCGTCCATATTGCTGGGACTGATTCTAACATTCTACAACATCACTGTTAACAACTACTGGTTCTACGACAGCAGCAAAAGAGACCTTTTGAAATATGAGTATTTCCAAAACCTGAGTATCATTGGAGGTCTCTTGCTGGTGGTTGCCACTGGCGCCGGAGAAATCTCTCTGGATGAAAAGAAGAAAATATATTAAGTGTGCTGCCGAGAGAATACAAAGTCTCTCGAATTTGAAACAAATCCCCCTACGAGGTATCGGGAACTGCTTCGCGGCCTTTTAGCAACTATTTACGTCTTTAAACAAACAAAGGCTTCTCGACATTTAGACTTGTTTCGAACGACGAATGTCACTGTTTAAGACCAAATTACGAAAAAGTATCTTGCTGATTTCAATTTGACTAAGCTGTTAAGACTATGACCAGGCAATAAGAGATGGTTGCCACTAAGTTCAAAGGAAATACAGAGACTTTAGCATTGAAAGCTGTTTAGTTGGATCAGTCTGCGTTGTATTCTCTTTCCCATGGTTTTGATTTGACACATACAGCACGTGCTTTTCACGTGACAGAAATTATTAGCTTCACTCGTAGAAGATGAGCCTATTTTATATGGGTTTTATTAAAGCCAAGTTCCCTAAGGGAACCTTCCTAAGTTCTTATGTGACAAGTGCTTATCGCCAACTACACGTTTGGATCAAAAAGTACAGACTTCGGTAACAATTCGAGCTTCTAGTTCAGCAGTTTCAAACCTCGAGAGCATGGGAGGAATATTGAAAAACCCTTTGCCCGACCAAAATGGCAATTTAGAGGATTCCGAATCCATCTCAGATTTCAGAAAGCAAGTTTACAAGAATACACAGCTGAATGCCCAGCTGAGCTCTACAAGCAATAGTGATAGAGCAGACTTGCGATCATCGCCCAAAAAGCACTCGATACCCAAAGATGTGCTGAGTATGAAGCATGACCGGGACACACACGAGCACCAGCACGAAGATGAAGAAAGACTGAAATGGAACCAGCAAAACCTAGACGCTAACGACGTGGCCAAACTACAGTACCAAGACATAAGTATCGACGAGCCAAAGACGCCGTACCAAGGTGCCGTTGATCCCTCTGGAGAGTACTACAGAGACGACGATGAAGACGAGCTCGAAAGTCTGTCCCTTGGCGAGCCCATTGTGGCGCCACAAGAGGACAAGGTAGACGAAGAATCCGACGAGGACGAATCTCAAGAGCTCAGCGACGACCACGGGCTCGATCCGAACTCCAAAGAAGCGCGTCATAAACGTTTTGAAGCCTTGAGGAAACAACACTACAACGTGAAAGACGCTCTTGAAACCCGGAAAACCGGTAATATGGATTTTGACGAGGACGAAGATGCAGAAAATGATGAATGAGAATGATGAAAAGCACAACGAGCGTAATATTCGCTGGCTCATTGCCTTCATGCTCTCTGAGAATTCATGGGACATGTAGTCACGTGAACGCTTTTTATACGAATACGTACTCAGAAGATTTTTCTGCATTATGAGATCAGGTCCACAGCAGCGATGAGCAAGCACACTGAGTGATACTTGTAGAAGAACACTCGAAAAGGTATCGACGAGCTGTCTAAGTATGGCAACGAAACGAGCAAGGGACAATAGTGGCAAGGAATCCGTGGGCTCCAAGAAAAAGCCCCAAATTGGAAAGCCCGCGAACTCGACAACGAAAGCGCAGAAGACAAAGAGCAGTAACGATGGAAAGCCAAGTAAACGTCCAAAGAAGAGTCTCAAGATTATGTCGAAAAACGTCAACTATTCGTTGTGCATTCCCGTGAGTATCATAGACAATTGTAAAAATTTGGAGCAGATTACGCATGTAATTTACCAGGTTGCCAAAAGTGCCGTACTGTTCAATGCTGGTGAAATTGTGATTTTAGACCTGGGTCGCGAAAAAAAACAAAATTCCAATCAGAGCGGGTCGTGTCACTTGTCTCCAACTCTGTTAATAGCCTCGCTTTTGCAATTCTTCGTCACTCCTCCGTATTTGGTGAAAACGGTTTTCAAGAAAGATTACCAACAGAGTTTGCAGGTTGCATCAAAACTGCCGCGAATTTCGGCCTTGCCATTTATGCGGTACGCAAAAGACGACGAAGGACGCTATCGTGAAGGTCTAGCGGTCACAATGGATAAACCAGGACTTCGTAGCTCCAAGACGGGCAACAAGAAAAAGGCGTACGACCAAACCAAATATATTAATGTGGGTAAAAGCGAAATGGTCGAGCTTCGAGGCCAGCTCGTTCCCGCCAATGTCAGGGTTACTGTGGACATCGCAGAACGCAAAGTGGTATCGCCAACAGAGGCCTACGGTGATTTCGTAGGCGCACAGGCCTCTTATGGCTACCATGTTCGTGTTGCTCACAATTTTGGTGACATTTTCACGAAAAGTGCATTTCCAGAGGGCTACACACAGACCGTCTGGGTAAACAGTGGGGATTACTATTTCGATCCCGAAACCTCCAAAAATATCAAGCTGGAAGCCAAAATACCACGCATTGGAAAAATTCTCAAACCTTCTGCCGAAGACATTGCCAGCGGAGAAGCTGACAAGCCGGCCAACTTGATGGTTGTATTTGGTAAATGGGACCATCTGTCTAAAAGCTTCAAGCAGTGCAGTGACATGTTCGATCAATGTGAGGGTGCTCACCAATTTTTTGATGGCCAGTTGGAACTTCCTGGAGCGGTTCCCGAGGCCAACATACCCATTCACGACAGTTGTATGATTTCCTTGACACTTCTTTCGAATCTGTGATGTGTTTGATAGAGGATCGCAACATCTTAACCCGAATAGTAAATCCCTCACATCATGAGTGAAGAACTTTGAATAGGATAACAGAGGAAGTCTTGTCAGATCCATAGTTCGTCACAATCAGCCTAAACTTGAAAGCTACGGACACATAATAATGATCAGCAATCAATCGTGTACTTAGGGGTTTCGAGCAGCATTGTGATGAGAGACGGCTCACCTTGAAGCGACAGAGAGTGGATACCGTAACTTAGATGAGTAGAAATATATCAGTCACCTAAATCGATAAATTGGAATTGGTCCTGAGGTCCCTAAGACTAGAATTGAAAATGATGGAGTTACCATGGTTGCGAATAGTCACTAACGCTCGTCAAGCGCATCACCTAGTTCACACGACATTTGTGTCAGTGGTGAGTGTGAGGCTACCCATGTCACTTTTAAAAGATAGTCGTTTAGAGAGACTATCCATTTCATCTTGCTTGGGAATATATCGGAAGTATACAGCCTTTCCCGGGACAAGACTCAGATGCACTAGCCAAAGTCACATTTGATAATGTGTGACATTACAAAAACCAAAAGGGCTGAAGGTGATGAGAGGAGCTCTCAAACAATATTGATTTCAAAATTTGTTCAAGATCTATCGCTCTTGGCCCCGGTAAGCAAGTCGAAGCTTTCCTTATATGTTCAGTTCAAGCATATTTAGAACCCAAATGGAAGAGAAAGTACTTTACGTAAATCTAGTAAATTTCGCTGTGAGTATATTAAGGACAGCAAAAACAAGGTCGTTCAAACTACAGCAGTCACTTCAGCATTCGTTGCCGGTAGACTCAAGCTTCATCTTCGATTATCTCGGATTTTCTTTAGTCAGTGTCAGCGTCAGTACCATGCTATGAGCCTAAAACAAACCGTACTCGGTATGTACTCGCGAATACGAAAGCCGCTATAAAGTCGCAACGGAAAAGTCAGCGGTCTCAATAAGCCAGAATCACCAATAATCAATCAATCGAAACTACATGATGCTAATTTAAGAGGTGTTAATGCACAATTCAATTCTTTTAAGATCTTCGTCGCTTTATGATCTCGTTTTCAACGGTAACGACACCAGCAGCAGCATCATCATCACTGTCGTGTTGATTTTTAATCCTTACAGCGACCAAACCTGACACACTCACATCTGCCTCTTCGCTCCGTTTCCTGTTTTACCTCCCGTTTGGTTCTCACTGTCGTCCTCCATTTTCATGTCATTATTATCCCACCCGTCAGTCACTTACAATGAAATACTAACATTCCTACAAGCAGCGATTTGGTCATAAGGTGATAATATCGAGCCTGAATGTTATATAGCAAAAAACATACTGCCAATTCTCAAGAGTAGCGTCCCATTCTTTCCAAGATAGATAACTCTCTTTTACTATTACACGCCGTCTCTTGATAGATTCTTTTACCCAAGAAACGAAAGCTTTCAGAAATCCGAGACCGATCAAATTGCTACCCATCGTTTATTGTTTAAACATTACAAACTGCATAAACCGTCTTGTCAAACCACCAGTCCGGACAAAACTCTCATTGAACCCATCCACCGACGTCTTGGTTTACACTCATGCCGTACAAGAACATCACAGAGTCACACGAATATCACGTGCCATCCACCGAGACTTTATTTACAAACTATATCACGAATGACGGACCCATTTTTAAACAAAATTTTTTTTGCCCGAGCCCAACTGACTGTGATATAATTAGATCTATAAAAATAAGAACTTGTTCGCATCACATTCACCTTTATACCATTACTTTTGTAGTATTTAAGTCTGGTGATAAAGCAGATTGAGACATCAAACCGCGGATCAAATCAGCCTGTCTTTGAATCGAAGATAACTAGTTGTTTGAAAAAATCGTTGGCTACATTCGCTTAGCTTCAATCTCTGTTTTCTTCTGTTATATTTTATCAGCAACATGAAACTCGCTACGATCGGCTCCATCGCCGCTGCCATTTCTTGTGCCTCTGCCATTGGTGAATTGGGTTTCAACATCGGTGTCAAGAACAATGACGGCACTTGCAAGAGTACCCAGGATTACGAAAATGATTTCAACACCTTGAAGGGCTACACCAACACCATCAAAGTCTACGCTGCTTCCGACTGCAATACTCTGCAGAACATCGGTCCAGCTGCGGAAAAAGCCGGGTTCGGCATCTTTTTGGGTGTGTGGCCTAACGATGACGCCCACTACGCAGCTGAGAAGGCAGCGTTGCAGAACTACCTGCCATGGATCAAGTCCTCTACCGTGCGTGGTATTTTGGTCGGATCGGAAGCTTTGTACCGTGGCGATCTAACCGCCTCGGAACTTTCCGACAAGATCAACGACATCCGTAGCTTTGTCGCTAACATCAAGGATTCTCAGGGCAACTCGTACTCCGGACACCCCGTCGGTACCGTTGACTCTTGGAACGTGCTTGTTGACGGAGCTAACGCAGATGTTATCAAGTCGTCTGACATCATGATGGCTAACGCTTTCTCCTACTGGCAAGGCCAGACCATGCAGAACGCTTCTTACTCGTTCTTCGACGACATTATGCAAGCCATGCAAACTATTCAGTCGACCAAGGGCACAGACATCCCATTCTGGGTTGGTGAGACTGGCTGGCCATCGGACGGTACGAACTTTGAAGAGTCTTACCCAGGTGTTGAGAATGCTCAGCAATTCTGGAAGGAGGGTATTTGCGCCATCAGAGGCTGGGGAGTCAACGTTTTGGTTTTCGAAGCCTTTGACGAGGACTGGAAGCCAAACACCTCTGGAACTTCTGACGTTGAAAAGCACTGGGGTGTGTGGTCGTCTGGCGACTCCTTGAAGTATTCCTTGGACTGCGAATTTTAAGAGCGCATCAAGATAGATGGACGTACGTTCTGAACAGAAAAAGAAAAAATAACGATACCCATTCATGAACAAAATTGAACAGAGTCGGTGGATGACTCTTTAGATCTTTGCAGAAATAAATGTATAGCATTGAATAAGAGAATATGCTTTTTTACCATACATTTGCGCGAATAGGTTGGAAAGACCTGGAGTGAGCGTCTGCGGAAATCGGCGAGAAAAAATTGAAGTACTTCATTGCTCGAAGAGATAAGCGTGTTGCAGTTACTACCTATGCCTTTTCGGAATCGGTCATTGATTTGAGGAACCGCTAACCATAAACCCGTCGCATTCTACAATCATTGATATATTTACTGTCTTTTCTTAGGGCAATTATATATGACAAAAGAATAAAGATTTACAGGCTTTACACTACCTTTCTTACTTTCTGATGAACACCAAGCAAGAAAAATCAAGATGGCAGAATTGAAGCATCGGCACAGCCCAATCGTGATTCTCGCAAAGAATGGATTTGTCTCCCGGGTTTCTTGATGTGACGAGTTTTTGAATTAACAATAATTTTGGATTCTCTTAAATTAGGGTTTCCGGAATACCAGTTACTTTACAGCACCGCTGACATGGTTCAAGCATAGCAAACCGCAAAGAAAGCTCAATTCTGGACACAGAATCTCTTCAGCTAAAAGACACTGTGCTAACGATATTCATTGCATCGGGTTTGTGTGTTTGTACCGTTTGGTAGAGCTTTTTGCCCAGACTTTGAGCTACTCATTCGGCAACGCGCATATTGCACAACGATCTGCTATACACACAGTCATGCGCTTGAAGTATGTTATCTTAATAGCCTTTCGAGGCGGCGATTCAATAGCTTGATCAGTGTGCTCATGGTTGGTTTGGGCACAATTCCAATTCCAAGAACTGTTGATAAGGGATGAAGGAGACTATTTAAACCTATCAACACCATTACAATGGCTCTTATCTGATAAAATATCGGTACTAATAGCCCACCTACAATAACAACGCAAGGCTAGTAACTGCGTTCTTTTTCCACCCAACCTGGGCGCTTAATTCCTTGTTCGACATTGAGAAAAAGAACCGTTCCGAAAGCCACGAAAACGGACCTGTCTTGGGAACCTTCCCGACGCAACAATGCACTTGTTGAGATATTTTGCGAGTTGTTGTTCCATTTTCAAAATTCTCAATGATAGTCCGCAAGACGACGGCTTGAATAACCTTCCAGATGCGGCGTCGTTCTATTTCACAAGGAAGAAGCACTTTGATCTTTGCATCGTTGCAGAAGTAGAGACAGTTGAAAAACCATTCTGGATGATATCGCCAGCCATTTCAATGACTGGCACACTTCAAGCGGCAGCTTTGTTCACTCTTTTCACGTCCTTCATGTCGTCATCTAGTCCAGCATCCACTCAGTGACTAGATACTTGGGTAGAAGGCTCGCCTTTTTCGAGTACATTTGTACTCAATGAAGATATGAGCGTTCCATATCGCTTCCAACGAGCATAGCGAATGAAAAATTTTTTTTCACTATTTGGTGTGTCTCTCAGCTACAATGATATTGTAATGAGAGAAACCTTTATCCCATCTCCATCGCTGAATCTAAGCATTCGCTTGAGACGGGACATCCAATTGAAAAGGGCATATTCTGTTTGAGAACAAGAATAAGACTTTGAATAGCTCCAGATTGTACACCTCTAGTTGAAGTTGGAACTGCTCTACCATGTCCAGATTCTTTGCCAACTCGTACGAATACGATAGTGGGTCTTCTTCCTCCGAGGAAGATCTCCTTTCAGGCTCTGAAGAGGAGCTTATGAGCACGTCTTCTTCAGACAACGAAGGCCTACAGGATTCGCAAGACGAAGAATCGGATGATTCGTTTTTCGACGAATCAGCACAAGAGTCAGATGTCGATTCTGATGATTCGGACGGAAGACCTTATGGTCCTGATTGGTTCAAGAAGCCAGAATTTAGAAAAGGAGGTTCCACGGGTGCCAACCGTTTTCTCAAAAACGCCGACTACTCAGACTCTGAATCAGATGATGAGGGCAAAAAAGTGGTCAAATCGGCCAAGGACAAGCTGCTGGACGAAATGCGTAGCGTTCATGACAAAATCGATGTTGCTGAAATGACACAAGATTTCGTCACCATTCTCAGTGAGCTCGACTCCATGACCAGACTAGTGACCAGAGCTCAGCAACAAAACTACGGTATTCCAAACATCTTCATCCAGGTGCTTGCCCAAGTAGAGGACATTGTTGCAGCCACGTCGCAACAAGACATAACCAACAAGGCTGTCGCGAGAGCTTACAACACCACCAAACAGCGTGTTCGTAAGATTGCCCGTGATTACGAGGAAATCATCGCCAAGTACCGTGAGTTCCCTGAAGCCTTCAGCACCGAGCCTACCGAAGATGGTGGCGTAGCGCAAGACAACTTCGCCGTGTCCTCATTTGCTTTGGCCGGGAAAAAAGCTGCTGATCTATCTTCTATGGCTGATGCGACTTCCGAATCCGACTTTTTCACAGCATTGCGCATCGTCATGGACTCTAGAGGTAAAAAGGGTACGGATCACCAGGCACAAATTAAGACTTTGGAAGAACTACTGGACATCGCCAAAAGCCCATATGAATCCATTCTTGCATATTTGAATTTGATTTCTTTTAGATTCGACTCTTCTGCCTCTCTCTCCTATCAACCTATAGACCAGTGGAAAGCATCTCGCGGTGACATTTCCAAGCTTTTCGATGTCTTGGAAGACCATATCGAGCAATACCACGTTTCTGAATTTGCCGCCAGAAATGATTTTGTCGAGGACGAACCTCAGGCTAACGAACAAGGCATCAAAGAGATTCTGGGTTCCGTGTACTCTTTCGTGGAAAGACTTGATGACGAGTTCAACAAGTCTTTGTTGAACACAGACCCTCACTCCAGCGATTTCCTAGACCGTCTGAAAGACGAACAGAGTGTCTACAATTTGATTCTAAGATCTCAATTGTATTTGGAGGCTACTACAACTGCTCAGTCCGACCTTCAGAAAAGGCTGGCCCGTGTTCTAACAAGAAGACTCGATCACATCTACTACAGATCCAACAAATTGGTTGCGATCACTGAACGTAAGGCATGGGAGAGTTTGCGTGGAGGAGCCAAATCTCAAGTTACACCTTTTGACGGGGAAATTAACGACGCGTACGTTTTCAAGCTAATCGACACATTGCACCAGATGTTGAGCAGCCAAAAAGAAGGTTCTCAACGCAAGAGAGCTGCGTTGTATCAGATTTATTTCTATGCCTTGAACAACCAATTCGAAAAGGCAAAGGAAATGCTTCTTTCATCTCATGTTCAGTCTTCCATCAATTACTCCGACCCACCATTGCAAATTTTGTTCAACAGAGCTGTTGTTCAATTAGGTCTTGCTGCATTCAAACTATGTCTGATTGACGACTGTCACCAAATTTTGAACGAGGTTTCCACCAGCACGCATTTGAGAGATATTCTCGGCCAGCAAAGCTTACAGAGAGTTGCCAACAACAATGCCTTCAGCAATGGATCCATTCCTAGCGAACAACTATGTTTGCCATTCCACCAACATATTAACCTAGATTTGATCGACGTTGTTTTCATGACATGTTCGCTATTGATCGAGGTGCCTCATATGGCTGCTTTCTTTTCCGGAGTCAAGGTCAAGAGAATTCCTTACTCACAAAAGTCTATTCGTCGTGCTCTAGAGCACTACGACAAATCTAGCTTCCAAGGTCCACCAGAGACATTGAGAGACCGTGTCTTGTACTCGGCAAAGGCCATGCAAAGAGGAGATTGGGAACAATCTGTGTCTTTCTTGAAGTCAATCCCAACCTGGTCTACGTTGCCTAATACTGAAGAAATGATTGCAAACCTATCGCAGAGAGTACAGATCGAATCTCTAAGAACTTACATTTTCACTTACAAGAGATTTTACTCCAAACTTTCCGTGGAAAAGCTTTGCGAAATGTTTGGTTTGGAAAATGAGATTGTTGTGAAGACTGTGACTGCAATCATCACCGATTTTGACTTGCATGCTACTTTGGATGAGGAGTCCAAGTTTGTCACCTTTGAAAAGGGTTATGAAATTACCAAATTGGAAGAAGTGGCCGTAAAGCTGGCCAAAGAGACCAAATACGTGAGCGAACGTCTCAATGAAAAGAAATATGTTGGAAACTCCCGCAGACAGGAGTGAGAAAATCGCTGTTAATCTTGTATAATATAAATATATTCGGGGCAAGCACTAGAAAGAAAAGAAACCCTGGTCTCATATAGCACTATAATAGCCACGTATTATCGCCAACAACAACAAAATTGAGACAAGCGGGAAATGACAAAATCGCACTAGTTAGCCAACATTAGAATCTATTAGTATGTATATTATGTGGGGAAGAGAAAATATGACGCTGAGGCTCTAAGTACTAGAGCGTTCCCTTTTCACGGGACAGTATTTATATTTGGGATAAACTTGGTGATGGTGTTGTTTTTCGATTTGCGAGAATTCAACAAAGCGATGTTTGAAGTCCTCGGGTTCAGTGTTCCACATGAGTGTGATAATTTGTGCAACATCTGTCTGATTTGAAAATTTAGGGTCAACAGGTTTGAGCTTGGAGTCAGGATTGGTAGTATCGACAGGTTCGTACATGGTGGCATGGATGGCCGCCAAAACAACATCCCGATCTATTTCTACTGGCAAAGTGAAGGGAAGCTCGATGTTCTGTACAACGCTGCCCACGACTGCAAGGAGTTGTGATTCTGTAAGTTGTGGATAATGCTGGGAGAGCATCTGACAGGTATCTGTGACGACGCTGCAAACTTTGAGAATGGCTACCGCTTTCATGAGCGCGGATCGATAGAGCATGAAACTGTTGAGCGGGCGTTTCATTTTACCCTCGATGAACTCGTAGTACTTGTTTTTGCGCCTGCGGTCTTCGCTTTCGCGCAGCAGCGACATGTGGCGCAGTTGTAGGAGATCACAGTCCCATTCGGACAGCGATGCGTTCTGTGTTGAGGAGGCGGTGAAATTGTTGTAACCACTGCTGGTGCGAACCTCTACGGCGAGAAGCCCTGGGGCCAGCGACGAGTTTGGTTGCTGATGGCAGGACTCGTCGAACACGGTGAGTCGCGGGAATTGTTTGGCCTGGGTTGTAGTGTTGCGCGGCACGCTCTGGTCGAGCCATAGGAAATTGTTTGCGCTGTCGAGATCGCGGCGCTGCAGCGCCTGGAGTAAGGACTGGGGCTTTTGTTGTTGTTGTGGTGGACGGGTGTCGGTATCGCTTTCCACGTCCCCGTCGCTTACGTCATCCCCACGTGCTCCGGCGCTTTTCACGTGCTCGCTTGCGAGAATGGCGATCTTCTCCCGTACATAATGCTGCGAGAAAAGCACGAGCACGTGGTCTGCGACCTCACGTGATCTCGACGTGACCACGACGACGTTATCACCGCTGCCGCTGCCCTTCTTTTGTACGAACCGGTCCGTCACGACCCGCCACCGCTCGTGCGAAATGCGCGCGATCTGGAGCCACGCATTTTGATTTTCAATACAATTCTTGGGCTGTCCGCATTGCATGGCCAATTGGGCGTGTGCCACATACTTGTACATGGGAGCCGCTGTGACCGCTGCGCTCCAGGATCGCGAGCGACCGGTATTGTTTACGGCGGCCTTTGCTGCGACCGCTGACGACCGCCGCCGCGGTGCCAGCTTGGGACGCGTGGCCATGGCGTCTATGCTGAACAATGTATCGTTTCCAGTGGGTGAGAAAGACCCAAATTCACAGACGCTTACACTTGCACTGGTATCACCACCGCTTATGGTTCCGGTCTCCTGGTACAATTGTTGTGGCGTAGCCATCATCATCATTGTGGACGACGCCGGCGACGACAACGATGCCGTTGGAGACGATGGCCGTTCTTGTGGTTGCTGTTGTTGTTGATGTTGCTGTAGCGGTAGCTCTGGGAAATCATTCCAAGGCTCTAGCGGATCCAACGGATCCAGCGGCAACAGCGGCACCGCTGGCGCGGTGCCGCTGCCGCTGCCGCTACTGCCGATACCGGCTCCGATACCGGTACCCGGTTGTTGCCAGTAATAATCCCAAGCCGCATTAGGGTCCCACGTGGGCTCGAACGACCACGTGGTCGCGTCACAATCGTATTTCGCGCACATCTTTTTTCTCCTGGGTGTATGGGTGTGTATATCCGTCCGCTGTCGTCAAGCCCCACTCTCTCTCCATCCCCCCCCTAATTCTTCTTTTTTTACCCCAACGTCTGTCTGCTTTATATAACCGGCTCTTGTTGCTGGGTGGCCGCATAATGCAAGCGGACTTAGCAAACCCACAACAAAATCCGCTCGGCGTTGAGATGTGCCACCCACACGGGTGATAAAAAAAAAAAAAACTGCAAGCAAAAGAAATGACCTAGAAATCCCGGCTAAACTCTTTTACAACGGCAATGGCAACGGCGCTATTACCCTGTTTCTTAGAAACCGCTGCACAGCGGCTGAGTCAGCCGACAGGTGGTATAAAAATAAAGATTTGCCCCACGATCTTTCTGCAAATCCCTGGGGGAAACTGCAAGCGGCTGTGTGCGGAGTGGTGTGAGCAGAGAATGTGAAAAGTGTGTGGGTGACTGGGTGACTGGGTGTCAGATGGTACGAGCGCGTCTCAGACGGCGCTCTAAACTGCCACTTTTGGTGACACAACTAACCGAGTGGGTTGAAAGCCGGGTATCTGCGGCCGTTTGCCAGGCGGGGAAAGGTGGTGGGGAGACCAGGCAGAAGAAAGAAGAGAGAGAGAGAGGAAGGATCCGCGGGGAAACCCGTGGTTGGTGGAATGTGTATAGTTTTGTGGTGTGTATATTATAAATACTACTTGACAGGATTTATCCAACACAGCTCAGAGCTTAGCTTAGCTTAGCTATGCGAAGCTATGCGGAGCTTTACTGTGTGAGTATGCTCCGCACTTTGCACCACCACCTTCACGGCACAACAAAATTCTGTACAGGGAAATGCCCGCGGACCTTCGGGGAAAGCCAACGGGAATGTTTGAGAAAAATGAGGAGAGACAGGAAAAGAAAGAAGGAAGGAAAGAGGGTGGTGGTGATGGTGGAGAAATGTCGGAGGTTTTAAACCATCCGGTTTCCGACGAGGTCTTCCGGCGAGGGTGAAGAAAGGGGGTGTCATTTTACACGGAGTGGGGTCATGCACGGCAGGAGACCACTGAAGGAAGGGGTTCAAAAAAAAAATGTGAAAGAATCCCGGATCACAAATGGGTCGTCACTATACACGGGAATGGGGTCTCCAATGCGGATTTTAAGAGTAAGTTTTCCAAGACGAAAAACCCACGAAAACGGATCCCCAACGGGTCGTCACTATACACGGAACAAATTCTTAATGTGGGTTTCACAGTAGTTCCAAACTTTATTCATTTTATCATCACAAGAAGAGAAGCAGAGTCTTGGTCGAAAGTTCTCAATAGCACATTTCACGAACCCCCGGGATGTAGCTTATGACGAGTAGTGCACACATTTACATTTTGAGCTTTGTGCAAGTAGCCGCAGAGTCATCAATGGCATTTCCAATCCGATGGTGGATACACTACTGAGCTTTACATAAAATGAGAAGACCATGGGAAGACCATGAGAAAAACCGGTGTTCAGCAAAATGATTCCTCAATTGGAAGATACACGCCAAATAGAAGGATCTAGCTGTTGTGATTATTTTGAATGTGGGAAAAAACACCGCGAGACAATTTTTTCATGAGAAATGATCTAGACATAGATTTTCAAAGTGTTTCAAAACACGTTAGAAATTTGCACTTCGCGCCCAATTCCGGTCTTTTTTCTATTAAGGCTGGTAAATCTAAACAGCGTTCGTTTTTCTCGCAAGTGTCAACATAATCCCCGGCTTTTTCTGGACCATTGGCCTTTTGGACGCTCAATTTGCTGTCTTTGAGCCTCTTCGGAGATGCATAAAAGGTTCTAGGGTTCAAATACGACCTTTGAAATAATTCTCGAAGCACGTGACCCATATATACAAAGTGGTTTGAGTAAGCGCTGAGGGCCCCTATGGAGCATACCGATTTACATCAACATACAGCTTGTAATTTTGGTCTGGTGGAAACGGTGGAAACGGTAGTAATGGTCGATCTTATCTTGATATATCTGTCCCATTTGTTCCAAACCTCTCGAACGAAAAGACGCTTAATGGCCAGGGAAATAATGACCTCCTCAACATTTCCCAAAAGCCTTCTAACGGCCATCTTTTACATTTTATCGACAAAAGTGAGCTCCATCACCTCTGAAAATGTTACCAACAACATATCAGCACATTCTCATCTCATTCACGATTTCTTAAAGTCTGGATAACTTGAACCATTTAGCAAGACAAAGAATCAAGAAATCAAAAATATGAATCGACCTTCCCGACGCAACAATGCACTTGTTGAGATATTTTGTCAGTAGTCTGCAAGACGACGGCTTGAATAACCTTCCCAATGCGGCGTCGTTTTATCACACTAGAAAGGTGTACTTCGATCTTTGCAGCGTTGCCGAAATAGAGACAGCAAAAACGTCAGAGCATTAGTCCCAAGAGCCGACATCTCAGCAACGCCCAAAATCGAGAGGTATTTTCCACATCTTCTCCTGGAATGACATCTACTTTGTTGCTGCAGTTCCTAGTTTGATTGGTTCAATGAGCCTTTTGGCGAGAAGAAAGGACAATATCACTTTTTGAGATCTACATCAAGCAATACCTTGCAAATAGTGAATACAAAAGCGCTAAGTCCGTACCGCGTACTGATCATCCAAGGAAGCCTACGAAGAGCTATCAGATAAACAAACTTTAAAGGCTTAATAGACATTGAAAGCAGTCCCCGCGCATGTTCGCATCTCAAGGAAGTATGGTCTTCAAACAGAAGGAAAGATTCAAAGGAGAAAGTCCACATTAATCTGCTTTCATAATTGACACTGTACGCTGGTGGTATTCTAGACGCTTGATCTACCCTAATCTGCTCCCTTTGGCCATGTCCATGATGTACACGAGGTTCAGCAGTTGCAATATTGAAAGAACGCAGCCGACTTGGCGCTCACAACGTTAAGCTCATTCCGCTCTTGAGAGATCGTTTTACCAAACACCGCGTTTTCAACAGTGAACAATTATTGCCTAGACCGGAGGACATTGATGACCACTCTATGGCTCTTTTTGATTCTTGCGACTCCTCATCAAAACATACTAGCATTACTTCAAGCATATCATATATATTTAGCCAGGATTCATATTCAGCTAATATGAGTTATCATTCGACTTGACTTACCTCAGTCTGACCATCCATTTCTGAGAAGCCATTGACAGAGACATATATATTGATCTTTGATATCCACTGTAGAATTCAAAACCAGAATTCGTAAGAACCCATTGAGGATGCATCCCGTATATAGCTACGACCCACTTGGGATCCACTTTTGAAGGTATCCGGATGCGTGATCTTTATCAACCCATTATACATATATGTGAATACCCAACTTCTCTCTTTTTGATCTTCCATGCGTTCCCAAAGCACGTGACACACGACAGAGACAGATTTGATAAAGAACCAACTTCGAGCACCCATGGTGTAGCGAGCAGCGGATGGGTAACACCCGGTACAACCACATCACTATGCCAATGCCTTTTTACTGGTATTGTAACGATTTCCAATTTTGTATATATGGGCATAGTTAGCCCCACCTGTAAGACCATATTCTGCACACTCAAGACAATAATGAGAGATCAACTCATCGGCCACCATCTTCATCAAAAGCTCCCCAGGTATGGAATGCTTTTCGTACCACGACACTCCAGAGACTCAATCGGAGTCACACAACGAGTATAAACGATTCTTAATACATTATGAAAACACCTACAAGATGACTTCCTCCCAATCGAGAGCGTTAACAAACTATTATTGCAATATTTGACCAATCTTAGTTGCACACGAACAAGTCAGGGTATACATAACAATTTGTTTTTTCTTGTCCCTATTGAGAGCTGTCGCGATTAATTCTTCAGGATTTAAGTGGCACATTATAACACTAACAACTTAACATTCCTACAATCAAGGGTGTCAGCGAATACTCACAAAGATCTCATTAGCATAGAATCTTAACGCCAGTTTTACAAGTACTTCCAGCATTCCTAACCTCTCCTGATTGAGACCACTAGTCATCAATTGGTCATATTTTTAAAAGCACATAGTCTTCAACATAAGTATTCAGCAAATAGTCTTCGGCACACATTTATCAGAACACAATCCTATAAGCACTCTCGACAATCTCAACTCCTCTCTCTCTCTCTCNCTCNTCTGCTGCNCTGCTCNCTANACTGACATACTGCNCCTTAANCTTACNCTACANATCNCGACNACATCATCTCGTCTACTACGTNTACGTACGTACTACTACTCNCNCNCTCTATCTGTAGACTATACTACTATATACTACTATACTCTACTATACTACTACTACTACTATACGTATANCTACTACTACTACGTACTACGTACTACTACTACTACTACTACTACTAGTACTACTACTACGTACTACGTACGTACGTACGTACGTACTACTACTACTACTACTACTACTACTACTACTACTACTACTACGTACTACGTACGTACGTACTACTACTACTACTACTACTACTACTACTACTACTACTACTACTACTACTACTACTACTACTACTACTACTACTACTACTACTACTACTACTACTACTACTACTACTACTACTACTACTACTACTACTACTACTACTACTACTACTACTACTACTACTACTACTACTACTACTACTACTACTACTACTACTACTACTACTACTACTACTACTACTACTACTACTACTACTACTACTACTACTACTCTCTCTCTCTCTCTCTCTCTCTCTCTCTCTCTCTCTCTCTCTCTCTCTCTCTCTCTCTCTCTCTCTCTCTCTCTCTCTCTCTCTCTCTCTTCCTCAGATGGTCGATCACCCATGGTCTTGGCAGCACGTAATCTTCTTAGAATTCTCACTTCTCTCAACGTTTCCCTCTCTTTTCACTGTTTTAGCACACACAACTTTGCCTACCTGGTTCTTTTCCGATTAGTTATGACGCCATTAGCACCTTACATTATAAGCAGTATAACTTTCTGTTTACATTCGGCACAATCTGCAATGATTCCTGACGTTTTCAATGAATCTCACGATCCTGTTACCACCTTCAAGACTTTCTTCTTGAATCTCATTATCTTGCTAGCCCATGTTTTTACCAGTGCATTCAACAAAACTCACAGAAGCACTTCAGCACACAAGCTTGGTAGCACACACAAAACAATCCTCTCGAATTCTCACACATAACTCTACCATCCTGTCTGTCTCTCACCTGTGAATTCCATGGATCTATCTTGCCGAATTCACAAATCAAGTGATGAATGACAGCGTCAGCCGCTGGTTATCGTCCAAATTCGAGCGCCAAAATCCTGACCTTCTGGCGCTCATGATACAGTGGGCACCAAATAACAATACTCCGATGCCAATGAGAGCTTTTTGTATCCACCGAAGGTGCAGCGATTCCAAAGTGAGCACAATCCACCTAGCCTATAAGACCAACCTTTGTACACTTCAACCAATAATGAGAGACCAACTTTCCAGCGTTTATAATTGAAATGATAAGTCAAGTTCAATTAAAAGTCCCACTTAAATGACGGAACGGCTGTCATACCACGAATGAGCTTATTTGGTCATAATCTTGTGAGCACAATTGTATCCTGACAGCTGTATTCGATCATAGTCTTGTTAACACAGTTTGTGAGCTAAATTGACAATACTTCAAAACTCACAAGCTCGCATTCTTTGAACTGAGAGCATCATTGATCTTCTCGTCACAGTCAAACTTGGACTTTCAGCACTCTCAACATCTCCCTTTTAGTTGAAATCCCAGTCACTAAAATGATCAGAATATCGCTAGCAGTTTCACACTCCCAGTTCATTGTCGACACTTCCAAGTGGACATGCTCTAGAAAGTGCACAATTTCGCTAGTTTATAGTTTCGACAGCACCTCAGTACTTCCAATCCTTCTCTCTCTAGACTACTGGTGATCTCAACTGCTTATAATTATCGAGGTATTATATCATTTCAGGACACAGTTCTACTAGAATTTCAAAACTTCAAGCCGAATTTTCTCCCAATGAATACTTGGTGCTCTCAATCGATCTGAAAACCGTTTCCAACACGTGGAATTGAACCTATTTCCAACTGTAAACTGGCACTCCCGATTCGACACAGTTCAGCCAACGCTTTCAACACAATATACTCAACGTTCTCCCAATAGATCGCCGATGCATCTTTTTTCACCATAATCCTGTCAGTACCTTCAAAATTCTCAAACTCTCTTTCTCCCGATGAGAACTAGCAACCAATTGATCGTAATCCTTTCAGCATATGTATCTATCAGCACATATTGTTAGCTATCGTATTGTTAACACCTTGAACACACTCAACCACTCTCCCAGTTAATACCTGACGCTCGCAACTGGTCATCGTGATATATCTGTTTAAAGAAAACATATTTGACTATGTAAAACGTTCAAAGCTTCACAGTGCGCTATTGCTGAATTCCTATTCCTAAGAACACCATTTTCGCTTGGACAGCGTCAATAATCAAATGTGCCAGAATCACCTTTAGAATCCTGGCGTCAGATTTTTGAGGTAGTCATCTGGCGCAAAGGACGCATGACAGCGTCACAACTTGAAATGACTAGGACAACACGAGCCTACAGTTACGACAAGATACAACGATTCTCAAGAAACTTAAAGTCCATGGGGATTTCACCTGTGCAACTCCGGTGACTATAGAAGGCATGTACGTGATGTGTGATTACGCTGCGCTACAGCGTAAACGCTCATTGAACTTGCTTGAGAGTACCAACATAGTTTTTCCATTCTGAACCTCAACGTCCACCACGGGCACTTTCAAATCTCAACTCTTCGTCTCCGCAGGCTTGATAGTTTGGATTAGTTAATATTACTTTTTGCCTTTATATACATCCCATTGAGCAGCGGCTTGCCCAATCAATCACCTTTGCAACTACATTAGTTTTTCTTACTCGCAGATTTGATGTCACTTCTGACAATACCAGATCTGCCACACATTTCTTTGAAAATGCCATCCAGATCATATAGTTCGCTTGGCTTGCCAAACTCTGCAACCTCTCCTTTCTCTAACACCAAGATTCTGTCGTAGTCAAGAATTGTGTTCAACCGATGCGCAATACACAAGATAGTGCATTGCGAAAAGGCGTGCGCAATACGAGCTTGAATTTTAGCATCAGTCTCGTAATCGACGGAAGAAGTCGCTTCATCCAAAATTAAAATTTTCGACTGTCTCACCAATGCCCTTGTCAGTGCGAGTAATTGACGCTCACCCAAGGAGTAATTTGTACCGTCCTCTTCCACTTCTTGCTCCAAATGAAATTTGTGAAGGGCACTTAGCGATCCCTCCTTTTCATAGCTCTGAGCGCGTACTTCAGGTTCCAATTCTGGGCTGATAGCACCACTTTTCACTAATGCATCCCACAGATCCTCATCCGTACGCTCGCCAAAGGGGTCTAAATTCTTCCGAACAGTACCTCTAAACATTACAGGGTCCTGAGGAATGATTGATAGTTTCGAACGCAGTTCATAAAGACCCAAAGTTGAAATATCAATACCGTCAATAAAAATCTTTCCAGATTCAAGTTCGCAAATTCTGTAAAGAGCACTCATGATTGTAGATTTACCAGCACCCGTTCTACCGCAAATACCAATCTTTTCGCCACTGCCAATTTGCAAATTGACATTTTTCAAAACCACTGGTAGTCCTGGTCTATATGCCAGATTAACGCCTTCAAAGTCAATGCTTCCGTCAAGGGGCCAATCAGCTGGTGGACTCATTTCAGGTCTCCGATAATCAGCTTCCAAAGGCAACTCCGTGGCATATGAAATCAGTCTTTCCGTACTGTTCATATCGTTCTCGCCTTGTGTCATAGCTCTCAACAACGAGTTCAATAAACCTGGCAATTGTAAAACGTATGTTAGAAGCACACCCACCGAGGAAGCCGAAATATGGAATTGACGTGTGACACACAATAATGTGATGATCAATGCAAAGGACATCGCAATCATGTCAAGGGAGACAGAAACCCATCTTTGCAAACTGACCACCACATAACCTGCCTCATTCATCCGGTCAATGAGAAAATCAGACTTTCTGGAAAACCTTTTTTCACTTTTGTATGCCCGAATGGTATCCATGCCACCGAGAACTTCATTGAAGTTATTGAAGACGTGCGACCTCTGCAACGCTTCCAATCTCTTGATTTCTCGACTTGAACTTTGATAATGGTCAGCAACCGCAACGAAGGCCAAGCAGAGGAATGGAACAGCAATGGCAAACCACGGTAAGTAGATAATGCACATGATCATAACACCAATAATGTTTGCAACTTGATAAACGAACAGCCGTACACTTTCAGTGAGTTCAGAATCGACCGTATTGGTGTCTTTGGTAAACCTGTTGAGGATTCGTCCGATAGGAGTCGTATCGATAAACGACATCGGGGTGTGCAGCAAACGCTTGACAGCCTTCAGATTCAGCCACTTGGCAGCTGTTACACCAATGTAACAGAGCATTGTGAACTGGGTTGTAGTACAGATGTAGTTGAAGAAAACAAAGAAAATGTACATGCCCATGTAGAAAGGCGTTCTTTTGTTCTTGAATTTCATTTCTGTCCAAAACGACAACCATACGGACGAGAATAGAAGAGTGAAGGTAGAAAGGGCCAAAAACAGCACATAGAGAGGCAATAAAACGAATCCCTTCTTACCAACCCCAGCGGAAATGTACTCCTTGTATACTTTCCAGCTGATCGAATTGACGGCACGCTCTTCCTTAGCAGTAATCTGACCAGTATTATGACCATTGTTGTCATCTTGAATCTGGGACTTCTTGCTGAGTTGCTTATGCAATTCTGCGACCTCCACTTCACTTTTATTACGATTGGCAGCTGGTCGCGAGTTTTTCGACATTTCTTGAGGGGTTTCTTCAGTTTCAGAGTGCCTAGAGAACTCCATCAAATTAACAAATCCTGTGTGTCTCGACTTTAATTCCTGAACGGAGCCAACATCGACCGAACCATCAACGTCTATGAAAATAACTCTAGATGCTCTGGAAATTAGACTCAATTGATGTGTTGCAAGCACTCTCGTTTTATTGCCAAGCATACCCATCATACATTCGTCCATAATGTGTTTCCCAACCCGAGCATCGACCGCACTCAAAACGTCGTCAAACAGGTAAATGTCCATGTCTCTATAGACGCTTCTGGCCAAATTGATACGAGCCTTTTGACCTCCAGAAAGAGTAATACCACGCTCTCCGATCTCAGTTTGGTCCCCAGCAGGGAGAAGATCCAGATCGGCCTGCAACGAACAAACGCTGATAACTTTTTTGTATCTGGCTTCATCGAATGGAGTACCAAATAAAATGTTGTCTTTGACCGTGGCGTTTTGCACCCAAGAGTATCCACATAGCAGCAGCGAGCCGTCTTTGTACATATCTCCACTCGTCTTCTTCATGAAACCGGCGAGTGCATTCAAAAGTGATGATTTTCCAGTACCCACGGAACCTGTTACAATGATCAGTTCGCCTTTTGCGACGTCAAAGTTAAGACGGTCGAAGCCCTTGAACAATGTATTAGGGCTATCATCAATGGTACTAGACTCTTGTTTCGTAAGTGACTCTTCATACGATGTTTCTTTTGCCGTGACAATTTCGTCCTGTCCTTTTTTGTGCTTTGTTTCGTTCAGTTGACTTTTCAAGTTTGCTTGCTCTTTAGCCTCTTCTGCTTCGAAGTTTTCCCACTGAAATGAAGCGTCTACCAGCTTGAGAGCGAGTTTTTCGTCTTTCATGGGCAAAATATGCGCCTCAATATCCTGATCGTCTTCACCGGCTTGGAGAACCTCTTGAACACGCCCCAAGGCAATTAGTCCATCAACTCCGGTACCCAAGGCCATTGGTAGGAAAAACATTTGAATGCTCAAAACCTGGAAAAGAGAGAGTGAAGAGAAGATATTGGCGGGACTTCTACCGCCATTGTTCACCTTGTACATTGCTAGAAAAGTGGTCATCGATGCAATATTTGTTAAGCAAACAGCCAAAGCAGTGACAAAGTTTCTCGTGAATTGCATGTAACGAGTTTTCCGAATTTCGGTCGTGCGAATATCTTGAACATTTCGCTCATATGCGTCTTCCCATGCATAAAATTTGATCATTTTCATACTGTTTAGGATTTCGCGCATAAGAGTAACTCTTGCGTCTGTGAAGATGTTGGTAGCTTTACGAACTTTGATGAGCGACTTGAAAGCCATGGTGGATACAAATCCAGCTGCAAAGAAGACACCTACGCCCACCAAAGCGATGGCACCCAAGTTGATGATCAACAAAATTATGCAAATAGTAACCGCGACAAAAAACGCACCCACCAAAGGCTGGAACATGATGGCCAACTCGAGTCTTGATAAGTCCGTGGACATAATCGATGTAATTTTACCGTTGGGAAATTTGTGCTTAGAGTAACTTGAAAGCTTCAACGATTTCCGCAATAGAGCTTTGATCAGCACCGACTTGACCTGAACACCTGTAATCTGGGAATTATGGAAAAAATGGTTGAAGAGAATCGCGTTCAAAAGCATCATGACACTGGCGCCAATGGCATATCCTACGCCTGGATTGACTTTTAGACCTGAAATTAATGCCTTGCGCTCGACAAAAGTGATGAGCCGCTTGGTGAGCATCGGCAGAAACGCAGTGGCGGCGTTTGACAGACTCATGAACACAAACGCCATGAAATATTGCCATCTGTAAGTCCACAGTAAAGACTTGAGTAGTGTGTATTTCGGAAGAACCGTGTTTTCGATCACTTGCTGTGGCGTGGCGTCTGGATGGTCCTGTGCGTACTGCGCACGGGCTTTTTCGACATAACCATCGAAATACGTGTCGAATTCGCGAGTCATGGTTTCGATGCTGATGCGTGGATCCATGACCCACAAATCGTTGGGCTGCAACGTACGTTTGTACCCAACGCGGATGATCGGGTAGACGTACCAGAAAAAGATACGGTACACAAAGTTGGTGTGGTATAGTGGGTAGACTTTGCGGTCCTTTTCTTCTGGAATGGGAGGAATCTTGCGGGAATGGAACAGCGAAAAGAGTCGCTTCTGTGGATATATTTCCGATCCGGACACTTTTTCCAGATCGTCGCTGTTGAGAAAGAGCTCTGGTCTATTGGAGTCTGCAGCACTGGGCTGACGTGTCAGCCCAGTGTTGCCGTCCACCAAATTGTGCTCCTTTTCGCTTTTAGGCGGTGTTTCAAATTCGCTGGAGCTGCTCATCACACTGACCGGGCCTGTTGGAGGAGGAGGAGGAGGGGTTATATATAAATATGCGAAAAATGCGAGAAATGCGGGAGGAACAGGATAGATCGGCTTTGTTTATGCCTTTTTATCTTCTTGATTGATATGCTAGTTATTGCAATGTCTTGAAATAGCGGCAAAGAATCCCTGATGAGCTACCGAGATCCTTATTTTTAGCGAAAACGGCAAAAACCTGTAAGGTCTTAGAGCACACTTTGTTCCGGTGTGCCAACAAAAAGCGCCAGAATTTCTAAGCACGCTTGATAATCCACACAAATGCTAAACCAAGTTGAAGACCCGCTAACTTGTATTGTTATCAACCTTCTATCTTGCTGGACTTGTCTCAGTTTGTCTTACTGTCTTATATGCATGTAAAATTACATCCATTATAGGTGGCAATGAGGGAGGTGGTCACTGTATACGTAAACCGCTTTTGAATATTGAATATTGATTATTATAATTATTATTATTATATGTCATCGGTCACGTTTGGAGCCGTACATAGTGTGCATTTTCGGTTTTGCACAGCCGTTTCTAAGCGATGACAGCGGTAAGTCGAACCCCGAAACCCGCAACACGATCGCGATCTACGGAATCCAGTCACCGCGGATGTAAGCGGGCCTAACCAGACAGCATCGGCCGAGAATAACCCGCAGAACAATTGTTGATTGCTGCTGCTGTGCATGTGGCTTGGCTTGCAGGATCCGATACAACTCTCCGTGGACGTTTTGGATTCCGCGGAACGGTGTGTTTGAGACTGAGGGTGAAAACGCACTAGTGAACAATGAACTAGCTAAGACAGATCGGAGAAAGGCTGGAGATAAAGCGGGAAGACGGGATGCAAGAGCTGGAAAGATGAGATGGAAAATGAATGAAAGTTAACAGTGGTTATTGTAGACTGTAGACCCTTGATACCGTTGAGATGGTTTCGTATCAGCTGTGTAAATGGTGTATTTGGCTCCAGAGTTGTCGTGAAAGACCTACTAAATCATTGGTAACGACTGGCTTTTAACGACAGGTTACAAACGACAGACTGTCATCTGCTAATCTATCGGTGTTTTGAAATTTTTGTGAATGTGGCTTACTAAGTACACGTAGATAGTACCTTGAAGGTACTTGGATATAGTTTCTTTGTCACTGCAGGGCCAGGAGCGTCAGATTAGATATCGATCAACTGTGATTTTTCTTTAGGTCCTAATATTCTAATTTTTTTTTTCTTGGCATAGGCAATCACCCGTGTGCCTCGAGGAAATCAGTTTGCATCCGCCAAAAGAATAGCAATCTGGTTGTATGGATGGAGATGTGACGTCCCAATGAGTTTGGATTACTAGCAAAATAGACGTTGGTTTAGGAGTTCGTTCATGTATCTGGCATATCGGTGATGATGAGCCTTTGGAATTAGTGATGAGAATTTGCGGTCACGTGACTCAATAGAACAAGGATCAAAAGGTTTCGTGAGACGTGATTTATGCGTGTATGATGATATGTATTGGTGTCAGGTAAAAAAGATTAGATTACACTTGGAACAATCATTACACCATACATACCATAATAGATATTCCGCTGTATATAGAGTACCAAATTTATATACTTATGATAAAATGATCTTCTAGCGTGCTATCAACCGATCACTGTAAAACCAGTTCCTTCAAGTACGCTTATTTATAAGTCCCTCACTTTTGACATGTTTTATAAAATCACTCTCCGGTGAACTTTTTTCTTTCCCCCCCAGGTATCACACATTTATCGAACTGTGACTCCTAGGAACACAATTCGAGGTTAAAAGACGTGTATAATTTATACCGTGCGCCAGAGTGCTCTAAACTAGTAGCCGTGCTTGTTGCTCTACTTTCTGGGCAAGTTTAGCAATACCATCAGCAATTAAAGCATCACGTGGTCGAACAATTTTTGTGAGTGCAGTTTGGCGCTTTACGGGAAGGGTTCATCCAGCAGTTGGTATTCCAGTTTCCACCAAAATATGTAAAAAGATTTGCCAGAATCTTAAGTTCTTCATTCAATTTAGGCCACAACCGCTTCTGTCAAATCTTTCGCTAGTTTTGTGAGCTTGTTATGCGAAAGCCTACTTCAGTCATTGGGAGCATCCGCCAAAGATTATCTTTGCAATTGGAATAGTACATGTAGCTTTTGCCATATGGTTCTATCAAAGTTCTGAAGAGTTGTGCTTATAGGACGAAAAGCAAGATTCTGCCTTGACAATTCAATACCTAACAATCATGCTTCTCAAAAAAAGACAAACCGGAATTCATTTAGCTCAAACCGGTTTCTAATTAGATTCCAAGGTGCAACTTGCTCTTTCTGTGAATCTTTTGTTCTTGTATCATGCAAGTGGTGTTCAATACTGATTACATTCAAAACTCTCTCATCAAAAGTCAACATCCAATTTCTCGAAGGTCCTTCCAAGGCCCCTGTCTTAGTGCTGAAGCCCCAATCATTGTCAGCGCCAGTGGAGAGGTGGCATTTAGCAGTTTTTGGACCGATTAAACGTGCGAGGTTGATCTAAGATGATAAAACACTAAATCGAACTTCGGCTAAACGACGGAAGACATCCAGGATGGGATCGCGCATTGACTTCACTTGATCTCTACAAACTTTGTAGTGTTTCGCAGAAATTAAAATGCCAGTGACAAGAGTTTCCGCAGCCATGCAGAATCTCAAAAATGGGGTCTGTGATTTATTAAACTCAGCCACTAGAGTGCGTATTTTTGGAAGCACCATCCACACAAAAATCAGAGTGCCAGTAGGCACAGTAGCTTTGCAAGACCAACAGCGTTGCTTCCAGATCCGGTTTCAATCATGACCGGTTCCCGCCGCAAGGCACCTCGATCGCTGCCTCTTTGCAAGAATGAGGAGCACACCGAATTGCCACAAGACCATGGTAGAATGCTGGACCTAAAATTAATGAAGTCTTTCGAGGATTCAATTGTCTCTCGAGAGTTCAATTGTCTTTCGAGAATTCAATTATCAATTACTCGCAATAGAGTCATTTGCTCTCCGAAAAGCCTTTTCTCATAAAGAAACACAGTCTTTCATGTCCAAGAACACGATTCGCAGACTTTTCTAGACAACCTATGCCACCAACTTTATATGAGGAAATGCAGTGTGTCCGATGCAACAAGATCCATGCTGTCCATGAGAAAGGGATTCAGTGAAACTTGTCTGCCATTTTCGGCCTCCGGCTCCGGATAAAAATTAGTAACATATTTTAGGCTTTCCAGTTGCTTGTCCGTTAACATTACGTCTCGGTCAAATTTCGATGAATAAGTCTTGCGGAGAACATTGATGAGGTACTTGAAATTGCTTGAAAAGTCAGTGGTCGCAAAATGTGATTTTCTTGAGCCCTCTTTTTCAGTTGCAGAATCCTGAGTTCCAGGAGATGACCCTGTGTCCAAGAAATGCGAACAGCTGATGAAATCGCAGTATACGCACGCCATCAACTTCACGTCGGCTTCAAAGGCAACTTGATTTTCCTGCTTCGAAAGGGTATAAACGAAAATTTCGAAAAAAGCCAAGTTTACGGACCATTGGAACGATTTGAAGTAGCTCGCTAAGCTTAGTTCGGATATTGCCAGAGCGTAAGTGAGCATGGCCCTTGCAGTTCTTACGCCTTCGTAAATTGGTGTTTGCCTCGAAAGTCCCATCTCCTTCATGTACATTTGCGTCTTGAACATTGCCCTTTGAATAAATATCAAGTTGGTGAAGAAGCCAAATTGGACGCTGTAGATATATAGCCTTGTCATTGCCGCAGGCAAATCGCTGCATCTTACGAGCTCTGTCAAAGTTTGACTGATTGGAGGATCAAACGGTCTCATCCCGACCGGAAGAGATAACCTGAATACTTCCATCTCCTTGAGTAGCGCCTTAGCACTTCGAAAATGCTTCGCAACGTTCATTGTCGCTGAAGGAGCATAGAGGTCACTGTATATGCAGGAAGCTATGAAATTGTTCCGACAGATATAATAACCGCCGAAGACGTCAAATCCGACTTCCTTCATAACGAAACTGAACATGTTGCGTGCAAATTCTGATCGACAGGTAGGTGGTGAAGATGCTGCTCCAAACGAAGCATCTGCCAAAAGCTCCACCGGGGTACACTCAGATCCAAAAATCGCCGTGGTGTCGTAGTGGGCAACGACAGGCGGCTTTCCCAATATTAAAGAAACCTTGAGGTCAAAATGGCGACACACACCCCAAATTTTTCTCCTTTTGTTTGACTCGTCAAATGGCAACCCTTCATAAGAAGTCTCGGCATGGAGGCCCAAATGTTGAGCCAAACGGACGGCTAAAGTGACCATCATATATGAGGCATGCAAAGCACCGGTGACGTCTGCGTAAGCCATGAGTGCCAAGAAAGATTGAAGGGTATCAATTCCTTCCGGTAGTATAGAAACCTGATGGTAATTGAATAATGCATTGGATATGAAGATGTCTTCCAACTCTCGCAGTTTTGCATTGTTTTGAACAAGGCCTAATACTCGCCGAGGAATGCCCTCTACCTGTGTTTTGTAAAAGTGCTGTTGAAAATGACTGACCAATGCAAATGCCACATGTAATGTGATGGAATGAGATCGATTCAAACTATGCAGTCCGCCTTCGAGAAAATTCTTAAAGATTGCAGATACAGTGTCGGCCGGTATGAAAGAGAGCGTCTCAAGTCCCGACTGATTGAAAATCTCTATCAGGGTCTCTAAAACTTCGGTTTCTGGTAGCGGTTTCAGGCCCAAAGGCGCTGGAAACAGAGTATCTGAGTCCTTACCACGTAAAAACCTCGAGTACCATTTTGAAAGGTAGTCAATCTCCTCATCACAGTGCACACTTTTAGACTTGATCCATTGCAATCCTCGCGGTGATAACACGGAATACGACAGGATCACTCCAAAGTCCCCCGTAAGTCCACTTTCGGAGACATCAGAACTTTCCGACTTTCTGGCAGAATTGCCTGTAATACCTGCTGCGCTGAGCTTTGACTTACCAGTAGCATTGTCTTGATTAGGCTCTTTGTTGTCTTGAGGTAAAGCGCTGACAAGTAGGTCTAGAGAGGTTATACGTGGCATCGAGATATCTGCCATTTTATTGTCATCTGGACTCCGCGTCACTCGACTAGTACTTTTTCTAGACTTTTTTTTGGCAGTTCCATGGCGCGGCCTCCGTCCAACCTTCTTTTGTACACTACTAGCCACTGAAACGACCTGTTGTTCCAAAGAATCCAATTTCTCCAGTATTTTGTGGAATTGATCGGCTTTATTGGCAGATATAGGCTCTTTGAAACCGCTTTCTTCTGCGTAATCTGATGCCATATTATTCAATTCACTTATTTCGTTGCTGAATTCCGAACTGAGATATATAACATCGTCTTACTTAGCTAAAATTCCGTGATCTTATAAGACCTATAAATCCCTAAGAGACGATGTTTTATCGGTCCTTCACGCTACGTTCCGCTTGTTGTTAGCCTGTTAGTCTCTAGTCTTATGGATATCGGCCATATTCAAATATTGACCTTTCGTACAAGGGTACTCATAATGTCTAAAGTTGATTCTATAGAAAAGTTTTCGTCTGTTACAAGTAACAGAGCTAACGTTGTTAAATACAAAAGCATTGAAGAAGAGCCTCTTACCTCGAGATCTAGCGTCGTTCGTGAAAACACCGAGTTCGCGAAATTGATAAGTTATAGCAGGTCTTTTTTCGAAATCAATATCTTTGGAGCTCATTAGCCGTTTGATTTATCGCATCAATGTCTGCGCTTCCCGATGAGGTGAACAGAACTTTGATCGAGGTGCTCAATGGGTTCTCCTCGCCTGTTAATACCATTAGAGCAGAGGCGGAGAATACCTTGAACAAGAACTGGATCACGCCAACAAACATCGATGTTTTGCTGATGTTTTTAGCTGAGCAGGCATCCTTCTCTGGAGAGCTGACGCTAGCTGCATTATCTGCCGTTTTGTTTCGGAAGTTGGCGCTGCGAGCACCACCCTCCTCCAAAACTGTCATTATTGCAAAAAACATCACACACATCAATGAATCCGTGCTGGCACAAATTCGTAACACACTTTTGAAAGGGTTCGTTACAGAGAGACCCAGCGGAATTCGTCACAAGCTGTCGGATGCAATTGCCGAATGTGCGCAGGAAGACTTGCCTGACTGGCCAGAGCTGCTTCCCGCTCTATTCGAGGCCATAAAGAACCCGGATCCCAATTTTCGTGAGTCCAGCTTCCGTATTTTCACGTCTGTGCCACATCTCATCAATGCGGTTGACATCAACAGCGTGCTCCCCATATTTGAAGCTGGCTTCACTGATGTTGACGATAACGTCAAAGTCGCGGCTGTCACATCTTTTGTCGGATATTTCAAACAACTTCCCAAGCAACACTGGTCCAATCTTGGAGTGCTTTTGCCGAGCTTGTTGAATAGTCTACCAAACTTTCTTGATGATGGTAAGGATGATGCTCTGGCATCAGTTTTCGAGTCCTTGATAGAATTAGTGGAATTGGCGCCAAAACTTTTCAAGTCTATGTTTGATCAAATGATTCAGTTCATCGATATTGTTATAAAGAACAAAGATTTGGAAACTTCGGCTAGAACCACCGCGCTTGAGCTTTTGACAGCTTTTAGCGAAAGTGCCCCACAGATGTGTAAGACCAATGCAAGCTATGCGCAGTCATTGATCATGAATGCGCTCATCATGATGACGGAAGTGTCAATTGATGATGATCAGGCCTCAGAATGGCACAACTCGGACGATACGGAAGAAGATGATGAAGAAGTGACCTACGATCACGCGCGCCAAGCCTTGGATCGTGTTTCCCTTAAATTGGGTGGTAAAGTACTTGCACCCCCTCTCTTTCAGTATTTGCAACAAATGGTAGCATCGTCTGAATGGAGAGAAAGGTTCGGTGCTCTTATGGCGCTGTCTTCTGCAGCAGAAGGATGTAGAGACGTTCTCATTGGAGAGATTCCCAAGATTCTTGACATGGTCATTCCTCTGATCAACGATCCTCACCCCAGAGTTCAGTATGGTTGCTGCAACGCTCTAGGTCAAATCTCAACAGATTTTGCCCCTCTTATCCAAAGGACCTCTCACGAGCGCATTATAGCTCCATTAATCTCCAAATTGACACCCCAATCTGTTGACAGAGTTCAAACGCATGCTGCAGCTGCGCTAGTAAACTTCTCAGAGCATGCCACTCAAACTATTTTGGAACCCTACTTGGATGACCTCTTGACGAATTTATTGACTCTTTTGCAGAGCTCTAAATTCTATGTTCAAGAACAGGCTTTGACAACCATTGCTTTCATCGCTGAAGCAGCAGAAAAGAAATTCATCAAATACTACGACACGTTGATGCCACTTCTGATCAACGTTCTGAAGACGGATATGGGCAGCTCCAACAGACTTTTGAAAGGTAAATGCATTGAGTGCTCTACTTTGATTGCGCTTGCTGTGGGCAAAGAGAAATTTATGACTCAATCACAAGAACTGATTGAGCTCTTTATTCTTTACCAAAACCATGGCATAGAAGATGATGATCCAATCAAGTCTTACTTGGAACATGGATGGAGCAGAATATGCCGTATTCTCAGGGAAGATTTTGTTATGCTTCTTCCCGTGGTGATACCTCCCCTGCTAGAAACAGCCAAGGCTACGCAGGATGTAAGTTTGATTGAAGAAGAAGAGGCGGCCAACTTTCAACAGTACTCAGATTGGGACGTTGTTCAAGTCCAAGGCAAACACATTGCTATTCATACTTCTATCCTGGATGACAAAGTGTCGGCAATGGAGCTTCTTCAGGTTTATACAACCATTTTGAAGAATTACTTTGCCGTGTACGTGCCAGAGATTATGAAGGAAATTGCTATACCTTCCATCGACTTCTATTTGCATGATGGTGTGAGAGCTACTGGTGCTGGTCTCATTCCAGTTCTGCTCTCTGCGCTAACCTCGGCGACTGGGACTCAAAACAACGAAGTTCTGGAGCTGTGGCATTTGGCATCAAATAAGCTACTGAACGGTATCATGATTGAACCAATGCCTGAAATAACACAAATCTACCACACTGCGCTAGTAGATGGCCTCGCTATCATGGGGGAGAACAGCTTGAACACGGAACAGCTAACTCAATACACAAAAGGCATTTCCGCGAATCTGTCGGACGTTTACGAGCGTGTGAAACAGCGTCGCAGCCAAGAAGATGAATACAACGAAGACGTTGATGAAGATCTCGAAGACTATACCGATGAGGACCTTCTGGACGATATCAACAAGTCATTGGGCGCTGTCTTTAAGTCGAGCAGAGGAGCTTATTTCGAACAGTTTCAGGCACTATGGCCTCTTGTTATAACATATTTGAGGGACGGGCAAGTCATCCTGACCTTGTTTGCTCTCTGTGCCATTGGGGATATGGTTGAAAATGCAGGAACTGCCACAGAGCCTCTAAAGGCGAATTTTATCAACGATGTCAAGGACTTTTTACTTTCGGCTGATGCTTCCATCCGCCAGGCTGCGTCCTACGTGATAGGTGTCTGCGCTCAACATAGTCGTGAAACCTATGCACAGGAATGCCTAGAATGTCTGGATACACTTACACGCGTTATTTCCATTCCAGATTCAAAATCAGAAGAGAACGTCACATCGACAGAAAATGCCAGTGCAGCAGTTGCCAAGATTTTGCACAGCTTTGGCAACAGCATACCAAACTACGACACGTACGTTGCAAGTTGGTTGAAGTCATTTCCTATTGTTCAAGACGAAGAGGCAGCAGCCTTTGATTATAGATTTTTGGCGCACTTGATCGATACCCACTCACCTCTGGTCACCAGCCCAGCTGCAATTCCCAACGTTCTCGATTATGTTGTCCAGGCGCTACGTCACCGTTCGCTTGTGGGAAGGAACGCCTCCGCCGTTGTTGAGTCTACAAAAAAGCTTCTTGGCTCTCTGCCTCAGGGCGAAGCAATGGCTTTGTTTCAAAGATATCCTTCCGACGTTGTCCAGGAGATCCAGCACTGGTTTGCATGAGCATAGAAGCACCTCTTTGTATAATTTTCTACTGACTATTGTAGCCTGCATAACATAATGAACCCACTTCCGCATTGAAGAAGCATTGACGACGATTGAGAAACTCGAGACGCACGCCGTGAATCTATAAAACCAACTCGGTCTCCTTCGAAATAGATAGGGTGTGGACAAAGGTTGGCCTGGACACACATCTTTTAGCATTCCTCGAAGCTGAAAACAGGCTTTTAAACCATTTACGTGAAGCTTTTTAAGTAGTGACGCTGACGCATGTCACGTGACCTGCAATTGTCTACCTTATTTTCAAAATTTTGTTTTTAAAAAAAACTGGACAATTTCATACAGAGAAGCACATATAGTTCCATTGTTGTGCTCCCCTTCTATGCTGCAAATTCTAACGTCAAAAACTTACGAAGCTTTTCCACGTGACCTTTTATCTTCTCGTTAATAATGATCACTATCATAAGCGCGCTAAAAGTAATGAAAAATTTCATGGCGATGAGATGCGATGAGATGAGATGAGATGAGATACGTTTGAACACAGTTTGATAAACATCAGCCAAACTTGATAGCGCAGGTAACCTTGCCAAACGAATTCTTGACTTTTGGTAACTTTGATATCCGAACATGGGGTTGGCAGCTGTCAAAAACAGACAGAAACTTGGATTCGACCCAAGAAATACCAACTGGAGTAATGACACGTCGAGGTTTGGCCACAAGCATCTAGAGCAGATGGGATGGAAGCCTGGTTCTGGGCTTGGTCTCATGCCCAACTCAACAACCTCCCACGTCAAAGTCTCAATAAAAGATGATAATCTAGGTCTGGGAGCGAAACTCCGTAACAAGCAAAAAACGGACGAATTTGATAGTGGAGAGTGTGCGGGCTTAGATGCGTTTCAACGCTTGCTGGGACGTCTCAATGGTAAGGAAGAAAGTGTCTCCAATGAGCTAGACACTCAGAGAAGAGACAACATAATCAATGGGAAATGGGGTGTACACTTCATAAAAGGTGATGTCTTAGCCAGTACTTGGGATGCTAAGACTAAGACTCTCAAATTGTACAGTAACGAAAGCGCCAAGCGGGCTAGATCAGATGAGGATGATGAACCGACGAAGGTCAAGAAGGTCAAGAAAGACAAGAAAGACAAGAAAGACAAGAAAGACAAGAAAGACAAGAAGAATAGAAAATCGGATAAGAAGGATAAACAAGTTCAATCTGGTAGCGACAATGAGTCAGAGATGAAGTCTCGGAAGGCCAAGAAAGACAAGAAAGACAAGAAAGACAAGAAAGATAAAAAGGATAGAAAAGAGAAGAAGGAAAAGAAGGAAAAGACGGCTGCGAAGAAGGACAAGAAGTCTAGCAAAAGAGAAGGAAAACCACGCGATGAAAACAGTAACAGTGAAGAAGTCTCTCGTGACGCAATGTTGAAACCAAAGTCCAAGAGTAGCGAAGATATTGCATCAAGGTTGTCAGTGCGTTCCAAGTGGATCAAACAGAAAAGAGCTGCGGTAATGGATGCCAAGGCACTTAATGAAATCTTCATGATTGCGAGTTGACATTGAACAAAATGAACTTGAACAATGGCTAGCTCCATAGTTATGGTGTGCTGGTGTTGAGAATCGAAAAGGCAAATGAGGTATACAATGCATACACAAACACCCACGCAAACACATTTGATATTATGATAGATTTTATGCATTGAAAGTTTTGGTTTTTCGTGGCTTACGTTTAGCTTTTTGCCTCATCACAACCTTGCAAATTTAGCGAACTTGAGAGCTACCGACATGTTTTTGGCTTTCTCCGCACCAAACGGGCTGGTGTACTGGCAATTTTCGGCATTTGAGTTGCCCATAGAGACGTCTTCACAAGTGAAAGGTGTTTGCTAGATGATGAAAGTATTTTTTCTATGTTGCATTGAGTAACTTGTACTTGCTTGTCCGCTTTTTCATTCAAATTTGAATAACTTCTTCAATGGCGGGAAAATCATGCGCTGAGTTGATATGGCAGTTAGAGGACATTGGCACCTTGTAACAATAGATCCGGATTAATCGGGTTTCATTTCAATAAAATACACATTTCAAATACATAGCTCTTAACCATACCTTTAGACGTAGACACAGCAAGAATTAGCATTCTGAATGACCGCGCAAGAAGTCAATACAGTGCTTTGAGAAAAGCAAGTAATGAGTCTCTTACCAGCTTTTGGTTCGTCAAGGGTAATGATCAAACAATGATAGATATCATCCCCACAGACGCCATCATAATTGAAACAGAAATCAGCCACAACCCAGCTGAAGAAACTGGTTCGATTTTTAGTCCAGCAGATGACTTCTTGCTGCTACTGGATGACGCGCTGCTACTGGAACCGCTCCCAGAAGAAGATGCCGAGCCACTCGAGCCCGATGAGCCACTACCGCCGCTGGCACTAGCTTTTGCAGAGGCAGAAGACAATTTGGTCTGGCATGATGAAGCTTGACTAGTTGCTGAAGCCAACGACGCAGACCCGTCAAAGGAACAAGCCGATTTAGACTTGCCATTGGACTCGTAGTACTTGTTTAGCAAAAAGGATAATTTGACAGAATTGTCACAGAAAGAGTAGGCACCGTAGTTGCCCTTCTCACCATCAGCACTTATATCTCCACAGTCAATTTTGCCGCACAAGGTTTCGTATAAATCACCGTAATCTTTTTCGTCTACGCTGTCACTGATAACACATGATAGACCTCCTTCTAGACAATCGCACACGTCCTTATCCGGTGTTGGTGGTAGAGAAGTTGCTGCCTTCCAGTTCGAGTTGGTAGCGGGGCATGAAAGAGAAGTGGAAGATGGGCTGTAGGAACTCATTTGAACGCCAGAGGGAGACACAGAAGCCAGTTGCTTTTTCAAATTATCGTAGTCCGACAAGGTTTTTACATCTTTGCCATCGACAGAAACTAATCCGTATTTGTTTGCCTCTTCGAAGTACATGTAGACGATACCTCCAGACCAAACATCTGTCATATCCTTGCCATAAAGTGTACCCACCTCTTCAAATTTTCTTGGCGATTCAGCGATACAACCGTATTCGGAGAAAAAGGCAGGTATACTTAGATTTCCAAAGTCCTTTGTTCTGTCTTCGTAACCGGATTCTTGGAAAGTCGATGAGCCGCACCACTCATACATGTTAATACCGAAAAAGTCAGCGCGGACATCCTCATCACCACAGGCAAAATAGTCGGCCATGGGAACTCTAGTGTCCTCATCGTCATTAGATGAATATCCCACTGGTATATCTCTGTAGCCTTTGTCTTTGATGTACTTCTTGGTGTCTCTGATTGCAGCCTTGACAAAAGGTGACGCGTTCGTGTTCGACTTATTGTTGGTGACTTCGTTTCCCGCGAAAAACCCCAGCACATTAGAGTAGTTGCTCATCGCATCAACCACGCCCGTGTAGCGCTTGTAGAGATCCAAAGTCCACGCTGGAGAGTCTCTGTTGATGGAGTCCGATGGCTCGGACAAATCGGCAATAACATAGATCCCTGCCTTGCCAAAAGCTTCCATACATTTGCTATGGTCCAAAGATGTATTTAGAGCATAGACACGAACGACATTGGTCTCTGCGCCAAGCAGATATGGCAAATCTCTCGAGCAAGTGTCGTAATCTGCCAGTGGGTCAACAATAGTGTTCTCTGTGGAGGAAGAGTTAGCCGTGTCAGCCTGATACGCAACACCTTTCAAATAGAATTGGGTTCCGTTGTTCGAGTAAAAGAACTTGTTGCCCTTGACCTGAATTGCAGGTGTATTTGTGAAGTTTCCGCTATTATCATCGGCCGTAACAGCGCCGAGTGTGCAAAAAAAGCAGACCAGAGTAGCCGCTAAATTTCCCCACATATCTAAGTTTCTATAGCCCACAGTCCGTATGAACAAATGAAATTAACTGTTGTGACAGGACGGACCTACCGATTGTCTGCTCGAAGCAACTCATACTCCCACTCATATATATACACAAATTCACAATTCTACAAACCTCTTGTACACATACCTGACTGTGATCTCCCGTTCAAGCACGCGAAACGCGAGAACAGTTGTTCGTCGCCAAACTGAAAAGTTTCAACGAAGTGAAAAACAGTTGAACAAGTCTTGGCCTGCGGCTTTCTTGAGCTTTAGCGGTAAGCCAAGATAATTCTAAATAGTATTCGGAAAGCACAGCCCCGAAGAACTGGTCTAGAATCTTTTTTCAGACCATCTTGTGTATTTTAAAGGCTGTGACAGGTAAATAGACAAGACGTCTAGATCTTTTACCTATATTTGACAATATTGACTTTAACTTTCAATTCGTACAAGGTGTTTACCAAGTTGCGGCTGGTCTTGGGAGACGGAAGTTTGTTCGGCAAAGGTGAACAAGAATGAATAGATTCTCGATCGAGACCGACAACGAAAACAGAGGGCCTGGAACAAGCCGGAGCTGGCTTGGAATACAAAAGGTATCTCAGTTTTGGTGAGAGCAGTGGATTGCTTCTTTTTTATAGATTTAAGAGCAGAAACAAACTATATAAAACACAACTTGACATATGAGCTAGCCATCATCGTCACTTTTCAAACCATCGTTATAACATGCTATAAAGGTTTTTGATGTTTCTAATAATCAAGCGATTACGAAACCAACACCTGCGGTAGCACCAATGACGACCAAAGCGGTCATGAAAACCTTGGCCAAAGAGGTCTGAGTGCTTGCAACGGCAGCGTTCTTTTTGCCGGAGCCACTGGAGCTGGAGCTGGAGCTGGAGCTTGAAGATTTGGAAGCAGAGCCCGAACCGGAACCAGATGCTGAAGAGCCAGAGCCGGAGCCGGTAAAGGATGAAAGACCACTAGCAGAACCAGTGCCAACGGACCCAACTTGGCTTAAAGCAGAACTGCAGGAAGAGGCAGTGGTAGCAGACTGCAAGGAAGCTGATCCACTGAAATCACAAGCGGACTTGCTTTTGCCGTTCTTAATGTAGTAGTTGTTCAACACGAAGGATAGCTTGTCCTTGGCATTGCAGAATGAGTATGAGCCATAAGTACCGTTGGCACCGTCAGCAGTGATACCATCGCAAGAGATTGTGCCGCACACAACGCCAAACAAGTCGCCGTAATCGTCCTCGCTGACGCTGTCGTCGACAACACAGCTCAAGGAGTTCGACATACATTCACAAAGAGCGCTGTTAGGGGTAGGTGGCAGACTGGTAGCAGCCTTCCAGTTGGAGTTGGTGGCTGGACAGGACAACGATGTGGAGGAAGGAGAGTAAGAGTTGGAGTTCTTGGAGGTTGGAGACACCTTGTTGATGGTCTCCGAGTAATAGCTGTAGTCGGACAAGGTGCTGACCTTGTTGTCGGCTACGGAAACTAACCCATAGTTGTTCTCCTCCTCAAAGTACATGTACACGATACCCCCGGACCAAACGTCAGTCATGTTAGGACCGTATAGTGTACCAACTTCTTGGAACTTTCTGGGTCTGCTTTCGATACAGCCGTACTCGGAAAAGAAGAGTGGGACGGTCAAGTTAGAAAATTCCTTGGTTCTGTCGGCGTAACCGGAAGTTTGGAAAGTAGAGTCACCACACCACTCGTACATATTGATACCATAGAAGTCTGCCTTCACATCGTCGTCACCGCAGGCAAAGTAGTCGGCCATGGGGACTCTGGTATCTTCATCGTCGTTGGTTGAGTATCCGACAGGGATAGATCTGTATCCCTTCTGCTTGATGTAAGCCTTGGTGTCTCTGATGGCGGCCTTCACGAAGGCAGAAGCATCAGTGTTCGAGTTGTTGTTTGTGACTTCGTTACCTGCGAAAAACCCGAGAACGTTGGTGTAGTTATGGAATTGATCAACGACCGAGGTGTAACGTTCATACAGTTCCACCGTCCACGATGGGCTGTTTCTGTTGATAGATTCAGAAGGTTGCGACAAGTCAGCAACGACGTAGATGCCGGCATCGTTCAAAGCCTTCATACACTGAGTGTGATCCAAGCTGGCATTTAGAGCGTAGACACGAATTGTGTTAGTGTCAACAGCTTGCATGTATGGAATATCTCTGGAACAGGCAGAGTAGTCAGCGAGAGGATCGTTGAAAGTGTTGCCATGTGTGGAGTTGGCACTATCCTGTTGGTAAGCGATACCCTTCATGTAGAATTGAGAGCCATTGTTGGAAAAGAAAAACTTGTTGCCTTTGATCTCAATAGCTGGCAAATCAGCTGCGGAGACTGTGCTGGCGAGCAAGGAGCTCAAAGACAGAGCTGCAACCTTGTTGAACAGCATCTTCCAATTTGCTTTTTGACTTTTTGGAGATCTCTGCGTTGAAAGAATCCTTCTAGTCTTCCAAAGAAAAGATCTTTCTTTCAAGAAATAAGTTAAGTTGTGAAATCTCCATCACACTTCGAGAGGCCTTTTATTATTTGAATGAATCTCGCTCCGCGAGGAAAAACCGTAATCGGGGCTTCGAATTCGTGGCTAGCCTGAGCTAAGCAGATTGGCCGTACCTAACAGTAGTCGAGCTAGCTACCACATTTTTTCGCGTTGCGCACACATACCCATTATCAAAAAACCGCTCAGTCAGAAAAGCCCGTATAAATGTCGTGTGGTGCCAAAATCTAAAACGGAAATGCCTTTTCTGAAAATTTTGTTATTGTTCGGGTAATGGAAAACAACTATTTTGGGATCAGTATGGCAACTGCACTACGACGGATCTTCACTGCTAAAGTGGCACCGAAGCCTCCGATGTGCAGCGTGCCGGCCCCCCACCGCCATCGCCAGCTCACGAAACGCGCTGTAAAGACTATCAGCTTTACTGATGGATCTGCGCCGGTTGTTGTGGCTCATGTTGAGTGCCTTTTGCAAATCATGAGTTGCACCAAACCTACCAGCAAGGCTAATGGACAGACACACTTTGCTCGGACGCACAGTGCCCGATTCACTCGCCACGAATGTCTTCCTGTTCTCGCGGCCTCGTAGACTTCGGCCAAACTGTCAATTTAAGCTACAACCGTTCTCAAGTAGGCTTTTTTTCCTTTTTTTGTCAATTTTTCGAAAACGCGGGGCAGTTCCATCAATGACTACCGTTACAGTAGTGTTGAAATGATGTGATTTACTGTAGCTGGTGAAATCCTCAGTTAGAACTGAAATTACCTATCTAGGTCACCTAACCCACGTCAAATAAAAAACGGAGAGCGATGCAGTCATAACCAACGAACTATCAGGACGCCAGAAAGATGACGGTAAATCTCAGAGCATATGACCAGCTGGCAGCGACAGTATAATGTGGTCTTTCTTTTCCCTGTGTCAGTTTATGGCGATGATGCATGTATAAAGGGTTCGCGATCCGTGCGCTCTAGGCAACAGTCCTGAAAGTTGGCATGGGGGGTGAAGTGGTGAGGATATGGGCTGGAGCCTTCGAACCCGTGTCATTGTTGTCCTGGCCGTATGGCTGAAATAGGCCCTCTAGGTGGGTCTCATGGAAAAACTCAGGTCCTTGCGGCATGTACTGCGCGACAAAAAACGGACTTATCAATAGTGCAAGAAATATCAATAGAATCGAGAAGTGTAGCAAAAAATACTTCTGAACTATGCGCCTTCTCTTTCGTTTCTGTTTCTTCGTATAGGCTAACTTGTTGGAGACCAGATTCCTTGGCTTCATCCAAAACAGAATTATCGAGTGCCATTGATCCACGAAAGGTGAGCACACCAGTGGAAGCTGCACGAACATGAGCATATGTCCTAAAATAAAGTCACTGGCGAAAAGACTGCATTCAATAGTTTTTACCAGGAGCTCTCGTGTAGGTTGCAGCACTACCGACCACCCCATGCCCGTGTTGTACCACTTACCAGACCACCAAGCTAGATGTGACTTGTTGTTTTTGTACTCTCTTGTTAGGAAAAACACGGTAAAAATCTTGAACAACAACTCCTGAAAGTTGATGAAGGTTATCAAAAGGAGTAGTGCCCGAGCAAAACTCCACCCCTCTAGTAACCACATGAGCTCGAAGTTTACCAGATGAATTACGACAGAAAAAGCATGCACTGTAGCAGCTATTGTTGCACCCGTTTTCTTGCAGCACAATGATAGGAGAGGGGCGGCGAAACATGAGAGAGAAAAGCATGTAAGAAGCATTGTTATGTTCGCGATGATGGGTAAAAACGTAACAATGCCAAGACGAACAATTGCTGCTGTTGGTCTGGCTGATGTCACACCAGTTTGTGCATTACTAAAAGTGTAGGCAGTCAGACTTAGAGCAGTGGCACATGCCGGAACTAGGATTTCCGCAACGAATATGTCTGTAAACGTAGCCCTCTTCGTCTCTTTCCCACTTTTCTCGGATGGATCATCAATCAGTTTGGCCTTGAAACCCGTGAATCTTGCCCTCGAACCTCTAATGAATTCTACCCATGAAGTCGGGTCAAACGCCGTGTTGCCTCGAGACAGCCACTGAATAAAATTCCTGTAATCCACAAAGAAATCTGTGAATGTAAACTGGTGCGGATTGAATAGAAACGGCGCGAGACACATGGAGATGACCGTTATCCAAAACCACAGTAGAGCTGGCTGCCACATGGAAACAGTTGCAAATATCAACATTAGAAAAATCTTGGCCCCCGAATAGATCGAAGTTGATGCAAACTTGGAATAGAGCTGAGAAAAGTCTAATCTTGTTATGGCGAATCCTCTTCCAGTCGAAATATACCTCGCGCCGCCAAATGTGACATTTGTGAGGAGTGCACTTGCGTATATCTGGCAAACAAATACCTCAAAGAAGGATGCCAGTGAGAGTAAGTGGTGTAGGAATCTTGAGATTGCCTTCCAGACTCCCTTCTCGAGCAGTTCCTGTATCAATAGGGGAGCGAATGCAATGAAGAAAACAATGAAGATAGAGAGGACGAAAATCGACACCCAGTGGAGTACAGGTTCTATATTGTAGCATCCAATAGGTTGTTGCAGGTCCGTTATTGGCAAGTCTCTGTTGTAGGAACATGCTATTGTTTCATGATTAAGAGATCCGAGGTTAATGAGAAGCACAAAAAAGATTTGGACGGACAGAGTAATGAATAGGTTATTCAGATGGAACCCTGCGTGTGCATAGAAGAAAGAGAGGAAGCGATCGATAGGAAGCTGGGTACCGAGGTAATAGTATTCCCGTGAGAGTAATTGCTCGCCCATGCCAGCCCCAATTTTTGTCGTAAAATTCAGTATAGATTCAAATCCCAAATCACGCCCCTTTCCACATTGATAGTAGTCACTATGTTTGATTCGGCCTCCACGGCATACTGCGTTCATACCCGCGTAAATATCTTCGTTAAGATGAAGTCCTTTTTGAGCTTTTGAGATTCCACCTCTTGTAGTCATGAAGATAGCATTCAAGAAATCGGGATGACCATAGTGCAGTTTTCCTCCGATCTCAGCAAGTGTTCTCGCAAAAAGAGTCCCAAAAGTCTGCTCTTTTCCAGCCGCCACGTCACCAAGCACGCCAATGTTCTCGGAGAAAATATACTCTCGCGCTCCTACAATAGCCACGGGTGCACGTTTTTCTCTGTCATCTATATCAGCGACATAGGGACTTTCGCCATCGATTTCCAGCTCCTCGAACTCACTCAACAGAGACCTAATTTTCAAGCATTCCTCGAGATAATTGTCCTGGTTAGCGTCGATTACCTGAATGTATTCTCCACGATAAAATATCAATGAATGATTTTGATTGTCTGACTTCCCATCACCAAGAATTGGATTTCCTGAGAGTCGAACTCTATAGATTGGAACCCTCGCACCTGTAACATTGTCGACTTGGCAATGCCCGTCGATCAAACAAGAATAAAATATGGACTCGCCATTGAATTCTGTAGTCTCCTCCAAATAGGAAATGCACATATCAGGATATGCTTGCAAAAGCAAATCTGTCGCTTCCATCTCGTCCTTATCAAATCTTGAGTATCTTTGCATTGCAACAACCATTCTAAACTTTCTTCTGGACAGAGCGGCCAATTCTCGCTCCATATCATCAAAGTTTGTGAAGAAAGCCTGAACCATCGATGGATTTTCAATTCTGTACAGCAGTTTGATCGCTTTACTATAGTTCATGAATCCCGTTATTGTTCTGTATAGTGTTTGGAATCTCAGTGACGCCCAAATTCTAGTCCGCAAGGTATATTGCGGATTGGATTTGCTAAACCCCATGCAAAAATACGGCAGGTCTTTGATTCTGCTCTGCATGAACTTAAATCTGTCATCTGCGTCCTTAGTGGAATCTTCGCGGCTTTCTTTTAACGACTCCGAGTCATGTTCAGGGTCGTCTTGGTCTGCATCGCCTTCCAAAAATAATAATTTGGTGTCACGAACAAAGCAGTCCCATTCCGTAGGATGAAGGTGTTTGAGGTATTCAAGTAGAGTAATGCGTGATTTTGTTGACTCTTCTTTTATGATTTCCTTCAATGACAACAAAATCTTTTCGGAGTAGTGTGGGACTAAAACGGTAAAAGTGGGCATGCACTCAACTGGCATCGGCTCTGCTATAGGCGTCGACAGTGACTGCGCAAAGAAAGATATTCGGCGCTCTGCCTCAGAGTTTTCGGGGAAAAATTCCATAGATTTGAAAGTGGAGTCGTCTTGTGCTACAAAGAACGTTGGCGACTTTAAAGCTCGTTTGTCGTGCGTCATTGAATCAACTTGCTGGTAAAGAAGTCTTTGGACATGCTCAATTGACAACAAGTGCTCTCTGTACATCGAGATTACAATGGCATTCCAAACCTGAGATACCAGAATCTTCGGCTTGTATTTGACGTCCATCTCGGAAGTCGCCAAAATCTTGGAGTGAATCCGCTTGGGAAGTCTAGAGTAGATATTCTTCCAAGGAGTGAGAATTGAGGTACCCAATGAAAACGACAGAATAATAGAAAATATGCAGTTGCATATGATGTACCACAAGTAAGTATCGAGAAAAAAGAGAACCAGATCGGTCAGGATCATAATGCCTAGTGTGATTTTCGGTTGTAGTCGACAAAGATGTGTGCCCACTAATGTGTCTCCTCTGCACCTGCTCATATCCATGATGGATAGGACGCGTATGGGGTCTCTTAAGGATAGTGTAAGGAAGAAATACGATTCTATGAATTTGCCAACAAAGACAAATACCCAGAGACCCCACGAAAACCATTTGCTGCGACCCGTCAGTTTGGGGAATTGAGCTGTGAAAACTTGTGAGGAGGTGTAACGCCTTTTCTTTTGACCCTTGTGCAAATAAGAGCCAAAAATTCCGCCCAAGGGCCTAATCGCGAAGAACAAAGTGGTCAAAACAGCTATGGTAAGCTGGATTATCGAGACGACGTAAGCGTGGCCCGAATGAACATCAAGATCGAAAAATCCAAACACGTATATGGAGGGTGCAATGTTCACAACCAAACAAAATAAAAGCCCGATCATCCTTTTAGTCAAGTGTTGACCGCCCGGCCATTTCCGTGGCACAAAGCTCCATTCAAAAATGGTAGCTATTATCTGGATCACGCAGGTAACAGTCCCACCCAGAGCGATGGCTGAAAGCCGGGCTTGCTGTGTTGGTGGATTATCGAGCAGCTGAACGTAGTCCTTGGTGTACAGAGTCGGTGCATTGAAGGACGTGAAAAACCAGAAAGTGGACAGGTGGATAATCCAGATTCTGTTGAAGTTCGTCGCACAATGCATCCATGTTCTTGTTTCCTTGTAAGTCTTATAGAAGGCCTTTGACCATTGGACGTCCTTCAGGGCATTGAATCTTTCATGTCTTGGCTTGTCGATCAATCGTTCTCCTGACTCAAGAACAAGTCTCTCGATGCCTTCTGGATACCAAAATAGCTGGTTAACGTCATCGTATCCTATTATGTCCTTATGATCCTTTTCAAGTCGGATCAATTTACCATTCTGAGAATCCACGTTGTACATTTGAGACCGTAAAAAACGGTATAAGGGAGTGACGATCTCATTTAGATACGAGTATTCGGGTTTTGACTTTTGACATTCGCTTTCGGTGCTGCAATCGTGATCTAGCGCGCACTTGTAGATGAAACACAGACACTCCGGAGTGTATCTAATTTGATTCGCCTCGCCCCAGCACAAAAAGTACAGCGCTAACTGCCGGGCCATTTGTGCTGGCTCCAATTGACGCATTTTCATCTTCCATTTTAAAGCTGTTATTCTGTAGTTTGTGTCGTCTTTGAGTTTTGTCGGTGTATTCGACACATTGGGGTGGCTCTTGATGAACTCTTCCTCTTCCTCTTTCCATTTCTGGAGGTGTTCGTCAACGGACACACCGCGTTTCTTGGCAAGATCCAAATTGTGTTTTCGAGCCTTTCCATGCAGCTTCATGTTCTGGAACCCCACTTCTTCGTCGAGATCGAGCTGCGCGGCAAAATACCATTTCTTGAAATTGGCCTCATTGCCTCCCACATAAGACGCATGCAGCGATACAAGTGCACTTGCTGCACAAGATCGACTGGCCCGCGAGTCCAACTGCGACAGGAGATGGTGGAACATATTTTCTTTCGACGATTGCTGGAACCCGAACTTTGCAGTTAGATCTTCAAAGATATCTTTCAATTCCACCTGCGTTACCGGAACTTCGTCATCTTGGCACCACGCTGGATACTGCGCGTCTACCGCTGTCATTCTTGTAGCTTACAGCTTTTTAGTCATTACTGTGTGGCGCTACGCCAGAGAAGATACATGGTTGATCTTATTTATACACGTTAACCGCCAATTGCCACAAAGACGCATAAGGGAGATCCTTCCGTACGAGGACCCCAGTATGTTTGCACGTGACTTTTTATTTAGACAGTAACACCGTTCAAATTTTGTGAAAATGTCATTAAATGTTATGTTCAGTTAAGTAAACTTTCCGTGTCATCTCAGTATTAAGACACGCACTTAAAAAGTTAGACTTATATTCCAGATATAGATAATTAAACTTTGAAATGGGCTATCTACACAATTTGGTTGATTTTGTATTAGCGATGATCTTGCTACAATCTTGACCGAGATCTACGATATTTTTTTTTTTTTTTTTTCAAGAGCTTTTTGGGCCACTTGTTTCTCTAGTCTAGTTATAATGATCTCCTCACAAGACACTGCCTTTGCAAGTATAGTATACTGAAGATAGCTGTAGTTGGACTTAAAACTAGAGATCTGTCGTGGGATCTGATTGTGCAGAGTGACATTACACTATATCTCTCGTCGAAATGCATGGGGCTCGATTCGAGGCACCACGTGTTTGTTGATATTTTGCACCAAACCCAGACTCCTTAAAGAGCCCTTCGTGGAAAAAGATATACACAAACTCAAAACCCTTCGTACAAGAGTACATACCTCTAGTCCTGTCCTGTGCCTTACATTTCTTCACCCACACTCTTCCAACTTGTTTTTTCCGTTTCGGGTAAACAAATCAACTGCTCTAGCTGTGCCCGTTCTCTAAGAGCCATCTTGCACCGATCCACCATGCACGACCGTCTGTTTCTCAGATTCTCGCTCCCCACCGCAGCGACTTTGCTTCCTTGCACCTGCACTTCCTCGCTATTCCTCTATGGTAACACGGCTTCTGGACCACCACCAACTGCGTTCCACGAATTTTCTGCTTTAACTAGATCTAGTAAGAGAAAAACTTTTTTCATACATGGTAACTACACCCACGGGAAAAATTCGAGTTCCACGAACTTTGACAACAAAGTCGACACGAATCGGGTAATGAGAAAAAAATTATCCCGTGTAGTTGTCTCAGCACCGTGGGGCGACCCAGGCAACGCCTGAGACTAGTAGGCAGCACAAGCTAACTACCCGAACCGTCATTGGACATTAAAAGCTTTTTAAAAGGAAATGTGGGTTTCGACGATATCGATCTGAATTCCTGTGTTGGCTCTCTCTTTTAAAACCCACTTTTACAACTAGTCTTTCTTGTCTTGTTGTTCACTTTGACAGCTTTCTTTACTGCTTCACACACCAGCTCTCGCCCAGTCCAACTGACAGTCCTTCCTTAAACCTCAACAGCGAGCGTCGTCACCTTCAAGAGTATCCCAACTATACTTTTGACCATTCATTTAGACCACCACCACCACCAAAGCTCCATCAAGTCGTCGTCTTTTTTCTAAGATGCGTTTTACTCAGGTCCTTTCATCTGCTGCGATCGCTGGCGTCTCGCTAGCTAGCCCTCTGGGTCACGAACACGCTGCTCACAAAAGAGACGTGGCATACGTTACCAACGTTCAGACCACCACCGTGTTCGGTACTGCCCCCCAGCAGATTGGCGGTGCCTCAACTACTGTGCAGCTAGACGCCTCTAACACTATTGCCCAGCAAGCTGCCACGCAATCGACTTCGTTGTCTGAAGTTTCTAGAGGTGTTGATGCCGCTCCAACCGCTGCCCCAAGCTCGACCGCTCCTGCTTCCAGCGCAGCTGCGTCCAGCGTCTCGTCCAGCCCTTCTTCGGCTCCAGCTTCGAGCTCGTCGTCTTCTGCTCCTGCCGCTAGCTCCTCCTCCTCCTCCTCGGGCTCTGTTGGCTCCGGTGGCGCCAAAGGTATCACCTACACCCCTTACAGCGACTCTGGTTCCTGCAAGAGCTCTTCTGACATTGCCTCTGAGTTGGCTCAACTTTCTGGCTTCGACATCATCAGACTATATGGTGTCGACTGCGACCAAGTCTCTGCCGTTTTGCAAAACAAGGCCTCCAACCAAAAGCTTTTCCTAGGTATCTACTACACTGATGCTATTCAAGATGGTGTCAACACCATCAAGAGTGCTATCGATGCCCACGGCTCTTGGGACGATGTCTACGCCGTGTCCATCGGTAACGAGTTGGTTAACTCTGGTGCTGCCTCTGTCTCTCAAGTTGGCTCGCTCGTTTCTGAAGGTAAATCTGCACTAAAGAGCGCTGGCTACTCTGGTCCTGTCGTCTCTGTTGACACTTTCATTGCTGTCATCAACAACCCAGGCTTGTGTGAATACTCTGACTTCATGGCCGTCAATGCTCACGCTTACTTCGACTACAACACCGCTGCCAGCGACGCCGGTACATGGTTGAACCAGCAAATCCAAAGAGTCTGGGGTGCTTGCAACGGTAACAAGAACGTTTTGATTACCGAATCCGGCTGGCCATCTCAAGGTGAAACCTTGGGTAAGGCTGTTGCTTCTAAGCAAAACCAGGTTTCCGCCATTGACTCTATCAAATCCTCTTGCGGTAACGCCGTCATTTTGTTCACTGCCTTCAACGACTACTGGAAGGCCGACGGCGCCTATGGTTGTGAGAAATACTGGGGTATTCTCTCTAACTAGAGCTGCTCCATTTAGTATACTCTTGTGGGCCGATGTTCCACCTGTGGTCAACCTCTTCAGTTCTCTTTAAAGGTACTTTTCTTCTGATTGAAGCCTAGTTTATTTTTGGTTCGATACTACGCACCCTCCAACTTCCGCCGGTGGGTGCAATTATATACCCAGGGTCTACTCCTAGCCCCTTTTCTATGTTTTGTCAGTTTGACAATCGTTCTCTTCTTTGAATGTATGCATTATAATTAAATTTGGTGACTCAAAGCGCACTTCACTTGTGTGTTCAACACACTTTCATTGTAGAAAACCGCTCATCAGTAAGTACCGGGCACTTAGCGTTTGCTGTACGGTGAACGCGATCTTCGTCTTGTTGGTGTCCTAGATCTTCTTCTTCTAGGAGGTGTTCGAGATCGCTGACGAGAATTCCTGTCCTCATGAACACCACCCGATTTCGAGTTCCTTGCTTGGCGCATACGATTGAATTTCTCCCATGTTCTGGCGGTTTGATCCTCATTACCGTCGTCTGAATCCTCAACTTCTGCATCCGCCTCGACATACGATCTTGGTTTCTGTTCCTCTATTGTTAGTTTCTCACTTTCAAGAGTTTGACGCATAGCCTCTGTTAAGGGTCCTAGCCCAATAGCAGTGAAAAAATTGATGGAGAATCTAGTCTTCTCCACGTCGTCAACAGGAAAAAGTCCTTTTAAAAAAGGCTGCACCCAAGGTTCTTCTAATCGACTCTTTAGCTCTCCTATGCCTAGATCAAGAACTAACTCTTGAAGCATAAACTTCAGAAAGACTCTCCCAGCAGGCGTGGTTTCTGTCGCGTTCATATGTATAGCTTCAAGGACATCCAATCCCACATAATCAGACGCCAAAATATGGCCCCAGAACTTCCCCATGTTTCTCACCTGGGTGGCCTGAAAGGTGTCCATGATGTCATAGCTCTCCTTGAAGGATTGAGCAAAGGCATGCTTCCAGCTGCCATGGCTTGAGCATAGTCTTTCAGCCGTTACACCGTAAAATTTAGAGTACGTTGTCTCTTGCGAGCAGGCCATGACCAGTGTGTCCACAAGAATCTTTTTGTTTCGGTCGGGGACCCGCATTTTGAGAAGCTTATGCGCAGCTTCATCGCCCGATAAGGAGCCTTTGAGAGTAAGATAGATTTTCTTTTTGAATTCAAGACTATCCGACTGAGTTTTGTCTTCTATCTCAACAACTGCGGGGGGGTTTTCTATGGCTTCGTCCAACAATTCGATTTTTGACCGAATGGACTCAAATTCTTCTTCTTTTTCGTCAAAATTCGGATCAAAAACAAACGTTCGGAGATTTGTTCCTGAAGATGAGTCATTTGCCTCTGGATCGATCATATAAACGTATCTGAGAGGCTCATATGGGGGCAGTGGAAGTTTTGACAGCCGCCCGCTATATTCTCTCTTGCGAAGCTCAAAAAGAGCCTCAAATTCTCGACGAAGCTCATAACTGCTCTTTGAATCCTGGAAATACGTTCGCAGCCCTTCATATACAAGATCGTGTGCACCTCTTGCTACTGTTAACAGCTCATGTCCACATTGACGCAGGATTTCCATTGTCAATCGAACGGAGTGCGCGTTGAGATGTTCCGTAACCACATGAAGGACTTGTAGTACCACAATCTCGTGGGCAATTCCGTAATTAAGCAATTGTGACAGTAGCTTTGCCTTCGCGTAGCATCTTCGTGCATCGTTTTTCTGGAAGGCTACCAAAAACTCTGATACCGTGTCCTCGACAAGCAAACGTCCCACAGATTGAATATAAGAAGACACCAAGCCCGCCAGCGCTGCAATTTTTGGAATTGAACTGCCATTTTCGAGAGCTTTATTCACTAAAGCGTCTACCAGCAATCGATCACCATACACCAAATTAACGGCAAAAAGAGCTCTTAAAGAGTCCAAAATTGGTTCGTCTTCATTTTCCTCAACAACAAACTTCACATGACTCGCGATACGCTCCCAGTTTTCCTTTTGAAGCACCTCTTCGGCTGTCTCTTTTGAACTCATCGATTCTATTCCGTGTTGATGAACATTTTCTGTTAAATAGAGGTTCAATGAACTATTATATATAAAATACAATTACATTGTTTAAAAACTCACGTTCAAGTCTAATTCGGATGAAGGTATGCAACCATGGCTAGCTTGGCTCTAGTTATCAAATGCTTACCGGAAATAAGCTTAGAGAAGCTGAAAGAGCTGATAAAGAATTACCTCTCAGTTTTGAAATCCAGTTCTTCTAGCCTAGATGTTATTGTCACAGACAGAATAACGGACTCTGAGCGCCTTGACCATGTGTTGGGGAACCTATATAGCAGCTTAAGAGAGGTTTTAATGACGGAAAACCTGTATGAAACTCCTATCAATGTTCTGTTCAATCAAAATGAGCGCTGGCTTAAAAATCATATATGGGATGTGTTACTAGTGAGTGCTGATGTGTCAACCGTTGACGCATACAGCTATAAAAGAATGAAAAGCGTGGACTTAAGTGGACTAACTGCTGTCATAAATGAGGAAGCTGTGTCGACCAAAGAAAACGAAGACGCCGACTTGTATTCTGTAAGCGCACTTGGGGGAACTTTCGATCATCTGCACGACGGTCACAAGATTCTTTTGAGTATTGCTGCGTTCCTAACGTCTCAGAGGCTAATTGTCGGCGTAGCCGACCAGGAGCTCTTAAAGAATAAAAAGTTCGCGCAATATTTGGAGTCGTTTGAATTTCGCGCCCAAAAGGTCAAAGAGTTCGTTGCAAGAGTCAAGCCATCACTGCAGTTGGAAATTGTTGCATTGCGCGATGTTTGCGGGCCAACTGGCGCAGTGCCAGAAATTCAAAGTCTTATTGTGAGCCGAGAAACAGAGGCAGGCGGAAAAACTGTGAATTTAGTGCGTAAGGAAAAAGGGCTCTCTGCTCTTGTCATCCATGTTGTTAATGTACTGGGAGGTCGGGAAGAAGATAATTGGAAAGAAAAACTCAGCAGTACAGAATTGCGCAAGCGTAAAACTATCGGATCCTAGCGATGTATTGATTGCTTATTAAAACGAAAGATGTACATACAGAGCGGGCCTAGTTTTTGATAACCATTGGTCTGTCGTGATATGTCTGGGTCCTGGTGCGGTCTGGGTGGTCCATGCAAATATAATCTAAGTTGTTCAGAACGTCGAACAAAACGATCTCACGAAGTTCTTCATCGGTGAAACCGCCCAGCGGTTTGAACGTTAGGCCGGAGCCCGAACCGACAGTGATACCGAGCTTGATTTTAGAGAACTCTTTGCGCCCCAGCCCAAACTTAGAATGGAGTCTATCACGCGTGTCTAAAAAGTTCTCGCCAGGCACCAAGTTAAATAGAAATGAAATTCCATGCCTGTTGTCCAGGTCCTTAAAGTACTGAATAACAATAACCAATTTGCCGTCAATGACAGGTTCTTGTTGTACGCCCAGATCAAAGCCATCAATCTCTGTTTCGTCCATAGAATCCACATTGTCTGCCGCGGCTTCCTCCAGTTGGTTTACCAAAGCGAGTTCTTCTGGAAGCACCCTACCAAAAAAAAGAAATGATTCGGCCAGTTCCTGGAAGACATTATCGCCCGACAGTATGCCTTGAAATTTAAAGTCGCAGTTCGTCCACAAGAGAACATTCTTCTTCTGGTCATCGTCAAAATTCAGCTTCTTCTGTAATTTTACAATGAATTCGTCAATCGTGGAAGAGTTTTGCACTCTGAACTCGTATCTCTGGTAATGAACATAACTGTCACTCAGCCAATAAAATTTGATTGATCTAAGCTGCTCATACTCTTTGAGCGGGATGGACAGGACTTCAAACTCAAATGGTGGTATAGAGTCTCGAGAATAGTTCTTCACCAGATAGTCTGATATACGGCAGTCAGACTTCAAGGCAAAACGACCATTTGAATATACCGCGAAAACCCTCAAGTTTGCCGCATTAAGCCCTGTTTCGGTAGCTAGTAAATTCACAAATTCCTCGTATGTAGCTTGGGCCGAAATCCAGACACTCAACTGACACGTGTCGCTAGCGTCAGTAACAATGGCGTATTCTTCATCAGTTTTCACAACCCTCGTTAATGTGATTTTTATCCTGTACCTTAGGAAATCATAGTGGTCTTTAATTGTGGGTTCGACGCTATTTCCTTTACCCGCCAATGTGAACGCCAGAATGTCTCCGTCCACCAGCTCAGATGCGACAAATTGCATTCTGTCATCAACAGGTTCAATTGCGTCAGGCTGAAACTCTTCGAATATCTCTTCATCTGAATCTATTGCGGAGAGCTTTTTCAAAAGTTGGAACAGTGTCGACACTTCGTCATCTTGGTTAACAAGAACGTGACCGAACCCTTGCAATCGGTTAACGCTGGTGTCGAAAGCTTTGAGGAAAATGAGCATTTTTTGACCAGCGTCATCGTCAGACTTTAGATAGGGTGATGATTCAGGTAATACCCCTTGCGTAGCTGCACTGCGAAGTTTGGAAATGACGTCGGTAGTGAGTCTTGTTTCCGCGATGATTTTATCAGCAGCAGCTTTGGCTAAATAGTTCAACTCCAAATACGGCTCTTCCACAAATATGTCCACAGATGTCGAACGCGAGATGCCCATTTTGTGAGCGACTTGTTCTAAAGTTAAATTGTCGAGCTCCGAAAGCAGTATTGTTTCCAGTCGTAAGGTGTAGTTCTTCCTATAACTCATCATCCAGAAGTTTATGCTACACGCCCTGGGGAGATTGAGAGTTTTTGTGATCTCGCTTTTCAAGTCCCTCAGTTTCAATGTTTTCAGAACACGCAACGATACCGCATATTCATTTGGACCGTTGAGCTCCGGGCTATAAAGTTTTGACCTCTCATTTGGAGATAAATCGAACCCTTGGTAGTTCACAAAATTACTCATCGAATGAACGTGCACTTTTGTGTATAAATGCATTTCTTCGAGCTCTTTTCTCCTTTCTTCACGCTCTTGGAGTTCTTTCTCTATACTGGAAACAACATGCTCAGGTACATCACCAGCGGAAACTTCTTCCAAAACTCTGTCTTCCATGTCTTTTCTAACATAAACCAACATGTACGCACTAGTTTGGCGCGCAATTAGGTAATTCTGGTATTGTTCTCGGGTAAATTTTCTCAGTTTGTCGTCAGGCAGCACGTCATGCCCAAAGTTTTCGTCGAATGCCTGCTTCTTAGTCACTTTCCAGACTTTATCGTCATCAAACCTAAACCACTGGTCGTCAACGCCGGGTTTAATCATTGCGTAGTAGTGACCAGCGGAGATATCACCCGAATGAACCAGAACACAGTGAAGATTGTAAATGCACGAACTCCTATGTTGCTTGCTTACGTCAGGGTCGAGAAAAGGTGCCAAGTCGATGGTCTCGGGATATTCGTATCTATCATTAATTTTGACCAGTTGATCGTAGGTGAAGTCATACTCAAACCGCTTCAGTTGCAAATGGAGCACTGAGGGAAAGCTTTCAAAAACAACCCCCTTTTTGGCATCTTGAAGACCAAAGTCCTGAGCGGCATATTGATTCTCGCCATCCATCATCTCCACTTCCACATAGTTTTCGAATGATTCTTCGACGCCTTTCAGGTTTTTAACATTGAGCTGTATATCCCAAAAGTCCTCCACCCGTGAAGACTCGTACTTGACGTTGATACACCTGATATAACTTTTCATTTTACCAACAAATAGCTCGTTCAGTACGCCCTCCACTTCCGTGCCCTTCATTCTCGTCTCCAGCCGGTCCATCAATATACGATTCAGCTCCTGGACATCGTGCTGTGTGAAAGCCTCGCCAGTATCCCACCCAAAAGAGCGGGTCAACTCTAAAGTATCCAGGGGATCCACAGATTTTTGCATGAGGTAAAAAGAACGCTGTAGTGCCAGTGCGACGCTGTCGTTGGGGGAGTCTTTGTCGGTGGGGATTTTGTAAACAACTTTGCGGAAAAGCTTGGTGAAGAAATATGACTGAAGCAGCGAGTTCAGGTAGCAAGTGGCGCCCTGATTTTTGAAGCCTATGTAGCCAGTTAGCTTTTTCGAGTCGTAGTTCAAAAAGTTATGCCACAACACCCCCGTGGGATCCTTTAAAGTTCGCACAAAAACTGATATGTTGACCTCGTTGTTTACTAGAAACCCTGAATTGCGCGAGGATGAGCGGTTTTTCAGCGTGTCTAACCCCATGAACGTGGCAAACCCCCAGTCTGTGTCTGTGGCACAAAACCTGTGGTGCGATACGTTGAAAAGTTGGCATTTAGCGTCTTCGCCAGGCCTGGATACTCCGATCGCGAATTGCGTACATACGTGCCAATCTGGGTCTTCAGGCTCCGTTAACTTTTTCTCTTCATTAAACAATTCTTTGGGATGGGGTTCCAAGTACATCGATAGACCTTTGTTGTGATTGCCTTGCGGGAAAAGAAGCACATTCCACTCAAAATCTCCGATCTTGAAACGAGGAGAAGTGTGTTTTTCTTCCGTTAGCAGGTTCCAATCAGGTATGTTCCACGTAAAGGCTCCGGTATAGTCCACGTCTTCTGGATCGATTGACGGTAAAACGTCGTCTATAGATTTGCCAAGCTCTATGAGATCACCAACGCTACCGATGGTAGTATTATCCGGTACTTCCTCCGCCATTCTTCTTGGTTGCTGGCCGGTTAGTTCTTGATCGCTCTGGTTTCTAGATGCATTAAGCGATATGTTAAATCATTATTTCATATAAAGAACTTGCTCCCCTTAAATTTTAGATGATGTATTACCCGGTGGAGAAGTACATATGTACTCGGGGAAGCATTATGCATTGTTGTTGCGATTCCCGCCACACGCTCTTATTGATTTGAGATGTAGTAATCTGGATGGCTGTTAGTGTTTTTAAAAACAGTAAATATTCGTTGGAAGCCACAAATACGATGTAGTAGTCACTGGTTGCGAACACTGAACTCTGCTTCTTAGTTTCTCACTTCCTTTGATGTAGGAAATTCTATATCACGTGATGGAAAACTCAATTTGGGCTAAAATACTCCCCTCATCTTTTCCGCTTACATTGGTATTTAAACAGAGGCAAAAAGCCAGTCCAGAGTTCGCTAGACATACTGGCGACAACGACTACTTTTAGGTTTAAGAATCTCACTACAAATGATCTCCGTGCTGCGAAGGCCTCTGAGGCTTGTCTCAGAGCTATCGTGTCGGAGACTCGTTTCTCCCACCTTGAAAATCAGACCGAGAACAAGATATGTTTCCACGGAGATTCTGCAAAAAGACGAACAAGCAGGTGAATCCAATACTGCAACTGACACGGGTGTGATCCACAAATCAGAGGAAGAAACGCTTCTATATTTCGACAACGTATATCCTAGAGCAACCTCGCTATGGAGTCCGACACAATGGTACAACATCCTTCTCACGAATCAATCGCGCGACGCAGTACGTTCGAAAATCATGGAGTATGCAAGTCCTAAGACTAACCCAATCCATGGGCTAGAGCTGAGATCCAGTATTCCTGTTAAACGGGACGGAGGTGTTTTTGCCACGTTTCTGGTCCCTCCCACGTATTCCGTGGCCGAAGTTAATTCTATGATTCAGAAAAACACAGCCAAGGAGTCATCAGGGAGTCTTTTGTCTTTTGTTACAAGAGCTGCTGCTTTTCCAGTCAAGGGTACCCCATGGATAGAAGATTTACGTCGCTTGCCTAGCACAATTATTAGAATAAAGTTCGAAGGTGAACCGCTTTCAGAAGAAGAAATCTACTCTCTATTCAGAAGGTATGGCACGATTGTTGACATTTTTCCTCCCAAAAAAGGCGAAAACATTGCCACTCTTCGCTATCGCTCATTCCGTGGTGCAATTTGTGCTAAAAACTGTGTCACAGGAATGGAAGTCCACAACAATGTAATACATGTCCAGTACGAACGGCATGCCAACGAACACATGTTCAGAGATTTCTTTCTCAATCATACGAGGATCGCAGTGCCGTTGATAATTGCATTACTTTCGATCGCAGCCGTTCTTGTATTCGATCCTATCCGTGAATTTTCAATTGAACAAAAAATAACCCACCAGTTTTCTCTCTCCAGAGACAACTATTTTGTCAAAAGCTTCTTCAAGTTCACGTCGTATACTGTCTCATCATTCAAAAGTCTTTTGGGAACCGAAAATGTACAAACCAACAAGAAACAACTATGGGAAGAACGCATAGAAAAAGTTAGCGACTTGAGAATGTGGTTGGAGGAGAACAATAATACTTTCGTCATTGTAAGAGGTCCGAGAGGCTCAGGAAAACACGACCTAGTTGTTCAGCATACGCTTCACGATAGACCGAACGTTCTTTACATAGACTGCGACAAGCTGACCAAGTCCAGGACAGACTCCAAGTTTCTGATGAATGCTGCTGCTGAAATTGGCTACTTTCCCATATTTCCGTGGATCAATTCCTTAACAAACGTCATAGATTTGGCAGTCCAAGGTCTGACAGGGCAAAAGACGGGACTATCGGAGAGCAAAGAGACTCAATTTAGAAACATGTTGACGACCGCTTTGATGTCTATAAGACAAATTGCTTTAAAGGGCTACCATCCCGTGATTGGGAGCGGCGAGAATGCTATCAGCGTAAAGGAGGAGGACTACCTACAGCAACACCCCGAGAAGAAGCCCGTGATTGTAATTGATCGGTTTAGCGATAAAGCAGAAATGAACAGTTTTGCCTTCAAAGAATTATCAGATTGGGCCGCGATGCTCGTACAGATGAACATCGCCCACGTAATCTTTTTGACGGAAACTGTGTCGCCCAACCAGCTGCTCTCTGAATCTTTACCTAACCAAGTCTTCAAGACTCTTGCTCTTTCAGACGCTTCTAAGGAGTCTGCTCGCTCATACGTTCTAGCTTCATTGGAACAAGCAGATTTAACAGTGGACGACGAGAAGCAATCTCAACCTGTGGACCTTTCTGAGGAAACGATGCGAGAGATCGACACATCACTCGAGCCTCTGGGCGGTAGAATGCTCGACCTGCAAGCTTTTGTCAGAAGAGTCAAATCAGGAGAGAATCCAAAAGAAGCTTTGGACAAGATGGTCGAGCAAGCACTCGAGCAAATAACCCAGATTTTCCTTGCAGAGAACGTCGACCAAATACGAAGTGCCCAGGCCTGGGAACTAATAGGACTGCTCAGTAAGCAACCTGTGGTGCCCTTCAAAAGCATTGTTTTCAGACCCTTGTTCAAGAGTGCTCCTGAGGCGGGACTTATGGAATTGGAGAAGAATGGACTAATCACTGTCTCCAGAGATAGGGGTGTACTTAAGGACATCAGACCCGCCAAGCCTCTGTTTAGGGCCGCCTTCGAGTATCTTTTGGAAAGCAATGAGATTGCCGCTGTTTTAGAGACCGGTTATCTTCTAAAAGTGGTCAATTTCGAAACTAAACGTATCCAAAAATGGGAAGAAGAACTAAGATCTTTGGGTAAGGTTACAGATACAAAGCTCTTCAAGAGTAGGTTAACGTACCTGGCGAATAAAATTGACGCTAGCAGCGAAAGTATTAACAATTGCGAGGAAAAAATCAAGCAACTATCCAAGACAGCTGGCTCGAAATGAGTTAATCATATATTCTAACTTCTTGTTCATAGACTAATCGAAATTACCCAACTGCAAGAGATCTGCAAGCGGCAGCATTGGTAAACGGAACGCTTGGTGAAAAAACAGATGCCCTCTTAGTGCTTCCAAAGAACAGAAGAACAACGTCGATCGATCGCTCGACCTCAAATCTTCTCTCTCGCCACCGTTTTTTTCTGAGTCTCCACACTTGCCTGTGGTGGAGCCAAAGCTGTTCACAGGTGGCCTTCAAATCATTGAGTCATCTTGAATCATGTGCTTATGATTATGATTCGAAAGTTAATGCAACCGCTGATCAGTTCAACATAGAACTCAACAAAGACAACTAGAAGAGATTCAAAAAGAAAATGAATATAAACCTCACTTTTTGACAACTTTGGAATCTTGGTTGATAAAATTTGTTGTTCAGCCTTTCAATGCCCAAACACAAACTGCAATGCCATCAACAAAGTCATCAGAACACCTGACAACTGTCATAACAGTGGACTCAACCGAACAAAAGCTCACCAAGAGGTTCAAATGGATCCCGCTTCTGGGGATTGCCTTTTCGCTGACCAATTCTTGGCTTGGGGTGTCCTCATCTCTCGTGGTTGGTCTGTCAAGTGGTGGCCCGCTTTTGATCATCTATGGGCTTATCATCGGAATGGTCTTCACTTTGATGTGTGGCTATTCTCTCGCAGAATTCTCCTCAATGCTCCCAAACAGCAGTGGTGCTTGCTTTTGGGTTCTTAAAATGCTAGAAAGTCCAAAAGACAGCGACTCTGACTTAAAAAATGTTGAAGTGCTCACTCATCAAGAGGAAAACCCAGACGAGAAATCGCTAGAGTGGGCATGTACTGCAAAAGGTGTGACTGTAAATTCCACGTCTCAAAGATCTACTGCATTGGCGGTTGGCCTCATCAATTACTTTGGAGCTGTTTTCACTTCTGCCAGCGTATTTTCGTCGCTCGCACTGAGCATTCTTGGTGTGCACTCTTTACTCCACCCTGATTATGAACTAAAGCACTGGCACATTTTTGTTGTTTATCAAATTTTGAATGGAGTCATAACCTTTATTGATTGTTGGCCAACTATATTACCAGCGTTGTCTCAATTTGGCCTTTTCCTGTCACTGCTCACCTACTTGTTGACATTCATCGTATGCATGGTCTGTCGCAGCAACACGAGTGGAAACAGATGGCCTGAATCCTCTAAAATATTTGGGGAGTTTCAGAATACGACCGGTTGGAGTTCATCTCCCATGGCGTTTATTGTTGGGCTCATCAATCCATTGTGGGCATTCGCTGGAATTGATTCCGCTACACACATGGTTGATGAAGTCGGCTACATACAATCGAAGAAGCTCGTACCACGCGCAATCATATGCACAATTATTGTTGGGTTCTTAACAAGTTTCACGTATGCTATCGGCATGTTTTATTGCATTACAGACGCCGAAAAGGTTACCGATTCGATTTTACCCATACTAGAAATCTACTATCAAGCAACGGAAAACCGCAATCTAAGTGTCTTCATGCAGTGCTGCTGTATTCTAACAGGTATGACCTGTGGTGCTGCTAGTGTTACCTGGCAGAATAGGATCTTATGGAGTATAGGAAGAGATTTTTCCAAACTGTCTAACAACAAACCAATTTCCCGCAGAGCCATGGAATTCTTTGGCAGTGTCAATCGCAAACCGAGAATCCCACTCAACGCTCATCTATTCTCTCAGTTACTGGTCGCTATAATTGGATGTATCTTCATGGGATCTACGACTGCCTTTAATGCAATCATAACAGCCTGTATCACATTACTTCTGCTAAGCTATGCCATCCCATGTATGATTCTACTTTGGGTTGGAAAAAAGACGTTTTTCGTGCGCATTCAAATCGAGCTATCAGAACTTGGCATTTCCATCAAGCGTTTGCCAAATGTGACAATTTTTGGAATCATCCCCAATATTCTCACAATATGCTGGGCATTATTCTGTCTGATTTTCCTATCGTTTCCATACAGTTTGCCGGTAACCTCCGGTAATATGAACTATGTCTCAGTAGTTTATGGTGTGGTCGCGTTGGCAATTGGAATCATTGTTTGCGTGTAATTGATCGGTTTTTTTCTCAGCAGATGAAGGAACGGTCTTATTGGAGCGCTTAATACCCAAATAATATTTTTCCGCTGCTAGCAACTGTCGCTTCATTTTGATTCCACCTCTGAAGCCTCCGATGGCGCCATTCGAACGCAAGACTCGATGACAGGGAATCACCATCAATAGGGGATTAGCTCCGCAAGCGTTGGCGACAGCGCGATATGCTTTTGGGGAGCCTATCTTCTGAGCTAGGTGGTAGTATGTAGTTGTAGAACCCCAAGGGACTTTATACAGCTCATCCCAAACCTTTTTTTGAAATTCTGTACCCCAGAGATAAGAATATTCAATGGGTGCTACTTTTTGACCATTTAATAGACTTGCAATGTTTACAGAATGGTCTGAGAGTTTGTTCCTGAGGTCTTCAGTTAGTGCGTAAGTTATTTTTGAGCGATGGGATTCAATTCGGATGATTTTCTTCACAAGGTGAAGCATTTTCAGGTTGTCATTACCGGAGTCGACATAAACTAGATTATTACTACTCTCATCAACAACCAAGATACATTTTCCCAAGCGCCCTTCAACAAATGTGTACAATAGCGATTTCGACATGGCTTGCAGTCTCTGAGTAAAAGTCTGAGGAAAGTTGATACGACTAAATTCGATTTTTATATGACATGTGTGATATTAGTAGCGTTGGCGTCAAATTCTAGTTTCTGACAAAAGATTTAGACACAGTTCCTTGCAAAAAATAATGAGCACCGGGGGGTAAAACAAGGTTTAATACTGCATAAATGTTGGCTTTAGCATTACATTAGTTCAGGTTTCATCTACTTATATGTACCTTAAACTCACCATTAGGTCTCAAGTGCGTTTGCACACGGCCCGCTGGTTCGAGATACTTTACTTAGCTCAACATCATCTGTATAGCTTGAGATACTATGAAACTGTCAACTACCCGTCTTCCTGCAAATGCAAGGAGCAGCTCTGAAGTGACAACTTGTCTATCGTAAGAATGCCAGCGAAATCATTAGCTCTCCCAGCTGTGGGATGTTGCTGCCATACTTCGACGAGAGGAGGGATACAACCAGAACTGCAATTTTTGCAGGTCCACAGAACAAGATCGCTAGAGTAGATATTATATCGTAATGAAAAGCGCCAGCGCGCGATACCCTAGCGCATACGTTTTCGAGGAGTTTTTGGTGAGATTTTTAGGAAACATCTTGAGAACAGACCAAAGCTCTGCGAAGACGAGACATGAAATGCCAATAAAAGGTAGACTCCAATGTTAAATAAGACGATTTATTTTATGAAAAGGTTGGAGACGCTTATTAACGCGCAGTGGTGCCGTTGCTTGCAAAACTTAATGACAACAGCGACATGTTGAGATGCACCTGTACTATAAATGGCGTGACGAATGCTTTCAAGTTTGTTTCTTATGAAACCTCACACAAGCACATCAAACAAGCGCTCTCGGCCAGGTGAGCTTAACAAAAGTTTGACTGGCCGCGGCCAATGTCAGACACAATTAAAGCCACTTGTTATTGAAAAAGCGTGAGAGCTTTCAGTAACAGAGTAAAAATTGAAAATAATTGAATCTGAACTGAAAAAACTTATCAGTAAGATTACAAAATGTGCGCGCTGACTGAAAGGAATGACGCGTAGGTTTTTGGTTGAAATGTCAAAATTATCTCCTAACAAGGATCTGTTGTGTCCTCCTCTAAGAGCTGGGGTCTGATTCATAGTCGCTATCTGGTCCACGTGACACGCGACAGCGACAGAGGTGATAAAGATTCAGTTTCGAGCACCCCAGCCCGAGCTTCCTAGCGCCCATGATGCAGCGGGAAACAACTGATACCACTCGATATCATCACAAAACACTAGAAAAGTATGATTAGCTGTCACACCACACAAATGACAGTAAAGAAATCTTGTTTTCATCGCTGGTGTAACGATTTCCCAAATTGTATAAGGATACATAGTCTACTCAATCATAAGACCATTCTTCCCACACTCCAAACTGTGAGGAAACATGAAATTGTCGGCTGCATATTATAATAATAATCACTCAATTTTGACGGAACATTTTACCCAGTGTATGGTACGACTCTAGTATCACGACACTCCAAAGACTCATTGAGAGTCTCAATCAGAGTATAAACAAACCCAAGGCAATGATACAAGGTTCAACATTATATTTAGCTTTCATGAGTCCGCCTTGGTGTGTGAAAAATCGGCCAAGCCATGCTATGGCGATGAATATAGCATACTGAAAGAAAGGAATTAGAGATCTTCCAAAAGCTGCAGGTTAAGTGTGTCATGTCAAAACATGATGATAAAATAAAGTCGGCTGGACCTGATCATGGTGGTAGAGACAACAGGCGAGAGAAAGAATACATCATATAGTTTCAAGACTATTCTAAACTGGCACGTAAACACATCAGTGATGCCTCCGATGAATAGAGTAAAATGATATATTAGTACAAAGTGATATTAGATAGTCAAGCGAACTAAATTGTCATCTTCAAGTAAGTGCAGCAAAACAGGACAGTAGCGTCCGATCACATCAGTGGTGATTTCTGCACGTTTATTAGACCCCAAACTAGATGACCAAGGCCGGAAAAGAAGCTTGATTTGAGAAGGCTTACACCATCCCATTCATGCCTTCGCCATTACACCCTCGATGGTATCGTCGCTTTCTTTCACATGCTTGTGTCCGCCGGAAGATTGAATGTTAAGGTTGGCACTCAATGCTGGCGACAACTCCCGCTTTCCCGAAGACACAGCAATCAACTGGCCGTCCGCGTCTTTCATGTGAGGAAGATCCTTCACATTAGGTGGGTCCTTGTATTGTTCGCCCTTAATGGGAGACCCTGAAATGTAGTACTTAAACTTTTGGAACTTCTCTTTGAGACCCATTATTCTGCGCGATGAGTTTCAACATGCCTTTGCTGACGTGAGTCGGCCACAGCGCTAGATGCTTGGCTTTTAACTGTTTTCGATGTCCTTATCTGCGATGCAAGACCCCGCAGATAAGACGTTGAAGGTCCTTACAGCCATTAGATAAAGCGAAAAGATAAAGTCACATGAACCGTTAGTTCTTCTGCCTTACAGCCGTAAACAACTGTTGAAATCAAAGAGGAAGTGCCTACAGTGGAAGCGATGAGCCCAGGAGGGAGCATGGAGGACGGTGGTTGGCAAACGCCTTGAGTGAACTATGTTTTGAGAAGTGTGTTAGTTTAAGTTGAAAAGATAGTGAATTTGACATGAATTTGAAGGCAGTGGGAATTGGATGCGAAGTCTGCAGGCCAGTATCTCAAAAGAAGTGACCAGGCAGTTTGTACATTGGCTCTGTACAGGGAAGTAGGCAAAAAAATAGTACTTTTAATTGGTAAAACAAACAATTGAGCCGAGAGTATTGTGGGTTTTTGGTCAGCAAGTAAAGTCTCCACCAAAGACGCAGCATTGTCGATGATATGGTGAATTTATGATTGATTAGACCATCTCTCTCAAAGTCGCAGAAAAAAAGCTACATATGAGGCTAGAGGGGCGGAATTTTTTGTTCCCGATACAAAGGAGTTGGCATTGCCTGTGGCGTAAAATGGGAGGATACGTTCATCTATGTTTCTTTCGTTTTGTCGTGGCTGTTCTACTTGGCTTTATTCAGATCCATGAGCGTCGACCTTTATATGTGACTTTTTGACTTTTTACGACATCTAGCATAGCGACATGAAATATTAATGTGAAATTGAGTTTACCGAAGACATTGAGAAGGTGAGAGCAGGTTTTAAAGACTTTAATGTACACTGGGTTGCCCTTATTACCATGGAGATAGCGTAAAAAGTGAACGCGATCAGCACGAGAGATGTTCACAACTTTTGATGTGTACGTTTCCGAGGAGAAATGAACATTTGGACCAGAAAATCTCAACATTGAAGGTATGAACTTCCTAGAATTCGCTTCGCAAAGAAAAGGTTTCAGCAGAGCTGTCGCTAGCTTAAGGTTACACAATTGGGTGGCCGGTCCAACTTTTCAATGGAAATTTCGAATCGAGCGGGTTTGGAACCCGAAAAGCGGCCTAACTTTCAGCCAGTTTCCAACCTTCTTTTGGATCTAAGTACATTAGAAACTTGAAATGGTCAGCAAACGCTGGCAACGCCGCCGCGTAGCTACGTTGAATTTACGCCATTGAAGGACTCTCAGCTACCATACGAAACTTCATTGTTACCGACAGAAAAAGACACAACTGTCGTCAACAGCAATCGCACTGTGCTTGTAGAAAGATCATAAGCAACTCACGATTTGGGGCAGCCGTTGGAAAATCGAGTCATGCAGGGCTGTAGTTGCCACTAATTGTATGCCCTATTATGAAAATAAGCTGGGGTATGAAGCTCACCTCTACCATGAAGGCATCGATCCCAACTGTCAACTGCTGGGGCTATATCTATCTGTTTGACGCCGGCAGGTTGCACTACACTAGAAATGCGCTAAGAGCGACGATGAGAGCGCTGTGGAAAGTGAGTTTAGACGTTGTAATGGTTCCCAAAATGTCACAGTTGACTGGAGTAACAAGTTCAACGCAATTTAAAAGACGTCGAGCGAGCTCTCTTACCAGAAACTGAGTCAAGTATGCCTTCTAGTAAGGACGCAATTTTAATTTGATATTCTAACATCAACCGGCCACAAACTCGTTCGACAATAAACTAATTTACAAAGTACGGCAAGATGGGAGTGCCATCAACTCGAGCGAAGTGAGGACTGGGCCAAAAGATAAGTACCCGGACGCTTCGTGGGATATCGAAAATCTCAAATAAGCGTCAGATATTCATGGTCGTGACTGGTGCTTTTGACCGGAGAGATAAAAAAAGGCTAGAATGTATGCCTATTTTACCATAATTCCATTGTGATTGGTAAATTGTTTGATTGTCCAGAGTGTGTCGACCACGAGCATCTCATGCGATAGACTAGCCTGCATTGTAGAGCTAGTTGCAAGGTTTCAAAAAAATGTTAAAATGCCTTGTCAGGAAGGTGTTTCCGACCACCACTTTTCAATCTGATCTTATCAAAGCTCTCGAAACCATGCGACTAACAACGTCTGTTCGGCTAGAACAATGGCACCGCCATGTACTGACGTTACATGCCCACGAACGGGAAAACCGCCAAAAGCACGTGAGTTCTAGCCACAACATTGCAACATTCAACAGCACAATGCATCGCGGCCTGTGATCACAGCCCATAAATCCTCCCATGCTACTCATTCAAACTCCTGTTAGCTCTCCGAGCCAGCAACATCTCTCTTGAAGCCAAATCGTCCAGCCGGTTTTTCGTGTCACCCGCTATCACGTGGTATTACAGCTTACACCCACACGCCGATTCTCGCCTCCCATTTCCATTTGAAGCACTTGTTTCCTCGATTCTTCCTCGCTTTCTGCTGCCCTTGCGAGCTTTGATTGGTGTCAGTCCCGGAAAACTGCACTGCATATCTGGTTGATAAAGCGCATTAGCGATTACAGGGTATAACCGGAAAGCCAAGCACACCGTAGTGACGCAGACAATGAAGCTGATTTGGCCTTATAAAACACACCAAGTGAAAAGAAGAGAATTATGCCGTGTTGTTATGCTCGTGTTGGTAAACCACTAATTACACTTTTCGTGGACGTGTTCGTGCTCAAAAGTCCGATTTGTATTTCGATCTGAAATCATATTTTTCACTTTTTGGTTTTCAGGTGCTTCTGGTTCTTTCCAATGAGCAACCACGCCGTCCCTGCGCACTCTGTGCTCAGCGATAACGACGTCGAAATCGTCCGCACAAACTTGGAATTGGAAAAAGAGAGAATCCCAAAAACTGCCCTGCAAAAATTGTTGCATTCACTGGAGGTTCCACACGATGAGAAGCCGCTGTCCGCGTTGAGAAACCCCGATTTAGAGCCTATTATGCCCCGTGAACGTGTGTGGGGCTTCTGGTCGTTCTTCGCCTACTGGGGGCTACCCAACTTTGCCGTAGCCACTTTTTCGACAGGATCCGCGCTTCTGGCATTAGACCTCAACATCCAGCAATCGATCGGTGCCTTGACCATTGCCAACGTCCTTATCGCCGTTTTTACCATTTCAAATTCCAATCCGGGTGTCAAGTACCACGTCGGTTACACGCTGAGCCAACGAATGATCTTTGGGATTTACGGGTCCTATCTGGGAATCATCATCCGTGTGGGAATATCTGTTGTACTCTACGGGTACCAAGCTTGGCTGGGCGGGCTGTGCTTCAACATGGTTTTCGACTCGTTCTCCCGCAATTACCTGAATATGGCTAACACGTTTCCGGCTAGCGTTCCAATGGCTAAAAAGGACCTTATTGGGTTTCTCTGCTTTCAGCTGGTCCAAATGCCGTTTGCATTCGTTAGGCCTAGTCGTGCGAACGTGCCGTCTATCGTCACCTGTATGATGACCATGTTTTCGATTATCGGTATGCTGGCGTATCTGGTAAAGGCCAACGATGGGCCAGGTCCGTTATACTATAAAGACGTGACTCTCTCTGTGAGCCAGCGATCATGTGCTTGGATCTACGCAATGACAATCTGGTACAGTGGGATCTCACCTGCTGTCGCCAATCAATCCGATTACTCCCGTTTCAGTTCCCACACGTTGCGCTGTTACGTGGGTCTGTTCATCGGGATCGTTGCACCAGGCACTTTCGTTTCGCTCGCAGGGATGCTGTGTGCCTCAGCGTGCAAAGGTCTGTATGGTACAGCTTTTTGGACTCCCAATGAAATTGTGGAACAATGGCTCAATAACGACTACTCTTCCAAAGCACGGGCTGCAGCTTTCTTTATCGGAATAAGCTTTACGGGATCGCAAGTATTTTTGAATCTCACACAGAACGGCTATGCCTGCGGCATGGATCTTGCAGGAATTTTCCCACGTTACATTAACGTAACTCGAGGTACGCTATTTGTTCAGCTCATCTCGTGGGTTGTACAGCCATGGACATTTTTCAACACTTCTTCGGCGTTCCTAAACGCCATGAGTTCTTTCGGTATATTCGTGACGCCTGTCGTGGCGCTTAATATCATCGAGTTTTACTGGATTCCCAAATCCAAAATCACACTAATCGATTTTTTCACGCTTTCTCCCCGTGGTGCGTACTGGTACGACTACGGGTATAACTGGAAATCGCTACTGGCGCTTATCGTTGGCATTGTGCTCGGACTGCCTGGTCTCGTCTACGAAACGCACCCTGATATCAAGGAGAACACGGGAATGATGAACTTTTATTATGGTTACATGTTCTTCATTCCCGTGGTAACGGGCGTGCTGTATATTGGTCTCACGTTAGCGTTCCCCAGCCATCACGAAAAACTCGGCCAGGACGATCCCGTGGACTTTTTTAACTGCTTTTCCGACAGAGAGGTTGCTAACATGGGGATGCTGTCCTACCATAACGCCGATATGTACGAGGTGTTGGATGCAGAAGAGTCCCAGGATGGTGTCGATAAAGTTGTTCTAGAGGGAATAGAGAACGGCGGCAAGCAGGGAATGTAGGAATTCGTCCTATATATGGTTTCATTCGGTAAGTCTCAATGATGCATCTTATCAAACTGGCAAATACTTTGACCACATTTGCCTTCGTTTTCGAGCCAAATTTTCGAGATGTAAAGTTCATACTGCTAACAAATGTTCCATGGTGGCCGACGCAGTGCAATTTCTGTGGAAATGTATCACTTCCCGCCTAAGTTGTATTTTTACTATCAACCTGAAATACCCACAAATGTTTTAACATGATGATGTTGCTTCTTTACTGGTCTGTTATCGCTTCACAATCTCTAATAACTTCATCATAACCACAGAGTCATTTTGCATCTAGTAAGATCGAGCCTCGGCGGATCAGGCAAATTTGGAGAGTACCAAATAACCAGCTCGATCAGATATATTAATTGAGCGTATTGAACTTCAAATCTGTGCACCTTTTGACAGAGGACTTACAGACTTTTTGCACCGGGAATCGACCGGTGGAGCAACGAAGTGCCCTAAAGCTGTAATTATCGAGATTTGAAACTCGGACCTCTTGCTGCAATCTGTTTTGGGAAACGATGTGTGGAATAATTTACTTTTCTCGTTTTCCTGTGCACTGTCTTTCTAGCCATAATCCATCAATGCGCATTCGCTTTAATCGAGAAGTAGTGAAAACGAGAGAATTAAGTCAGATGGAGCATAAAGAATCCAACTCTTTGCGCGTCAGAAATTAAGCGCTGAGAACTCATCAATTATGTTATGGTATAGGATATACCAACCCAGAGGTGACAAAACTTAAGAGAATTTTCTGGAGCTCAAAAAAGATAAAAGTGTTGTTGAATTACCGGCTAGTAAAGGACTTTTCTCCTCCATATACTCTCACGAGGTAATGTTCGCCCACTCAAATATATTACTTACAATGGGGAACCTCTTGATACTGTCACATAATAGGTTTCACATTGAGGTTGCAATGTAAGTTGAGCATCGCTCACAAGTTTCTGTGCGCATTCTATTAAACGTGTCTCGGACAGCCGAGTTTATCTTCGTGTCGTTCGACTACCTTTAGAAATCAGAGGAAAAAAGAACAGCCACGAGAAGATACTACGATTCTTTGACTGGAAGATGCCGCGTATATACTTATGGCCTTGCAAGTGTTAAGAGATAGTTGCTGTGCTCGAAATGCGTGGTTCATCCAATGATTACGTTTTCGTAGGAGAAACGGCTTGTTTGAGTTGCCTTAAAGCGTAGTAGGATGTATTTTGAGCTTAGCATAGAAGGAAAACAATGATCTTCTTGATTTCAATATGTTATAACAGAGAAGACAAGTTTTATCTTGTTGTCCAGTAGTTTTATTACTCTCCCACTGGCCGGACTTTGCCATTTCTAGTTTGCCATGTATCCTTTCTCACCAACTATAATTATCAAAACATAAATGTATCGTATCCATCAAAACTATACAACCGGCACAACTTTTCTCACACCCACAACAGTAACTAGCAGTCAATCTGGACCTCCCTCTCACTCTCTGCCTTTGATGATGCTTGTGATGCGACTTCTCTCTCATCATCTGAGAGCTCTTCAGTGGTTTTAATAGCAAATGGATCCACTTTTGTCGACTTAAACTTTCGGGCCGGGACACCAAGTCTGAATAGCTCGTTCACTTCACTGAAAGTCTTACCTGACGTTTCTGGGAGATCCACGACGGCCCAGGCTAGCGTAGCGAAGCAAAATGCGCCCCAAAAGAACCCTGCCTTTGCGCCCCAATCCCATTTTTGCGAGTTCAACTGGTACAGAATCAAAACCATAGTAACCATCCCCACAACATTGTAGGAGTTACGTGCTAAAATAATCGTTTTGGTCCTGAGACGGGAGGATGGCACTTCTGACACGAGACAGAACACCACAGGGGCAATGCCCAAGTTATAGAAGAATGCAACAACCATTAAGAGGGCCCCACTCGCCATTCTAGACTGGTCTGTGCTCATACAACCCAATCCCCCAATGATAAAGTACATGGTACCTTGGAAAAACAACACAATTGCATAGAGTTCAAATCTCCCCAAATATTTCGAAAGCCACACGATAAAAACGTTGCAGCAATACCCAAACAGTACTGGATAATGCTGAATGTAAATGACATGTCGGTACTGACGCCAGCTTTCTCGTAAAAGTATGTCGAGTACCCCATTAGTCCAGCCCCGCAAGTTGTTTGGCCCACCCAGGCCAGACACGCAATCCTGGTCCTTCTGCGGCTGACCTTGTCTCTGATGCAATCCATGTAACTTCCCTCGCCACTTTTGAGTTTTTTCTCCTTCTCTATAGTGAGCCTTATTTTTTCCAGCTCCTTGACTATCGTCATCTCCTTCTCTATTCCCTTACCGCTTAGCGTCCTATCAAGTGATCTTTGGGCTGCATCCATCCTTCCCTTCTTCACCAACCACCACGGTGATTCAGGTGCGAGAAAGATTCCGATCATGAGAGGAAGTGGCCATATCCATTGCAGCGCAAAGGGTAGTTTGTAACCAAGTTCCGACTCTGGATATTTGTTCTGGGAGTTTTTCATAATACCAGCGGCAAAAACTTGGCCGAACAACCAGCAGAGGTTGGAGTACGTGGTCAAATAGTATCTGAGGGCAAGAGGACATATTTCCGAGGCATAAGTCACGGTTAAGCCCTGAAAGCAGCCCCAGGGCATGCCACAGAGAGCTTGGCCCACGGCAATCATGCCCAAGCTCTTACAGAAATACAGAATGAAGGTGAACATAGCGAGACAGAAGAGGGCGAAAATCATGGTGTAACGGTTCCCAATACAGCTGCAAAGCGGTCCAGTGAATTGCAAGCCTACAACTTCACCGGCCATGTAGCACAAACTCAATCCAACCTGCCAAGAAGCCGAAATTTCCCATTCTCCTGTTGACCCTCGGGAACCGAACTTTTCTTTGAAGATCGGCAGAGCAAAAAAGGATCCGAGAATAGCTGTGTCGTAACCTTCCATTACCAACGTCGTGGAAACCAGTAGCGACCATGCCGCAGCTTTGGGGTATGTTTTCAAAGCCTTAATAAGAGGCATTGTTCTTTCGTTTTCGTCAGCTTCTTTGGCATCATTGGTAGCATTGACGAGCTCAGAAATGTCGTTAGTAGTATTCTCGTTACCGTCGAGATTGCCAGCCTCTGGAGCATGTTCCATGTGGTAGAGTTCTATGCCACTTTGGCCTTTTTTTGACGAATCCATCATAATCGATGGCGCGCTTGTCTCGGCATTATCCCACCCCGCTTCGTTGGCTCGAGATGGGCCACTGTTTGACTGTTTGTTTCTTAAAGTCAAAATATTTCGCATGATTATGGTTGACGCAAATGATCTTTTGACTTGGGTTGGCCTCTAGCACCAGTCATTAACGTTTGAATGGGTTTTTGCTAAGCTTAAATAGGCGGAAAAGGACATTCCCCACACGAATAAGCTTAAGCGAAAAAGGACATTCCCCACGCCAGTAGCCTTTCGTGTAACAAGGAACCTTTTCAGGCAACTTTCATCCTTCTCGAGGGCAACTTTCTCGTAATTTGTCCAGATCTTGGCAGCGGGCAATTATTGCATTAATTAAACGGGTAGGTGCACACCATTTAGGAACCAGTCGTAAGTGCACATCCCTAGAGAACAATCCCATGGGAAGCTCCCTCGAGACTGCATAGCCTGTAGAAGTTCCTCTCGAAACTGTTCAGCTTGCAGGAATTCCCCTCGAGATTGCTTAGCCTGTAGGAAGTCCTCTCAATACTACTACACCTGTTGTTCTGCGGACTTGAATTTGAACAGACTCAACGTCGTGTCGTAAAAACCTGCACTGCGGAAACCCGGAGAACGTCATGCGTGTTTACTTTTTCTCGAGGGACAAGACGTTTATGCAAGAACGCGGGTGATGTGGGGACACGGGTAAGTTAAAAAATGACATGATAATGTATTCAGTACTACGAATACGAAGGAAAAGACGGAAAGCACCTCCGTTTTTCGCAACAGGTGAGGTTGGACGCGTTATAAGAGTTTTTAGAAGAGACCCTTGGGCTCGTCTCAAACAACCATGACAAACGGAAGCGGGGCTACGGATAAGTCAATAAGTTACTCAGGTGGGTACAGTGTGATGTTATCGATATGAAGATTACGAAGGAAAATACGAAAAAGAGATTCACGAATTGCAACAGTTGTTGCAGCGGGGTGTATTTTTAGATTTCCTATTAACAGATCTGTGGGCTTGATTCAAACGACTATGGTGGACTGAAGCCTAATGGTATAAAATCCGGGGTAGCTGAAATCTTTAAAGTTTTCAGACTTATCTGTTTTTCAGACTTATCTAAAAGTTCTCTTATCCTGGCATCGAAAAACAAAATCGCATCGAGTACGATAGTATAAAATGACTATCACTGAGCATCCAGAAACGCAGCCTAAATGGTGGAAAGAAGCTACTATTTACCAGATCTATCCAGCAAGTTTCAAAGACGGCAACAATGATGGCTGGGGAGATTTGAAGGGTATAACTTCAAAGTTAGGGTATTTGAAAAAATTGGGAGTTGATGCCATCTGGGTGTGTCCCTTCTGCGATTCGCCCCAGCAGGACATGGGATACGATATTTCGAACTACGAAAAAGTTTGGCCAACTTATGGGACAAACGAGGACTGTTTTGGGCTCATCAACAAGACCCATGAGCTCGGTATGAAGTTTATCACGGATCTGGTCATCAATCACTGCTCTACTGAGCATGAATGGTTCAAAGAAAGCAGATCATCCAAAACGAACCCAAAACGAGACTGGTTCTTCTGGAGACCTCCAAAGGGCTACGACAGCGAGGGCCGTCCTATTCCTCCCAATAACTGGAGATCGTTCTTTGGTGGCTCCGCATGGAGTTTTGACGAAGCTTCAAATGAGTTCTTCTTACGGCTTTTTGCCTCGGAGCAACCAGATTTTAACTGGGACAACGATGACTGCAGAAAAGCCATTTACGAAACTGCGGTGGGATACTGGTTGGACCATGGCGTTGATGGGTTTAGAATTGATACCGCGGGTCTTTACTCCAAACGTCCGGGTTTGCCAGATTCTCCCATTTTCAACGACCAGGACGAATTCCAGCACCCAAACTGGGGCTCCCACAACGGCGCCAGAATCCATGAATTTCACCAGGAATTGCGTCAATTCATCGACAACAGGGTCAAGGACGGCAGGGAGATCATGACAGTGGGCGAGGTGGCCCATGGAAATGATAACGCGCTATATACCAGCGCTGCTAGACGTGAAATGAGCGAGGTGTTCGGGTTTGCACATGTGGATATTGGATCGAGCCCTCATTTCCGGTACGAAGCCGTGCCATTCAACTTGAAGCAATTCAAAGAAGCAGTCGCTGAGAGCTCCATGTTTGTCAACGGCACCGACTCATGGTCTACCATTTACCTCGAGAACCACGATCAGCCCCGCAGCGTTACAAGATTCGGAAGCGACTCGCCCAAATACCGCAACCTTTCGGGCAAGCTATTGGCGCTGTTGGAAGGTTCGCTAACGGGTACTCTGTATGTCTACCAAGGCCAGGAACTGGGCCAAATCAACTTGAAAGATTGGCCGATTGAAAAGTACGAGGATGTTGACGTCAGGACCAACTACGAGATCATTGCCAAGAAGTATGGGAAGAAATCGCTACAGATGGAGTCCTTTTTGCGCGGTATTGATTTGCTATCGAGGGACCACGCTAGATCCCCCATGCCATGGTCTTCGGAGAGCCCCAACGCGGGCTTTTGCGGACCCAACGCCCAACCCTGGTTTTTTTGGAATGAAACTTACAATCAAGGAATTAATGCAGCCGACGAAGAGTCGAACCCCGATTCCGTTCTGCACTTTTGGAGAAAGGTCTTGGAAACGAGAAAGAAGAATAAGAAAGTTGTGGTATATGGGTATGATTTCGAGTTCATCGACTTGAATAACGACAAGCTTTTCAGCTTCACCAAGAGGTCCGAGGATAAAAAGCTGTTTGTCGCTTTGAACTTTAGTGATGAAGAGATAGAGTACAAATTTCCACAGGGGACTACCTCATCCAGCCTCATTCTGGGAAATTACGACAACATAGACCAGTCGTCGCGTGTCTTGCAACCTTGGGAAGGAAGACTTTACTATGTCGATTGATTTAGGTCTTTGCGAAGCAGTGGCTTGGTACACGATACATACGAAATAAATTTTATGACAAGATAAGACATAACCACGAAGAAAAGAGGGTTGCTAGATTGAATGTAGATGGATACGGATTATACAGGTCTACAAGCACAACATGAATATAAACGTTTTGGCTTCTTTCGTCTCTTGTTTGTTACCTCTGGGTCTACCTCTTAGCCTTATATTAGCTGACAGATTAAAATTGATATAGCTTGAATAAGCATCGCAGAAGAATTAAAGTCTCGAGAGTAAAAGAAAGCATGTTTTAATGATACACATTGATCTGGATAGCACCATTTTAACCTCCCAGCATTGAGAATAGTTGAAGTAATGATTAGACTGTTTTTCGTGCTCGGAGTGTAGCAAAAGGCTACTTGCAGACCTATTACTATCTCACAATAGTAGTAGAGCAGCGGCAGCTAGGACCAAACCTTTGGAAGCCACGACTTCCACTCCCTGGTTGTCAGTGAAGACACTCAAGGACGTTGTGGAGCCAGTCTGAGAGGAAGAGGATTGAGCGGGCAAAGAAGTTACGGCGCCGCTGGAATGGTCTGTAGAAGCGGAAGTGCCAACAGCAGCTTCAGTAGTGGCAGATGGCTTGGATGGTGAAATTGTGGAGGCAGCACCGGATCCACCGCTGGTAGTTTGTGGGGATATCCATGAGGAATATTGTGACAAGAGCGAGGACATCATGGAGTTTGAAGTATAGGCTGCTCAGTCAAAGGACAAAATGTCGTGTAAGTGGTGGAAATGCCGGTAACGGTTGTCACCCCAGTAGTAACTGAGGTTTCGGAACACTTGTTGCCTGAGCAAGAAGTGATGGTCACAACGGTGGTAGAAGGACGGTGGGTAACCACCGTGGTATCAGTGGCATTGTTTTTGTATCCGGCCCAAGCGGAACGAGCAGAACTGACGTAAGAGGCTTGAGCAGCTTCCACCGACGATTGCACGTTTGCAGGAGGGGCGGCAGAGCCAGGGGCAGACGCAGAAGCGGCGGGTGCAGATCCAGAAGCGGCTGGTGCAGAGCCAGAGGCAGATCCAGAGGCTGGTGCAGACGCAGAGCCAGGGGCAGAGCCAGAACCAGGGGCAGGACCGGATCCAGAGGCAGATCCAGAGCCAGAAGCGGCTGGTGCAGGGCCAGAGGCAGAACCAGAGTCAGGTCCGGATTCAGAACCAGAATCAGAGTTAACTGGCGCCGAACCGGATGCAGAGGCAGATGCAGAGGCAGGACCCGATCCAGAACTAGACGCAGATCCGGATGCAGAGCCAGATCCACTGACGGAGCCACTCGCCTTTCCAGAGCCGGAAGCATTAGCTCCTCAGTACTCCTTCAGATAGCATGTCGCTGTTCAAACTGGTACAAGTGTTTTTGATGTTATCGTTGATGGTGTACACACTCATTTGCGCATCGTATGGAGATGCTCCGCTTTCCTTTCCAAACTGGTCGACCCACATGAGCGGCATTTCTGCCGCAACTGAGAATTCCTCGAGCGCTTTTTCCAAGTTCGCCTGCTGGCTGGGATAATAGGTCTAAAACGTCTGCAAATCCTTCCGCTGCGGTGCATGCGATGCCCTTACCATAGTGCGACGTGAAATCGGCAAACACTCCAATCCAATCGGAAGCGCGGTTCATAGCATCTCCGGTGAACTCCACCGTCATAATATTCAAATCCTCATTACCGGACATTTTGGATGATTTTGATAGATTATTGACCTATCAATGGAAAGTTTTCTCCATCATGTTAAACAGCTTGTGTTCTTTTCGCACAGCACCCTGCAATATATACCACAATTGCAGATTAAGAGCCCCACCAGGGTTAGCCAACACCAATGAAATCAGGACATTTGGAACTTTTGTTCATGTTTATTCTCAAATGTCTACGAGCTGCCGAAAAGAGTTCCGTTGCATTTCGATCTACCAATGAAAACAACGTGGAGTCAACAAACCGCCCTAGGGACCACGGACACAGTGTGCTATACTGTTGCGAACTTGACCAACAAGGAAAGCTTATCCGCTTATCTTAGCGATGTAGTTTTCCGCAAACGCATACCCGAGGTATTATTCTTGGCAAAACTGGACTTTTGAGAAAAGCTTCACAGCACGTCTTCTTGATGAGAAGAAGAGAGAAAGCGCTTTCTCTCTGAACTCGTAAACCTCTACGGTAGCTTAGATCGACAAGTTTTAGACGGATGCATGAATATTGTCTATTCTTCTTGACAACACAACGGAGCGCAGTTGATAAGCAGAGTTATTCAGCTTTCCAGAGAGAAGCTACTGGTATATGCAAAGTATGCTGCAAGATGAGCATGCAAGCTGTTCAAGCAAGATGGGCATGCAAGCTTATCGAGGTAAAAGAGTGCATGGTTAGCGTAATTACCTGGGCAACGGCGCCGCTATGAATTTTTGCAGAACAAGGTTTCTCGATTTTCCTGGAGTGGCCACCTGGTAACCATTTGCGCCGGAGCCACAGCAGTGAAGAGATGAAAAGGACGTAAGAGCCGGATTTGGAGCTACCGGACTACTCACAGCAGCTCTAATACAAAAAGTCGGCTCATGAAACGTTGACAAAACTCGCAAGGAAAACAGAACTTCTGCATTCAGCGTCGCCAAGAGAAGCTACGCTCGTACTCTCATAGCTATCATAGCGGAAAAAGCTGCATTTCTTCTCTCTCAAAGACGCCTTTTCTTCTTATTGGTTGTTCTGGAAAAATGTCATATGCATGCACTCATATTCGTACATGCATCCTCGAGAACCTCACGGGATACGACATCTGCAGTAGAAGGACCGCGTTGGACGACGGTACTAAGGACTGAGTTTCTGTAAAGATACAGCTGCGAAAATATCCCATCAGATTTAAGATGGATGATTGAGGCTGTTTGGGTGCCAGATAGTGGTAAAGACGCTGTGTTTGGAGAGATAACGCACAGCACAGTTGTTTTCATTTTCCAATGATAGCGAGATGCACAAGTCAGGGGTATGATAAGGCTCATCAAAAACCTTCCATGCGTGAGAGAGTTCATGGAGAGAAGGTCATAAAAAGTATCAAAGTCTGCGGACTAAAATTGGAGGCACGCCGTTGCGAGAGCATGTGGAGAATTGGCACTTGAAATAGAGAGCACTCTAAGCCTTGGTATACTTTAGACTACTAGACCAAGTGGTATGTTAAAATGAAAGCTTGCCACACATGAAAAACCACATTTGGTTATTTTCCTGGGGATGAATGTTTGGTAAAACTGGGTAAAACTGCCCCGAATGTATAATTAATGTCATCTCCACTAGCGAAGTGTGGAGCAAGACGGTGTCTGCATTATCTCTGGAACTCCAAAGTGCGTGTTGTTGACATCTTCCTGGCTCTAAGAATGTTTACCTACAAGTAAGAAAGCAGCCCGGCCACAGCAGAACCATGAATCCGAGCGAAATTGCTGTGATCTTGCTTATTGACGTCTTTTGGAAAAAATCCGGCAAACAAAGTGCACTACATGCGTTGAAGTGCCCAACAAACTGCTTGTGTCGGGGAGCTTAGTACTGTACATGAAACGTTGAGCCATAGCTCAGGCAATTTCCTAACGATATTGCGTGATTCCACAAATCTACATTTTCGGGGCTCAAGTGTTACAACTCATCACTTCAATTAAATCAAAGAGCATGACGCCCTATACTCATGTCAACTACTTGAACAATGAGCGCGAATTAGAGCATTATTCAGAGGGGAAAAAGTCATCTCATCTAATCAGTTTGCAACGGGGTGACAGAATCTCGGCAACATGGCTAATCATATCCTTCAAATGGAAAGCAAAATACAAAAGACTGCTCTCCTACTAGGCGCCGGAAGTGGTATACTTCCATGTCCGACTTATTTGTGGCATCCTGAAAACCCCAGGACACTACGAGAGGCAACTTGCCTAACGCAAGCAAAACTCCATCCGATATTATCTTCACAAAGCATTTGGACGAGTTTTTTAGTAAGTCTCTAAACCAGTTCAACGTTACTTACTTTGCCGATGACTCTGACACCGGCGTTGAGGCAACTCAGAAACTCATAATAAAAGAACGCTTGATGAACAGCGACCAATCGCAGAGTAGTCGAGTTCTAATCTGTAGCCCTCCCCAGTTAGTTCAGCTGTAAAGCGATAAAAAAGGTCCATAAATGTGCCAGTGGAGAGTCATGGAGGGGATATTTGAAGGAACTGGGCTACCAAGAAAAGAATGACATCCAGTTCCAACTAGCGTAATGCCGAAAAAGACCAAGACAGCTTGAGCCTTCTGATTGTGGACTTATTTGCTACATCAAAACTGGCGTCAGGCAAGAAGTGTTATTTTCATTACCAAAACGGTCTTGTTACATGTTTCGAGGAACGCTGGGTAAGAAACTCAGTTATTCTCGACCCTGATCGGCCCTTGTGCAATTTTCTAGATGCCTGAATAGTTTTCAAGCCTCTAGAAGAATCTGAAGACTGTGGTGAAGTATTTGAGAGACGCTAGGCTTGAGAGGCATTGCGATCAATGCTCCGACCTTATGTCTTGGCTGAAAATGAAGCTTTTGCTGGACGGAAAGCTATACAAGATGCGTCAAAGATACAAAGCTGTTGGCATTGGAAGAAGAAGCAGACGATAACCCGCTAGCAAATTCAGTTTTCGCATTCCGCATGTGCTAGGCCTAAATTGTGATTAACCTAGCTAGCACAAACTCACACGTCTTAGTGGGTTGCAACAGAGAGGGATCGGCAGATGGTAGGGTTTGAGTGCTTGTCTCGGATTATGCCCGAAAATGATGTTTGGAACGCGTAGCCCAGCATAAGCACAATAATCAGCACAGGATGGTGCCTGTATTGGTTTCCAAGAACCAGCTTCACACTCGTTTTGCAAATTATTGAGAGAAGACCATAGCCAAATGGTGAAAAAGAGTGTATTTTTGCGGTAGTCTTGCTGGTATCCGCGCAAGCTGGAGCCGTGTGAAACAAGATGCTTCAATTGGTTTCCTCGAACGCGATTCCAAAGTAACCGCACTGAAGTAATGATGTTGACTCCAGTGGCAATGCAGTAAGTTTCATTTTTCGTCAACACTATGCATCTGTGTGAGATTCTAGAGCAGAGCGTGAGTAGCAGCAACAGATCAATGCTGCCAAGGAGCTTAATCAAATACTTGCCGAGACTCGCAGCTGTGCAGGGTTGGGTGCTCCTCATGAATACTGGTAAAATGGTGAAGAATATATTAAACATCTAAAACGAAACGGAGGCCAATCCATTATGTGCTTTCTGGAAAGCACGCACACGTCTCATACCTTGACTCCCATTTCAATTGCATCGTTTTCTTCTTCCGCCGTCGTTTTTGTGCGTCTATTAGAAGTAAACAGCGAAAATATGAAGGACAGCGCGCTACAGCCTAACGCGAAAAGAAAAACGTTCCGGATAGACTTTGCCAGCAGCCGTCCAAGCTCAGAGTTCTTGCCGTCAAAATGATGCATCCTAAAACTGATGACACCCTCCGTGCTTTCAAAGTTGGGAATAGATGATCCTGCGGTAAAGTTGTGGAGAGAGACTCCAAAGATAGTAGTGCTGACAATTCCTGCAAACGCAAATCCCAAGGTCTTGAGGAACGTGTTGTATGCTGTTACTTCAATGAATTTGGTGTGATAGTCAATGTCGTTGCGGTCTATCTGTAACTGGGAACTGACTAAACTTAATTGGTACACCACGCCGAAGGATGCCCCAGCTAACATA